TCATCCATCTGATTCATCAGCTGAAGTTTCAGCAGATCTGATGCTGTCTCTGAAACTGACACGTGTGATTCAAACTTCAGCTCATTGCTCATGTTTTCAGGAGGATTTTGGACCCTCGAAGAACTATGACTTTGCACCAGTTCAGTTTAATAAAGATGAATACAAACTTCTCAAACTGATTTTATTTTAAAAAAGGTACCATGTCTTGTTGTTGGTGAAGTTCCATTATGGGGACTATAGTAAAATCCTGCAGCTGCTTGTTGGTAGGAATGTTTACTGGGAAGTAGCAGGAAGTGTAACATCAGCAGTGACTCAGAGCGGCTCTTAAACAGCTGTACACAGAGAAATGAAGCTGCATACAGGAGAAAAATAACTCCAGATTTACTAAGAAACTATCAAAGCTTCGGCATTTGCTGCTCTGCTCTTGCTGCTTCTCTAAACTCGTGCACCAATAACTTGATAAGAAACTTCTAAAAAATGCAAAAACAATGGATACAGTTCAGTGGATATCTCATAAAGCATGTGACTCAAACGCCCTCTGATAAAGTGGGAATAACGGCACCATGCATGAGTGAATGGGGAGACTGAAACCTTCCCCACATTATTAAATCAAAGCAGTTTGATGTCTACTGTGTGTTCTGGTGAGGTCTGATCCTTGCTCCACATGACTGCAAGTCCATGAAGGTTGTTTTTATGAGCCCGTTCTACTTGCTGATATTCAGAATGTTGAACAACTTGTACATCTCTGTAGGTTGTGTCGCTTTGCAGTACCATAGGTTCTATCCTCTATGTTGCCATTGTAACTATATGATTAAAAGAAGCATTTCATGTTGTTTTGGTGAGAGAAAAAATCTGTTTAATGACTTATCCCTAAAGACAATGTTGCATTACCAAAAGACTCCAGATCCACATGGTTTGGCCAACACCAACTCTGATAATAAGAGAGCAGATAGACTGATGGCTAATATATTACAATATCACATTGTTGCTATTGTTGTTACACTCTGAAAGTGTCCTGGGTACAAATAAGAATCATTTTAAGAATAAGAATCACAGTTTCTGACATGCCTGACAGAAAGGTGTTTTCTTTAGAATAAGAACAGCCTGTAATGTTCGATGGTTTAGTCTGTTATGGAAGGCATGTTGGGCTTGTAGTTAACAGCAGTTGACATGTTTTTGTTGTAAAATTTTCTATATTTTGGCAAACCTCACACAGTCTGCAGTCTGCTGCTGATTGTCCTCAGAGCTCTGTGATCTTCAAGATTTTGATTTTAACTGCAGCAGCTGCTCTGTGATCCCAAACCTTAGATTAGAGGACACAGGAATAATGCTTTATCTGTCTAAGACTCTGAGCCAATCAGCTCTCAGTTCACCTGGCTGCTGCAGACACTGTCGGCCCTGTCATTATGCCTATGTTGCCATGGCAACCAGGTAGCAATGGGTTTTTATAAGGTGACAAACTGAGGACACACACATCCTCACAGCAGACTGAGAGAACCAATAAAGGCTCCATAAAAGTCACATAATCAAGATTGAATCAGGGTGTTAATGGGGAGCTTATTCAAATGTTCTAGGTGCAGAATTTTCACAATATTTTTTTTTATTTTAATCATATTTTTGCAAAATTTATGACACTTAAACTGCTGCTGACAAAGAGGGATGACCTTCTGCTTTCAGATTATAGGAGAGTAAAACCACAGGACATTAAAAATGAGACTTAAAAAAACTGTAACTCAGAAATAAGTCAGTATGACTTGTTTTCGTTTGATCACTGAGATTCCTTTGGTTTATTTACGTGTGTTAACCAGTTTACTCACATGATTATCCAGTTCATTATGTCTGAAGAAATGCTGAAACATGCTGAAGGTGCAAATCCCTGAGTTTCCCATAAAGACTCTGTGTGTGTGTGTGTGTGTGTGTGTGTTTGTGTGTGTGTGTGTGTGTGTATGTCTGTGTGTGTAAAGATGACTCGCACTGCTGCAGGGGTCAGACTGTGTGTGTTGTAGCCATTTTTAGGAAGCGTGGGTGTGTTAATGCATTTTTGTGTGTGTGTGGTACCTTAAGGCTAACTCTGTAGACAGATAGAAGCTGAATGAACACGTCAGTGTCACAGTGACACCATTTAAGATTCAAGGAGTATCAAGAGGGGTCATGATTTAATTGGCTGGAACTAGACCCCTGTCTGGCAGTATTTTCCATCATGCAACTGGAGTGGATTTATACTCAGAGAAGCGAACAAAGGAGCAGAAACAGAAGCAGATTTTGACCTCAAGGAGAAGGCAGCCCTTTTTTGATCCATACAGCAGCCAAACCACAAAATAGTTTTTTTTTTCAAATGTGTTTCTGAAATTTTTCATCAGGATGATTTATCACAAATTTTAAGATTGAAATTTGGTCTTATTTTTGCTTTTACTGCTGAAGGTACAGGGTCATACTTTAGTGAGAAGTGAGGGCCTGATTCAATAAAGTTGTGCAAACAGCCAAAAGACACTGTGCAATATGCAAAGGGTTAAATGCTCCATGGGCTGTATTGCAGATCACATACAGTCTCTATGTATCAGAGTTGTATGCATAAATATAAATAGTGCATCATGCTCTCATTTAGAGCAAACAAACACCACTTTCTCTGTGCAATGACCTGACTCAGATTGGACACCAGTCTTCATTCCACAGTTGCTATGCACAGTTGTGCTATGACTAAGTGGTCATTTTCATATAAGCCTAGACTACATTATGTGTTCAAGAGGGGGTTAAAAAAGTGCATGTGACATTGTGAATGACAGCTCTGTTAAACAATGAGACTCCTGCAGTGCTGTGCCCACCAGATGACCAGAATAGAGCATAAATGGTAAGAATGCTGTGGACCGGAGCCGCCTGACAGAGCTGTGACTCTTTATCACCAAATTAAATGCATGCTTGATTATAGGACGGGATGTGGGGCAGGTCCTGTAGTTTCACACACTAAATTGGTCGTTAATGTTGATCACTTGGACACATACAGTACAGACCAAAAGTTTGAACACACACTCTCATTCAATGCATTTCCTTTATTCTCATTACTATTTAAATTGTAGATTCTCAGTGAAGGCATCAAAACTATGACTGAACACGAAAGAACTTTTTTAATATCCCTCTGAAAAACAAGGACGAAGGATGAGCTTCACAAACCCTCCTCTATGATTAAATGCCAACATTTAAAAACTGTCCACGACCATGTGTTTACCTGAAAATTTATCCTCAAGTACACCAATATAAAGATTTGTGGGAAGTTTTAGGGTACACACGCACACACACGCGCGCACACACACACACACACACACACACACACACACACACACACACACACACACACACACACACACACACACACACACACACACACACACACACACACACACACACACACACACACACACACACACACACACACACAACTCCAAGTTTAAAGTGACAAGAGATCACTCTTAGGGGGCTGACTCAACAATACAACCTAATCTATGGAGTCATTTTCCTTCATGACACACACATACACACACACACACACACACACAGCAGTTAACATACCTATGTTATAAGAACATTGCCAGGAAACTGAAGTCCTGCTGACATGTCTGGTGGGGGTGAGCTCACACACACACACACACACACACACACACTGATCTCTCACACTTGGATTATCTGAGATTACATGTTGGTAAGGTGATTATTGATCGATTCTGTATTCAGTGTCATGAAAACAGATTTATTGGCATTAAACAGTAACAGTAAGATACAGTGAGTAACAGCTCTCTCACCAAGTTACTGGTTTTCCTTTAAACCACATGACCTTACAGGTACAGAAACAGAGCAGATCTTAATGTTTTTGAAGTCTCTCAGATTTACAATGATAAGTGATGCACAGAGCTGGGCTGTGTGTCTCCAGGTGAGTTGGACACTTTCAGGTAGACCAGCGAAAAAGGGAAGGACTGGACCAAGGTATTTCACCTCAAACATTGTACTGGCCTCCTATTTAAGTTTGTGTTTAACATGTCTTCAGTCTGTTGTGATTTCTCCTTTTTTGGTACATGTGTGGGATGTTGCCATTATTTAGTCCATATCTATTGTGCTCCCACCTTACTCACCTGTGAGGTACATTTCCATCCTCCAGTCCATCTGAGGAGCATTCTCGTACTCTAGTTCTTGTGTAGTACAGTGTTGTCTACTTGTCTATATGTGCAACTTTGCTGTCCGAGGGTCCATGTCTATGACACACTGCTGTCCACCAGTCGTGGCATGCTCCCATCTTCCACTTCAGGTACTTTGCCACTGGTCCTTGTGTTGGACATTGCTGCCTACTGAGATAAGTGTGGTTTTATTGGCATATCCTGGCCCTTGAGTGGTGCATTGCTGTCCTCTGCTCTGTTTATGGAAGGCACTCCTCCTGTCAGTCATTGCTGTCTGTCGGTTCTTTGTTTTTGTCACCTTCTGGCCCTTTTTTGGGCTCACGCTCCTCTCTGGGTCTGTGTGTTGTACATTACCATCAGTTCTTCTCTTTGTTGTACATCCCTGTATTCTAGTCAATGTGTGGTGCATTGCTGTTCACTGGTGTGCTCCATCTTCTCTCAAATAGATGACATGATGAGAGCTTCTAAATGTATTTTTATCTTCTCCAAAGTTCTGTATTTTGTCCTCAGACTGTGACGCTGAAGTTTTTGTGGAATTAAAACTGTTTTTACTGTAAATCCATGAATGTTATTGGAGCTTTAAAGAAGCTGGAAACATTACGTTTCTCAGCAGCAGAGTTCAGGGTCTCTTCCTGTTGTCTGTCTGGTCATTGACACCTCGGAGTGAAGGTCAGAGGTCGAGGGTGGACGCCCTCTGTGTTGTGGAACAGACTTCATGCTCTCTTTTCTCCTTGTCTGACAGGATGCAGTTTAGTTTCTGACATTTCTGGATCAAATTATCATGATTTTCGAAACCAGCATGACTAAACACAAATTATTTTACAGTCAAACTCAAGCGAGTGAAGCAAAAAGACTTTTAACTTTCCTTTAATGTGTTTTCACCTCAGACCACACCCAGAATAGTTTTCATGGTGCTGAGGTTTAAGAGATCCAGTCCAGGTCCAGGGACCACAACCCAACAAACATCTAGGTCACACACACACACACACACACACACACACACACACACACACACACACACACACACACACATCTGTAAGTGTTTTTTGGCAAAATAAGGAGAGATTAGGACAGAACAGCTCAGCCAACCCACACACAAACACACACACACACACACACACACACACACACACACACACACACACACACACACACACACACAGTGCAGGTCTGTAATCAGCAGCAGGGCTCTCCTCCTCGGCTGATTAAAGGCCATAAATGAATCTGATTTAACGATCAGAATCTGCTGCTTCACCAACCAAAGTCAGAAGATGATAAAGAAACTGTGGACTGGAGATCATGAGAGAGAAAAGATTACACTGTCACTGAATTATCCAACAAATCTAATTTTCCAAACACCTGCAGGAGCGACAGGTAAAATGTGATGTTTGAGGATTGTTCTATAAAACCACTACCTCAGATAATCCTTTCCAAGACGGGAAAATAAAGTCTTTGGCTGTGGTGTTGTGGAGCATTTTTTCTTTAATGTTCACAGCAGGGCATTTTTCTTCATGGAGGTAAAAACTTTTAAAAAGATGTTTGTGTGGGGTTTCTTCTGTTAGCCCTGCCCACATGGATCAAAAAAATCTAAATTAAGGTTTATTGCCAACCCGATTTATTTGATGTACTCCAATCTTTTCTGTTGACTGAAGATGCTGGTGCCTGCCCCATCTTGGTAATTTTGGACCTTACAGCTGCCTTAGACACTGTGGATCTCAGTATAAATAGAGAGGCTGGAGAAGTGGGTGGGGATAATGTGATGTGGTCTTTGATTGGTTTAGTTCTTACAGAATGTGTCGCTGCATAAGTGGCAGTTTAACTCAAGGGTTCAGTTCTTTGTCCAGCTCCTTTTTCCATTTACATGCTCCACCTTGGCAGTATCAGTCATTAATAAAATGTCATATTATGATCATTGTTATGCCGATGACAATGCAATTGTATGTCCCAGTCAGTCATGGTGACGAATCAAGCATATCAAGCCTTGGAGAAATAAACATCTTGGATGTCTGACAATAAATCAGAAGTTATTGTTTCAGCCCCTAAATAAAATGAAATGTAATCTTTTCAAATCTGATTAGTGATCTATAATTTGTCAATCCAGAAAAGAAATACAGCAAAGGTAAAGTCTGAAATTTCTGCAAATTTCTGCATTGTAATTTCTCTACACATGCCTCAGTCAGATATCAATCCAGCGAGTTTAAAATGCAGCATCTCTGCTATAACTTAAGTCAACATATGTGTCCATATCACTCCTGTTTTAGCAGACCTACACTGGTTAGCAGCTGTTTTTAACAGAAAAAACATTTGTTCTATGGTTTTATATTATTTCAACACTAATTTTTAAAATTTGTATGCCTCTACATTTAATTCTTTGGATGCTTCCATGTTTAGCTTTTTATTTTTATTTATTTATTTTTTTTTTTACTTGCACACCTTATAGTAATCTGTAACCTGCAAAAGTACAAAAGTAAATTATGATTATTATAATTACTATTTCATTTTCAACTATTTTAATTATTATTGAAATATTCACTCTCGTACACTTTGCTTAAAAAACAGACCCAAAGTTGTTTTTATCACACAAGTGAAACTTGACCATGGGGTTTTGTGGAGATCGAGTCCCTGGCAGACAGCCTCTAGTGGTAACTGTAGGAAATGCAGTGTTTTTTTTACTTTCACAGAGGCTTCATTCTGCAACAGTGGAGGCTGCTGCTTGAACTAAACCCACAGAAATGCTTTTTTAAACTACACTGAAGCAGTCTGTTCACTGTGATGCCCCTGATTTCTCTCACCTCTTAACTTGTCTGTCCAGCTTTTAAAAGCCACCTGCAGCCTTTAACACTTTGTCTTCTTCCTGCTTTAAACCCCACACACACACACACACACACACACACACACACACACACACACACACACACAGGGATGGACATATTTACCTCACTAAACCACTAACACACATATTTTCTCAAGCTGATGAACCCTGACCTTACCCTGCTGTTTGTCCTTCTCTCAAGCAAACACACACTTACACACATGCACACTCTCTCTTTCTCTTTCTCTCTCTCTCTCTCTCTCACACACACACACACACACACACACACACACACACACACACACACACACACACACACACACACACACACTCTGACAGAGTTCTTGGAGGTTTGGGCAAGTCGTACCACCATGCTGCCGTCAGATTCTCAGATAGCCTGTAATGAGACGGCAGGCAGAGCCAAGATGGCCGCTACTGTGTCATTAGCAGTGGAAATGTGGTCATTATTAGAGATGGAATATCAATACGAGCAGCAGTGACTTCATACAAAGCAGTCAGCTGATCTGGCACACAGGAAGCAGCAGAGATGTGAAACCCTGAGACAACGGCTCATGCTGAAAAGTATCTCAAACTCCATCACAGAGTTTTTGTTTATCTTCAAAAACTAAGATTCTCATTCAGAGCGACACAGACATCAAACCTTGTGACTTCAGTCTAGTATTTCATTTCCTTTTCAGTCCACAGCTGGAAAACAAGATAAAAAACCTTTCTCTTTATAAGAGTTAGGAGTTTAATATTGTCATGTGTTTATATGAAGCACATACGGAGTCAATACTGGATGAGCAACTGTTTTCTCAGTTGACAGCTGCCCTTATTGGTAGAGGTGGAGCGGTCATCCAACAACTGGCAACTGGTGGTTCAACCTACCCCATCCCTGGTCTGTCTGTTTTATCTTGGGCAAGACACTTCACTCACCTTGCTCCCAGTGTGTTTCCTCCACTGATGAATCATTTCCATCAGTCTGCCCCAGAGCAGCTGTGACTACAAAGGTAGTTTACCACCACCAGGATGTGACTGTGTGAGTGAATGAATGATGTATCCAATGTAAAGCACTTTAAGGGTCTCTGATAAAGTGCTATATAAAATCTAAAGAATTATTATTATTATTATCATTATTAATACAGGTGGTGCCTTTTGTTGTATCAAATATTGTCACATCACATCATTATCACATTGTTTTAGATGTGTTACAATGTAAAAGAAAAGTCTCATTTTGAGGTCATTAAGACACATCTCCTCTGGTGAATTTGTGTGCCATCATTTATGCCAATAATGAACTGTCATGAAGTACAAAGTCACAGTGTGCAACCAAGATTTAATTGAACACAGAATATTTAATAAGCTTTCCAATAATTTTTTAACGAAATGCAAAAATATTTCAGAAATTCAAAAAAGTTTAAAGAAAACAGAAATATTCCAGGAAATCTGTATATATCTTATGACAGGTGACAAAGATTTCACTTAGGGAAAAAAAATCACAAATTACAAAAATATTTCACTGACAAAAAAACTTCTAGAAAACAACACAAAAAATAAATTACTTTGAGCAAAGAATCTGCGCTGCTGTGCACAGCTGTAAAAATGACCCCATCCAGGAGGTCATGATTGAGTTCTGACACTTTCTAACAGTTTACTGATTCAAAGTCACTTCCTGAAGATGATCAAAACCACCAAACTACAACCATAACCACAAACCATCACCCTCACTTTAAACTAACGACAGCCTAAACCCAAACCAAGTCCAAACCCTGAAATTTACGGATTTATGCAGCCAGAGCTTGAATTTGGTCCCTTAAGTCAGACGGAGTAAAAACATTTTTGTCCCCAACAGGAAACTAAACATACTTGTACACACAAAGAGAGAAACACATACTGCAGAGGATAATTGTCGGGAGGAAAGCACGTCGAGAATGTCTGAGTTTGGAATAACGGTGTCAGGAAAGGTGCCACCTCACCACTGTTTACCCTCTGAGTATGTGTGTGTGTGTGTCCATGTTTTCTAGTGTTCACACTTGCTTACATCTGCTTCTGTTTGTGTATGCATTCCAGTAGAAAGTGTGTGTGTGTGTGTGTGTTTATCTGTGTTTGTCCAGTATAAAGCTCTGACTGGGGCAGACTGGTAAATTGGTCACTCAGAGGGAACAGATGTGGCCAAGAATGCGTCTTTTTGTTGCTTTGTGTTTGGTGTGTGAGGAGGAGGAACAATGTTATAAGAAGTGGCACAAGATGAAGTTCCTGCTTTAAACTTACTGATTTTAGACACACTGTTATTTTAACTCTACAACACCTGTCCAGGTGAGCAGGTTCTTAGAGAACTAGTTTGATTCTTGGATACAAATAATTTGCACTTTTTTGTCTGTGATGCTGCTGTGACAAAAATTTTTTTCTCCATGGGGGATCAATAAAGGAATATTCTATTCTATTCTATTCTAATGTGAATGACAACCAAAGAGTCGAATAATGATGGACTGAAGACAGGAGTGCTCCAAGATGCTGTCTGAAATGATAGAATATTTTTGTGTTTACGGTATCAGCCCTAAAATTAGAAAGATTCAACTTATTATCCTACTGCAAAATCCATTCACTTAGTGAGACAGGAAACTTTCTTATGATAAACTCACAAGTGTCCTGCAGTTACTAAATGAGCCGGATCTCCCAGACTTCTCAAGATGAGTGCCTTGGCTCACAGAGAAATGGCAGTAATGGCAGATCTGAGCACACCTTAGGTGTATTTAATGGCCAATGATGCAAGCGCTTAGGTGACAAGACTCTCAAGTTAGCACAGTACTACTGTTTGTCACAGTGAGCCCAGTGATAGTCAACTGAAAGGGATGAAAAGTCACCCTCTTTGATTGGTAACTTCAGCTGAACGCCACTTTTGAAAGCTTTGTAACTAATATAAACAAACTTGTCAGAAAAAGTGAACACTTGGACATGGAACAGCTTTATAGGATGTAAAAAATTACACTTTCCATGTCTTAGAAACATTCAGTGGACGATTATTAAGATTTTTGAAGTTGTTTTGAAGGAGGCGTTTTGAAGTCATTACATTTCTTGTTTTCTCTCCATTAAAATTTAGTTTCCTTCCACTAACAAGAAAAGCAGAATATTTTCACTTCAAAGCTTCAGATTACATCCAATTTTACTAATTAACTGACTGAAGTATTGTTTACCAGCTGCTGATGCACTCACATACAAAAGCTCAAACACACCTACAAACCCAGACTCCTTTAGGATCACAGTTAAGTCATTGATCAAAAGAGGAAGGAAGGTTTTTACTTTCTTACAAGACAAGCCACTGCATTCAAATTACCCCTGTGGTTGCCATGGCGCCTGCCTCTGTTTACTGTCTGTTGTTGCTCATTAGTTTGTCTGTGTGAGTCACTAACAGGTGATACTTACAGGTCAGGTGACACACCAGTCAGTCTGAGAAGTGACACAGACAATAACTCTGTATTTACATCTTTACTTCTGGTTCTAAGTCTGAAACTAAACACCAATTACGACTGAATTTACACCTCAGCCCAGACTTCAGCCCCTCAGCCCCCCCCAGACACACACACACACACACACACACACACACACACACACACACACACACACACACACACACACACACACACACACACACACACACACACACACACACACACACACAAACCTCTCCCCGTGTTTCACGATAAACTCTTCTGTCTCAGTGTCTGTTTTCAGGCCCAAATCCTGGCAGAGCTTTCTCCACCGCTCTAAAGGTCCTTACACTACGGGAATGATGGAAATTTACAATGCGAAACTACGAAATATTTGGAGGCAAATTTTGATGTGCCTGACTATACACATCAAGCGCGATGCAATTTTGCAACTTTCTGGGGGGAAAAAGACACATCCCCGGTGGAAGCGAGAAGACTGACACAACAGCAGACTGACTGTTTTTCAGTTCTGATTAGACACTAGTGTTGAGATGTCTGTCTGTCATTATAGCATGTACTGAGTCAGGGCCAGTACCAGATAAGCACATTAAACTATAATCCATAAACGTAAGGTAACAACTGAGACCTAATGGCGCTGTGACAGCAACGCCATTGAGTTTGAGACAGTGAAAATACATATGGTATGTTTTATCTGAATAGGTTAGGTTATGAGCTAAAGTTACTTAGCACAGATGAAAGTTAAAACAAAGACATTTAGCAAACTGTTAAAGCAAACAAATTATCGTCATATGAGAAATCTGACACTATGACTCTCCACAAGTTGTCCTTCAGGTCGTTATCTTTGTAATATTTGTGTTTTTTTTAATCAAAAAAGCACTCAGTTCTCCGACACATAAAAAATCAGGCGGTCGGCCATGTTGGATATACTGGTGGATCTGACGTTGCAACAACACGTAATCTGATTGGTCATAAGTGGCACACAATATGTGAAACTTTAGAAAAATCAACCGTGATACGAAAAAATAAATGCTGCAGTATCGCAGGACAGGAAAACGTCACTGATGTAAACACTTGTATTGACAGGATACAGGTTTGGAAAAAAAAAATTGTCATCTGAAATAATTGCATGAAAAAAACGCTCTCAGTGTGTAAGGACCTTAAGGATGTTTATTCGAGTTAGATTCCTCGCTTCCTCACATTTCTTTTTCATCTCTGTCCTTTCTTCCGTCGGCTTGCATTTTCTTAGCACTTTTGGCGGTGCGGCAAGCAGAGGTGTTTGTTTTTTGCATCCTTTTCCATCACAGCTCCTGTAGCTAAGCTGCTATGCTACTTTTAGCCTCTCAGAGCTCAGAGGAGGGCCGGGAGAGTGGGCGGGGAAGAGTCGGAACTATGGAAGAGGGGTGTGTCGCATACAGCAAGATGATTAAATGGAGAGGCGGAGCAGGAGATTGACCAATAGGAGCTGTCCAGGATGGATGGCTCCCTTGGTCAATGTTTTTCGCAGCCCTGCACCTGCTTGGGTGAACAGATTTTTTCCCATTCTTTTTGTCTCTTCACTTTGTGGAGATTGCACTATAGGACCATGATCGCTATATGAATGAGGTTCATGATAATTACCGATCTCTCCAATTGTCAATCATGCCTTTAAGAAGCTGCATCCACTTTTTAAAGAAGACTGTGTTTGTTCACCTGGATTATGAGGACATTTAGCCTAGTTTATTAGTGCCTGAATTGTTTTGATTGGCCTAAGTTTTACCTGTGTGTTCCTTCATAGCTTCTTCTCCTCTGCACTCAATTTTTTGTCAGTCTCTGTGAAGTCACTGTGAAGAGCTTTATCTTCAGGGTTTTAAAAACATACCAGGGCGAAAGTGTTTCTTAGAGAGTCTTTTGTCTCCTGTAAACAGCTGGGCGGCTGACAGTACTCTCTCTCTCTCTCTCTCCCTCTCTCTCTCTGATGGTTCTTGGACCTCCCTCCTTCCCTCCTCCTTCTCCCTCCCTCCACCGCAGCAGACCGAGTCCAGCCGAGCTCATCTCCAAACCACCGAGTCGCGTCTTTCACCGGGAGACTAACTTCTCAACACTCCTCTATGTCATCCTTAGACTTTCATCCTTATTTCCTTCACGTTATCTCCTTAAATCGGATTTAGATATTTAACACCGGACAGATGTTGGATGGATTCTCTTCTTTTTTCTTGGTGCGCAAAACTTTGCCAAGTGGGTTAATGGGCGAAACGGAGGACTGACTGACTGAGGAAAAGTTTTGGAAATCAGGTTAGTGTGTGGGTTTGAAGAGAGAGGGGATAAAAGCTCGGACAGTGTTTGGTTCAATGTGTCTGGAGCGGCCGATTAAAGAGCAGAAACACCGGAGACAGACAGTGAAAGAGCCGGAGGAGAGGGCTTAGGTCAGCAGGGTCTGCAGGGACTCACCGGCTGCTGGACGTTCATGTCTCCGCTGCTCACCGGCACCGAGGTACGCTTAGGCTCTTTTCAGTTTTACCTGTTTTAACGTGTCATCTTGATTTTTGTTGTTGGTGAAAAGAAGCAAAGGCTAGATCAAAAACCTTGATGTCTGAAACAAACATCGATTTAGAACATTTTGATAAACAGGCTGCCGAAATGCTGCCTAAATAGGAAAAATGTAAAAGTGTGTATTTTTAATCATATTAAAACTCCTGTCCCCCTATAACCTCTCCACCAACCTCTGTGTGGATAACTTTTTGATCTCTTAAGATTTCCTCTCACGACATGAAGCTGACTTTTGAGCGTGCTTCTTGGCCAGATCCCGCTTTTGTCCTCCTTGTGCATGCTGCGTTAGTGTGTGTGTGTGTGTGTGTGTGTGTGTGTGTGTGTGTGTGTGTGTGTGTGTGTGTGTGTGTGTGTGTGAGAGAGTCCGTTGCACCTCTTCTGTCCTACAGATATTTATGTTTGACACGATATTGTCAAGCCTGGAGTCCTTTATCTATGCAGCGGTTACATTTATTAATCTGTCACGTTAACGTAACGCAGGTTTTTATCATCTTCAAGTGAATGTAAAGAATTTCTAAAGATTTTTCTGCACTCTGATTCAACCTGGTTGACTCTTCTACATGACTTGTTGATTGCTCTTTGTCATCAGTGCAAAAAGCTGTTGTGCAGTCAGTTTATTCCTCTTCCTGTTTCTTCAGCTCAGAGAATGTGGGAATTCAGAGTGGATTATATTTACTGATCTCATTCCTGACCCATGCGACCTTTCCTATAGAGACACTAAACAAATTCTGAAACCATCTGAATGGTCTCTGCTGCAGGGTGTCATGAGCATTGCAGCCTGCAGAGGGCGCTTGGAGGACTTTGAAACCATTGTGTGTATGAAACAGGTATGGGAGTGAATTAATGTGGTTTAGTGTGTTTGACAGTGTTGATTTGTTGATTAAAGACACAGTCAGGTGTTTGGGAATATTTGTTATTTGTCTTTAAAAGTAGTTATGTTTTTATATATAAGAGCAGGTAATTTAATCTCATGTGAGCAGATGGAGATGGTATTTGTGGTGAAATCAATATGAAAGGCTCTGTAAGGAGTTTTCCTCTCATGTTGACCATATGAAATCAGGGGAGTTTTTCTTGGATAAAGACTGCATTTCCCATAAGCACCATCACCCACTCTGGTACAATAGTGTAACTTGCAAATGCATTCATTTATGCACTATTATAGTATGTTGTGATGTGTTAGGTGGTTCTTAAAATGTGGGACAAACATGTTTAAGGATGGAGATGTAGACCACTTCGTGCAAAACTAGAAGAAAATCATCTCTCATTGGCTAAAACTCAGTCATGTGGTGACTAAACACACTTTAGTGTGTGTGTGTGTGTGTGTGTGTGTGTGTGTGTGTGTGTGTGTGTGTGTGTGTGCATCATACCATGAGTGTGTGTGAAGGCTGAATTATTTTGGATTGCACCTCTTCGTGTCAGTCAGTGAGGCCTTCAATTACAGCCTGAGAGAAACACTAATGGGATTATAATTATGTGTGTGTGGGCGTGCGTGCGTGTGTTTGAAGGCAGATGTTCTTCAGAGTATTGTTTGCACTAAAAACACCTTGTCGTTCGTGAGTGCAAAGACAAAATCCATGTGTGTATAGAAGTGTGTGCAGAAATGCATGTGCATGTATGTGCAGGCATGCATGTGTGTATGTGTGTGTGCGTGCATGCACACATGCATGTGCTTGTTGGTCTGTGTGAATGGTATTTAACTGTGCATGGTCAAAATGTTTAGGTCAATTTTATTGGTCATCTTTGAATGGCAACTTGGTTGTTTGTCTGGTTCATACTAACAAAATATTTGTCAATTTAAATTATTTTGTGCAGATGACATTATCAGGTGACATTGCACACATACACTCACCGGCCACTTTATTAGGTACACCATGCTAGTAACGGGTTGGACCCCCTTTTGCCTTCAGAACTGCCTCAATTCTTCGTGGCATAGATTCAACAAGGTGCTGGAAGCATTCCTCAGAGAGCTTGGTCCATATTGACATGATGGCATCACACAGTTGCAGCAGATTTGTCGGCTGCACATCCATGATGCGAATCTCCCGTTCCACCACATCCCAAAGATGCTCTATTGGATTGAGATCTGGTGACTGTGGAGGCCATTTGAGTACAGTGAACTCATTGTCATGTTCAAGAAACCAGTCTGAGATGATTCCAGCTTTATGACATGGCGCATTATCCTGCTGAAAGTAGCCATCAGAAGTTGGGTACATTGTGGTCATAAAGGGATGGACATGGTCAGCAACAATACTCAGGTAGGCTGTGGCATTGCAACGATGCTCAATTGGTACCAAGGGGCCCAAAGAGTGCCAAGAAAATATTCCCCACACCATGACACCACCACCACCAGCCTGAACCGTCGATACAAGGCAGGATGGATCCATGCTTTCATGTTGTTGACGCCAAATTGTGACCCTACCATCCGAATGTCGCAGCAGAAATCGAGACTCATCAGACCAGGCAACGTTTTTCCAATCTTCTATTGTCCAATTTCGATGAGCTTGTGCAAATTGTAGCCTCAGTTTCCTGTTCTTAGCTGAAAGGAGTGGCACCCAGTGTGGTCTTCTGCTGCTGTAGCCCATCTGCCTCAAAGTTCGACGTACTGTGCGTTCAGAGATGCTCTTCTGCCTACCTTGGTTGTAACGGGTGGTTATTTGAGTCACTGTTGCCTTTCTATCAGCTCGAACCAGTCTGGCCATTCTCCTCTGACCTCTGGCATCAACAAGGCATTTCCGCCCACAGAACTGCCGCTCACTGGATATTTTTTCTTTTTCGGACCATTCTCTGTAAACCCTAGAGATGGTTGTGCGTGAAAATCCCAGTAGATCAGCAGTTTCTGAAATACTCAGACCAGCCCTCCTGGCACCAACAACCATGCCACGTTCAAAGTCACTCAAATCACCTATCTTCCCCTTACTGATGCTCGGTTTGAACTGCAGGAGATTGTCTTTACCATGTCTACATGCCTAAATGCACTAAGTTGCCGCCATGTGATTGGCTGATTAGAAATTAAGTGTTAACGAGCAGTTGGACAGGTGTACCTAATAAAGTGGCCGGTGAGTGTATGTCAGGAGCTGCATTTCCATTACATTCACAAAATATAAGCGATGTTTATCAAATTTTGACATAGTACAATTGCGATTTGCGGGTGTTTCCATTGAATGGTGTTCAGTGCGTAAGCGAGCCGTCTGCCTCTCGCGAGCTGTGTTTGAATGGCCGTTACCTAGCAACGAGGTAAACTTCCTGCCCGTGCGACCTCGTATTCCTTAAGCCTTTTTGCACACCAACATGGAGAAGATACAAAACATTTTGCATTTTGGAGCAGCTATTTCTGTGACTAGAATAGTGTTTCCACACTTTTGCAATATACTTCTATATCGACACGTCTGAAAAACAACCTCATGAGAGTGTAAAAACTTTTTAGCGATATTTAAGAGGTTTTTCGAAATTTAGGTGTTTTCAATACCAGTTTTCTATTGCGATATTTAGGTTTTGCGCAAATCTATGGGTAATGGAAACCCAACTACTGAGAGTTACAGCTGTCTTTACAGTTTCCATGGTAAAGCGTAGTTATGTTATGTTGTAACCTCATCACGCATGGAGTCATGAGGTGTTAAAATGACCTCATGAGCATTTGAGTCACCTGAGTTTCCATCCTCTGGACAGACATATGCACCATATTCTGAAGGAGTCAGTGTGGAGTGTTGTGTCTCTGTGGCACAATGGACAATGCACTTGACTTCTAGTGAGACTTAAAAGTACAGAGTCAAAGGTTGTGGGTTTGAGTCCCACCAGTCATAATATATGAATGGTTGAATGTAGCATACAAAAGTGCCTTAATGAGGAAGTTGGCTCAATCATATTTGACACAAAGTCATTTTTAGTTGGAACCATTCGCTCTGGACTGGACTTGGAGCTGTCATTGTAAAGCTTAATCATAAGTTGTTGGTTCTAGTCTCACCAGAGTTTGATTTATCATACAGATTCAAGTTTGACATTATAGGTTAAATGCATTGGCTTACATTAAGTGTGCCACACACTGCAAAGGTAGTAAACACAGAGACAGTGCCTCACTGTGCTTTTCTTGGTCCAAGATCATCACAGTCAAAATGTTTAAAATCTGTGAGTCAAATAAAGTCATCTTGAAGGGGCTTTGTAGGTTGTTGGTTTGAGTCCAGTCAGAGTTGAGTTAAAGTCATGAGTAACTAGGCACTGTGAACCTTTAAAGTTAATGTTTCTGTTGCATGTTAGTAAAATCCTTCAAATTGAGAACACATGTATGTGACATGTTAAAGCCTGTGTGTTTTACTCAGAGACTCCACAGCTCTAAAAAACACAGGGCTCATTTATCTCACAGGCAAAAAGAAATCAAACGCACCCCAACCATGTCGGGTATTTGGACTCAGCTTTAATATCAAGACTAATCCAGATAATTATGGGATGTGGGCTGATGGTTCCCTCGGCGACCACTGTTTGTCATTTATAATAATTAGTCTGACAATTTAGTATCATCTGAGGTTGGACTGAGGCTCTGCTGTGTGTGTAAGTGTGTGTGTGTTTGTGTGGGGGCCCAGGCGACTGATGTATACCACACTGTTTCCAACCTCAAAGCAAAGCAGTAAACAACATACACAACAAACACGCAACTGCATAAATACATACAGTGAACAGTAATCTGGTTCTAACAGAGAGATTCCTGTGTCAGCAAACACTCCTTGTTTCCTGGAAAGAGACAGAGGTACAAAATATAAAATACTTCTCAAGGAGCTAGGAGGCTCTGTGGCGCAACGGATAGCTCATTGGACTTAGTGAAAAGGTGAAGAGGGAATGCAAAGGCTGTGGGTTTGAGTCCTGCCAGAGTCGTACCTTAACACCTAAAACACATGATGGCTCTCCTCAGTCTGCATCACCTGTAGGTAAAGATTGTGTTGGAGCAATTTTAAGCTGCCTGCTAAAAGCGTGACATTTTTTACCCTCTAATATCTCACCTTCAGTGTCTCAGCTCAGCGGCATGATAGGACCTAGTCAAATCACCTCATCGTGGTGTATTTATTTACCAAAGCTACACTCTTAAACATCAATATTACGTCAATGGAGGGGCTGATATGAAAGTATAGGAAGTGATGGTGCCAGAGCCTTACTGTGGACAATGTTAAAGGGGCTTCGGTCATAAAATCACAGAGCTACAAGTCTTCTTCTAGATCACAGATGTTTTCAGGAGATTGCTGGGAGATCGTTTGTGTCAGATGCAACTCAAAATACTGCATTTGTTGTAAGATAAAGAGGCAGCTGGGTCGTGCAGTTAAGAAAAAAAGCCAGACAAATGAGGGGAACCATAGACAAGTAGTGGGCAAAGTACTGTGGCTGTTTCGTCCTTTACGATAACTGCAGAACTCTCCCCCTTCTGTCTTCTCCTGCAGCAGAGCATGGGTGCAGCCCTTCATTCACTTTACCATAAAAAACTCAACAAAATTCGAGAGCATAAGGAGATTTCAGGTGCAGCCACAGTTTAAGAGAGTAGATCAGTGAGAGTAGAGCAGAGAGAGGAGCAAGTGTGCCTGAAAAGCTAAAGGATGGCGTTAGCACAATAAAAGTGAGGCTGGAGTGATAACAAGTGCTGACAAGCTAACAACTGCCAGACTAAACAGTTACATAATGGCACATATTCAGCTCAGCTCGATTAAGTCTGGAAATTTTTAGGATTTTTGTGCATACAGTTTGTGAAAACTCAGACCTTTAAGAAAGGGCCTCTTTGTCTTGACAAACTCTCAGACTTTACTTGTTTTTCATTTTTAAAGAGAGACTCCTGTGGGTGTGTTTTCTACCCTTTCACATCGGTCCAGTCTTGTTCTGTCCCTGGACTATCTGAGGTGAATCTGGTCTCTTTTACAGCCTAACTCTTCGGATGGTTTTCTGCAGGTTAAGAGTTTAGATCAGCAGAGACAAAGCTTCATGTGTTCTTTGTGTTTACACTTTAAACCAGGTGTGGGAGGCTGGAGTTACAGTAGCTGGAGTAAAGTGTGTGTGTGTACATTCCCATCATGAATCACTCCCCCATCATTGACTCTTCTCATAAAAAGTTTTTGTCTGTCATTCAGTCCAAACACTCTCTAACCCTGTCTCTAACAGCCGAGGAGTGTTTACTGCGTTATTAGTCACACACAAAAACTAGAAAAAAGAAAAAAAAAACATGCAGGGGATTTCCACCCCCCCACCCCCCCCACACACACACACACACACACACACACACACACACACACACACACACACACACACATTTTTTGTAACTTTAGACATATTTTAGCCGCAGCAGCTGATAATCATTCAAAGAGGTTAATGGTCCTAAACTGTCAGCTGAGAGGATGAAACTTTCCACATCCCTTTTTTTAACTCTCTGAATCAATCGTCTGGAAATTAGTCCGGTCTGTTTCTCAGTGATGTTGTTCAGGACAATTCAAAGTTAAACTGACTTTGAGAAAGACGTTGTTGTCCTGCTGGACTCAAGCAGAACTGGATTAAAGTCCACCAAAAAAAAAAAAAACTAGTGACAACGGAAACTGCGGATGTATGAAGTCCAGATTTAGCTGTATGTGGACAGACAGAGGTCAGAGGTCAAAGTCTCTCTGACTGCTTCATGTCTCCCTCAGGAAGAGTTTTACAGCAGCACTGTTACATCTTTCTGTTTCTGTTACGTAAGCGCTAATTGTGTCTTTTGTGTTCAGAGGTTTATTTCAACCCTTTTCATCTCATTCCATCGATTGTTCAGTGAATCTGATTTATGAGTCTGTGTGTTTTATAGACTGAACAAACCAAAGTTTTGCTTTGCTTTGTCAGAGGACTGTACAATAAAGAAACTGTAAAAGTTAATCAAATATAATAGCAGACAGCAGAAATACAGCACGACAACACAGACTTGAACCCTAATACTTAAAGATTTGTACTTGACAAAGGAAAGCTTCAAACCAACAGCTCAGTTTTGCGAATTTTGTCTGTCTTGTCCCAAAAAATAGAGAGGGAAAACAGAATCTTCTCGCACAGCTCTGGCGGTATTTACAGCTTATAAATCCTTTGTATTGTTTTTGTTAGAAAATCACTAAATAACTCCACAGAGCTTTCATTTCTCTGCTAAAATACCACCAGAAACTTGATGTTTTGAAAAATGGAGATCATGCAGCTGTGAATAATGTGCACTACCTGCAGTGTCCACTAGAGGCTGTGTACTGCAGTGAGTCAGTCTCCATGGAACCCCATGTTAAAATGTCCAACTTTACAGCTGTTTTCATGTTTGTATCATTCAGGCTCTATTATCATGTTTTAATGAACCTTGGAGTGCTTTTATAAATCAGATCTTCAGTCTCGTAGTTTTCAGCCCAAACTGTCGTGAGCAAAGCAACTTCACACAGCTTCTCTTTGGACACACTCAGAGCTGGGCCCTGATTGTAAAGTTAGTTTTTCTAGGGGTTTAAGTAACAGGGTCAGTATGTTTTGGAGAGCAGGAGGCCTCTGTTGATAGTTTGTCCCCCCAAAACATCGCAACCTAAATATCTGAAGAAATTTGAGCCTACAACATCTAATTATGTTTGTAATGCAGCCACCCAAGAAAAACCAAGCTACTGTCAAGAATAAAGACCTTATCGGTGACTCTGTGCAAACTCTGGCTCAATCTCCTCCATCGCTGCTGTTTTCAGTTTTTCTCTGACTCTGAGCTCGTCATCGCCACTCTAAACAGGAGCCACCAGCGATGGACGCCACAAGCACAATAGAACCAGCAGGACAACAGAGAGGAGCTATTGTGAATTATGCGTTGTGTGCACACATACACATACACAAACACACACACACTGTGAGACCACACACAGTGGACTGGCCTACATACTGTGATGATGTGAATGTGTCAATGAAAACAGAGCATGCAGTCACACACACACACACACACACACACACACACACACACACACACACACACACACACACACACACACACACACACACACACACACAGAGGATGGGGCGTCTGCATGTCTCCTCTCTTAACAGAACTTCTGGAAGTTTACACTCACTGTCACTGCGGTTCTTCCTCTAGGACTCCTGTGTGTGTGCGTCTATGTGTGTGTGTGTGTGTTATGGTGTGTGTATCCTATTCTCAAGGAGGTTCTTGTTATAAAGTGTCTATCGTTGGTGTTTTTGTATGAAGAGTGTCTCTGAAGATGATTTTTTTTGCAGTCATAAGAGGCTCTGTGGCGCAATGGATAGCGCATTGGACTTCTAGGCTGTCTATGAAAAAGAGATTCAAAGGTTGTGGGTTCGAGTCCCACCAGAGTCGAGCTTTAAACTCCTGAATAAATTTGTATGCATGTAAACATACATAGATATATTTCATAGAGAACTCTGTCAGTTGTTTTTACTTCTGCTTCATAATTCTTTTCTACTTCTTTGTTACATTTGTGAGTTTATAGGTGATGTAAAATAAATGTTTTAAAGCGGAGGACTTTTTACCCTAATCTTTTCTTTGAACGCTTGAAGCCTTACAGTCATGCTATCCGTCTCTGAAACTTAAAATCATCCACAAACCAACAGTGATGCTATTTTGACTCTCATCAGCCTGTTGACACAGCACTTGCGATGGTAAATCCTGTATTCTACCATCAGGGACAGTTTGCATATCCAACACTGTCAAGCTTTGTTAAACCCCCCCTACATTTCAACAGCATGTTTTGGACATTTACCAGAAATGACAAAAAGCAGACTTTGCGATCTAAATACTCCAAACCCAGATTCTGACAGGGCTTGAACCAATTATTAATGCAAAGACTCGCCCATTGTACTTGCTTCAGCCAAATCTAAAAAAGTTTCTGCCTTATTGAGTCAGTAGGTCCTTATAACCACAAAGAGCTCTGATGTGTTTGGCCAGAAACAAGAGCATGTTGATTGTGAGTCTTTGGGGACCTGTTTTCAATATCATGCAGTCTCTTTAAACAAAACTCATGTCTTACAAACCATGAACCCTTTATAGTTTATTTACTCTACCTCTATAAATAATTTCTGCACTTCATGGCCCCATAGTTTGACCCACTTCTTAAACACTTCAACAGACACTGTTTTTTTTAAATGAAATGTAGAAAACAGGACATAAAACTGGAGACTGATATTCTTTGTGTCTGTTCAGCATCCTGTCAAACTGCTGAATAAACTAGAATATTTAAGGGATGAAGCGTGTTGTGAGTCTGTGAGACGACGCTGAGGGCAGAAACCCAGGAGGCCTCTCTCTGTTGGTGATCTCATCTAAACATGAACCCAATACAGGCCGAAAAATGTAAACACAAGCAGACACACACAGATACTGTAGCTCGTCATATTTGAGACTATTTGTGGCCTGAAGAACCGCAGACTCCTCTCCGCACAAATATGACTAATAATTGTAATTATTTTTGAGATCTTGACTAGAGAGCATGGAGTCCTGTTTGAACACAGCAGAAGCAACTGAAGGAGATTTATCTCTTTTATTTCCACTTTCAGTGATTTTTGGGATGTGAACAATGGAAATACATAACCATCATCAAAATGTCAGGAAGCATTTAAGTCCATAACACCCTTCATGTGCTTTTCATTGGACTACGTATCAGCAATCCCACCACCAGAGTCTTGTCTTAGAGCACTGTGAGTCAATGGTCACAATGTTTGATTAGATTTCAGTCCCTTTCTGTCAAATGGACTTGACCAAAGCACCCTGGAAACCTTTTCTTCACTCAAAATCTGTTTGTTTCAGACATAACATATGAGCGTGGACATTGAGTGGCTCTGTGGCGCAATGGACAGCGCATTGGACTTCTAGTAATGCCAGTGAGAAGGTATTCAAAGGTTGTGGGTTCGAGTCCCACCAGGGTCAAGTCTTATAGGCTTGGACACCCAGAGCATGTGGTTGAGCACATTATTGGGCTTTAGAAACCTCTGTGACAACTTCCTACTGTAGTAAAAAGGTTCAGGACTCTGTGGTGCAATACACAGCATGAAACTTAAAAGTATTGAGTAGAGTTGTTAAAAGGTTAGGGGTTCAACTTTCACCAAAGGCAAATCACAAATGCTTGAGCCATCTGTCTTATTTGGGTTTCCTGGATTCAGAGTATGGAAACAGCATTGAAAACTAATTCCAGTTGAGGAAGCTGTGACCTTTGCCCTTGACCTCTTATACCTACATGAGCTTGGGTTGAAGCTGGTTCTCCTGTGAAGCCCTGTGGAAGTGAAATAATGGAGTCAAACAATGTGAGGAAACTGGACCGTTCGACAGCTCTGACTGTTTCATTTAATCTATGCCGAGGTGCGTGCTCGGTCTCTCCGGTTACTGCAGCAACAAGATAGGTGTCTCTCTCTCTCTCTTTATCACACACACACATACACACTGCTGTTATGATGTAAGTGAGAGTCTTGGTCAGCTTCCATAGACAGCCACTAGGGTGTTTGTGTGTGACAAACTGTGTTTGAGGCGGATGCACCTGGAAATACCTTTGTAGGTGATGATGACATATGCACACTATCAAACCCACACGCACACACACGCCTCAGCATTTTCCTCTTTTATATTTAAGTGCTGACATTCAAGTCCTGATGGACCTATCACTCGGTGTGTGTGTGTGTGTGTGTGTGTGTGTGTGTGTGTGTGTGTGTGTAACCGTAGGCTTGGTTAACCACAGCGTTGGACCTGATCCACTACCCTGTCTCTGTCCTGTGTGTCCTCTTACACACAGTCCTCGCTTTTTTTAAAGCCTTTTAGTCAGTGACCCTATAAACCTAAACTCTTACTTTCTTTTCTGCACATGCTGAGTATTGAGAACTGATTTGTTAGTTTTGGTTAATTGCAATAACAGGCATTGAAAGTTGAGGTAAGTTAGTGCGCGTTCACAACACCCTATAAATACCAAATACCAAAAATACCAAATAAACAAACTCTGGTCCGCCTGAAGAGGTGGTCTCGGACCATTATCAAGAGAACTCTGGAGCAGTTCATTTCTGGTGTGAACGTCATCCACACCAATCACAGGAAACACACCACACACATCTAGGCTATTTGTAATGCTGGTTGTGAATAAATGTTGTCCTCTCACCTCACTTGTCCCAATTGACAACAGCGAGAAAACACATCGTGGTAGGCTCTCATTAATGCCTGTCGCCATCTCGTCTTTATCCGTCTGTTGTTTGCAGCACGTCTACTCCAGAATGTATTAATTAATGCTGCAGTTCGAGCTTGCTGGCTAACGAGCCGTTCATACGCGCGTTCGACTAGCGTCTTTTGATACGGGCTCCAGATGAGTAGCAAAAGCAAAATCAGCCTACAATGCTCCATGACAGACAGCAGAGCGGGGTTTGTATTCCCGCATAAACTAATGACCAATAACCGAACGATATTCGCGGTCATGTGACTTCAGGTTCCGTTTTCTGGAGTGATTGAGCTTGTCCTTTGTGAATACAAACCAGACCAGTTAAACAATCAAAAGAAATGTATCGTCTTGCCTATAGGTGTGAACATGACCTTAGTCTCAACAGGACTTGTGTTCTACTGGATAGGAAGTCTGACTTCATATTGTAACATAGAGTTGGAGAGAAGCTTAGCCATGAATGCTATTACCCTTGCTCTGGCATGAAATAAAGTTGCGAGGCAGGAGGCAAATTGGAGGAATTTCCACACTCAACATTTATTCCCAGATACAAACCATTCAAGGCAGGTCTCACGGTGTAAACTATAACCCTCAACAAAATGATAAACAAAGAACAAAGATGTTCGCGACTTGCAGCCTTCACCAGCGTCCACATTACTGAAGTCAAGGAAGTCGACTTAGAGAGAAGCAAGAGTGATACCAAGTGACAAAACAAAGGGAGGCACCACCATGTGACGTTAACTGGTAATGTTCTGTTATACTCTGGCTGTTACAATATGTGGTCAGTGAACGTCTCAAGTCCTTTTAATGCTCTGTGTGAAATTACATGATTGGTACAATACCACCTGAAACCATACAGGGAAATATGATACACACAGTGTGTTAAGATGGGATATCTCACAATCATTATGATACGATATAACAGAAAACAAATTACAATACATCCAAAACTCTACCCCTTACCTCCTCACCCACACTGGTTCAGACGACCACATCACTCTAGTCCTCTAAGGCCCGAACTACACGAAGGCGGATATATTTCAAACCGCACATATTTATGTCCAATTAGGCCTCCCTACCACACCAAACCGGGAGTTTGGAGCACTCAAACTGGATAAATCTGAATCCGGAAAAACAAGCGGAGAAATAAAAAAAAATCCGTATCCCGTATCCGCAGAGGATTCGTGTGGTCGGACTTTTAGGGATCGATGACGTCAAACCGCAGCTCGCGCATGCGAATTAAAAACAAAAACAATAACAACAACGATGGCGGACATACAGGGTATTCTTTACGTTTGTTTCGCCCTTTTGGGGCTAATTTCAGCCTTGAAAGTGAACCTTATTTCATACAATTACATCCACCAGTCAGCCAGCTCACAGAGGCGTCTGCTGCGCCCAATATTTTTTTGGAGAGCAATCGTAATGTTAACGTTAGGCGTTTTAAAGTTCGCCAGAAGCGTAAGTTTTGGGTCAAGTGGTGGGACAACTTCGTTAGAGGGGCTGTGCCTGCAGATGAATGGAAGCTAAACTTCCGATTCATCGGCCAATCAGGTAGCTTTGTTCCTGAATTTTTTTTAAGCGGCACCAGATAGGATTGAGTTTGAAGGCTACGTGTGGACGCAGATATTTTTGAGAACTAACACGTGTGGACTGGTACATTTATTTAGACGGGGGTGCAAAAATATCCAGATAAATAAATATCCGCCTTCGTGTAGTTCGGGCCTAAAACTGTCAGTGGCTTCCTGTTCACCAGCACATTCAATTTAAGATCCTTCTCCTCACCTTCAAGGTCCTCCTTAACCAGGCATCTCCTACCTCACCGATCTGCTTCACCCTGACACTCCTTGGTCTGTGTACTTGGTGGCCAACAGATTTTTGTTTTCAAATAATAATAAAAAAAATCGGGAGATAAGCTGTCTCTGGACGACCAGTAAAGTAACAGGGTCGAAAAACGGAAAACAGACCATTTTTGTCTTGCCCATAAAAATTGGAGAATGGAAAAATATCTCAATATTTGACTTTCTGTGAGGTAGAAATCGAAGATCAAAATACGTGCTTGGAAATCAGCAGACACAGCCTGGAGCATTTTTCATTCACTCATTACTTTACATGACATTGCTGGTGACTGTATAAACACAGATTTTTCTCCTGCACAAACTTCAGACATTTTCGGTCTTTGTCTAAAAAGAGAGTTTGAAATAGGAAATTTTTTACTTTTAAACAGTTCCCCAGTGACCAGATTTTAACCTCAAACAGGCCTTACTTTTTTCATCCTTTACTATCTTTTTTCACAAGATACTCATTAAGTGGGAATTGATAAATGTTATCATTGGATGTAAGCTGCTGTTTTAGTCTGGCTATGATAAGATAAATATGTCTGCACTGAAACATGAAGGATAGAATTTGAAACTGGATGTTTGATCAGCTGGGACTCGAAAGTTTGATGTTAATAGCTTTATTGTGAACCTGTTACTTTTTTGATAAGCAAGATGGTTTATTTGAGCCTAAACTGGTGTCAGGTCTGATCCACATTTCTACTATTTTTTGGCATTTAATGGACCAACTACTAGACTTATGATAGTGAATGAAAAGTTTATCCCATAATAACACATTTCTGCCTCTGTGGACTGACCTTCTACAGTCCCCTGGGAGTTGTAACAGCTGAGAAAAAAAAGAGTGTTTACTTTGAATTAAGAATGGAAGAAAGACACAAAAGATTATTTGTACTGGTCCAGTTTGGGGGAAACATGACTTCATGTTTTCTCTTGTTTGTATAAATATTTTCCCATAAAGGTAATCACATTTAATCAATTTAGTTTTGGTTTAATTTCAAGTAAACAGTTTTTTTTTTATGGCCGGGCTAAAAAAGGAACACTTAGTTCAGGCTCCTTTAAGGGCCCTGTACATGATCAGCAGGTGTTTTTACGCACAGTAAAGGGATTTTAACCTGCAACCTGCAAACCAGCTCTGCATCTGGCTTCTATTGCTGACTCCCCCCAAACTCACCCTCACCCCCACAAGTCCTCACTCCCCTCCCCACCTGACCCACATCTCAGCCATCCTGCAGACAGCTGCAGAAACACTCGTTTGGACGCACAAAGGACTAATTGGGTCAATCTGTGTTACTGTATCAATGACTTTGTAGGAGGCCGTTATCCTCTCGTAGACACACACACACACACACACACACACACACACACACACACACACACACACGTATGCACATGTACACACACAAACATGCACACAGCAGTTTAGAGAAAAGACCACATACTTGTCCCCCAGCCAAACATTACATATGTCCTCACTCTTTTCACACAAGAAAGGAGAAAATTCTTTTAAACAGACCCCCCCTCCTCTTCCTCCTCCTCCTGTTCCTCCTCTCTGCTGTTCCTCCTCTCTCCTGTTGAATGGGGAAGAGTTTAAAGGTTTCTCTCTTTGGCCTCTTTGTGTCTTAAATCTCTTTGTGCCACTTTTATGTAGAAGAAAGAAACAGTAGGGGAACAGTTGCTTTGGGATGTGAACACAGAGAGTCAGTGTGAACACTAAAAGGACTTTTCCCACTTTTTCAGGTTTCTACTTCCTGTGACATCATCGCACCATGCCTGAGGGGTCACGGCGAGGCAGCCAGAGATCGCCTAGCAACTCAGGTAAGGGGTGGAGCTTGCACTGTTGAGTATTTCCCATGTTTTGATTGAGAGGCTGTGCCCCCTTCCAGCGACTTTGTTTTCCTTTCTTTTGAACTGTTTTCAGTCCAGGACTGTTTTTGAAGCCCTCAGTATTTTCCTGCCAGTCTGGTCCCCTTAAAAGTCCTCATTATTTTGGCCAATCACGTACCGGATAAAAACCTGGACTGTGCCATCAAAAAACATTGATGAGAATTGTTTTAATATGATATTGTCTAACTCTGGCGTTTTAAGTTGTTCGCTTCAATCAGTTGGTTTTTCAGTGTTTCAGATTATCAGACTGACTCGCTGGTCTTTGCACTAATGGAAGGATGAGTGAATGAGACCAAAGAAAGATGGATTGATGCGTGGGTGGAGAGTAAAATGAAAAGAGGGTTTAATGTTGGATAGATGAATTGAATATTAAAAGAATGATAATTACAATAATGTTTGAATGATGGATAAAGAATGGATGGGTGAAAGAATATAAAGATTTGAGGATGGACAGATGGCTAAACCGGCAGATGGATAGATGCATGGATGGGTAGATGATGTGATGAATTGTTGGATGATGATTGATGGATGAAGGATGGATGAATGCATCGAGGGATAGGCGGATGGATGAATGTATGGATGAATGGGTGGGTGGGTGGATGGATGGTTGAATCGCAGATTGATGGACAGATAAATAGAGAGAAAGATGGATGGATGAGAAATATTGAGGAGTGGATAAAAGAATGAATGCATGAGTTCGAATGAGGAAATAATGACAGATACATGGATGAATAGATTCATGGATGGATAGATGAATAATGGATGGATGTGTGAATAGATATTAGACCAGAAGATGGATAAATGGATGAAAGAACAGATGAACAAATAAAGAGCGGGGAGCTGGATGAATGAAGTGGTGAAAGGATGGATTTGTGGACTGGTTAATGGAATTTTTTGGACATAGGAATAGACTGATTCAAGGATCATTAAACGGATTGATAAATAAACCATAACACTAGATATCAGGAATGAAATATGATTACTGGATTTATTTTGAAAGTTATTGATTTAAGTGAATTAAAATGAAATCAAAACTTCTATAAGACTGTGTTTCTTCAAATTTCACTGTCAAGATTTTTCCCTGTTTATATGACCTCTAAATGAGTCAGGACTGGATTAATTATTTAAAGAAGAAAAAGGACATACAGAGGCAGCATTTGGGGAGCTCAGACAGCCTTTTACTCTTTGACACAGTCGGCTGTTTGTTTGGATTTTTCCCATGAAGCTGGAGTGCATTTAAAGTTATTTTAACTCCATTTATTTCTGTTGAAAGTCTCCACTCAACTTTCTCTCTGAGAGCTGTGACTTCCTGTTACCAACCCGGAGCAGAATGACCTGCTATTACACACACACACACACACACGCACGCACGCACGCACGCACACACACACACACACACACACACACACACACACACACACACACACACACACACACACACTCATAGAGGCCCAGTAATGATGTGTAATTACATACAACCACCATGCTGTTTGGTTGCTCGGCTGTTATATTGGCTTCTATAGTTAGGATTCATGGACACACACACATGAAAACACACATGATAACACACCAGGACACACTGCAATTATCATAAAGGCAACAGATTTATACACAAACACAAACACACACAGTTTGTACACACAGCACTGATTGTAACTTTCACTGAGTGCAGGAAGTTGTATGGTTTGTGGTGATAAAGTGCAGCTCTGAACAATGTTACTGCCTCAACACACACAGACACACACACACACACACACACACAATAAAATGCCGCAGTAGATCTGTTGATTATAACCATAGAAAGGAACGAAGCAGAAAATAGAGAGAACGCCCAAGATAAGGCTGGAGAAAAACGACTTGATGAACGATAGAATAGAAACAGAGGAAGAGGAGGAGAAAGAGGAGAAAATAAGGCAAGTACCAGACAGAGGAGAAGGAGAAAGTGAGGAACAATGTTAGCACCAGTTGTGTTCTGCTCTGTAATTGGCTGGTTTCTGACGTCTTCCTTGTTCCTCCTATTCCTCTGATAACAAACAGACAGAAGAAACAAACCAGGCTGACTGTTTGGACTGAAAACAAGCAGCACAAACAGTTTTATCAGGAAAAATGTGCAAATACAGAATCAATGCACCACAAATGCAGTAACTGAATTAATCTGCAAATGTAAAAGATATTTTGCTGCAAAATGACAAAACATCTCCTGACTACATTAGTTTTGACTTCATGTCCTAAGGTCAAATCACGCCACTTTAACATCTTAACAACAAAGTCGGTGGAGATTGTGATGGGAAATTAGCAGATTGTTTAAGGGAGTTCACTGCAAGAACAAATGTAAACACAAGAAAACTGTGAGGATGTGCGTGGGTGTTGAATGGCAAACCTCAATGAAGAGGTCAAAGGTCAAGGAGGGAGTTGGTAACATCAGTCCTCTATACTGTAAACCATAATGAAAGGGGATTAACTTCCTGTCTGTGTCTTAAAAACAAGGGAATTTATGTAGGTTATCTGCAAAGAAACACACAAACATGTCTACCATACCAACCAGGAACTCTCATGTTTTTATGGTCAACCGGGGACCCCCGATTCTGATCATTTTTAAAACTTTCTTGCATGCACACCTACACACACACACACACACACACACACACACACACACACACACACACACACACACACACACACACACACACACACACACACACACACACAGCTCATAATTTTAACAAGGGACTCTTGTGGTTTTTGTGGTCAACTGCAGATCCCTGTTTCCGATCATTTTCAAAACCTGTACTCATCCACATTAGTAATCTGGTGTAGTCTGTTTCTGTAGAGCAGAAAATGTACTTCAAAGTTTAACTTTTGCTAAAAATGTTGCTTTTTTCTTTTCAGAAGTTTACAAGAGGAGGGGTTTAGGCATGAGTGATGTTTACCTATCAAACAATTCTGCTCTTGGGCTTTATGCCTTTGTTTTAGTTGTTTAAGCTAAGTGTAAGTCAATTAAGATGGGCTGATAACAAATAACTCACCACTACTATATTTAATGGTCACACATAATTGCATCTTGACTCTGCAACACCTAAGTAAACTAAAAACAAGTGCAGGAGGAAGCAGAATTGAGGAGCGGGAGTGGTTTTGCATGCAAACCTCACCTTTTCTGTGCATCACCATGGAGGTATATTCAAAACTTCATTTGTTGAAGCAGATTTTTCTGGGTAGGTGAGCTACAGAAACAATTCAGAGCTTTTATGGTTTCCATGTTCTCAGGATTGCCTTCGTGGAACAGGATGACTAAAGTATAAACTGTATAAATAGGTTAAGAAGACTCTGTTTTTGATGAAATATACCTTAAAACAAATCCTCAGCCAAGTTACCCTTCTGCTGTCAAAAACATCCTGGAGAGTGTCATGAATTTATACAAAGTGAAGAAGAAGTGCTGTGTCCAAGTGCTTAAGGTCCTCACCATCAGCAGTAGCAGCATGTTTGTTTTGTCAGAGGGACTTTGAAAGACCTGACCTCAGAAACCAAACCCTCTGATCCTCCACTTGTCAAACACTCCCTGACTGTTTTGGTCTCAGAGTCTCTGATGCGGTCTGCTGATCATCCTCTCAATCTAAACTCCTCTTCATCTTCCTCGCCACTCGTTCTGCCTCGTTGAGGTTTCTGGATGTGTGTGCACAGGGTTTTCCTCCAAGATGCTGAGTGATCTTCTGACTAAGGCCTGCACCATTGACATGGAAATTTATTTTTTTGTTAATTGCAAACAGCTGAAATTCAGAACAAGTATGCCTTATTTTGCCAATACACAACTCTGCACAACTGTGCAAAAACATGAAGTTCTTCCTTCTAAGTGGTGCACATCTGTTATTTGGGAAATACAGTTCACCTCACCTATAAGTTGTAGTTGCGTACATAGACTGAGGAAAGCTCATCCTCATCCTCGTGTTGCATTTTGATGCAAAGCTCCACCAACAGGCTGAGATTTGATCTTTTCTCAGAAACGTTGGTGCTGTAACCTGTTACATCACTGTCAAACACATAATGACAGCTAGGAGCTGCTCTCTTATTACTGTAATCACACACTCGCTGGAATTTACTCCACCTTGTAGTTTCATGGCGTGTGTTTAAAGGGGAATTCCACCAAAAAAATGCTCTCACAGCTCACTTACTTTAGGCTGGATTTGAGTATGTAAGACAGAAATAGTTTCGTATTTAGGTACATGACATCCTGAGTGTAACGCTACAGTATCAGATTAGTAAATCTCATCATATTGGATGGATGGATTCAAGGAAGAAAAGCACCAAAATGACCCCTGAACACTTAAGAATCAAAGCTAAGAAACAAAAATGTGAGTTTATCAGTCTTGAAATCCTAAGATCAACACATTTCTCTATCCTTTGTCTAATTTTTGCTCTGAATAAAATAATTAGATGTCTCTATGTACTCTGTTTTCTCTATACCTACAATTAAAGATACTTTTATCATAAAGAAAACAAATTGAAAACTCTAAATATTAAGATCATTGTTTCTCTGCATCTGTTACCTGAACTATGAGACACCCTCCTCTCTCAGTGTTTTCATGATTTCAGCCCCAGATTAACAGTCCCTCTCACTCTTACATAACAGAGATAGAGTTCCTCCTGTTGTACAATTACAGGTTCATGTTCCTGTCACATTTTACAATTTTGGAGTGAGGAAATGAGCAGGCGGCATGTTGTTTGAAGACTCTTCACATGTTTAAGGAAAACCAAGACCTAAAGACATGATGACAGAGTTTCCCAGGGAACAAACTTGGGTCCAAGGTTATTATCGTTAAATAAAACAAAATGAGTAAATGACAAAAATTTAAATTGAAAGAAACATTTGTGTTAACTAAAATAAATAAAAACTATAATTAAAAGAAAAACAATCTGACACTGTATTGTGTGTTCACAAAACTAACTGAAGCGTATTGAAATTATAGATAAAAATTCCTTTGTTTTTGTTTTTGTCAATTTAGGATTGATATGAAAATGATTTATTTTGCTCAAGCAATTGTCTGTGAGCTAGCAGCACTGTATGGCACCTCACAGGTCATCACTTCTTGTTTAGAGTCGGCGTCTCATCACCATTTTACCTGGCAAAATGGCGACAAAATTGGGAGAAAGCAACGGCATCTTATATCATATTTCTTTAAGTACAACAGCGAGAAAGATAAAAGCAAAAGCCTTGTAGTAGAAACTGGTGAAAGATACATCTTGTGGATGCAATAGGACCCATCATCAGTGATGTATCCTGGAGTCACTGGGTGTTGCGGGTCTTTAATCATCAGACACCCTCACCCATGCAACCCCAACTCCAGATATGGGTCAGGTGATCTTTCTAAACTAATAATTTAGAAAAAATAATTACTAATAACAACAAATAAACTCACTTTAAAAACGAATTCAAACTAACTGAATTAGAGAATTAAAAAAAATTCAAACGAAACAAAATGAAGCTATAATGGAAAATCCAAAACTACTGTAACCTTGCTTGAGTCTTTCATGATTGTGATCATAGGTTTATCGAGACTGGAGTATCCTAAGTGAATTACCTGTGTCCAAACAGTGCCATGTGTAATGACAATGAATTAGTTTGATAAGAACCTAAATTTACTGAAATTTAAAGACTTTTAGTGGGACAGATAAAACTCAAAGTCTCAGTACAGTGGAAGCTTAGAAAAAAACTTTGAATACAGTTCAGAAAGCTGCCTAGCATGGTCAGACCTTCAGGTTTCAACACTTTGTCAAGGGGAAAATCTGTCTGCATCTGTCATATCAAACCCTCACAGTTGTTTTTTTATATCCTGAGAAATCTGATCAGGTATTACAGAACAGTTGTGGCCCTGCATTGGGTAGGGTGGGTCTAGACTTCTGCAGAATACTGTGTGTGTGTGTGTGTGTGTGTGAGAGAGAGAGAGATACTGTCTGTGTGTGTGCAACAAAATACACCAAACCACATCCTGTGCCATCCTTTGAGTCTGGTAAGCTTCACACACTCTGTCTTCTCTGCCTTCTAACACACCTACACTTTATAACTTCATGTGGAGACCCTATTTGATAACCCATGGCCTTAAAACTGTAACCTAAAGCAGATTCTGTTACCATAAAACCCACCAACAGGCTCAATCACCTGAATTCATGTGTCTTTGTAGTAGCAGAAAACTCAAATAGGTCCTCATAAGAGTGGCAGTGCATGAGTGCAGATGCACATGCTCACACACCCAAAAACAGGAAATCAGACTTGTTCAGATATTTTTTTTATGTTCCGGTCTGAGTGTGACTGACAGAGTCCTCAGTCAGTCTGTAACTGTGAACGCTGTGGATCTCACTGGTTAACAGCAAACATGTTCATCAACTGACGGACACACGGTCATAGAAACGAGCGCAGTGAATGTAAGTACATCTACTGTCACTCTTTATCATAGAGGTAATTTATTTCTGCCCTAAAGTAGAAATCTAATTTGGTGAAACCTGAAGCTTGTTTTCTTGTTTGTTGTACATACACAGAATAAAGTTTTTTTTTTTTTTTTACTGGATCAAAATACATCAGCAGCTTTGTAACTAAATTTAAGTGTTAGGTTGTTTTTGTTCACTTAAATTTAGATGAGAGACAGATGAGATTCGCACAAACAAACAAGAAGCCGTAAAATCTGTTTAATTACTGTATTTAATTGCAAGGATGTTGTAACACTTAAGGAGACATGTAAAAGCAAGGTGCTCAAACACTCATGGAGCTTTAAAATGAAGAGAGTGTGTAACTACCAAAAACTGCAGTTCCTCAAATGTCCACTGGAGGCTGTGTCTGAAAGTGAGTTAGTTCCCATAGAGTGTCATGTCAGAATTGTTTGCTCTTTGTAACTCATTTCTTTGTTCATGGAAACTGACCTTGCCCGTTCAACTGTTAGCCTGGTATAAAGTATGAAATCTCATTTTTTAAACCTTTTTATACTCCAATAATGGATTTTTATGCTATGCTCACGACTTTCAATGTTTTGATTATGACTTTTTTTCTTTGTTTAACCCCTTTTTCCCAAGAGTTATGACTTTTATCCTGTTAATATTACAAATGGCTTTGATATTCCATTAAATATGCTTTTTGGATTCATTTTTATCTTACAATAAAAATATTTCTAGAACAACTATGACTATTTTATTATAGATATAAAACAGTCCATCCTATTGTCGTGGCGCACAGTCATAAGTGATTTTATCTTGTAGTTTTTGTATTTTCATTTTTCTTTCAGTCATTTTAATGGTTTTCTATTTACAGCGTCAATAATCTGAATCTAGATCTTTTCCTGATTTTGAGTCTCTTTGTGAAAGTTTCAGCTGATGTAATGATGATGGTGATGGTGTTTCGAGGTCGGCACTCACCCATGTCGACACTATTTAAAACATGAAGATGGAGTCATGGTGGTTTCATCCTGGAGCAGAGCCAGACATGATAAGAGAGACAGGGGGTGGAGGTGGGGGGTTGAGGGAAAGAAAATTACAGTGATCTCACCGGGAATAAGGACTGCTTGGCCCCTTTAGACGTACATGGTTACGTCAATTGTCAAATTCCTGCCTTAATGAGTAGTTTTCAGTTAGAGTCACTGCAGACCTGAAACTGTGGAGTCAGACCTGACACTGTGACACAAGACTAAACTGAGCAACTCATAAACATAACGGCTGAAACACTGAACACAGAGATCGTTGATTGACCTCTTTTTCTGCCTTTTTAACAACGTTCTATCATCGGCTTTCACACGCAAAGAGAATAAAGTCAGTTCAATAAGGCAGGAAAGTCTAAGGAGCCAACTCTATGGAAGGAGATTTTTCTCATGTCAGATTTAAATACTTGAAATGAAATCCAGGCAGACACACTGATGTTTCTAATTAGTGCGTTTCCTGCAGTCTGACTTTTTCATTGTGTTTTTGGCTGAAAATGCTGATTCACTAGCTTAATTTTGTTTTGACAAAGATTTAGAGCAACAATTACGAATTTTTTTCCCCGAGTTAGAGTTGAAATGCTGTCTTTTTAAATCTGCACCACATTTATTTTGCATATTTTGAGGTCTAATGACTAAAAAATATTGGAAGGTGCATGAGTAGATTACTCCAGCCTGTGGCTGTAAAACATGCTGCAGTGTAATCCTTTGGGACAAATGTTCCTCTAAAGTTTTTGTTTTTGTCCCTGACAGGCTCAGATTGGTAATCTAGGTGTCTGAAGCATTACTGAAGGGATCCCAAAAGAAAAGGACTTTGTGTAACCAGTAACTTTAGCTGCAATGGTCTTTCAAGTTGTAAAGGACTTTATTAACGGGAGCAATAATTGGACCTGACAGGAGTTGCTGCTCTACCTCTGCTCTGATTCACCTGCCTTTTTTGCTGTTGTGTGCCGGAAAGTTATTGAGTTTGATGCAGCCAACACACCAAATAATATAATAATATTATTATTGTTATTATTAATAAAATAATAACAAAACTTTATTTGTATAGCACCTTTCTAAAAACAGTTGTCACAAAGTGCTTCACAGTCATTAAATTAAAAAGGGTAAGACAAAAAGACTTAAAAATCAACAAAAAGTACACTAGTACACTACTCTGGTCCGGGGGACAACCAGGAAACCCTGGTCAGAGGATCTTAGTCCTACTGGAGCTATAAGGCTCCAGCAGGTCTCTGATATATGCTGGAGCTTGTCCATGCAAAGCTCTGCAGACAAAAGACAGGACAAAAAATGGTTATGTCACCTCTTAGGACATGGGAGTTTGTGATCCCCTTCACTGGTCAGTTGAATTACAAACTTTCAAACCAGGTGAAGCTGGTACAGCAGTGTCTTAAAGCCACCAGACTCCATCTGCAATATCAGCATTTTACCTCACAAAGTTTTGGAGTTGTTGGTCTACATCTAGTTTTGTTAGTTTGATTGCGCTAATTTGTTTTGTGAAAATAGTTAAGTCAAAAGTTCTTCATTGTTTTTTCCCCTGACACAAGTGCTCAGACTTTTATAAAACATGGTTTCTTACAGCTCAAATAAGCTTTGGTGAATGTCTGTATCTGGAACAGTTTAGTCTTAAATAGACTTGCCTTTCATGTCTGTAGTCACAATTTGTTCTGTAGATTAATAATATTTATCATTCTCATCAACATTTAGTTGTCTTTATAAGCTTGTTTTCTTCATAGATACTTAATATTTCTACTTTTGTACATCAGTCTGTGTAGAAAGGAAGCTCATTAGAAACAGGATGCATGAATGAAGGCAGATACACACACACACACACAACTACCCACACCCACACACGCGTGCGCGCACACACACACACACACACACACACATCCTGACTGACTCACCCGTTTGTGATGTCGGATGAGAACTGAAGCCTGTTTGAATGCCATGTCTAAATAAGGCACTAAACTGCAGATCTGTGTGTGTGTGTGTGTGTGTGTGTGTGTGTGTGTGTGTGTGTGTGTGTGTGTGTGTGTGTGTGTGCGTGTGTGTAGTTTAGAGAAAAACAAGACATTGTCCAAACACACACAACAATATAATAATACATTTTTAATACTTGAGTATTGATAATAGATATGCATTATTTTGTTATCTTGTGATAATGGGACAATTTCTCTTGTTTTCTTGGAATAAACTGTCTCAAGATTTTAAACATCCAAACATAAAAAGATTCTTACTTGGCTTTATTTTGTGGATAACACTCAGTAAAATCATTCCCAGTCACTGGGCCTCAACAAACAGCAAATCAAGCGTGCATGCTGCTACACTAGATGCTTATTTACTGTAAGAAATGATCAGAGGAGGATGTTTCTGTGCTTGGGCTGCAGAAATCAAGGGTATTTTCAGACATTACCTGCTTTTCTGTTAACTGATAGGTGTGGATGCCCACTCTAGGTTTTACCACAATTAAAGTCTGAAATGTTAAAAACCATTTTTGAAGAATAATTTTTCAGGAAGCTGCTGCATACACATTACAAATAAGGATTCCAGTCAAAATAACACACTAGCTGTAAAACCCCCTTAAACTCTGCTCAGTAAATTAAAGTCCCAATGTTTATTTAGTGATCTGGTCCAAAGCTCTTTCTTCAACCCAAGACTAACCTGATTTTTCTGACTGCGGTCACCACGAGACAAACAGGCGGGGGGGTTGTTGGGTTTAATCTCTCGATCCACTTGACTCAAACAAGATTTCTTGAAAATGTTATGGTTTTTTTTTTTTTTAAATTAAACCTTCATCATCTCCTCATGTGGAACAAAGAACAACAAGTCTTTAAACCACAGCTCTGCCCCTCTCACCATGTGTTCATACCACATGTATTAGGAGGTGAAGAGCTTTACAAGACTGCTGGCAGCTGTTAAAGTGATTCCTGTAAGAACCTGTACCGTTAGGAGTTAAAGTAAGGAGGAAAAAAGAGGACCTTATGGGTGCATATAGGAAAATGTTCTCAGTTAACACTCTGTGTTCGGAAATTCCTCCTGCCAGGACGTCTGGAATTTAAGCACTAATGAACTTTAAACACTTCTGCAGCACTCAGGACAGGTGTGTTTGTGTCTGAGGGGAAACTGCAAGTGATATGATTACGGGGTGTCAGGAGCTGTAACGAAGGGAAATTGTATGATTATGTTTTTAAATGTGGCAGAATGTGTTTTATGAGAGGAGAAAAGTAGGAAATTTTCAGCCCAGAAAGTGGAAACTGTCAATCTGGATACTCGTTAAAGACATGTACACGGTGTCAGTGAGGCTGGTTAACATCAGGGTCATTCAGAGAACAAAGGCAGAAAGGAAGGAGGTGATTTTTTTTAATCTGAAAATGAGCCTATTCATCAGCATTAGGCTTTAATTTGTCCAATTTTAAGGCTCAAACTGTCCCATGTTGCATGGCAGCTAGATAAATGCAGCTGTATATCCCTTCTCCTCCAACATTTCCTCTTTTTTCTTCTTTGCAATAATTGCAGTACAATCAGTTACTGCTCAACATTGCCCAGCTTCAACTCCAACATAATATCATGGATTCAGTTGCCATGGTTACCTGTGCACAAACAGTTGTACCTGTGTAACAACCCTAGAAGTTCCCTCAGTCATCACATGAGTTATAACTCTTCAGTTTTCACTTTTTGATATTTTTAAAGAAAAACTCAAATCTTTTCTGTCTGTGTCTTTGCAGCGACCAAGCGTCCCTCCTCAGTCTCGTCTCTGAGTGGGATTGTGGGTAGGATGATGTCGTCTGGCGATCGAGGAGCCTCGTCCTCCTCCTGCACCTCCGTCAACACTGTCTGCTCTGATGGTGGGCGCCCTGCCTCTCTGTCCCTCTCCTCCTCTGCATCCTCAGTCTCCCTGCAGGAAACGTCCCGCTCCTCCTCCTCCTCTTCCTCCTCCTCCTCCTCCCTGCCATATGGCGCTGTGCCAACCTACAACGCCTCCTCATCATCGTCATCATCCTCCACGCCAAAGAGGAATGGATCAGACATCAGTCTTGATCTGACTCCTCTAAACACACCGCAAGGAGTAGGAGGAGGAGTTTGTGCAGTCAGGGTGTCAGGTGGAGGTCACAACCCTAATGGACATGTGACCAATCGGATGGGAGCAGCAATGGCCTTACCCAGACAGCTCTCCAGGCTGGAGCGAGTGGCTCTGGAGATCGTAGAGACAGAACAGGCGTACGTCAGAGATCTGAAGAGCATTGTGGAGGTAAGAGGAGGAGCTTCACTCATGATACAGGCAGATGATCATCCTGAAGAATTAACCATCAAAACAATTTTAGAATTTTTTCTTCAAGTCTTCAGTAAAACAAGTATTAAACCACCTTAAAATCTGTGTTCGCTAACTTACCACTATTTAAGTGACATGAAGACATATTCTGTAGAGGAGAAAGAGGGAAAGGCAGGAGCTCAGGGGACCAAATCCCCCAGCAGTCTAAACCTGTAGCAGTTTAATCCTACAGAAAACTAAGGCTGTAAGAGTCGAGGCCTCCAGCAGTCCCAGCTTATAGCAGTCTAAATCAAAAGCAGTCCATGTCTGTTGCAGCACACTGAAGAGCTAGTTCAAGCTGGTCAAAGTGGAAAAATTAAGGCCTTTTCATTAGATAAAAAATTTGGAGAGCTCCTTAAAGGAGAGGGTAACTTAAGGCTCTACCTCCTACATTCCTTTTAGTACGACTCAAACATTTGTCCGCTTTAGACCATGACGAGCTTTGCACATCAAGAGAAGGAGAATTTTCCTCACCTCAGATATGAAGCTTCAGTTTTGGAACAATTAAACCTTTCCTGCTCTCTGACTGACTCCCTCTCCTTTACAAACAACCTGGAGACATGTATCCATTAACAACTGGCCATAGAACTGGCAGTATATGAGATCATCAGCAGGAAGTGGTTGTTGACTTTCTCACACACTTCATCTCTGTGCTAACATGAACTACACAAAATTTACAGAAAAAATCATCAGCGACACCAGCAGAGAGAGACAGAGCGTGTGTGTGTGTGTGTGTGTGTGTGTGTGTGTGTGTGTGTGTGTGTGTGTGTGTGTGTGTCTGGGAGGAGCTCACTGTTGCACTGATTTACAGGCCAGGTGTGAATGCCTTTGGGCTGCTTTACCTGCAGCTGGCTTCCATCCACACACACTAACTCACATATTCACTGAAAACACACAATCACCTCCGCCCACTGTTGCATCATGGGCGCAAAGACAAATTCATCGATTGTATTTGGAAGGTAGAATTTCTATTTGTTTACCTTATTTATTTGTTGTCTGAATCTCTGGTTTCTATTTTATTCTCCTCTGCTGTGCCACTAATTTGCCAAATTCAAAACCATAACATCCTCAAAACCAGCACGTTATTAATGAATTTACCCCCAGTCAAGCGTGTGTAGGGAGAAAACATTGCAACGTTGTGCATCCTTTCATAAAAGCAAACTAATAGAAATAATAATGCATCAGATTTCATATAGCGCTTTATCAGAGACCTTCAAAGCGCTTTACAATGGATACATCATTTATTCAGTCACACAGTCACACCTTTGTGGTGGTAAACTACCTTAGATCATACAACAGTGGAGGACACACACTGGGAGCAAGGTTGGGTTAAGTGTCTTGCCCAAGAACACAACGGACAGACTCGGGATAGGGGGGAATCAAACTGCCAACCTGCTGGTTATTGGATGACTGCTCTACCTCCTGAGCTACTGCCGCCCCTACTAGCATGTTATGTAGGAGTTGCAGCTGTTCCTCAAAGGATATGAACTCTTTGGTCACTTTCATACCAGAGTTGTTTGGTCCACTTTAAATGGACCAGAGTTCGCTTCCTCGGATAGTCCGCTTCGTTTGGGCAAGTGTGAAAGCTCATCCAAACTCTGGTGCAGACCAAACAAGGGAAATGTGGTCCACCTGAAAACGTGGGTCTCGGTTTGCTTGCAAGTGAACCCTGGTTTGGTTCGTATTAGAGCATGACATGGGAGCGGATTTTCACTCCTGTCCAGTCCCACTCCCAGAGAAAAAAATCCTGTCCCGTCCCAATCCTGGACCAGCGAAAAAAAATTAATCCCGTCCTGTCCCACTCCCGTAGAATGACTCCCACTCCCATCCCGCTCCCACTCAAAATTACTCCCACTCCCGTCCCGCTCCCGTTTGAATAAAACCAAACATGTTGAAAAAATGTTGCATTTTTTATTTTAGTTAAAAGTGCACTGCATATAAAAGGCATTGCCTTTAAGTTTCAGATGCCTGACATTCGGTCGGTGTAAACAAAGTGCATATATATACAGTCGCGGTTCTAGAATAAATTACTCCCCAGGTGAGACCCCCTCCAAGCCATCTGAGCTGCGCCTCTGAAATCCTGAGGGCCACTTTGAGAAGGGCCTCCAGAACCTGAGGTTTTCTTAACTGTTGAGATTTACAAAAAAGCTGATATCTCAGCTGGACGGGTATGGTGATTTGATTCGCCACGACCCCAGAAATGATTGAAAAACTACAGAATGTCACAAAATGACGTATCCGCGCTCCTGGCTTGAAGGGTAGAAATGCGCAGCCGTGCTCCCGGCTGGCAGGAAGTCAAAACACTGTTGTAGTTCTTTTGTGTTGCTAGCGCGGTCAAGAGTGTTGGCTCTCACTGAGAGATGACAAAAAAATGGACACATCTGTTCATCTAATTGTTCAACACGGCTGAAAATGATCATCTATTAATGTTGTTCCCGCTCCTGCCCACTCCCGTTGCTTTTTTTTCCCGTCCCGATCATGGGATTAATTAAAAAATGACTCCCGTCCCTTGGGATTCCTGCGGGAATCACGTGACCCACGGGAATTCCCGAAAAATGTCATCCTCTAGTTCGTATGCAGTGTGAAAGCTCACCGGACCAAACACAGGACCAAATGAACGTAATGACGCTTTACGCAATGCGTACGCAGTGCATCTTGGGTAGAGGAAGCACAGCGTCACTTGTTGCTATGACAACTGCTGACATTAGCAGTTGCTAGCTAGCTTAGCTGAACCGCTGACATTAGCAGTTGCTAGCTAGCTTAGCTCAATTGTCTGAACAACAACAACCCATAAATTCGCGATTTGGCATATTTAACAAAATCAAATCACAACTACCAACAGTCACAGTCCTTAAACTCTGAGCTCATATGTTGTTACATGTTAGATCGTCAAAGTTAGAAAAATAACAGGATCAATCCCTGACAAGCTACGATAGCATTATAGGAACAGTTGCGTTCACCAACGTTGTAGCATTCCATGAAATAATGTGACGAAGCACGATACAAGGGGACTAGTCCACCCCTGTTTGTAATCTGTGAGGTTACATACCCCTCCTACTTTGTCCAATCGACGAGCGCCCCTTTCAACCATGTAATGCTGCTCAGAAAGTTTGGTGCGCTTTAGAAATCACAGTGTGAAAGCAGAACCGAAACAAGTGATAAATGTAACAATGTTGCGACTTTCAGCTCCCCAATCGAACCGAGTCTGCTTGGTCAGGTGTGAAACTGACCTTTGTGTCTCAAAATGTCCTTAAAAAGTTTAGCTTCTGCTGCTCTGATAAAGAATCAGTCAGTGTTTCATGTCTGTGAGGGAAGGCTCGAGCTCTTTGTGGAGTGAAAACCTGTTTTTTTTTTTCTTTCAAACGGAGTTCTGAATGAGAAATAGTTTTGGAGAGAATTTGCTGAGTCGATTGTTTGATTGTGTGAGTTTCATCCATCATTGGTCCAGGTGCAGCAGGAGTCAGCCAGGCGTGGTGTGTGTGTGTGTGTGTGTGTGTGTGTGTGTGTGTGTGTGTCTCCATCTGTCCGGCTGGAGTGTGAAACATGCTTTTGAAGTGAAAGAGAGAATTTACTGCTGCTTTCATCCCCTGCCATCACACACACACATGCGCACACACACCTTTGTGGCTGGCCTGTCATCAGGTGTATCAGCTGTCTGTCAGTTTCTTCCCTCCGACCTTCTTCAGAGGTCGATCCTCCGGCTCTCTCTCTCATCACCACATCTTTCTTCTTCTTTCGTAATCCTCCTCCTCTCCTCCTCTCTCTGTTTTCCTCCACACTCAGAGGTCAAATTTTAAATCTCAAAATGACTATTATCCTGCTTTTTAGGTAAAATGATGACTCTGATCAACTCTTGGTTGGTAAAAGAAACAAAATTATGAGCTGTGTTTTGTCTAAACAGCTTCTATACAGCCACTTGTCAATCAACCTAACCACGGCCCTAATTATGCTAATCTATGTATAACTCTTTGCTCAGGCTGAATCAAAACAGACGAGTTTTACGAGTGTTTTCCTTGCACAGTGTGTACGAATGATAAAATGAGCTACACACCAAAAACCATTTCTGTACCAGAGTTTAAACTTGTTCACTTCAACCATAAAGATGAACATTTTAACATGGGGCTCTATGGGGTCTGAATTACTGTTGGAGACAGCCTGAAGTGGACACTGGAGGTACTGCAACTTTTTACACATAAACAGTTTTACTGTTTGTGACCATATTGATCTTTCTAGATATACAAACATTCAGACATACCCGATAATCTGGGTAAAAATAGGTTTTTGTAACTGTAATTTTTAATCTCATTTTATGTCCCTTATGTCATTTAAAAAATGTATTTCTATTGGGATGACTTAAGTTTCTCTAAATTACATACCACTAAAACTTGAAATGAATGTGTTGCTTTAAAGTATAAAGTCCATTAAAATCAAGTCAGTCTCTGGTGTTTTCTTCTAAATTCTTTACGTTAATCAGGGAATATACACAATTTTTCATCTTTTCTCTTCTTCAATGACGACTTCAATCTCTTCAAAAACCCAGACTGGTTTGCATTAAATTTGGTCCCACATCTTTCATATTCAGAGTTTTTCTTCAAATATTATTTCCCACCTCAGGCTCCTCATTTTATACCCACTTTCTTCTTGAAACATTTTAAAGAGTTCAGCTTGTGCAGGTTGTCGTTTTAAACTTCTAGGAGTAAATGTTAGGTTTTCAGATTGGGAGCGACAGTCTCTGAATTCCTCTCTGCCCGATGGAAAGAGGGTTTGATAGATGATAGTCCTCAGTGTTTGTGTGTGTGTGTGTGTGTGTGTGTTGTCCTGTAATGTAAGCCCTCGTTCCTGCTGCTCTCTGTATTTGAGGTTTTGCTGAAGTCTGGTTTTGATTGAGGCTACATGATGTCACGCTCACTGGGAATCTGAACCAACTACCATAATAGGCCTGTGTGTGTGTGTGTGTGTGTGTGTGTGTGAACAATAACAACTCAGAAGGAGCAGGAGAGAGTAAAAACAGTTCCCCTCTGTTGCATGTTTCTTCTAACTTTTGAAGAAAACTTTCCCAAAGCTTCACATCTTTGCACAAAAGCCCAATATCGCTCCACCTGATTTTTATCCGTCTTTGATTTTTGCAAACTTCTATTTTTGCAGCTTTCATGTTGCTTTCCTGCAAATTAAAGATTGAGTCAGAAAATTGTGCAGAAAAAAGTGCAGGATTTTCAGGGTTTTTGTGAGGGAGAAAACTCAGTTGTGGAGCAAACATGAGACGTTTGGTGCAGTGGGGATCCTGCTGTTGACCTGCAGCCAAGTGGGACAGGAAACTAGGGGGGAGGAGAGAGGGAGAAATAGAAAGGGGAGAAAACAGATGATGGGGGAGAAAGCAGGGGAGGAGACAAGGAAAGGGGGTTGAGAAGGGGAAGATAAATGCTGGGATCAGAGGGAGATTGGGGAATGAGAAAAGTGGGAGACAGAGTAAAGTAAAGGAAGACAGAGAAGCAGAAAAGAATGAACAGAAAACAGGAGGTGAAATTTTGTGGTGAGCACGAAGGGGAAGATGAGAATAAAAAACATAGAGATGAGTGACTGAATTAAACAAAATGAGGCTGCAAAAAACTCAAGAAGAGAAAAAGGCAGAAGAAAACAAGCAATGGAGAGAAGAAGATGACAGAAAAGATGGAGGTGGAGGGAAAGATTTGAGGAAAAAGGAGGGGTAGACATGGGGGTAGGGAAGTAGGGATGAGTGAGTGAATAAAACAAAGCGAGGATTAAACAGAGAGAGAGAAAGCAGCTGTTAAAATGAGTCCTGACTGGGTTCAGCTTCGCTCTGCAACAGATTCATCATCTAAACTCACTGCACTCACATAAATAATTTAACAAACCATGGAAAAGAAAAAGGGGTACAATTTCTGAAGGTGAAGCTGTTGCACCCCATAAAACAACATGTTTTTTCGAAGGGGGACAAGTCAGGACTGCAGTCAGGCCAGAACAGAACTCTTCCACTACAGAGCCATGTTGTTGTAACCCCTGTTGCAAGAATGTGGTTTGTCATTGTCTAGCTAAAAGATGAAGGAGAATGGTTTTCAGAAGTGATTTTGAGCCCATGCAGGGATTTCCACTCCAGAGCCCTGTCTCTTTTTAGTGCAGTACTGCCTGAGGGCCTGAAAATCAGGACCATCCAGTCTTGGTTTTGGTCCATGTCCCTTGAGTCCAGAGATTTCTCCCGATTCTCTGAATCTTTGACTGATATGATGTTCTGTAGATGATCAAATCTACTCATTCTTTGACATTTGATGTTATTCTATAACTGTTGATCAATTAGCTTATACAGTCTCTCACAGAGTGGTGAGCCTGTTGATGGGTTCTCCTCTTCAGAATGTAGAGTAGTTAGTCAGTTTTGGTTTGTCATCACTTATTTCTCTTTCTTAATCTCTTCATGTATGATTTTTGGACCCCCCCCCCCCCCCCCCTCTGTCTGTCTCTCAGTCTCTCTCTCTCCTCTCTGTGACCCACTTTCAAATAAAGACTCTCCTTTCCTTCATCCTTCCTCTCTTTCTTTGACTCTTTCTCTCCTCTCTCTTTTGTTTTTCTCTCTTCTTCTCTGGTGTTTGTTTTCTGCTGCATCCCTCACTCTCTCTTCCTCATTCCTCCTGTATTCTCCTCTTCATCATCCTGTTGCACTGTCTCATTTGTCAATCATCTCTCACTCTCTCACTCTCTCTCTCTCTCTCTGTACCCTCCAGTGTGTGTGTATGTTTGTGTGTGTGCATGTATGTGTGTGTGTGTGTGTGTGTGTGTGTGTGTGTGTGTGCATGTGTGTGTTTCCTGTTGCCTTTAAAAGGTGATGAATGTGGCCAAGGCCGCTCATTATATGCCTCATTATGCGCGCACACACACACACACACACACACACACACACACACACACACACACACACACACACAGGCAGTGTGTTTGTTTTTGAGGAAAAGAGAGAAAGAAAAAGAAGGTGATGTGTTTTGTTTATCAAAAATAAAAGTGTGATGTCTGGATAAGGGAATACACACTCAGAGCATCAGTCACTGTCAGACTCTGACCAATCAGAGAGCAGCTTCATTAGAAGGCGGAGCAGAATAAACTCCTTAACTGTCTCACTCATGCAGTACACAGTGTACCAATCCTTCTTCGTCATCTTCTTTCCTTCCCTTCTTCTCCTTCCCTCTGTCCTCCTTTGATTCTTCTTCTCCTTCCTTCCCCTTTCATCCCTTTTACTTTTCATTCCTTCTTTCCTTCCTTTCTTTTCTCCTTTCCTTCCTTTGTCATCCTTCTGTTCTACCACCATCTTCTCCTTACAACCTTTCTTTCTTTCCTCTGTCCGTCTTATTCTCCATTCCTCCTACCTTCCTTATTTCCTTCTTTTTTCCTCCTTCCATCCTTCCTATTGTCTTTTCTACTCCTTCTTCTCCTTTTCCATCCAATCGTTTTTTCTATCTTCTTGCTTCTCCTTCTACCTTACTTACTTTAACTTCACCTCTCCCTCTATCCTCCCTTCCTTCCTTACATCTTTTCTTTCTTCCCATTCTACTCCTCCTTTCATCCTTATACTTCTTACCTTCTTCCTTTCTCCCCCCTTTCTCCATTCCTGATTTGCACCTCCATTTGCCCTTTATTCTGTCTTTCCTTCTACTTCTTTCTTCCCCTTTTCTTGCCTTCTCTCTCTTTTCTTCTTCATTTCCTTATCCTATTGTCTTTCCTTTTGTTTTTCTGCTACATTTTTCAACTTATCATCCCTTTTCTTTTTTCTTTTTCTTCTCATATTTGTTCTTCCACACCATCCTTCTTCATTCTTATTTTCCTCCTTTTCCTCTCCTTTGTCTTTTTTGTATCCTGAAATTGCATGCTTGCATCCTTCACTTGCATTATTTCCTTGCGTCTTGGTCCCTTCTACCAGAGATACAGAGATGCAGGGTAATAAAGAGGGGAGAGAATGAAAAAGTTAAGAGATATGAGAGGTTTTTTTTCCTCTGCAGGGTCTGTCTGAATAAATATATAATCACAAAGGCCAGTCTGTGGGCTGTTTATTCAAAGATTTCTTCACTTGAGACAGTTCGAGCCCTCAGATGTGAATAAATCACTGACTTCATCTCACACTGTGAGCCAAACCTGACCAGATTATTTGACCCTGGCTCAGAAAAGCTCAGTCTTTTTATTAGATTACATTCTGGTTAATTTCAGTGACTCTGCACACAAACGTCATGATCCCTGTTTAGGAGCTCGGATTAAATCTTACCTCATCTTCTCTGATTATTTTCACCAAATTTATTTTCCTCCACGGATGAATTTTCTGCTTTTTTACTCTGGCTGGTGTCCTGTAAGTGATTCAGAGTCTGACCTCTGTTAGCTTCAGTCTGTCTCTGTGAGTTTACTGATGTCTTACTGTGAAGATAGGTCAGCATGGTTTATTAGAAAAACTCTCATCCTCTCTGTCAGTGTCTCTTCTGCAGAATAATCTAATTACAGTGCAGGAAATGACCTTATTTGGACTAATGGGATTGGATGATGAGTTTGTCAAAGTTTCCACTCCATTACATCTGACAACATGCTGAACTCACCATTTGTGTGTTTGTGCATGAGGTAATTGAGTGTTTTAAAGTCATAAAACTCAGGAACGAACTGACTCAAATTATGAGTCTAAATTTTTAGCTTTTCTCTATAATTTTTCATGAAAAATTCCCCATAAGTAAATGTTTAGTTGTAGTCCAGGGCCAGTCGTGGGTGTGCATTTCATCTGCAATTCATAAAAATATCTAAAAAACCAAACCAGAAATGTTACAGGCCAACTTCAGTTTGCAGAAAACATCACTTTTGCAGCTGTTTGGTGAAACATGCAGACAGGATGGTGAAAAACTCTAAAGATCATCTGTACCGCCTGTTTTTCATCTCTGTTGTTTCCTGTGTGATCTCTGGTCTGATGCCACCTTCTGAGCGACGGTAACCATGGTTTCCTGTTCACAACTTCACAACTTTTCTGAGTGCACAGACTAGACAGCATCTGTCAAATCTTTAAAGAGCGATTTGGAATTCAAATACTTGTTTGATCAAGCTCAAAAGTCAAATTTTGCATTTTATCAGCTCATTTGGCTGTCTGAAGAAGCTTGGTGTTTGATCCAAGCTGTCAGGTATCTGTGAGGGGAGATTCAGTCTAGTTATTAAATAAAAGAAAGTGTAACAGACGGACAGACAGACAGCAGGATGAAAATTTAACAGCTTCTCTTAGAGTGTCTCTCTCATTGGAGCACTTAAAGGTGCACAAATGTATTCACATCAACAAACACTCTTTTTGTAGAGGCTCAGTCTAATGACTGGCAGCGTACACCTGCACAGTCTTGCTTAAGATGTGACTGCACCTTTACACTCTCAGCTTATTGCCCATGATGTCAAACTGAATTCATTCTCACTGACGCTCTCTCTCTTTCTTTCTCTCTCTCTATATCTTTATGCAGGATTATCTGGGCTGCATCATTGACTGTGGCGCTCTTCCGTTGAAACCGGAGCAGGTCAGCACTCTGTTCTGCAACATCGAGGACATCTATGAGTTCAACAGGTAACACCGTCTGAGGAAACCACTCCAACCACTGTGTGCTTAATGCTGTTTGTTTTATGCAGTGGATGTTGGTATGTTCATATCAGTGGTGAGCGGTGACCTTTTACTGTGGTCATGCTGAAGTGTCAACTCCATGCAAACACCTGCAAGGGCGTGAGCTTGAAAAATTTGGGGTATTAATTTATTTAAAAAATCACATAATTTGTTTTTTAACTACTATATCAACTCGATTTTAATAGACACTGTCACAATCACATTTGCACCATGTTACCAATAACAATATTTTGGAATTGACAGTGTATAGAAAGGCAAAGTGAAAGCGGAAATATTCAGGACTGACACAGGTTGATGCATACACACACGTACAGTAATGTAACCAGCTCCGTCGTCAGTAAAATGACACAATCACATGCCTACAAAGTTACCAACAACATGTTCGAATTTACAGTATTCAAAACTGGCTTGCGGCCATGAAGTGGGCTCAAGCCGGGTTCAGCAGCACTCGAGCAGAGTGGGAGAGAGGAAAAGCATCCCACTGAACAATTCAAACAAGCCAGTTATGCGCATTGGCAGATAAGATGCGTCATTGACAGCTTTTTTGCCTTTCAATATGCTCATCTACAGTAAACACAGCCTCTAGCACTAACTGTACTTACCAGTATCACAGTGCGCATGCGTGAAACAAGCTGTCAGCTTTTTGCAAGCAAAATAGGACAGATTAGGCAGGGATTTAAGACCAAAACAGTAGAACTAAGGTATTGTATAATTGAACACACTGACAGATTAATATTTTAAATGATTTTGGGCTCGGGCATGCACTGAATTTATAGCTATTATGCCCACTTGCCCCTAGTTCATATGCATTAGGTGCTGAGGTTAAAGCAGATATTGAAGTTTGCAGAAGTAAAAAGTTATGCAAATTTTATCATGTCCAGGTGTTAGCTTTAGATTTTTTGAGTTTCACCCCAAAACAGTGTCAAGTGATTATTATAGAGTGATATAAAACCAGTGTGCATGTAAACACCATCTCCTGAATATGATCAAAACCAGGACAAGGCTCATAACCAAGATACCCAAGTCCATATAAAAGCACTCAGTAATCTCTGTCTATCTTTGGCAGGGCTTAGGGGTTGTAAAGGTCACACAAAAAGTTTTTCTCCATTTCAAACGAAACTTCAAACAATTCTGATGTGACTTGAAACAGAAAGAAAGCAGTTGGTCAGAAATGTTTTAATGTCTGTGGGAAAGCCAGCTCATGGGAAAGTGATAGAGGTGACAAATCTTAGAGGTGAGTCCTGAGGGGACGATGAGACTTGGTGTGCTGCTGAAAGTTTGAGTCCGGTGACAAAACTCTGAGCTGTTCAGTTCACCTCTGAATGTAGGTCAGATGAAACCGTAGGCTTGGTTTTGATATGTAATTCACTGAGCGATAACTTTCCAAGGATTCCTCCAAACTGCAGGAGAATAAGTTGAAGTTGGTGATTTCAGATCTTCTGAGGTGTTTGTGTTCAATTCATGTTGGATGTTTCAGTGGTACCTCGGAGATCACTGTGCGTTTTCTTTGGGGTTTCGTCACTGTGGCGGCTGCTCGGTGCAAACACGAGGTGTACGTTTTCAACATTAAACATCAGCTCACTTTACATTCAGCGGTAAAAACTGTTCCATCGTGCAGAGAGATTTTAGTGGATCTGGGTCTGGAAAGTATCTTGTGGCTAACACAGTCCCATAAAGGCAGACAGAGATAAGCTGCTGGTGGAAACATTCATACACAGAGGCAGGAATCAACTGAGCAAGGCACCGAGGCTGCCAGAGCCGCGGGTTTGATTCCCACCGGGACAATTCCACAGTTAAAAAAGTGGCTGTCTGGAGGTTTTCAGTGGGGGGATGAAAGTGTGCAGCAGCTGCTGAGCTCATAAGATGAAACCAGATTCTTTAGCAGAGAGAGTGAGTGTGTGTTTCTGTGCACACTTGTTAGTGCAGCAGTTGTCTCTCTTGGTATGTTCACATGTGGTCCAGCAGTGTTCTGGTTCTCCACTGCAATGCATTATGGGTGTTTTAAAGAATCCGTATGACAGTCTTGGGATGCTTGTGTGGAGGACTTTAAATATAGACCAGTCCAGAAACCTGAGTGATTTAGCTGTTGGAATTAACCTTTAAAATGCTGCAACACAAAGAATTATCATTTTAATTTGTTGCTGTGGGCGACTGCCTCTCCTTTTTCTCAGCTCAACATAAGCACTGGCAACTTAAGTGCTAATAACACTGCAAACTGCAAAAAGAGTTAAACAGTGATGAATAGGGACAGGGAGGGAGATAGAAAGAGCAGCAACAAAGACCTTCAGGCTCTGTGTTGAGAGCTCCCTGCCCCTCGACCACACTGAATGCCAAAGCTTGCAGAGGGGAAAACACATCTCCCCTCTGTTTATGAGCATTCATGAAAAGTCGAGGCAGGGAGAGCAGCAGCAAAGACACAGAAAAAGTTGCGACCTAATGTTAGCAAGGAATTTATTCAACATTAAAGTCCTAGCTGCAGCTGAATGCTAGCATCAGCTGTTATCTTACAACAGCTGATGTTATCAACTGTGATTTTATTTAATGAAAATCAGGCTCACTATCCAATCAGACTGAACTTCCCATTGTCTTTTTAATTGAGAGGCAATAAGAGTATTAAAATTGACTCATTTTGAAAGCAGCCTCTGGTGGCCACTTGAGGTACTGCTGCTTTTAAGAGAAAAATAATTAACAGACAAAGATTGCATCAACTTTAAAAAGATTATTCATTTTGAAAGGACTAACAGCAGGTTAAAGAGGCAGAGTCTGCGTGTGTGTGTGAGTGTGTGTGTGGGTACTGTTCTAGCCTGGGAAGGAAGATGTTGAAATATGTCATAAACACACACACACACACACACACACACACACACACACACACAACCCTCCGCCCTGCTGAAAGTCCTGTTTTCACACTCCACTTTCTTTGTATTTGGTCCAAAATATACACGCTCATACACACACACTCACAGATGAACAATGTCACACACGCGCACACACACATACTCGAACACTAACAGTCAAACACAGTTTTCATTCCTTCCAAGCTTCCTGCCCCCGGTTCTCATGGGAAATACTGTATGAGGGCGAGTGAGAAAGAACAAGAAAGAGCTCCTTGCTCTCTTTCTTTCTCTCTCTCTTTCTCTCTCTCTGTCTGTGTCTTTATGTGTCTCACACACAGGCTGATAACTTTTAGTTAATAAGTTAATGAATTAGTAAAAATGAGGCACTAACAGCTCAGAAATCCCCTCCTCCACCCCCCCACCTCTTCTCCACTGTTCTTGGCTTCTCCAGGTCGTGCAAAGTTTGATCGAATCATTTGACCTGGTTTCTCTCGCTCTCTCTTTGTCCCAGGATGGAGAGAAAAAGAAACCCCCTCTCGCTTGTTCTGGGTCATAACCAAGCACTCAAACACTCACACACACTCACACAGACACACACTCACATGCACAAAGTCCCAGATGGGCAGACATAACAACCCTAGAGTGACTACATCATTGCAGCATAGCTCAAACATGACACCATCCAGCTTAGTGTGCATGTGTGTGTGTGTGTATGAGTAACAGTAGGGAATAAAGCCATGTGTGGTTATGGGAGTTTATTAAAACAGAGCGTGCTCAGTAATCACGGGTTTAAATGGCTTAATTGAAGAGTAATCATAATAAATTTTATTTGAAAAGAGCTATTGCAGAGTCAGATTTACACTGGTACTTTCAAAACCCACACTCCAAGAATGCAACAAACCCATTTACTCTCGATCCCACACTGCACCCTGCACTCGGCTTCAGAGCTGGGGGATTAATCAGGTTTCAATTTCAATTTTATTATGATTATGGCTCCACACGAGCATGACATTTGATAACTGAAATGAACTGGTTTGTCTCCTTTCCCTTAAACAAATCTCAGTTTCACTTTATCAGGAGCAGAGATCAATCTGAAATAAAGTTTAGGAACACCGGGCAGTGGTGAATGCAGAAGTACAATCACACAGGAAGAGGAGAGAGGAGAGCAGAGAGAGGAGCAAGGGCAAGAGGAGAGAGGAGGAGCAGGGAGAGAAGCAAAAGAAGGAGGAGAGAGGAGGAGCAGGAGAAGGGTTGTGTTTGCTCGTGTGTCTGAAAAGCCGAGGAACAGGGTAACACAACAAAAGTGGCTGATGTGGCTGTGAGCATTAAGTGTTGATTATCTGTGATGTGTTTGTAGCTCGTTGCCACTTCATCTTCTGTAGGAAACAAAAATTGAATTTTTATCATCTTTATATCATCTATATACATGTTAATGAAGTTAAAAAATACACCTCATTTAATGCATCAACAGCTGAGGACCCCAGTCACAGGATCCCATCCCAGATCGCCCACTGAATCCCAGACTAGATCCCACCCTGGATTCCTCTCATTACTGAATGCTAATAGTTTACTATAGTCAGAAAATCTAAATACAGAGGACACACTGATGATTGATTTGATGAGTGATGTCAGATGCTGTAAGTGAGTATATGGTGGGCGTGGCTTCTGTATCTTTTCCTTATTTTCTTGAGATTAATATCTGTGTCTTTCTTCTTCTCTGTTTCTTCCGTGTGTGTTCTCGTATTCCCACTTCTCTCTGATTTAGGATCTGACCTTTAGCCCCGCCCTGCTAACCAGAGTTCAGCACCACATGACGTCACATAAACACACTCATGCTGCTCTCCTTGTGAGGAACTTTAATGCCATGAGACATTCCTCAGCCTGTTATTTTAACCTTCACCTAAACCTAAGTGTAACCTTCAACCTGAAACTCTGCACGGCTCTTTGAAGACATGACGAGCGCAGATAATCTCAGCGTCTACATTTCTGACCTAACTGTAGGTCCAGACCTCACACACTTAACACACTTGCTCCTCAGTGAATCAGTGTGTTGCCCCTTCAACATTGAGACTGCAGGTTCAATTCAGACTTGCAGAGAAGCAGTGGTTTGTAGTGGTCTCAAAAATGATCAGAAATCAACCACTAAATCCTGAATTTAGAATTCGAGAACACAGAAAGGGCAACCAGCAGAGAGGAGAAGCTTTTGACACAGTGGGCCCTGTTATAATGAAACAAAGACTATTCTGTACAGTAATGTCAGAGAGTTAAGTCTGTTGTTGTTTGTTGAAGTCGCCTGTGACCCATTTACAAGACTTAATTTTGCTTTCTGTCCCCAGAGTGCGTCTGAGTTTTAGACATGATGCTCCTGCAGCCTGGAATCGGCTGCAGGAGGATTGGGGACTGATGTAGCTGGTTCCTCCAAATTTTTATTAAGCAAACTTAAAGTGTTTGAGGAAGAGGCATCAGGTTGTAGATGCTCTGACTGATGAATGTCTATTGTATAACTCAGGACATGCTGACATACATTTGCACAAAATCACAACTGTAACTTTGTTGGAATGTGCAGCTGTCCATGTTGGCTGGGACCTTCTTGCAAAAGAGATTTCAAATCCCATTGAATCTTTCCTGGTTTGATCGATGCTTGAGAAATCAGAAAGATAAGTGTTGCATCTTGCACTTGATGGCTGTAAAAGTGAAGGATGTCTCAGAGATAAATATGTTGCAGTACATCCACAAATTTCATCTTTAGTTCTGGCTGGAAGGTGGACTTAGTAGAATATACACACATTCACAGTAAAACCTGTCAAAACAGGGAAGAAATATCTTATTTACCATGTTTATCTTTGAACAGCATGGCTATGAAACACTACATGGCCATGAAACATTAGTGATTTAAATGATATAACAGTTGTCTTTGTGATATCTGGTCTCCACACTGACATGTGAGAGATACAGCCCTCATGTTGATCAATCATCTTTTTACATAAACCTAAAAAAAACTTCTGAGTAGTTAAAGATTTAGCAAACATTTCTGGACCTCTATTGGATTTTATCAAAAGGTTCATTAAAAAAGGGTGGTACTCTCCAGAGAAAAGTCTCACCTAAAACAACTGGGAAGATGTGACAGCCAGTAGTTTTATCTTCAGACTTGACTGCAGCTCCCAGATAAAACACACTGATGGTTATAGGATCACAGCTTTTCCAGCGCCTGAGAGGCATAAATCACAGCTGTCTGAAGACCTTGTTAAACTTCTGCTCTCAGGTATGTTTTTATAGTTTAATATGCACTATGAGTTACACAGACTGCAGGTTGGAGACAGCCAACAGTAAATAAAGTCTGATTTGGTGATGTGGGTCTGCAGGGGTGGTCTGCTTCTGAAATCACATTACAACATGTTGATTTAAAGAATCTGAAAGTTTTGATTCAGAGCTAGAGACACTGCTCCACACTGTCTGAAGACTTTAAGTTTGGATATGATTCTGCTGGATTATTTGATAGATATCCAGACCAGGAGGACGCAATGATTGTCAACAAGCTGCAGTTCCACTAGCGGCCACCGGAAAACATTCAGCTTCCAGTAAAAAAAGTGAGCTGAGGGTCATTCCATTTCACAGGATGCTTTTTGGTGTCATTACAGTTTCAGGATAAGCTGGTGCTTAATTTACACACTGACACCAGCTGAGAGGAGACAGAAACTTCAACAGGTAAAGGCATGACAGAGAAAAAACACAAGAGCTGATATTTCAAGTATCCTGGTGTAATTATAAAAAACTGCTTCCAAATAACTGTCCTGGACTTCACTGGACTGTTTTGCATTTTTGTCACAGGACTGCAGGCCCCAGTGGAAATGTTGTCCATATCTGTGTTGTTTTTTTATGCAGGTGTAAATACCAAAAATGTTCCAGATTTATCTGCAAAGCTTGTGAAAATAAAGGATTCAGAGGCAGCTTACTTTTCAATAAAACAATAGAAATCCTGCAGAGTGACTCACTTTGGTGTAGATTTATAAAACTGTCTCAGTGAAAGAGACTTTTAGTCCCAAACCTCACAGGATCTGATTCTTGATATGTTGTTTCTTTTCTTTTTATAACTTTTTCTTATATAACTCTCTCCTCCGCCTCTCCCTCCTTCTCCATCATCAGTTCAGTAAAGCAGCATATCTGAAATGCCGCTCTCAGCTGCTGTTTATCACTCTGTTAAAGACCCCTCTCTCTGTCTCTCAGGATGAAAACCAGACTCCGGCCCCCCTCTGTTTGGTTTGGCCCCGGCCTGCACAGGAGGGCCCCGCTAGGGTGTTCAGGGTTCGGGGGTCAGCTGGGTCATGTGGGGTCAGGGTCAGGTTTGTTTATGTAGCGGCTTTAAACCCCCTGAGAAAAGAGGAGAGATGATAAAATATGCTGCACAGCTGAGGCGTAAAAGAATGAGAGTGAACTTTGAAAAACAAATAAAATTCAGATTACATCCATAAAAATGTCAGACAAGAGAGGAGGGCCCTGAAGGAACTGTTTGATTGACAGCTGCAGCAACCAGTAACAAATTTAGCATCATAATATTTGATAATAGTCCTGTTCACTTTCACAAGGTGCAGAGGTTTCCCCTTCAGAAGATGACTCCCTGTTGTGAATGATAGTGGACATGTTGTGGCAGAGTCTTTGCTTTTCTCTCTGAGTGTAAATTAACCATCTTCAATCTATTTCATACTGCTTACAAAACTTTATAACAACAGAAAACTCCTATTTTTGTGTCTAAAATCTCATCCTCAAAATAAACAGCTTTTGGAAGATGACTCCCTGTTGTTGCTGGTAGTGAACGTGTTGGAGCACAGGCATTGCTTTTCTTCCTATGTTTAAATTTACTCTGGCCAACTGATTTCACATTGCTTTCTAAAAACTCTGTTAATAGCTTTGGGAAGATGACTCACTGTTGTCCCTGGTAGTGGACATGCTGAGCAGAGGCATTGCTTTGCACACAATGCTTTTTTTTACTGTGATTAATTTATTTCACACTGCAAACTAAACTTTGTATAACTGTTAAAAAAACGTACAGCTTTGGTTGTTGGTTTATTGAAAACAACAAGGTGTGTTAAATCATGCACTGAATAGAAAAGTGAGGCAGCCAGGCTTCAAAATCCTGCTGTTGAATTGTAAGAATGAATATCAAGCAAAATTGTGAAGTTTCTGTGTTTCCTGGGACATTCGTAGAGCTACCTCACAAGAATTTTAGATGATTTCAAACTTTCTACAAATGTGACTGGCCTTTTTTTTTCTTCCTTTCTCTTTTCCAAGAAGGATGATACTTTGGTTTCAGGTGAAATAACTGATTTTCAGGAGGAAACTTGGCAGAATTCCTAATCTTTGAAAAACTCTCATTTCTCCTCTGACCCTAACTTTTGAGGATTTTTTTTTTTAAAAAAAATTGTTCCAAAACATGTCCATAAATCCTTGCTTTATTGCAGCAACTTAACACTGCACTATTTGAACTGCCCTCAGGTCAATTATCATAGAAATACCCTCAGTCATATAGCTGCGGTTAGAAAAACTGAATAACAAGTGAACTAATGGAGAGTTTGGAAAATTTACTTCATAGTCCATCACTGGTTCAACAAGCCGATTGGAACCTGATATATTTGGATTGTTTATAATGTGTGCTATAAGACACTCAGTTTAGATCCAGAATTAAAATAAAATAAAAGTTAAAACACCAAACCTTTAAAATTTCACAGTCAAAATCATCAACACTGTAAGGGTAACACTAAGCTGTTGGTTAACCACAGTTAGCCAGAAGCTCGAGAGTTTTCTTCCGGTAAAGTTACAGTTTTGTCCAATGGTGTTTGGTGGCTTTTATGGGAAATAATGTAACAGCTGTTCCTGATTTAAGAAAAGCAGCATCTTACTCTTTTACAAGGCTCTTCATTTGTTGGCATTATTACTGATTATCTCTCATTTATTTTCTTCTTAGTGTTTGACTTTATTTCCACAGATGTTTTTCACTGTTTCCAGTCATCAGCTGTGATCATTTATATGACCGTCTATCCTGTCTGTCTGTCTGTCTGTCTGTCTCCTTATATTCAATCGCTCTTATTGTGGCTGGGTTTCTCCCTCTCTCTGCTCTACTGTGTCTCATAGCTTACCCCCTCCCCCTCCTCTGTGGTCACTCAATAAAAAACAAAAATACAAAAACACCCAGAGCTCCCTCTTCCTCCTTCTCTTCCCACAATCCCCCACTAATGATGTCCGCCGGCCACAAAATGAGGCCTGACGCCAGAGAAGAGAGAGCAAGCAAGAGGCAAGGGAGTGTATGTAGATACGTGTGTGTGTGATGGGAGAGTTGATTTCAGCTTGTTAAGTAAGAATGTCGGGAGAGTTCAGCATTGTAACCTCATGAATGTGTGTAAATTAATCAGTATTTATAAGGGTACAAACCTCACCAACTCTGACCTTCTGACTATTTTTCTATCCAAGCACTGAATATTTACGCCCAATCCTACTCTGTCGAACCTTTAAAGAGGGTCAGAGTATTTAAGAAGACCTGTTACCGTACTATGTCTTTAGCTACTGCTTGCGTAATTCCCAGTGAGTAAGGTAGAGTTTTATGGTCCAGGTTCTTGGAAGGATGCTGCCCAGCTTATGAGAGGGGTTCTGGCTCCTTTTGACATGTTGGCAGTCTTGAGTTTTATCAGCCAGTCAGGTGTCAGCAAGTGTTGGTGTCTGTAGGAATAACAGCTTGCATGGAGAGCAAAAGCAGGCAGATGACTGTCAAATATGAGTATGGTTCTGCTCGAGGTTGCCACCTGTTAAAGGAGGTTATTCCTTTCCACTGCAAACTGCCAAACTTTTGATTGATTGACTTATCTGCTTGATGCTGAGTCACTGAAGACAATCAGTGTTTAGATTTCCTGACTTCTCTGAATGCATCAGAAATTATGGATCTGACCTCCATTCAACAAACAGACATTAAAGTTGTTTTCTTCGAGTCTCGAAGGACTGACCCAATGAAGCCTGACTTTGGACTTTTTACTAATCTCCATCAAGATGTCAATTCAGCAATTTGAAGACCTGCTACTGCAGTCTGTTTCAGGTTCATGCTGATGAGTGACGACTCTCTTTAACTCTCTGTTTACAGTGAAACTGAGACCCAGCATTGCGATGTTATTCAGGCAATTTTAACCCTGATTAATTGAATGTAAATGGTAGAAAAGTAGGTTTCTGTTTCAGGTTTATGCTGCTGATATATGCCAGAGTAAATCCTCAATGTAACTCACTACTTTCAGTGAAACTGAGACTCACCACAAATTGGTGAAGAGAGGCTCCTTTGTTGGATGTTAAGAACCAAGAAATGTCAGGGTTTATTCTCAAGACTAACCTTGGAGGGATGAATTTTGGCTCTTTTTGATCTGATCTGTTGTTTGTCACTCTGTAAACAGTTCAGCATTGAGAATAAGGAGTGTGGGCTGGGAGTCATTCATTGCTACACCTGAATGCCTGAAAGTTCACCGTCACTCCCAGAAGATATATCATCCTCAGACAATAGCTGTTGGCTTGTGAAATCGCCTCACCTTTTCCTCCTTTGCTCCCGGCTCCTTTGCTTCAACGCCTTCCCTTGTTTCTTCTCCTTCCCTTGTTTCCTCTCCTCTCTAATCCAGATTTATGTCAGGCTGTAAAGTATGGTCAGACATTTGGATTTCCTCTCCTCGCTCATACTCGTCCTCACAGACCTCTCGGCTCATTTTAACGCCTCCTCTGTTCAGTGTTACGGCTCTCTGATGTCATGTTAAATCTATTTAGATCAGTGAAATCACAGGCTCAGCAGCTTCACTCTCTCCTCATACATTGTTCACTGAGCGGCAGTTTGCAGATACTTGTCACACATTTGGCTTCTTTTTCTGCCCAGCAACAAAAATCTATTCCAGTATGTAAAAACACAAAAAGTGAATTCTCAGAGATGGTTCCAGAAATTTTCCTTCAACAGTTTGTTTTACTGCCAGAGCTCTCACAGAGTTCTGATTGTTATCTTTTCACTGCACGGTGGGGAAAAGACACATTACAGGCGCACAGACGCCTTCAAAAGTCATCAATGAGCAGGGAACCATTTAGATCACAGTTAAAGGTGAGGAAATGTAAAACAGTTGAGAAATCAAACATCGTCATTTTTACGACATATTTCCCTGAGTGACAAATAAACATCTGAGTGATTTAAAGGGATATTTCGGTGTTTTGAAGTGGGACTGTGTGAGTTATACGCCACTAGTAAGTGTAATAGCTACAATGGATGCCGGTTAGCCCCGCCCCTTTAATGAAGATCCACCAATAGAATCAAGACACTAGGTTTTGTATTGTTTTCAGCTGATTCTGATGGTCCTGGTGTGCTTTCCTTCAACATTAGCTGATGGAGGTGTTTTGCACAATGGGTAAGGTCATTGTATTGATGCGCTGGAATTCAAGTATTTGTACAAACCTGGTAGGAAAGGTTGATATTTGAACTTATATGAGCTGACTGGATTATGAGGCTGTCTGCAGTCCTCGGCGTTTGGTCCAGCAGAGGGCACTCTCATCGGCACCTGACCGCTGAATGAGACTCTTGAGTGTTGTACTGCCAGGTGTGGTTTCCGTGTTTTCATTTTCCTGAGCCTGATCTAATGTGAGCTATTTTTGGCTCCAGGATGATCCAATCAGAGTTTGATACCCTCATTGACTGGGAGATGAGCAGGTTTCTAAGATACTACAGAGATAAACCCATAGACTGTATATAGAATGGACGCCATCTGCCTCCTTGCTAGTTGAAGCCACTCCGAGAACAGCACCCTCTGGTGACGGGCTTCAGCATAGGTCATAAATCCTGCCTCCTCCAGCAAAGCTTATGAAGATGTGGACAAACTTTAGAAATTTATTACTCTGCTGAGGGGTCAAAGGTCAGAGAATGCAGGGTTTGAACCTGATCCTGGTCTGAGTTCAGACATCCAACAGGAGGTCAGATGTTCCATCAGGAGTAGAAGTTTGTTTTGGCTGAAAGTTAAGGAGTGTTAGGTTTTTTCACTTCTTTGATTTAGAAAGTGGTTTGGTCATTTCCTTGTAATGTGTGTGTGTGTGCGTGTGTGTGTGTGTGTGCGTGTGTGTGTGTGTGGAGGCTTTGGGACTGGACTTGGCTGAAACAGAGAGATGGATGGATAAAAGAGAGTTAAGATGATGAGATAAAGACATAGTTTATGGAAATTGTTCAGTCCATGTGTGTGTGTGTGTGTGTGTGTGTGTGTGTGTGTGTGTGTGTGTGTGTGTGTGTGTGTGTGTGTGTGTGTGTGTGTGTGCGTGCATGCGTGCATGTGTAGCAGCAGCACTAACACTTTGGCAGGCTCAGCCATGATGATGAGGATGGATTGTGTGATCGGTGGGAGAGCTGAGAGGATGACGGTCTGCCAGCTTCAGTCTACAGGTCCTGGAGTCGTCCCGGTGTCACACTAACCTCCTCCGCCTCCTCTCTGTGGCTGAACTGAAACTAAAACAGGATTTTCTTATTAGGCTGAATGTTTCCATGACTCCCAGCAAAGCAGACTGGCTGTGAACCAGAGCTTTACTCAGGCTCTGTGGGAGAGACATGACCTCTTTGAGCTGTCCTCAGTCTGAGGTTTTCTCTGTGCTCTGAGCTGGAGGATCAGTTTGGATCCTGCAGGTCCTGCAAGACCCAACATCAGAGGATGCTGGCAGAAGAACTCCAAACTGTAACCAGGGTCCAGAATTATTTGTTTGATTCACCAGCTAAGGTGAAGGGGGGCATTTGATAATTTTTATTGGCCAAAATACTGAATTATGTTTCTGTGCCTCATACTCATTTATTTCAGTGTGTGTTGTTTAGATATTAAAGGGGCATTCCAGCATTTTTAATAAGAAACTGCCAGCAGACACAGGACATGAGGAATGCTACACTTTCCTGCCACGTGATTTCACTCATTTTTAGAGACTCTGACTCAAGCACTCATTACAGGAACCTTTCAACACTTTTCCATCAAAAAGCAAATGCAGATTTGCAGATACAACAGACACAGGAGTGCCGTGAAAATGAAAGGGACAACCAAGTTGATTTGCAGGAGTGACGATATTTAGGCATTTAGTGGACAAACACAGACATTCTAAATCAATGACTTTAGACATAGCACAACAGAACTGGTCCAATCAAGTTTTATAAAATGAAGGATGTCTCCAAGAATCATAGAAATATTAAGATTTAACATAAAAGAAAAAACTGCTGATGTTTTTATGTCATCCAGCCTGGATTATCTTAACCCTGTGTTTACCTCCTCAGTGGTAGAGCGATAGTTTAACTGGAGGCTGTGTGTGATTCATATGTTAAACTTCACATGTGGTTGTCATGTTCTGCTTTTCATACTCACTCACAGCGTTTTGGCACAAACACGTCAGCAAAAAGTCTCTAACGTGAGCGTCTGTGTCTCCTCAGTGATCTCCTCGAGGATTTGGAGCGGAGTCCTGACGCTGCTGCCATTGCTGAGTGCTTCGTGGAAAGGGTGAGTGCTGTGTGTGTGTGTGTGTGTGTGTGTGTGTGCGTGCGTGCGTGCGTGTGTGCGTGTGTGTGTGTGTGTTTGTGTGTGTGTGTTAGCAGCTGTTAGCTGACAGGAAACATGACACAGTGAAACCCAAACAGCCAGTAAACCAGCAGCAGAACTGGACCCTCCATTCACTGCAGCACTCACCATTCATCCAACCATCTACTGCTGCGGCTCAGACAACACCCAATGAACACGTTTTGACAGTGTGTGTACATATTTGTGTGTTAGTTTGTGTGAGTGTGTAAATGTGTGTGTATTATGAACAGTAGTGATATTGTTCTCACGTGGTACATTAGAGTCAGCTGACTGCAGGACTCTGTTTTCTGTTTGGCCAACTGTTCTGGGAAACTCCTCATTACATTGACTTTAAAGGGAAATTCTGGCCTCTTTTCAAAACCTTGGCCGCTTTTGCTTTCACATATTTTGAGGTCTAAGTTAAGAGTTGAGGTCTAAGTTAATCTAAGTTAAATTAATAAAAATTGGAGTTGTTGGAGCTTACCTTTAAGAGGAAGATAATTTGATTTAACCAGAAATGTATTTAATTGCTCTTTTTTTTAATCCACCAGCCTCCTTCACTGAAACAATAACTTTACCCTTACAAATATGGGAACTGCTGGTCTACCTCTTTCACTGATTTGCTCTTAATTAATATATTAGTATAATTCCTTTGCATTGAGGGTTATGAGGGGCTCTACTTTTCTATGATACAAGAAAAGTCTCAAAGGAGAAAGGTCTAAAATCCTTGTCTCAGTGCACAGGAGTTGCTGGTCTACCAGGTCTGCTATTTTAATATTCATTTTTGATTTTGTGTGCTTGAAAATCACTAACTGAATCCAGCAAGCACCAAGTTTTCAAAATAATACACACAACATGACAAATATAACAAAATTAATGTTATGGCACACAGGAGTTGCTGGTTTACCTTTGCTTCACGCTGCAAGATTTCATTTATTTATTTATTTTGTTGTTGTTGTTTGCAAGAAAAATTAGGTCCGTCTGGAAATACTAAGTAAAGTTCATAAACCAAAATCACAAAATAAATAAACCGATCTGTCATATTAGTTATGTTTGTTTGTTTGTTCTATTTGAAACACCAGAGTTAAACCAGGAAAATCAGCAACTCCTTCCACATTAGACCAAACTGTTAGAAAAGAGCAGGACTATTAAAGGACCTGCGTGTGCCTGTTTATCTCTGACCTCCTTACCTACTTATGGACCATCACGACTTGATCTTAAAATTGAATTACAGGAATCTTTGTCATTGGCCAGGATAAAAAGGGAAAAAGTTGTTTTACAATCATGAGGAGAAAGAGAGACGTCTAGTTGAAATCATGAGGTCTGTTAAAGCTGCAGGATGATGGGATAAAAGAAGTGTTTCATATCAATGTTAAGTGAAACTCTGAAACATAAAAAGTCCCTGTGGGTGAGGATGAAAAGTGTCTGTGACTCAGATCACTGTATGAAACGCATAAATCAGAGGTGGGAAAAGTGGGAGAAGTGGTTGAGGTTTAGGGGTCAGGGTTTCATTTAAATCAGGTTTGTGTTGGATATTTGAAGAGTAATGGGGATTTTCTCACATTGTTTGGGCTCTCAAGCAGTGTGGAAGTTAAATGAAGTCAATTAAAGCTGTAAACTTGTCAGCATGTGCTACACTTAAAGAGAAAGTGGATTTCCCCTGAACATGGAGCTACACAAGGAGTGCCTTCAGTGACCAAAAGTTATCCACAAAGAAACAGATCCAGATTTTTTATATCCATCTCTTCAGCTACCACAGAAATAAATCAACCAGGATCACTTCAGTCCAACAAAATAAACGTCATACTATAAGTCACAGTTGACAGTATTAATGTTTGAAGAGCTCCCTGTCCGTCCACATTCATGTTTGTAAAGTCTGAGACAGGAAGAGCACACCTATCCTTTTTACAGAAGCAAGTTCAAAAACCAAGACAGGGAAAGCAGCAGCAAAGACCCCCAGCTACACAACAGAGCAGGCGACAGTGACGATCCACATGAAAATGGTCAGACTGGACACAGCATAAAAGGAAGAGCTGGGGTGGAGGCAGGGGGAGCATCAGCCAAGAGCCCAAGAATAAACAGAGCACAGCAAAAATCTGTGACTATCCACATGACTCTGGTGAAGTCACACAGCAGGAAACAAGGAGGAGCTGAGCTAGAGCAGCAGTAAAGACCACTCGGGTACACAACAGAGCAGGCATCATTAGTGATGATCCATCAGACTAAGCCGTAAAAAAGGGGAGTTGGGTTTATGGCAGGGAGAGCAGCAGCAAACTTTCCCAGTGGACACAACTGATGAAGCATCTGAGTCAGACACAGCATAAAAAAGGAACTGCTAGGCTGGAGGCAGGGACAGCATCAGCAAAACCATCAGAGTATAAAAACAAAGCACTTATTAATACGGCAATGCCAAAGTCAGACACAGCATTAATTAACATCACAGCCAATCACTGTAGAGACACTGGTTGGTTTTCGTAGTCAGCTGACAGCTTGACTTTACGGCCTGCCTGAATTTACACTGTGCTAATTTACTGCAGATCAATCATTAAAAGGCCATGTCTTTCTGACTGATCTGATTGGACTTGTGTTGTTCATGTAACATAAGCTCGAGTTACCTGTTGATCCTAGTCAGAGTTTTTCTCACTTAAACTTTTATTCTTTTTTGACAGAGTGAAGCTTTTGACATCTACACCCTCTACTGCATGAACTACCCAAAGTAAGTACAATAAAGTTTTAAAAGTCTGGACGTGGAACTGTGTGGACTGAAGTATTTCCAGGCTTGTCCGCTCATTGTTTTTATGTTTTTGGTTTCTGTCGTCCTCCTCGCTTGGTCGTAACCACACTCAGATGGCAGAAACACATACATTCCTGAGTGCATTCTAGGGCACTTTAATAAAAAGTTTCATGATCTGGTGCAGGACAAACATCCGCACCTGGACCTTTCAAGACGTCATGAGAGTGAAGGACAGCACATTGAAAATGGATGAACAAGGCGTCTTGTGGTCTGATAGTTTAGATACAAACCATGTGACCAAAACATCCCTACGTTCTCATCTGACTGGTGCATGTCAGACCCTCCTCTCTCTTTCCACATTTCCTGTTTGTATCTGCTTTTATATTAAAGGTAATAAAAGTTATGAAGTTTCAGAGTTTGTGCTGTTTTCAGTGCAGATGTGCGTCACCCCCCCCCCCCCCCTTTTGTCTGGATCTCTTAGTGTGTTTGTATTTTATTCTCAGTAGAGTTTCTCTGCTAGTCGAACTCTGAGTCTCCTCTCCATCAATCTGACAGACAGATGTTTGGCCTGACTGGATCTCTGCCCGGCTCTGTGTGTGTGTTACATCTGTCTGTATGTTAACACACTGAAATCACGACAGAAATACACATCCAGAGTGTTTTATCTACACCCATACATGCTTGTATGTGTCAGTGTACCCGGTCTGTCAGTCTCTATCCATAGTGAGGTCGACCCCTTCTTTACCTCGCTCTGCTCGCTGCTGTCGTCTCCTTAAAGCTCCATTAAACTCCAATAAAAATAAGTAGGTCAAATGCTTTCAGACCACCAAACTAAAAAAAAAACTCTCCAACTCTCAGCGCTGCATTGCTGCTTCTTCTGCTGGATCCTGTCAGACTTTACAGATCCAGACTTTTCTGCTCCTACATGCTGGTTTCATTTCAGTAAAATCACAGCAAAGACGTCTGAGCCAGAAACACAAAAATCTGTTCTTATAAAGTCCAAGAACTCTGCAGGGATGCCTAGCAAGGTTCTGATGTGATCCTGGTCTTCACGGCACAGATTTTCATTCCTGGACTGTTCTTAACAATTTCTTGAACACTTGAACAAATACAAACAGTTAACAGACCAAATGAACAAAATCAGGTTTGACAGTCAGTAATAAAAAGAAATAAACAGTTAAATTTGGGAATAAATAACAATCCTGTGTGGGAAACACAACTACCGCTCTCTGTATCTTTCCTTCAGTGGATTGAAGAGTTTCTGTCTGCCAAAGAGCGTCAAAGAAACATGGATTTTGAAATTAAAGCAGCTTTTAACCCGTTAATATTAGCATCTCTGTTTGTTTTTGCTTAGGGGGAGACATCTGCAAATAATTCAGCTACCCCCAAACTTCTCCAAGCCCTTCTTTACATGCTTGCTTCTCCAAATAATGATGACTGATTCATATTTTCAGGCCCATAAGTAAAATTGAATTAAACTGGAATGCTGTAGAGACTGGGATATGTGTGACTGGACTGTAGATGTTTAAGCTCACCAGTTTATACGACTATTTAATATGTAATCCTGAGAAAAACCAATGCCTTTTACTCTGCGATCTCCCTTTTTGTCCTCATCCCCGTCTGGAGTTTTATTCTGATGCAGAGAAAAGACTCTTTGAAGTATTTGTGTTTTCGAACTCAGAGTTGACATGAAATGGTCTGTTTGGTTAGTTTAGGCACAAAAACAACTCCGTAAAGTTGAAGGAAAAAACATCAGAGTTTTCTTCTAATGACAGGCTGTGTTCACCAAACAATGCCGACAGATTTTTTCTGGGTCATAAATGGTGGAATTGAGTTGGTGCATCGATGAGAGTGTGTCTTGGCTAAATCCTGCCTTTGTGCAGAGTCTGTAACTGAGCTATATTTCTATTTTGCCCTGGTAATGGTATTTTAGTTGGATCATAATGCAGATCTAAGATGCAGTTGAAGGCTACTGTTGACACAGAAGTGAATGTTGAGGACAAGAGGTGGACAGGTGGCAAGAGGCTGAGTGGTTGAACTCTTTGGTTTGACTCAGGTGGACCCCTGTGTTAGACTGAGGCCTAATCCTAGTCCATGCACTTTGACCTTCTGAAAGCATGCAAACAGAGTTTACACTGAAGTGGAGATTGCCAAGGAAGGCGAATTTACAGATTTTCTGGATTTTTGATTTTTATGAGCTATAGGCCAGAAAACACATGAAAACAGGGTGAACCCTCAACGCAGGCTGAGCCGGGGCAGGAGACATCTTCACGTATGCACTTTCACCAAAGAATGCTTTCTTCTCCACAGGTGTCATATCTTAGACAGTTTTGGAGGCTGGGGTGGATGTGTGAGGTGGTGTTTGTTTAGTGTCTGTGTCTAAAGCATCTGGTCTCCTCTTTGTACTTTTGGAGAAGATGAAAGTTTTTTGGTTATTTTAAGACAAAAGAACTCAAGAGACAAGTTTCAGGAGCATATTATCAAGTGGATTCAGAGGGATGACTTGTTGTGGACTCTTTGTTTCTGGTTTTAAACCTCAGTCTGCTGAGCTGTCTCTTGACCCATTTACTACCCTGCTCTTCAAGTAGACTTTAGTGGACTTCATGCTAAACTCCTTCAAAGTTTGCATGTTCCTTAAGCATCCTTTTTCATGCTCTGGTGTTATTTCCTTGTTGCATTAATGTGATAACCAGAAGAGAAGACTTTTGTCTCTTCTGGCCTCTTATCTGCACTCTTCTCCACTCTGATCCACAGGGTCAGATATGAGATTTGCAGGATTGCTGGTTCGTGCAGCTCTGCTGGAACACGAGCTGAGACTCTTTGTTAGGTTTGTTATCGTGCGTAAAAAGAGAAACAAGTTAATGTCTCCAGGAATGCAGAACCTGTGCCATCTGAGGATGCCAAAAACAGAGTCAAATGGCTTCTTTTTCTTTCACAACACTTTGTGTCAGTGTAATGAACCCTGAAACAGGCCGCCGTTAAGATGACAATAACAGACGTGGATCTGAGGATCTGTGAAGGACTATCCAGAGGGAGGACTAAGACAGATGCTGAGCTAATTTATGCTGCCGAAGCTGGACTTGGATTGGTTTGCCGTTTGTAATGTTGTAAATTCATGAGCTGCAGAGACAGGGGGTCTACGGAGGTTAGAGGGAGTTAAAAGCCAAGTTTCTAAAAAGTAGATAAATTTTCAGGTCAGGAAACAGAAATTAAGAGGCCTGAAACCTACTCATCACTGAATTTGGAAGACAAATACGGCACTTTGGACTCATTTTCACATTTTTCTGCATCTCCTTATTCTGCATGTAGTTTGTCCCGATGGTGTTGCTGTACCTGTATGGTGCAGTGTCTCCACGCTTGAACGTAGAACAAACACAGAGCCAGCGTCACTCTGATCAGGGAGCTCATCAGTATTCGACCTTTGACTGTTTGTCCTTGGAGTCACTTATTTCCTGTTTTTGTCGAGGTTATTTTGAAATTTTGAAGTCCTATTTTGAAAGTGATACATTGAATGTTAAGAGAAATTTTCCCCCTCGTCAGAAATCTGTTAGTACAGAGAAATACATCCTCCTCAGATTACCCACCATGGGAGCTGGAGGTCATTAAGAAGGATTGTGTTTCTCCTGCTTTTGCTCTCCATACAGACTACATAGAAAGCCTGCTGACACCTGATTGGTCAAACTCAACCCCTTCTCATATAAAGGTCAGTCCTGCTCATACACGTCCTACATTTATGCACAGGACCTGCCCATAGCGATTGCTCGATCCCTGCTGTTGTGACAAAGTCACATGCTTCAGAGGCCGAGGTGTGCAACATGTGCCATAAGTGCAGCAGTGAAACAGGCAGTCACAGCTTAAAGCATTAATGTACCCGATCAAAGCATCCTCTGATTGATACATTTTGTAGTTTGCATGTACTTTTCAATCATAGCTGTATGCCAGAGCAGACTTTGGCTCAGTAAGACCACTAGTTTCTTTACCTCCAAACAGATGTTTCACTCTGCACTTTGGCCAAAAGCTCTGAAATCTGAGTAGGAGCAGCAGGGACGACGAGGGAACATGAGAGTGGACGAGACTTGCTGTGAACAATAGAAAAATGTGCAGCACAGCCTCTTTCAGGGTCTTTCATGTGGTTTTCATGCCGTCTGATGGTTTTTTACTCAAAGCTTTGTTGTTCAGCTGATCCAAATGGAGGCTACGTGTTGGCCTGTGTCTCAGCCTCTGAATCATTGCCCACCTTTCTACTTTGGTCAACAAAGTCTGATGCGTACAAACAAACAATTCAAACCAATTCCGAGCTCTGACTGAGAATGAGGACATCAGTGTTCTTCAGCCACAGAGGACTGGATGGATTTTAAAGTGCTGTCATGATGTCGTGAAAAATAAAATGCTGGAATGTATGATATGCTGAGGAGGGTTAAAGTCAGAGGAATACCAGGAATCGACTTTTCTCGCTAATGCAAACACACTGAGAGGTAGATGGACAGGGGGAGTGGAGGGTTGAGGAGGTTAATAGTCTTTGGAGTGGTCATGCAGGCTGCAGGAGGGTGTCATGTTTCCTCTGATTGGTGTAGATGAATTCAGGCTCTGGGGAGCAGCTGTAATTATCTTCAATCTGTGAGAATATGGAGACCAAGATGAAAACTAGACTCAAGCTGTTGGATGATGACACCCAATGCTGTAGAGCTTTCCCTGAGCGTATCATGTACCGCCTTTAAGACGATCAGTTTACAGAATGGGGTGTGTGGATAAGAAATGAATTAATGAATCTCCGTGAGTCTGTTTTATTCTGCTGGAATGAAACCACAGAGGTGAGTTTGATCTGCAGGACGTCTGGATGTCTGACGGTGATTCGATGGGAATCCCTCCAAGCATAGTTTCGAGGAATGTCTCCTGTGTATGTTCTTTATATCTGCCATATGTTTCAGATTCTTCATGCAGAGGTCAGTGTTTATCTGAAGCTGAATGTCGTTTCCTTTAGTCTGGTCCTGTCCCAGATCAGAGTGAGATTCTTCTGGACTTCTCTCCTGTCTTAGCTGACTGATGAGAACCTTATCATGAGTGGGATTTTTTTATACCACCACATTTGTCTCAGTGCAAATGTTCTCCCCTCTTACATTGAAACATGTGCACCAACTTGTGCACTTGTGAAGGTGAATAGTCCTGCAGCTCCTGGAGGCTGCAGAGGACTGAACAATCTTAAAACCTCTTCTCCTTAAAGCCTGTTTGGTGCAGCAACAGATTTAAGTCCAACTAAATGGAAATTTGAATAATGCATTTAAGCCACGATACAGTATGTATCACAGAGGGTTATATGGTACAAGAGCAACATTGGTTTATTAAAAACGTTCCAAAGTGATCCATTTCACAGTATATGAGTTCAAACCTGTTTATCTTTGGGAGTGAAGCTCAATACCTGGATGTCCTGGATAGTGCTGTTGGGGTAATGAACACCTTCGATCAGCTTACCGGGTCTTTCTCTGATTTGTGGAACTTTGTGGATTTTGATGAGTTTGCTCCTCAGTTTGACATGTAAAACCTGCAGACCCGGTCTGAGTGTGTCAGGCTTTGTTTCTGCTGAAACCATCAGTTCAGTGATGAGTCTGTAGAAGATATTACTGCTGCTCTAAATTCCTCCACTCTCTCCTGATTAGTCATCCCTCCTCTCTACCCCATCATTACCTTGACCTCCTTCCTTCCACCCTCCATTTCCTCCCCTTTTTTTACTCTCCTTCTCCTTTTAGTTGTTCTTCTCTCTTTCTATCACTCAGTTTGTATCTGTGGTTCTTTGGCCTCCTGCTGTGATGAATGTTGGTGAGTGGATTGCTGCTGAGGTGTCTCCTCTTCCTCCATCATCTCTTCAACACCACCTCCATCGTTCCTTTTCCTCTGACGTTAACAATCGACCTAAAACAGCTGAAACGTTTTTCCTCCATCATCTTGGAGATGACTCTCTCCATGAAAACCTTTACTGTCTTTTCCTTTGCAGCCATCAAGACAACCACTTCTTCATCTTCTCTCTGTCTTTGTTGGACTTTTTGATGAATGTTTCTATCCTCTGGACCTCCCTCTGTCTCCTCTGTTGGTCTCTCCCTCTCTTTTATCCAACCTTTGATGAAAAAGACACAAACTCCTCATACTTCCTGACCTCCTTTCTACTCTATATGCAATCTCCCTCCCATTTGTTCACTCATTCCCTCCTCCATCCATCTTTTCCTCAATCATGTCTTCACCCCTTTTGTCTCTACTTTTCTATCTTCTTCTGACTCCCTCTGCCTCCTTGCTGTAATAAATCCTCATCAGAGACGCCGACAGCTGGTCTCTCCCTATTGGTTGATGCTCCTAATCTCACTTGGATGTCGTTTTTTCTTTCCTGCAGATTTCTTGAAGCCTCTTGGAGGTTCTGGTTATGTTTATCGAGCTCTCACTCTTTATCCGATGAGACAAGACACCAAAAAAAACCCTCAGAAATAACTTAATTTACAGCAGATCTTGACTGCCACAAACACTCATCCATTATAAATCTTCAGGATTCTTCAAGTTTGGTGTCTCTGTGGTGGACGTTCAAGCATTATTTTGGTGTTCAGATGAAATCAGAATTACTAGTCAAGACAGACAAGAACTTCCACAAACTTTGCTGTCTGGAAATGTCTCAGAAATCACAGAGAATGTGGACTCCTGGGTACTGCGCACATTGAATTTCACAACAAGGCATTAAAAAGTCTCCTTTTAAAAAAATACTGCTGACAGATACTGAGAGTCAATCCAGTTGATTGGGCTTTGTTGGACAGATTTTGAAACCTTTCTTTTTAATCTTGTTTTAAAAAGCCCTCTCTCTCTCTTTCTCTCTCTCCACAGTTCGGTGGCCGTGCTAAGGGACTGCATGAAAAACAAAACGCTGGTTTGTTTCTTCCAGGAGAGGCAAACGACCCTGAACCACTCCTTACCTCTGGAGACATACCTGCTCAAACCGGTGCAGAGGATCCTCAAATATCACCTGCTACTACAGGTGAAATATCCATGTTTTCACTGCTTCACTAGTTTTGTCATGTTTAAAAGACTTACTCATACATACATGTAGTGCCTCTCATGTACCCTATTAATGCAGGTGACCCCCTAAATAACACAATCATTGTTCCAAAACAATTGGTACCCTGTGTAAAATGTTGATAAAAACACATTTTGTTGGTTTGCAAATCATTTAAAGTGAATGTGTAATGGGAAGTTGTACAAAGACAACATGGGAAATCTGATGTCAAACTTGACACCATTTTCAAAAAAAGTTACAACATGAGCAACCAAATAGGTAAAAAGTCCTATCATGTTAAAAAAGACAGGTGGAGGAACATCTTTCAACATCTAAAGTTAATTTAAACAGGTGAGTGAAGAGGTTTACCACTCTGTGAGAGACTGCGTGAGATAATAGTTGAACAGTTTCAGAATAATGTTCCTGTTTCAGAATAATAGGGCTCTATTTTTGTGCCTCGCCAGAGACGTGGTGCATGCGCGGCGTAAGTCAGGTCCGCAGCATATTATTTTGGTGAGCAGCGCAGCCCGGTGTAAGTATCCCCCCTCGCTAACTCAGCTCCTCATAGTGAGGGAGGAGAGAGGGCAGGGAGTGGGTTTAACACAACCGGGACCTGTATTGACCAATAACATCAGCTCCTCTCCTCGCCTTTAAATCCGCCACCGGTGTGGCGTATTACTATTTTTGTGAAGTAGTCAAAGAGATCAAGAGATGTCTGAAGACAGCAATGCCACATGATGGCGACAGAAGGCAGCTCCTCAACAAGTGTCACTGTAAACGCTGCAGGGAGCGTCCTTCACACTCTCTCATATGAGCACAGATGGATTTGGTGTGTAATGTTGGACCCACTAGTAAGACAAACACCCTTTTCCACAAATAAAGACTCACATAAAGTTGCATATATTCAAACCTCACGTGACAAAGGTGGATTGTGCGCAGAGATCACATCATAAATTCCAAAAATGGCATTAAAACTGGAACCATCTATGTGTAATGATGCATCGCGCTCCGTGGCCTGGCTCTTTCTGTCATAGATGTTGGCATATAAATAAATTTGGCTCACAAAACTGAATATTATAATATTCGTATGTTGGCTTAAAGTAAATAACTCATCTGAGCACTGAAACAAGTCATCTGTTTAGCCGCAGCAGCAGCAGCTGCAGCAGGACCAAGAGAGGACACAGAAACATGTCCAGGTCGAGCTGTGTGAGAAATAAGAGGAAGAGGAAGAAAGAAAAGGAGGGAGACGAATTACGTATCTAGTTAACTTCATCATGTGTGTTTATTTACTAGATATTTAATTTAATTTAATTTAATGCGGTTTCAGCTGTGTTGATTCGGTCAGGTTGTGTGTCCAAACGCGTGTCAAATGCACTCATCAGATCAGATATAGATCAGAATATATCGATATAGATCTAAATGTATGTGCTGACTCAGATTATTAGTTGTTGATGATTATTTATTGCACTGAAATGTGCCTGACACTGTGGAAAGCTGCTGGTGAGGCATCAGTGACGTATGCCGATACGCCACAGGTCTACCAAAATACCACTAGACCAGCTGCGCCTCGCCTGCGCTGAAAGCTGACCAGGTTTGAATCGGTGAGTTTTCAGCGCACTTTATACACCACCGGCGAGCACGAAATGTCACTGCGGCAGCTGATTCTGTCGACACCTCCCTCTGCCCAGCCACCACGCCCAGCTTGGCGGACCTCGGTGTGCCTCAGTCCACGAAAATACCAAACTGGCTGTACTGGCTGTACGGCGGGCTCCGCCAGACAAAAATACCACTGTGCGCGGTCCGCCTCACCGGCGGACACGAAAATAGAGTCCTGAGTGTCAAATGTGAAAGAATGAGTGGATTTCATCGTAAACAGAATATAATATCATTAAAAGATTCAGAGAATCTGGAGATATCTCTGTACTAAAGGGACAAGGACCAAAACCAAGACTGGATGGACCGGATCTTCAGACCCTCAGCCAGCACTGCATTAAAAACAGACAGGACTCTTAAGTAGAAATCACTGCATGCACTCAAAGTCACATCCACAAACCATCCTCCTTCATATTTTAGCAAGACAATGACAAACCACATTCTGGGCTTACAAAAGCATGGCTCTGTAGGAGAAGAATCCTGCTGATAAACTGGCCTGATGCAGTCTGCTCTGTTCAGCAGCTGAAGTATTTTAATAATCTATATTATTTTTCTTTGGAACTACACAAATACCTTCTGCTTCATCAGCAGCAGCTCAGACCCTTGATGCAGTCCTCCAAAAACAGCAAACATGGTGTGAATTATGTTTGTTTTGGAGATTCAGTCCAAACTTGAACCTGATGTCTTTGACCCTCCATGTTTAAGTAAAATTTTATGTTGTGTTTAAAATCATCAGCTCTTAAAGGATTCATTGAGGCTCAGAGATGTCCCAGAGGAAGTTGATGGATCTTTATAAAGCTTTTGTTTCCAGGCAACCCGACTGTTTCCTGCCAGTAAACAGAGTTTTTGGCTGAAATTACAGCAATAATAAAGCTCTTCCTGCTCTCAGTGAGCGAGAAACATGGAGTGTGGACCGAGTACAGCTGAGGACACAGACCCCCTCTGTGTGACACCTTTTTGAGTTAATAGATGGACGGCTGCCGTGTGTGTCGCATGTGTGCACGCTGATGTTTGTCATCGCAGATCACATCTGCAGGCTTTAACACAGCCAGTAGAGGAGGGTAGAGCCTGACATCATTGTTTCAAATGAGGTCCCTTAAAGAGAGTCAGATTCTGGGTCAGTGTTGATTTAAAGGCATTTGTGTAACGCTCTCCCTGAGCACGACAAGAATTAATTCCAGCACAAAATGCTCTAAACATGCACACTTGGACGCGTAGCTGGTGAACCATAAATCTTTATTACATCCTGCTGACACTTTTGTGCAAAGCCATGCAAGATTAAAAAAAAAGACAGACACCATCATGAAAAGGAGGAAGAAATACACGGATGTACAGCTGAGACAAACCAGTCAGAGTCTGAACCCAAATATCTGCAGACACTCAGAGATGCTGCTTCATCCAGACATCATGAAAGACATACAAACACACGTGTGCACACACACATGCACACACACACACACACACACACACACACACACACACACACACACACACACACACGTCTGAAGATAGGAACAATATGCTCTTACACGCTCTTGAACAAGAGCTCACACACATGCAGCTTTTCCCAATAAACTTGTCGGGAATCTTCACTGGTCCCAGTCCAAGCCCACCTCTGAGAGAAGGAGGATGATGAAACAGAGAGACACACACAGACACAGACACACACACACACACACACACAGACACACACACACACACACTCCTCTGCTCTTTGTTCTCCGGTGTTTGCTCTGTATTATTTCGTGGCTCTCTGTCTGCAGTGGACAGTTTGAACTCTGGTCAAACATGTGTTTGTAACTGTGCGGGGTTTTCCCATCATCCTCAGCTGCTGCTGGTTCAGTTTCTGCTGTGTCAGGTGGTTTAGACGGAGGATTTCTGCTCATGAGTTCTTCTTTTAGTGACCACATGAAGAAAAATCTAGATTACTGTTATAGCTATCCTGTTCAGTATAGTGCTTAATTAGGTAATGATTGTATCTAATGGGAGAAAGCAGTGACCCCCAGAGCTGGAATATGAAGACAAAGTGGAAGTTTAAAAACTGCAGTTCTTCTGCTGTCCACTAGAGGGGCTGGCTCCTAGAGCTCCAAAATTGCGAGGTTTGTTCAATAACACAAAAGCAGGTAAAAACTAGGGAAGCAACAAAGGAGAAGGGTTTAACTCTGATGTGTTTTTTGTCAAGATTTTTTTCACAATGGTTTTTTGTGGTTGGGTTTTTTTTTTGTCACAGTTTCTCCGTTTTTAGACTGTTTTTTTTTTTTTTTCTCCAAGTTTTTGTTTGTCAAGATTTGGGATTTTTGTCTCAGTTTTTGTTGAGTTTTAAGTGTTTTTTGTTTGTCCTTTCTTTTTTGGTCCGTTTTTGTTTTTTGTCATGGTTCTTTTTTTGTAATGGTTTTTGTAGGTATCAGTGTTTTGTCATGGTTTTGTTATTTTCGTTGCACATTATGGTCATAGTTTTAATTTTGTTGTAACTGTTTTTTGTCACTTTTTTAATCACAGTTTTTTTCTCATGGGTTTGGACATTTTCTTTATTTTTTGGCTTTTTTTTTTCCTGTTTTGGTTAGTTTTTTGTGCTTTATTGTCAAGGATTCAGTTTGTATCATAGTTATTCTTTTTTTTGTCATGGTATTTGTCCTGTCACAGATATCTTTGTCATGTATCAAACCTGCAGCAATTGGATGTTCACTTCAGGGAGACTTTCGTAATACCAGCAACTATATAGAGCCTGGTGTATTTTTTTTGTAAATCTGTTCATCATGTAGACTCAAAATATGCAGACGTCAGGCCCTGGATTAAAAGTTCATGAACCTCCTCATGACACCCCACAAAGACGAACTTTTATTAACAGTGAAATATTTGTCTCTTTCCAGGAACTTTTGAAGCACTTTGACAAGAGCGATCCAGGGTATGAGGTTGTGGAGGACGCCATCATCACCATGACTGCAGTGGCCTGGTACATCAATGACATGAAGAGGAAACAGGAACATGCAGTGCGACTCCAGGTGAATGCACACAGAGTCACATCCTCATTTTGACCTTTAAAATATTTAACACAAGTTCAGAGTGTTTAACTGAGTAAATCCAAAACCAAGGTGGTCTGAAGGTCTGATTCAGTTCAGAAGATTTTAGGATGATCATTTTCTCTGAAGGAGAAAAAAAGTGTGAGCCTCTTCACAGCTCCAGAGTAAACAGCAGATTTTATTCTGAATCTGTTTTTTTTTTCTGCCCAAAGAAAAAGTTTATTTGGCTTCAGTCCACTAAAACTGAGCTGCCTCTCCACTTCTCTCTGAGCCTGGAGCAGCTTTTCCTCCTCCACTGTGTTCAGAGACAGACGGGCGGCTGGAGGTCGGCCGCTCGACCTTTAGGTGTCAAACTCTACAACTTCTGCATACCTCGACTTCCCCGACACGTGTTCACATCATTACACACTCAGGAAACTGTTATTAACTTGTTCCAGCACATATGTTCAGCAGCCATGACCGTGTGTGTGTTTGTGTGTGTCCATACTCCAGCTGAGGCTTAACACCTTTCCTGTCATTCCTCTGTCAGCTCTGTAACCTCAGTGACTGTTTTTCTTTCATGATTTTTAAACTGTTTCCAAACTTCTGATTTCATTTCTGCAAAACTTCACAAAATAAAGTTGGAATCATTTTGTTGGGACTATGATGTCGATCACACGTGCACACCTTACGCTCTGGTTGTATATCAATCTGCCAGTATGAGAGTCACCTTTTTACTGTCTGTCTGGGGTAGAGGTCTGAGCTTGGTGAGGTTTCCTCCCTAATGACTGATCTGAGTAGTTTTGTATTTATGCACATTACTGAACAGCTGTAGTGTGGATACATCAAACTGCTGTTACTTGAAATAAGTCTGTCTATCCGTGTTGCTCTCTCTTCCAGCTGGTCGGTCAGGGTCAAATGTCGCCTTCACAGCTGTTGTTCAGCAGAGGTCCCGACTCATTAACAAGCTGAACAGAGAAATCCTGGTCCTGATCTTTGGGGATATTTTAGCTGACCCCACTTTCATAAGTTTAAACTCAAACCCCCTTGAGGTCTCAGCATTAGGAAGTGCACAGGTGTTGACCTTTGACCTTTCAGCAGCTGGAAGCAAAGGTGAAATGTTCACTCTCGGTCAGATGCAGAAGAGTTAGAAAATTTAAAGGGACCATTTTCCTTTCTGTGACTCCCTTTGAGGTGTTATTTAGAACTTTCATGTGAAATTGAAGGAGTTTTCTGCTCATTCAGAGTAATAAAAGCATCTCTTACTTTGGAGATAAACAATGTTTAAAGTAAAATAATCTGAACTTTATAAAAGCTCTCTGCATTCGTACATTTTATTAACTTATTTTCCTGTTTAAATGAATTAGTTTCCACCTAGAACCAATTAATTTTCCATTATAACAGATCAATTCTCTAAGATAGAAAAAGCTTGTTTTCTTGTATTAATTTTTGAGTAATTTTATCCTCTGACCTGCCCTTAACAGGAGATTGAGTCCCTGCTGGTGAACTGGACCGGGCCAGACCTCAGTGGGTTTGGAGAGCTGGTTCTGGAAGGTTCCTTTAGAGTCCACAGGGTGAAGAAGGAGAGAGCGTTTTTCCTGTTTGATAAGATGCTGCTGATCGCCAAGAAGAGGCTGGAGCAGTTCGTCTACAGCACGCACATATTCGTACGTACACAGAGTTTCTTTGTCTCTTTACGTTGTCTGGGTTTCTATTCCTGTTAACCAAATATCACCTGAACAGAGATCTCAGTGCACTTTGAGGCTTTGCTAACACCTGTGAAATAAGCATACAAGTGCAGCTAATCAGACTGATTGCATTGGGAACCTGCATCACAAAAACCAGCAGAGCTTTATTTGGGAGTGTTTCTCAGGGGAGCATGTTGTGATATACCATCCCAGTAAACAGTAGCTTTATAAATACAGGAGCTTCTTGAAACTAAGGCTAAAACCAAACTGGAAATGCAATGCATTGCAAATGCTGTTGCATGAACTGGGGAACCCGGTTTGCATCTTTCAGGAGTTCCAGTTTGGTAACTTTTTCTGTCAAATGAGTTAACAAAATAATGCCAGAATACCTGTATTGACACGGCTTGGACATTTTGCACATCAACCTGTCATCAACTCTCCACAAATCATCTCTGATGTATTTTTTAGAGGAGTTAGCCAGTCATCATTGTTTCTCCTCACTCACACTGGAATATGCTTACATTCCCTGGTGATGGGCACAGCAGTTCTTTTAGATGTACTGAACCACTAGAATCAGTTCACTAAAAAGATTCGTTCAAAAGATTTGTTCACCAGGAGACCAGGAGATAATGTGTTGAGGCTGTGTTGCTTTGACAAACAGGTTTGTGAAAATGAACTCGTTTATAAATAATGATGTTTTAAGTGTACGGTTCAATGGTATGCTATTTATCTGGTCTACTTGGTAAATTGGGCTCAGTGAGTGATTTGTTCACTGAACGTTTACCCCACAGTACATTCAGTGAAGGATTCACATTGAATGTGCACCGTTCCCTTGCAAATCGCCGCAATGATAGGATCAGACAGTCACGCATTTCTCAAACTGCACGTTTTATACACCACTTGTTACATGCTGTGTCCTACTGTGTGCAAGTTGTTGTAGTGTCAATTTAGCAGAGTTAGAAAATACCTATTTTCCTCTGTCATTCCTGTCAAGAGCTTGCTACAGCTGGTGAGCCTCACTCTCTTCTCATTACTGCTATTAAAACAACAGTGAACAACTGTCGCCATGAAAGTGTATCCCTCAGACAAAAATGATTCAAGAGAGTGTAGTTCACTGCGTGATTCATTCACCAGGTGATTCAGGCTTCAGAGCGTGCAGTCCCTTGCTTGCCGGCTGCTTGCCTAGCAATGCTACGTGCTATGGCAGCTGTGCTGCTGGCAGCGCAACTGAAGTGAGAAACAAACAAATCACTTAAAGACAGTGACTTGTTTAGTAAATTCACTTAAAAGACTTGGTTATTTTGAACAAACCTTTTGCGAACAACACACTAATATTTCCCTAATGCTTGTATCTCTGCTGCAGTGCTGTAATCTTCTACTGATCGAGACCCTGAAGGATCCTCTGTGCTTCAAAGTGTCCGATCAGACTATCCCCAAACAGCAGCATGTTGTCCAGGTGAGTCCTCGAGCACAGGTGGACCGACACACCTGAAACTCCAGAATCAGTTTGGAGGTTTTTTGTTTGGATGTATACCTTCATGTGACTCTGTTCAAACTTGTTTTATTTCTGCAGACAAAGAACCAGGAGGAGAAGAGACTGTGGGTGCACTACCTCAAGAGACTGATTGTAGAAAACCATCCGGCCTCTCTCCCACAGAAGGTAAGGAAGGAAAGAGGTAACAAGGGAGAAAGACAAGGAAAGAGAAAACAAAGAGGAGTTTCTGCTCTTTTTTTTTATAAATTACATTTTCACATGAAACTGATGCACAACCCTGTACCAAAAAAGCTGAATGTTGAATGTGATGCCAACAGGACTCTTCTACTACAGAGCTATACTGTTGTAATAACTGGATTATCATAGTGGTCCCAGTATAAGCTGCAGCAGCAGGAGGAGAGATGCAGCTGCTGTCACTGTAGTTAATAGTTTGGCTATGTAAGGTTTTCCTGTTGGTCTCTGCTGCCCTCTGCTGGTCATTCTACTAACCCTTTTTAAAAGTGCATCAGAGGGAAAAGCTGCACCCTTTTCAGTGTGAGCTGCTACTCTATTGGGAGAAAACACATCAACAAAGCCTGACATAGGCTTTCCATAAGGTTTATTGTGTGTTACAGTGTTTTGAATATTTATTCATCATTGGTAATAAAATATCAAGAAGTAAAACTCTCATCTTCAGAAGTATTCATTTCCTGAACTGCTGCATGCACAGAGTAGTTTTTCTCTGTTTAGTCATCGCAGATCACATCTGCAGGCTTTAACACAGCCAGTAGAGGAGGGTAGAGCCTGACATCATTGTTTCAAATGAGGTCCCCTAAAGAGAGTCAGATTCTGGGTCAGTGTTGATTTAAAAGCATTTGTGTAACGCTCTCCCTGAGCACGACAAGAATTAATTCCAGCACAAACAGCTCTAAACATGCACACTTGGACGCGTAGCTGGTGAACCGTAAATCTTTATTGCATCCTGCTGACACTTTTGTGCAAAGCCATGCAAGATAAAAAAAAGACAGACACCATCATGAAAAGGAGGAAGAAATACACGGATGTACAGCTGAGACAAATCAGTCAGAGTCTGAACCCAAATATCTGCAGACACTCAGAGATGCTGCTTCATCCAGACATCATGAAAGACATACAAACACGGAAGTACTCATTTCCTGAACTGCTGCATGCACGGAGTAGTTTTTTGAGTGTTTTTCTTTGTCACACAAACATGGTGTCTGATCTAAAGTGCACAGCCATGCAGCTGTAGTCCAGACACTCATTTATTCTGTCCGGTGAAGGTCTGATAGCCTTAAAGAAAAGGTCTTGATCCTTTTTCCTCGGAGCCTGTTCAGGACCTGAAGAAGAAAAAAAGATCCATTAGTTACTATAGCAGAATCACAGCTGGTGGCCCAAACACTTGAGACAGGAAGCTCACTAAATATTTTAAAATAGGCCAAGGGTTACAAACAACCAGACTTTCCTTTAATTCAACATTTTATTTTAGCAGCCATGAGGACAAACTCTGAGTATTTTAACATTTTTCAGTTGAGAAACTTCAGGTTGAAAGAAAGTTTCTTCTGTCTGCAAAGTACCGTTTACTCTGATTTATCAGTTTTATTTGAAGCCAAACGTATTTTGTAAAGGGGTCATTAATCTTCCAGCTCTTATCAGGCCCTCTTTAAGTTTAAATGATGCAGGCGGAGGAGATTTCACAATCGTTCACTGAGCTGAGTTTGCTTTTTTCCAGGCGAGGCAGGTCCTGGGAGACAACTTCTGTCAGTGTGAGTTTAAACACACATGCACACACGGCATTTTTGTTTGCCTTTAGCGCACTTTATTGTTCATTATGCCAGATCCATAAGGAATAATTCAGCCACTTATTCAAGAGTGAAACTGTCTGCATATCTGCTTCACATTTAACATCATTTCCTGTATTGCAGCTCCCCAGTTCGACCAGGAACACCTGAAGAAGTTGTCTATGTCGTCGAGAATTGATGACATCCACGGATATCACAGAGGCAGACGTCAGTCAGGTCAGGGTCAGTCTTCCTCCTTCTCCTACTGCAGAAAATCAAAATAAAAGCTGCATGTTGTTCATCATTTAGTTGCTCTCGAACATGCAGTATTTCTATACTTTACTCTCTGCAAATTAAAACCTGTCAGGAAATCTCTGCCACCACGTGATCTGTCTTCTTCCTCTGTGCCATAGGGCTCTATTGTCAAAAGTTTTAATAGTCACTAAGATCAGAACTGCATTGAGTTAGAGCTAAAACCTACAAGCAAAGCAGACAAGCAAAGCAGGTTCAGTTAATGAGAAAAACACAGAGAGCTTTACCCAGGAGTGAGGGGTCAGAGATACATCCTCAGGTCGGCATGTTGCACTATCAAGGTGAACAACAGTCACATTCATTCAGAATGAAAAAGAGAGAGGAACTAAACTGGAACTCCTGCATGACGTTGCTTTATCCAGGAATCCCTGAATGTGTGTGAGTTATCGCAGTTAATTCGAGGCCAAAAAGTAAATTTTTGAAGCATTTATCAGCAACAAAGTGTTTCATACAAGACATGAAAGAAATCATTACAGAGGCAAGAAGAACAAACTGAAATACAAAGCATTGAAAAAAAAAAAAAAAGTGACATTTAAAGTAATTAAAACAGCCACAAAAATCACAGTCAGAAATAACTGTGGGAATTACTGCACACTTTATTGACACTGATTTGACAAATATAGAATAAAGTTTTTGACAAAATAAAAAGCCCTGGTTTCAGACCACACTGGTGCAGAGGAACGGGTTTTATTAATATCACCAAACAGAAGTCAGGAGTTCATTTAAAGTACTTCATTTGAAGAGGCTTATAAAACTGACTGTACATTTGAGAAACAGCGGATCGATCAGTTTGACCTGCAACAGTATCTACCCAACCGATTATAAAGAGGATAGAGCTAAATTCCAACAACCCTTGTATCACATTTGGAGTATGAGGTAGTGGAGCACTACTGCGATCTCCTGTGGTGAAACAAATGTATTACAATGAATGAAAACTGATTAAATACTAAGAATTTCTGACAAACTGCTGTTTTCTACATGTTTTTTCACTTTTCCTCCTGTTTCTACATGTAATGGAAAGAGACCTTTTCACATATAAATAGATGAGAAATTTTAAGGAATATAACTTTTTCATCATAAACACAAAAGATAATCAGTTAGCTCATCTATTATCACTTTCAGAGTCAGAGCACACTTTCTTCTTTGTGTTTTTTATTTTTTTTAAATAACTTATTCTCTCTCTTTTTGCACCTATTGTCCCTCCAGAGCCTCCAGAGCTGCTCATGTACACGCCTGAGAAGTCCAGAAAGAGTCTCCCTCTGCTGCTGGAGGGAAACCTGCCGTACAGACGCACCAGGAGACAATCAGGTACTCAGACACCCATTAGTACAAGCATGACCACTAATAATCTGGATTGACACAGCATTTAAAGGCACAGTACATCAACTACATACAGCCCATTTGCATTACTCAAACCAGCTGTTTCTCGGGTTTATTTATCCTGTAGTTCCCCACGTTTACTTAAAAGTCATGATATTTTGTGAGGGAGAAAGTTGTTAAGGTTGCCCGTGAAACAACTGAAACTGATTTTCTAGATCTGAGACCTCAACCCTGAAGTTTCTGTCTTTTCTGGGATGACCAATTGAGTAAAAACCTGAATATTTTAGTACTGCAGCTGTTTTCAGAGGCAAAATGCTGTGAGTAGATTGATTGAAGTTTCTGTTTGTTTTTCAGCTCCAGCTAAAGACATCGAAGCAGCATTTCATCCAAACGGTGAGACCTTTTCTTTAATCTTCACATTCAGGCACATGTTTACAAGAGTGAGGCTTCAGTTTAAATACTGGAGAAGCAATCTCTTAAAGTTACTTAAGTGTCTTTAAAGGTCGAAAAAAAAAAGAGAAATATCATTCTCCTGGATTCATGATGATACTGAAAGACAGAGCAAAGCAGCAAAGTTGAAAAGAAACAAATTCAAAAAGGAAGAAAAACATCAGACTGGTTGGTGTTTTAAATATGCTCCAAAATTTCAAAACTGATTTTATGTTGCATTTGATTTAAAGTCTCCAAAATCACTTCAGCCTCTTTAGTAACAAGAACTAAGGCTCAACGATGGAGACTGATAATTATAAACAAAACCAAAAGGTTCAAAATGTTCAAAAATAATTGAAAACAAAACAAAACAAAACAACAATAACAAAGGAGTCAAAAGAGACTGGAGGCTGCGGCCAAAATGATCAAAAGTTGAAAAGGTGCAGGACCAGCTGTGTATTTGACCTGAACCATTACCCTGAACCAAGAGACAAAAACCAACCAGAGTAAGTAAAGCAGCAAATCTGAGCTACTGTCTCCTGCTTAAACTAAAGCAGCTAAAACCGAAACAACAACAAAAACATGTCTTCAGAAAGACTCTGCAGTTTATCAGGATAAAACTTAAACTTCACAGCATCCCCACACTTCTACTCTACCCACTCCACTCCCACTGGCAATTTATAGCTAACAATAGTCCCTCAGGGTATTCCCTAGAGTGAAGGTAAAGACTGAAAGGACTGCAGGATCAATGTTAATATCTTTGTCTCAACTAAGACCTGCACATGAAGTCAAAACAGACATCAACGCATGCACAGAGAAAACGTGCTCACTCCAACAGAGAGGCAGGAAGGCTGCAGCTGGGTTTCAAACCATGAACTGTCCTACTCATAGGCAGCAGCACTATCTGCTTAACCACTGTGCAGCCCTGCATGAAGTCAATTTGTCTCATGAGACTTGACTTGGAATGAGACTTGACTTGATTTATTCATCAAAATGGACTGCCAGGAGGATGTGAATATGCTGGAGTTAGTCATACTGATAATTCACAGACTTTAACAGTGCAGTAATTGATTAAAACAGGTTTGTCATTAGGAAAATTGGTTGTTAATTGACTAAGGTGATGTTATTAAACACAAATTACAACTTAAAATTATTAACTTTATGACTGCTGTTGCCTCTGGGCTCTGTAGATGATGTCTGATCTATTGATTTACAACATGTTAACACAGGTTTTGGCTGGGTGCAGCAGAACTGGCTGCAGCTGTGACAACGTAGATTCCAAAAACAGGGCTGCTGTTTGTGTTGAAACTGAAAGAGTTGTTGTTTTGCTGTGAATGCCAAGTGTTTGTCAAATAATGTTAACCTCTTAATGACTGAGCTGTCTCTCTGTCTCTCTCTTTTCCCTTCTACATCTATGGTTTCCTCTGCCTGGGTAATCCTACAGCTCTGAAGGTAAGAAAGCACCTGCAGGCTTCACTGACTGTGAAAGACAATTACACACTGGTGGAATTTTATGTTCACACACACACAAACCACAACTTCTGTTTACAGTCATGGATAAGTGGAGAGAAACAGGGGCACTGTTTTAAAACAAAAAGGACAGAAAAATAAAGCTTCAGATTATAGAGCAGCCTAAAAGTTGACATGGTTAGAGTTAGGGTAACACTGCAATAAAAATGAGACAGAACATATAACAAAAAACATCCAACTATACTTCCCATTGACTAAATAACAAGATAGTTTTAAGTTTAGAATAGAATAGAGTTAAATTTAACTTAGAGGAATCAAATTGAAAAAAGGATAAGAGACTGGAAACAGTAGCATAAAATGAAACAAAATATTATATAGTAAGGAGTGAAAAAAAACAGAATAGAATAGAATGCTTTTGTTGTTGATGCATGTTTATAGAAGTTATATGTGCTTTTCTGAAAAAGTAAAAAAAGAGTAAAAAACTGGAAAATAAAGAGTACCATTCCAATTATAGGAAAATGAAGTAGTGTGTAGTACATTCTTAAGTTCCTTCATCTGATATACATTTTCACGGCTAAAGTTCCCATAAGGCAGAGTAGGTAAAATAGGAATGTAATAATCGGCATATTACTCAGAATAGCATATTTTAGGATCTTTGTTACAGTATTTAACTGTACTTTGATACATTACTGTTCATCACTTATTTGTTGTGTCTGATTAAGGTGTAGCTAATTGTAGATCAGTTGTTTAAATGTAATTTTTATTCATATACTGACAGGTGGGGAGAGAATTCCCCTGACAGTTAGATATTGACTCGATTATCATCTTCCATCATCACTGTTTACCTAAAAAGTACCTTCTAGTGAGATTGAAGATTTTCCAAATTCATTTAAGCCAATAGTTTTTTTTTTCTTATCTACTCTACTAAGTTAAAATTTGTGTATGTTATGATGCTCTGTAAAGCAGATGCCACTGTGTTGTTTACTCTTGTGTGTTTTACTCTAAAGAAAGCAGCGCACTGTCATCTACACTCGACATGTCTATACAAAACAGGATGGGACAGTGCACATTGATATTCACTACCAAAATAAAAGCTTACTCAAGCAGACAACATGCCGCAGATGAGCTGCATGTGTCTGATTAAAGTGTGCTCACTGAAAGTTCTTGTTTTTGTCTATTCTATTGGCATTCTCAGATTTGTATTCGAAGTGTCTGATAACATTACAGATAGGACCCCTGCAGTGAGAGAGAGCTCATAAAAGGTGTTCTGACTTTATATTAATTTAAGTGTTGGCAAGGAACTGTGTTGGTGATGTTTGCCACATTTGCAGATCAGATGAAATAAAAAACACTATTTAAAAATGGCTCTCATTGTTGGTATGATGCTCTTACTCCAGCAAGCCGGTAGTGAAGGTGAGCTGTGCGAGGCAGAGAGTTTGTGCTCAGCAGGCAGCAGCAGCACCCTCGCATCATCTGTGATTGAGGTGGAAGCTGAGAAGACTGAACTAGGACTGATGCCACAGCAGCATCCAAACCAGGAGGAAGAGGTACTTAATTCTGATATATCAGATCTCATTGTATGGTATCAAACTCTGTCATATCATCAAATTAAATCATATTGTATGATATTTAACCATATCAATTATCATATTGAATTGTACCATAATTGTATCATTTAGCATTATATCACATTGGATCATATTGCATTGTAAGGTATTACATCTGAAAGGCATTTTTGGGCTTTGATACTATAGTTTTGAGGAGAATGGGACACTAGATAAAGCAGGAAAGTGGGAAAGAGATTGAAGAGTGAAATGCAAGCCAGAACCAAATTTAGCCTTCCACTTGAGGACATAGCCTCTGTGCATGGGACCCATGTTTAAACTGCTACATGTTGTAATTTTCTGTTTGGTATCATATTGTCACATATTTTGTATCCTACCCTATCCTTACCTGTCTTATCCTATCTAAGCCCATCCTTTCCTGTCTAATCCTATTGCATTGTATAACATCTTAATCCAGCCCATTCTAAGGCTCAAAAAGCTACAAAATAACCGTCAAAAATAGGTTTGCTTTGCACATCAAGCACCCCTGATCCCTTAAGCTCATTTTTTCACACCTTGCATACTTCTTCATCTGACTCTATAACTAAAATAGAAAGTTCAGCCACAGGAAAGATCCCAAAGGGCTACCTTTATGTTATATTTTGAAGCCTCTGGCTACTGCCTAAGCTGTTGAACCTGAGAGGTTTGAGAGACAACAAACTCAATTAAATGTTTTCAATTTAATTTGTCTCAAATGAGGAGGAAGAGGAAGAAGATCTACCACCTCTCAGCCCTCCTCCAACGCTGTCCATCACAGAAGAAATCCTGGAGTTTATCAACCAGAGCAGAGCCAGGGAAGGACTTGCTGCCATTCACTGTGACACAAAGGTTCGAACACATCATGAAACAAAAATCGATCTTACTTGAAACAGCTGTAAAGATTTCTGATTTAAGGTTATGAACAAACAGAAAGTTCACTTTTACACCATACTTCACTATGGCAGTTAGTTTGTTTGATACTGTATCTTTGTCCAAGTGTTTGAGTGATGGAAAGATCAGCCAACAGTTTAAGGCTAGCAGATTGAATTCCTCAAAGATTTTCACTCTTGAAATGTTGCAATTTCTTTCCCTTTCAGGACCAGTTCCAAGGTCAACCCAAAGACTGTCAGCTCTCGTCCGATCAGACAAACTTCACCTGCCCACTGCCCCCAGTGGCCTGCACCTCCAGCCCAGAACACACACCAACAAGCCAGCAGGAGCAGGAAAAAGCTGACATGGATGATGACACTGCCCTCCAAAGTCAGACCAGAGAGGAACATGGACTTGACAGCCAGAAAACTGTCAGTGAAGTTGAAAAGACTCCAGATGAAACAAGTCCAATAGAAAAAGGAATGGAGTCAGATGGAGAAAAGGAAGGAGGAGTGTCAGAAAAAGAAAAAGAAGAGGTGAAATCAAAAGATGAAGAGAAGAAAGTAGGCATCAGTGGTGTCCAAACACCAGATCTCCATCCTTCCAGCTCAGTAGAGGAAGATCCAGTCTTTTCACTAAGCGAAATATCAAACAATGAAGCTACGTCTCCCTCCGAAAATCCCAGTGCCATTCATTCCCCTCCCCAGAGGCGCCCTATCTCAAGAGGGTCTCACCTCAGCAAACGAGATAAAAAGATCATTGAGAAGATCAGGAGCTACTACGAGGCAGCAGCTGAGGCTGAAGAGGATCAGGAAGAGGAGGATGAGCAGGGAGATGGAGCTTCTTCAAGAAGGAGAAACAGTTTCTCACAAATTCCATCAGGCTTAGTGAAAGAGTCGGTGTCAAGGTTTGATGTGACTGAGCACCAGGGGGGGGCAGAGGTTGGACCCTCGTTTGCTTTGGAAACAACTGAAGTTAAGAGAAGAGAAGCTGAAGGTGAAACAGAGCCATGTTCCTTACCTGGTCCAGTGTCTTCTCCTTCTGCACCTGCAGCAAGCAACAATGGTCTGGCAGATAAGTCAGTTGGCCTCCTGGATTTTGATCTAGAGGATCCAATCAAGTCTTCAACGTTACCTGTCATGCCAGACAAGGACACCCAAGAGCAAGTATCTTCAAATCAGAAGTCAAACCTTACAAGGCAAGATGGAGAAGAAACTAAGATGCAAGACCAAAAAGAAGATTCCTGCACAGGACAATCCGAGGAAGGACTTAAGGAGGAGCAGGAAAGGAAGAAGACATGTGCTGAAGATATTGGGGAGAAACTTGAAAATTCACAGCAAAGAGAGGGACCGACGATTAACAAACAGTACGAGTCCATAGGTGGAACAAACTCTGGAAACCAAGCTGTAACGAGCAGGCTTGAACCAAACAAAGCAAGCCCAACAGAGCCAAATGGAAGTCTCAAAGAACCCTCAATACTTCTAACCAAAACCCAGTCTACTTGGGCTAGAGCCAAACAACAAGACCTTACCAAGAGCAGTGGGAATCTCGAGGAGCTCCCCAGCAAGATCAAAGTGGGTCGGTGGTCACGCCACTCTAGGATTGTCACAGCAAACCGGGCTTTGTTTGAAGGCATGGCATCAGACATAGCAGGTATACGGTTATTCGAGGCTGGCCCTGCAGAGGATCCCGTTTTGGTGGAAAATTCAGAGCGAATTCTGAGCAAGGTCCAAACTTTAGCCCAGATGTACAGTGCCAAAGCCAGCACCATGAAGGTCCCACTGCATCAGAAACGGGCCAACACAGTCCGAAACCAGCCACTGGTCTCAGGTAGACTGTCTGGACTCTCAACTCAGACCCAAACTAAAGGTAACACTCAGGTTCAATCTCAGACCCAAATGCAGAACCAAACAGAGTACCAGCAGCAAACAAAATACCAGACAGAAATAAGAGAATCTGTCACCAACAAAAACAGGAAACACAGGACCGAAACTCACCCAGAAGCCAAAGTTCAAAGCCAAACTATCACACAAAGTTGTCACCCCAAAACCCAGTTGTGGGGTCAGACACAGATGCAGCACCAAAGCCAGAGCCAGAACAGAACTTATATTAAGAACCAGACTCAAACCATGAGCCGAGGGGACCAAGTGATCCAAGAGAAGAGGCCAATAAGGAGAGCGCAGAGCTTGACAACAGGTAGGATGGTCTTTCAAAAGCTTCTTTGCATATTGGTCTCTTCAAGGGTTGGGCCTTCAGATTATTGTCTTGTACTATCGTTGACAGCCCAGTAGTCATGCCTCCGTACTGCTGTGAAGTTTTTCCTCAGTGGTCAGTTATTATCACGACTGAGTTAACTGTTCTGTTTGTCTCATCCAGATATCCGGGAGCGAACGCTGGCCCCTTGTGAATCTCTGCTTTTCGGGCATGTGTTTGTCAAGGAGCAGCTCACTCAAACCTGTCAACAACAAACAAATGGAGTCATCCTCTCCAGGCCGAGGGACTTCATCTCTGCCTTGACCAGAGAAAGAGATGACATTTCTCAGCCTTTACCAGGGGCAAACTTACAGTCTCCAACAGAGGACCAGATATTCTTTCAGGCCCAGAATAATGGCTACAACTCTGAGTATGTCTCAGCTGAAAAGTCCTCCATACCATTAAGATATCACTCTAAAACACAACCTGAAGATCAGAACTTGAGTTTATGCTCTGCCAGTATCAGCCCTTTGACCTCTGCCATGAATCTAGACTCTAAAGCCAACAAGTTTGCAGACAACTGCTCCACATCTTCTTCAGGGAGAGGTGGAATCCTGACACAAAATGGAGAGGTTCATTCTGAGACTGAAGAGACAGATGTGAGACACAGGTGAGTCACAGAAATGGGTGACACATGACAAAAATGTGACAAGCTGTTATGGGGGAAACGAAAGGCCTGACAGAGTTGGAATTAAACCTGCAACCGCAATGGGGTCCATAGTTTCCAACATAGGGCATACCTTAACCTGCTTGGCCATCAGCGCACCCTCTCTGAAATCTTTAAGTTACATTTTTGGTATGCTATGACTTCAATAGTAGTATAAATTTACATACTTGGCTTGAACTGCTTATCTTTTTAAGAGTATACTCTTATTTACCTTATTTACTCTTAAAAAGATAAGTAGTACAAGTCAAGTGTACTTAAACCTAAGGCACAAATACAAACTTGAGTATATCTTGATTAAAGTTTATGTGTAAGTATAGGTTAAATATATTTAGACTTTTAGTATAATTCTTCATACAAGCCAAGTATACTTAACATTAACTTTGTTAAGTATATCTCCGAACAGTGCATAAAAACTCAACCAAAAGCATACTTAGTTAAAACACTGTATACTTGAAGTACACTTCAACATACTTCTTTTTAGTAAGGGTAGTAATGTGGATGTAGTTACTCCTGACTGTATGTGAGCCATGTTATTGAGATTGGAAGTGGCAGGTTTCACATTTTACTCCATCACGTGTAATGGCACAGCTTGTATGTGTGGGGCTGAACCACAGATAACCCCAGGTTATCTATCTAAACCCTGATGATTATAAAACAGTCATGAACAGACTCTGTACAAAGACAGAAATCATTTTTAGGTTATTCGGAGATAGCACTTTTGTCTTAAACACTGAGTTTAAGCATGTAGAGGATCCTGTACAGTGACACACAGTCTCAGCAGATGGTAGAAAAAATCTCAGTCCAGCTTCACTGGGCTGTTAGTGCCAGTGTTAATAAGCATAGAGAGTCGGGTATTTAGCTCCAAAGAATGCATGAATGCTCATTTGAAAGTATGCAAACAAGACTGATGGACGCTATTTGTTCTCCCATACAAAGGCATTTAAGCTCCTGTTTGTGAGATTAATTGTGTCTCATTGGCTTGTTTACCCTGGTGTATGTGCCTGAAAAATACCACAATCCTTTTCTCTGATTTTCCCTGTTTTTTGTGTAGGTTGGAGTCGAATGTGGGATGGCAGGATAGCTCAATCAGAGAAGATTCAACATGTGTAAACATTGATACCCAGCCAGCACATACTGAGCCAAGTCCTCCTGCTCACAACATACCACAATGGGACATTTCCGCAGATGGAAAAGAGCTGGACACATACCAGCAGGATATTCCAGCTGGTGTTTCTGCAGAACATCAGGACAGTCGAGACACATTAACCAAAGGTGTGCAGAGCAGTCATGCGAGGCCTGGATACTTGATTTGCCAAAGGCCTGTGGATGGAGATGAAATCCCCGGGCAGCTGGTGCTAACAGTAGCTTTTCAACAAAACCAGCTTCAGACTGAACACAATACATCCACAGTGCCTTGCTTGGATCTGGTCTGTGGGCAGACTCAAATGGCCACACTTAAACTTCTGGGGCCCTCAGAGGGGCAAAAGAAAGACGTGCTCCCATGTGGGCAAACCAAAGTTAATGAAACAAAGAGTGAATTAAATGACTCATCATCACAAACCAGAGTGATCCTACAAGGTTCAGCAGTGACCTTTACAGAGCAACCACATTACTGTATATCCACAGAGGAACCACTTGTTCCATCAACTCCGAGCTGGCCTTTAAACACGACCTCTGATCCTTCACAAGTTTTTAGCCATACAGTCACAGAGACTGCAGAGGACCAGGCAGTAAAAATAGAGGAGGCAGATTCAGGTTTTACCCAACCATCACCTCCGTCTCCACAGTCAACAGATTTTCTGCCAATGTTGACCAGCCAAATGCCGCCAGCTATATCAGCCACGCAGGGAAAACTGGCCCAGACCAATGCCAGAGATGATGGGAACCCATCTCCATATGAGCACAGGTATGTTTTTGACAGATTCATATGACAAATGAACCCCCAAAATGCAGACCTTCCAATCAAAGTTTGGCACATTGATCTGCCTTTTTGCTCTTTTCTTCTGAAAAAAGAGAAATGTTAGACATGGGAACTTCTGACCCCTTGATCAGCCTGAAATTTTGTTTGCTTTGTGATAAAACAACACAAAAGACTTGTCAGGCCAAGTTTCCTTTAAAGCATGTTGCAAGCGCTGGTCCTCAATGTGTTCAAGCTGAAGAGTAATCACTGGCTAGGAATCCCATCTTGGCTAGTCTGATGTATGAAAACCACATCAGTGGGAGGTTTTACAATTTTGTTTTTCTGTGAGCCCAAAGCAAATTCCTTGTGCCAAATTGAAGGGAAATTAGCAAACTGCAACAGTGAAGTGAAGCAGGCAGTTTCTATAATCAGTTTCCTTTTTGTTTTATAGCCCCTTTTAAGTGTTAATCCACATGAAACCTTCTAAATGCAACATAGTCCATACTGCAGAACAATAGGAGGAGAAATGAAACTGTTGTCTGAGCTACATTGGGTCATTACAAAAAAGCTGTATTTTTGGACAATGTTGCATTGATTTTTAATGTCATTTTGCCCTTTAAAACACATACTAATATAACACAAACAATGTAAAGAATGATAAACCAAAATATTCAAGTCCTATATTGCCCCTGCGCTGCAGTATGCACAGGCTTAGACAGAGTTACGGTTCTATTTTTGTTCCTCGCCGGCGACGTGGCATAGGCAGGGTGTTAGTCAGGTCCGCCGCGTCGACAAGGCGTGCCCAAGCACATTGTGGTATTTTGGTGAGCGGCGCAGCCCAGTGTAAGTATCCCCCTCCCTAACTCAGCTTCTCCTAGCGGCGTAAATCGTAGAGAGGGCGTGGAGTGGATTTAACACAGCCGAGACCTGTTTTCGCCAATCGGAACCGCTCCTCTCCTCACCTTTAAATCTGCCACCGGCGAGGCGTATTACAAGTTTCGTGAAGTAGTCAAAGAGATCAAGAGATGTCTGAAGACAGTTATGCCATACAATGGCGACAGAAGGCAGCCCCTCAACAAGTGTCACGGTAAGCGCTGCAGAGGGCGTCCTCCACACTGTCTCATATAAGCACAGATGGATTTGGTGTGTGTAATGTTGGACCCACTGGTTAGACAAACACTCTTTTCCACAAATAAAGACACTCACATAAAGTTGCATATATATTCAAACCTCACGTGACAAAGGTGGGTTGTGCGCACAGATTACAACATAAATTCCAATAATGGCATTAAAATCGGAACCATCTGTGCATAAATGCTGCATCGTGATCCATGGCCTGGCTCTTTCTTTCATAGATTATGGCATATAAAATAAATTTGGCTCATTAAACTGAATATTATTATATTTGTATGTAGGCTTAAATAACTCATCTGATCACTGAAACAAATCATCTGTTCAGCCGCCGCAGCTGCAGCAGGACAGGGAGAGGACACAGAGACATGTCAAGGTCGAGCTGTGCAAGAAATAAAAGAAAGAGGAAGATAGAAATAAGGGGGAGACGAATTAAATATCTCGTTCACTTCATGATGTGTGTCTTTTTACTAAATATTTAATTTAATTTAATGCGGTTTCAGCTGTGTTGATTCGGTCAGGTTGTGTGTCCAAACGTGTGCCAAACGCGCTCATCAGATAAGATATAGATCAGCATATAGATATAGATCTATATAGATCTAAATGTATGTGCTGACTCAGAATATTAGTTGTTGTTGTTTATTGCACTGAAATGTGCCTGAAACTGTGGAAACCTGCCTGTTAGGTTTTCTGTGAGGCAAACCTGAGGCACTGGTGACGTATGAGCACGACACCGGCGGTCTACCAAAATACCACTAAACCAGCTGCGCTCCGCCTGCACTGAAAGCTGACCAGGTCTGAATCGGCAAGGTTTCAGTGCACTTTATGAAAATGTCACTGTGCCAGCTGATTCTGTCAACATCTCCCCCTACTGTGCCACCACGCCCAGCTTGGCGGACCTAGGTGCGCCTCAGTCAAAAAAAATACCAAACTGGCTGTACGCTGGCCTCCGCCAGACGAAAATACCACCGTGCAGGGTTCGCCACCCTCCGCCGCGTCGCCGGTGGGCACGAAAATAGAGATCACAATCTCGCAATATGGGAATTATACCTCAATATTATCAAAGACAAAAATTTAATGAATTATTAGATTCTGTTTCAATGTCAATTATGTCAATGAAAAAAACTACAATAAAGGTTTTGCATTAGTGGTAGAATCTAAATAAAGTTGGGAACTGTTCACAGATTTAAGCACTCGTCATGACCTTGATACCAATTTCTGATTGATCAATTTTGTCAGTGTGGAGACACAATATTTTGGCTAGAAGTAAGGACTTGTGATCCAGGGTTTGTTGTTGAGGAAACAGCGAACAGTTTTTGTGGGTATAACTGTGTCTCTACAGAAGTTGACATATTCAGGAAAGCAGTCAACCTGTTTACCAATGTTCATACTATCCACATCTGTTTCCAGCAGCACATTCCAGTCTGTTGATTTAAAACTGTCCCTTAGAGCTTCACTGGCTTGTGGTGTCCATCTTCTTATTTTGACTTTGGTCACAGGCTGTCTCAGCACACAAGGTCTGTAACAGGTTTGCAGATAGACCAAGTTATGATTTGACTTGCCCAGTGGTGGTAAGGCAGTGGCTCTGTAGGCTTCTTTGACGTTGGCATACAGCAGATCCAGGGTTTTGTTTTCTCTGGTAGGACAGTTCACAAACTGTGGGAATCCATTCAGGTGAGAGGAGAGGGTGACATGGTTGAAGTCTCCCGATATTATTATTAGTGCCTCAGGGTGTTGAGTCTGTAGCCTGGCAACACTATTTTGCAAAACATCGCAACATTCTTCAGTTGATTTGGGTGGAATGTAAACTACTGTTATGATATGACTAAATTCTCTTGGAACATAATATGGCCGAAGAGAAACTGCCAACAGTTCAATATCTGGACAACACAACTTCTCCTTGACAGTTATGTGTGAAGGGTTACACCATCTCTGGTTGACAAATAAAGCCAGACCTCCTACTTTCTTCTTGCCACTAGCTTGAGCATTTCTGTCTGACCTTATGAGAGTGAAACCAGGTAGATCCACACTGGAGTCTGAGTTGTTGTGATTCAACCAGGTTTCAGTAAAACACAGGAAACTGCACTCACGGTATGCTTTCTCAGTCTTCACCAAGATCTCCAGCTCATCACTTTTGTTGTGCAGAGAGTTGACATTTCCCATGATGATTGATGGAAGAAAGTGTTTATATCGCCACCTCTTAGCATTCAGCTTTGCCTTCACCTTAGCACCAGCACGGCAACCACGATAACACCCCCTGATGTCCTCTGGAATTGTATGTTGTTGTCCAGATTTGCTTTTCCTCAATGAAAGGAGCTCTTCTCTTGAGTAAACTCTTCGCCCAGCAGAAGTATCCATCAGCAGCCAACAAAATTACAACAAAAATATGAAATAAATCTAGCATAAATTACAAAAAATACAGATAATACAGAGAGACCAGACTTGTAGCAACCTCTCGGTTCAAGCGCATAATTTTTTATTACATCACTTCATAAACATTACCAATAAACACAACTGATATTTTAGTTCAGATCTGTTTATAAAGATGCTTAAAAGTTGTTTTTCATCCTCATTACCAGCCTCGTGACAGAAAAGTCACCGCCGTCCTATTCTCGTGATTTCACATTTAACAATACTTTGTCCTCAAAATCCCAGTGTTTTACAAAATCCAAATAAGTCCTCAACAGCCAAAGAAACTTCTCTTTGATGCTCTTGGAAAACCTCACTTTCCTCTTGCATCTCTTTCTTCTGTAGTAGATACTGCACAATGATCTAAAGCTAGGATTAGGGTTGGAAAAAAGGTTTTGAAAAAAAATCATTAGAGGGGTCTGAAAAGTTGTTAAATCTAGCGACAAAGGTTAGGTTGCTAGGTTGGCAACACAGCTAACAAGTTTTTTTTCTTCTGATGTAACTTCATTCCATAATGTTGCTTATGGTTGGTAGCAATCATCATAACAAAGAGTAACTACAGCCTTCTATAATCAAGTTAGTTACACAAAAGTCTGCCATTGTCAGTACCAGTGAATTGTAAAAGCCCTAATCTATAGCTCTGATGATGGCAGTGAAGATCTAACTCTACAAGTAGCTGTACTCTTTTTAATATTTGCTTTTCTGTCAGTCACAGGGAACCACAGAGCTCAAGAAACCCCAGTTGCCAGCTCATTTCAAGTATCTCCTCAGGCAGTCATCCAGCCTTCGGACCCTCTTTGGAAACATCCAGACAAGAAGAGAGACAATATTCGGCCATGTCCGATCATGACCAGGACATAACCCCCACCACAGCCACCATATTCAGCCTCAGGCAACACTCCACTTCCCCTGTTCAAGCTTTGCTATCCTCCCCCTCCTCTGTGGGTACAACACCCTGCACCTCCCCATTCAGGGTTGTTACAGCATCCTCACCCATCCCTCTATCTAATGATGAAAACTCCTTGAACAAGTTCTCCAGGACTCAGTCCTGTTTCTCACCAACACTCTCCTCTGGAATAGGCTCCTTGATTCAAGATCTTCCTTCCTCTTCTCCAGCACCATCTTCCGATTTTACTCACTTATCCTCTACTTCTTATTCCTGCAGGTCCTCATCCATAAGAGCAGGTCCTCCATCCTCCCCTTCCTCTCTCCTCTCCCCGACATGCTCCTCCCCGATCAACTCTTCTTCTGTATTCACCAGATCCTTAGCTGCCTCCTGTATTAGCCAGTCCATTAGTCAGAGTTTGGCAAGAAAGAACACCACCCTGCAACAAGCCCAAACAAACAGGGTGGACCAGAGCCCCTCTCCTCATCTGCGACAGCGCTCACCTTCACCTAAACTCCATTCTAGCCATCAAGGCTCTAAAGATGGGCACCACCATCTGAAGAGCCCGCCATCTTCTCCCTGGTCCACTTGCCTCTCTTCATCTCCCCTGCAATCATCTTCCCCTTCTCATCCCCAACCATTTCCTTCTCCATCTATGAGTACAGCCCATCATCAGCCTCCCCACTCTGCTTCCCCTTCCCCTCGTCCCTCATTCCTTCACAGCAAAACGGACTCAACAAGGAATGCAAACAACAATAACAACCTAAGCTTAGCTGGTATTACCACAGCAATAAGCAATGCAAGTAACTTGAGCAACTGTAGAATGAACCGGGCGATCAGCAATGGAGTTTGTTCTGCCAACTCCCAGAGAGTGCCACAAGCCAACAGTAGCACCAGTGCCACAGGGATCCAACAAACCTATGACCCTCTCTGGTCAGGGTCCCACAATCGTGTTGCCAGGCCTTTTTCTGCATCAGAACCCAGCTCTAGAGTTCAGTCTCCATCTCCCTCTCCAACCACTTCCTATACCTGCCTGTGCTCCCCACCTCCACAACATAACTACTCCTCCCCTATGGCACACAAACCCCCCAATCCCCGGACCACACGGATAGGAGATTCAAGTTCCCACAATCCACAAGGTCTCACTTTGGAGCTGTCAAATGAGACCTCTTCAGGTCCAACATTTGGGCAGTCTTCCTTGTGCCTCAGCCCTCGGATCCTGTCCCCTCCCCCTATTGGTGTGTCAGTGAATGTTTGGACAAATAATGTCGCAGCACCCCAACCAAGAAACCCTAGATATGTCCCCTCCTCTCCATCACCTTCCAATACTTCCTCACTGGGTTCTCCAACACAGGAAAAGGCCTTTTGTCCCAGTTCCTCATTACTGTGTAGTCCAAGAGCTTCTTCCCCTTTTGCATCCAGCCCCCAGACAACCTCTCAAACCCATCGTAGGTCCTCCTCCTCCACCCTGGCAGATAGGCCCCCAAGTCCAGCCAGGAGCAGTTCAAGTGGGATGCGTCGCTCTTGGGCAGACACTAGTCGAAGGTCCCTTGGTTTTGGTGGTAGTGCACAAGGGTCTTTTGACCAGCAGGAGTCCTATCCAACAAGTCCAAGAAGTGGATGGTCCTCTTATGGCAACTCACCATCCTGCCTCAGCCCTCAAGCTGGGCTGCAGTCCCCACTTTCACCAAGCAGGCTTAACCCAGGAAGAGGCTCCCTTGGTGGTCAACATTTCACCAGCGTGCCTTGGCCAGATGTACGAGAACTTTCGTACAAATATAATGGATCTGAAAACCCTGACACAAGTGCTACTACTACCATCAGCACTCCCTCTCCTATGTCCTCGATTTCTCACACCCTCCTCTCCTCTCCTGTTCAATCAGAGAGCCAGACAGCATGGGGGGACCCAGACCCAGAGGAGGGTCATTGTCGTAGCCAGTTGATCTGCGCCTACGTTGCCCGGCCTTCCCATGAGCAAAACCTCTCCTCTTTAGGCATGACCTCCCCTCCACCTGTCTCCTATCCCTACCACATTCGCCATTCCCCAGTTAAGATACAACCTCAGGTCCAAATCAACATCACAACAACCCCTGTACCTTCAATGTCTTCTCCACTCGCCTCAACAAGCTCATCACCAATCCCCTTTGCACATCCATACCCTTCAAAACAGGGGAATCAGAAGACCAGCTATGCCACTACAGTCAATCTCCAGATTGCTGGAAGTGGCAGAATAACTTCTTTTAGCACTGCTCAAGTTAGCCTGACCCAAACCCTGCAGGGTGGTACTGGAGCTGGGGGACAGGGTCAGGTGACCAGGAGAGTCAGTATCAATGGACTGTCACACATCCCCTCCCCTATTCATCAAAACTGTGACAGACTATGAAAGAGAAAGAACTACCTTTAATGGCATTAAAAGACAAGTAGGCAAGAGAAAGGCACAAATGTGGATGAACTTGTGCATTCGTCTAGCACAGCTGAGAAGTAACTTGGGCTCCTGAAGTGTCGGTGCTTGTTGCTCAGCGGGGTGAACTTGAAGGTTACCATGTACCAAAGTGACTTCATGAGTGTTGAGAAATAACTTTTTCAACAGAAAAGCACAGGGTCCATCCAATTGTGCACACCTGAGGGACATAATGAATGTGGTCAGCTGTATTTGACACTGGTTTTAGGATGTTACCAAGCCCCCCCCCCCCCCCAGGATGAGGAGGAGTTTGGAGTTTCTACCTGCACAAAGCCGTAACGAAATTAAAATAAAACTATGTATCAGACATGAAATAAATCACTTAGCTGTTGTACTCACACCTGAGCTTCCCGAACCCTAAATACTCAGAGTTCATCTTCATCCGGAGGAAAGAGTTCACCTCAAACATGTTATAAAATACTTCAATATCGTTCATGTTTGGCATTTTAGGAGCTGGATTAAATCTATATTTGTTTATCTCGAAAAAAACAGACCATCCAGTTCCAAATGCCATCACAGTTACTAAATGTATTTTTATATTGTCCTTGTTTTTGTCTGCCTTTCCTATAATCTGTTGAAACATACATTGATTTTTGGCTGTTTGAGGCCAGTGTTTATGTTTTGTGGTAACTGTGGTTAATAATGTCCTTTAAAAAAAAATCTTTTTATTATTTTTTATTTTATTGTTTATTTATGATGTTAGTTATATTCTCTTTGGCACTTATTATCCTTAATGTCATGTTGGTATTTTGCACAGTGTCCCCAGCTCTTGAGTGCATGCATCAAGTGTTTGTTTCATGTGTGTGTATGTTAGATTTTGTGTGTGTTTGTCTAAAATGACGTGTCTGCCAAGTTTCTATTTCACTGCAGACCAAACTAATTTCTGTGTGGTTTCAGTGCTGAATTTGTCCCTGTATTTGTTTTCTGACTTACACATTTCTTGTTGTCAGTCTCCTTCACAAACGTTGGATGTTGAACTTCACTCCGCTGTAAAAGAAAGTGAGGTGGAAATAAATGCATGGCCTTTCAAAGGGATTGACAGTTTTACTTGTAGACTGCATAAAATAAGTGGACAAAGCTTCAGATCTGAAAAGTGATGTCAGGTCTTAAATGTCCTAAATGCATGGTGTCTGTGACTCAGTGAATAAATGGATGGTGTCCAATGCAAGGAAGTGCATTTCATCACACACAGACAAAAATCATAGAGGTAGATAACAAACCACAATTACAGAGAGGGAAAGTTCTGCAGGACCACCATTTTTGCAATGACAGTGTGTAACCCTTATGGTGGGCTTCCATAGAGCTGGCCAATCAAAAGAAAGTAGGCTTGCAAAGGAGGGGGCCCTTAAAGACACAATACCTGAAAAACAGAGGCTGAAAGGAGGTTATCATGGGCATGGGTCAAGCAGAGCCACTGAAGAGGTTTCACGGAGTGCAGATATAAAATGTGTGTGTATAAAGAGGTCACTTTGAAGCTGCATTCTTTGTGATGGCTGGTAAGGGGTTTTTCCAAAGGTTGCAAAAACAGTCACTTTTGTGATAGGCTGTGTGACAGTGGTAGTACTTCATGGTTTAAACATGATGTCACCTTATTAATAACTGTAAACTCTACATTTCTTTCAAAGTCTCCTTCAAAGCTTGATGTTAAAGTTAATAATTTCCCCATTTTAATAATTTTTTATCTGTTGTTTTAAAAGGGTTGAGGTATTACAAATCTTTACACCTGTGCCATGCTTAAGATGTGTTGTTTTTGCCATTTGATTAGGCCAACAAAACTCGCAGGATTTAACTGTTCTTTTAGCCTCTTAGGGCTCTATTTCCTTGCCTCGCCGGCGACGTGGCGCTGTAAGTCAGGTCCTCCGCGCCTACAAGGCATTCCCAAGCACAATTTGGTATTTTGGTGAGTGGCACAGCCCGGCGTAAGTATCCCCCCTCCCTGACTCAGCTCCTCCGTGTCTCATATAAGCACTGGTAAGACAAACACCCTTTTCCACAAATAAAGACACTCACATAAAGTTGCAGATATTTAAACCTCACGTGACAAAGGTGGGTTGTGCGCACAGATCATAACATAAATTCTAATAAAGGCATCAAAATTGGAACCATCTGTGCGTAAATGACGCATCGCGCTCCGTGGCCTGGCTCTTTCTTTCATAGATGTTGGCATATAAAATAATTTCTGCTCACAAAACTGAATATTATAATATTCGTATGTAGGCTTAAAGTAAATTACTCATCTGATCACTGAAACAAATCATCTGTTCAAGCCACCGCAGCAGCAGCTGCAGCAGGACGGAGAGAGGACACGGAGACGTGTCCAGGTCGAGCTGCGCGAGAAATAAGAGGAAGAGGAAGAAAGAAAAGGAGGGAGAGGAATATCATATCTTGTTCACTTCATCATGTGTGTCTATTTACTAGATATTTAATTTAATTGAATGCGGTTTCAGTTGTGTTGATTCGGTCAGGTCGAGTGTCCCAACGCGTGCCAAATGTGTTCATCAGATCAGATATAGATCAGAATATATCAATATTGATCTAAATGTATGTGCACTCAGATTATTAGTTGTTGATGATTATTTATTGCACTGAAATGTGCCTGACACTGTGGAAACCTGCCGGTGCGGCATCGGTGACGTATGTCGATATGCCGCCGGTCTACTAAAATACCACTAGACAAGCTGCGCTTCTCATCGCCTGCGCTGAAAGCTGACATGGTTTGAATCGGCGAGCTTTCAGAGCACTTTACATGCCGGCGGCGAGCACGAAAATAGGGCCCTTTGTCTTAAGCATGCTCTTGAATTTTCTCAATTTGCATCCATTTAAATCAAGGTCAACTTCTGGAGTTCCTCCAATCAAACTACAATAACTTCTGAGCATTAGCCTCCAGTCTTGAGGAATAGAGCTTGTATTGTGTGGGAATGCTACAGACTCTGCAGTCTCTTCGGTGTCCACCTGAGGCCCTCGTCAGGCTTTAAAACATCTATTTAGAAACTGATGGGTGATGTCACTGCGATGAGGTCCACATTTTATACAGTTTATGGTTAAAACATCAAACTTAAGTCTTAAAAAATGAAGCCCACTCTGCCTGCCCCCCCAAAAAAGTCGCCACCAAAAAAAATTTAATACTCTAATATATGGTTGGTCCACCTTTAGCTTTTATACAGCATGCGTTCTCTGTGGCATTGTTTCAGTAAGCGTCTGCAATGTCACAAGATTTATTTTCATCCAGTTTTGCATGAAGCTTTCACCAAGATCTTGCATTGATGATGAGAGAATCCGACCACTGCACAAAGCCTTCTCCAGCACATCCCAAAGATTCTTCTTCAATGGGTTAAGGTCTGGAGTCTGTGGTGGCCACTGGCCAATCCATGTGAAAATTATGTCTCGCGCTCCCTGAACCACTCTTTCACAATTTAAGCCTGATGAATCCTGGCATTGCCATCTTGGAAAATGTCTGTGCCATCAGGGAAGAAAAAAATCCATTGATAGAATAATCTGGTCATTCAGTATATTCAGAAAGTCAGCTGACCTCATTTTTTGGACACATAATGTTGCTTAGCATAGACCTGACCATCTGCAGCAACCCCAGATCATAGCACTGCCTCCATAGTCTTGTACAGTAAGCACCAGGCATGGTAGGTGTATCACCTCACCTGCCTGTTTTTATCACCCTGATGGACACATCTTTCTGGAACAGGGTAAATCTGGACTCATCAGACCACGTGACTTTCTTCCATTCCTCCAGAGTCCAAACATTATGCTCCCTAGCAAACTCAAGCCTTTTTTTTAGTTACCTTATTAATTAGTGGTTTTCTTGAGGCTACACAGCTGTTCAGTCCCAATCCATTGAGTTCTCTTGGCATTGTGCATGTGGAAATGTACAGCCATTCAGGATTGTTTCCTGATCACATTTTTTCCTGGAAGACAACGGTTCCCCACTATCCTTCCAGTTTCTAATAATGCCTAGGACAGTTCTTAAAGGTGGGGTAGGCAGGATCTGAGGAAGTGCTAGTTTTTAGGAGAAATCTTGAATGTAAACACTACCCCTCCCAACCAGTTTTCCCCTCAGCCCCTCCTCTCCCCTTCTTCTCTGCTCCAGCAAGCCCCGCCCACAAACAGACGCTCTGCTCGCTTGAATCATTTCAATTAAATTCAGATATAATGCAGATAAATACTTCAGATGATTACAAATGGGGCCCAGTCAACGTGACAGTAAAAAGCATTGGTGCAACTGTAGATGCCAACAGACTACCAGCAAACACAATCATTGCAGGACTTCTACAACTAGGAGAAAGTGACATAGTCCAGGACCCCGGGTAAACAGTTTAGCGGCGCTACAACACGCAGCAGGTCCCATCTGACAAGAAACACTTCTGTTACAGACACTTAGCTTACTTTGTTACTTTGGTTTACCTGTTCAGCAGAAAGGTTACAGAGTCCATAAGATCCCGAAGCCTCCCCCATCGTTTAATCATTGATGTTGACCCGGCTTCTTAGCTCTTGTCCGGTCATAGCACTGCCTCCATAGTCTTGTACAGTAAGCACCAGGCATGGTAGGTGTATCACCTCACCTGCCTGTTTTTATCACCCTGATGGACACATCTTTCTGGAACAGGGTAAATCTGGACTCATCAGACCACGTGACTTTCTTCCATTCCTCCAGAGTCCAAACATTATGCTCCCTAGCAAACTCAAGCCTTTTTTTTAGTTACCTTATTAATTAGTGGTTTTCTTAAGGCTACACAGCTGTTCAGTCCCAATCCATTGAGTTCTCTTGGCATTGTGCATGTGGAAATGTACAGCCATTCAGGATTGTTTCCTGATCACATTTTTTCCTGGAAGACAACGGTTCCCCACTATCCTTCCAGTTTCTAATAATGCCTAGGACAGTTCTTAAAGGTGGGGTAGGCAGGATCTGAGGAAGTGCTAGTTTTTAGGAGAAATCTTGAATGTAAACACTACCCCTCCCAACCAGTTTTCCCCTCAGCCCCTCCTCTCCCCTTCTTCTCTGCTCCAGCAAGCCCCGCCCACAAACAGACGCTCTGCTCGCTTGAATCATTTCAATTAAATTCAGATATAATGCAGATAAATACTTCAGATGATTACAAATGGGGCCCAGTCAACGTGACAGTAAAAAGCATTGGTGCAACTGTAGATGCCAACAGACTACCAGCAAACACAATCATTGCAGGACTTCTACAACTAGGAGAAAGTGACATAGTCCAGGACCCCGGGTAAACAGTTTAGCGGCGCTACAACACGCAGCAGGTCCCATCTGACAAGAAACACTTCTGTTACAGACACTTAGCTTACTTTGTTACTTTGGTTTACCTGTTCAGCAGAAAGGTTACAGAGTCCATAAGATCCCGAAGCCTCCCCCATCGTTTAATCATTGATGTTGACCCGGCTTCTTAGCTCTTGTCCGGTCTACCTCGGTTTAAAACGTCTGTCATTCCACCAGAGTCCCCGGTATTTACTGCGTTTTTTTGCTTGTGTTGGCAGTTGTGGCTAAAGGAGGATTCAGACAACTTGCCGTACTTTTTGGTTGGTTTCTACTGTCCGATATTGTAGCAGGCTAACTTTGTTTGGGCTTGTGAATGACACAGGGGAGCAGCGCCCACCTCCAAACCAATCAGGTCGAGGAGGCGGAGAATGGCTTTGTTTACAGTCAGAAAGGGTGGGCCACTCAAAAAATTGTAACTGTTGACTACACAGACATAACAAAACACAGCGATATCGTTATATTACCAAATGTCATCAATAACTAATAAATATTGACTGATATTAAACGCTTTTTTGTATATACACCACAAAAAAAGATACTTCTTTAATAGAATCCTGCCTACCCCACCTTTAACCAAATTTTAACCGTTCCTGCAATCTCCTTAGATGTTTTCTCTGCTTGATGCATGAAAATGATTTGACCCTTCTTAAACAGACTGACATCTTTTCCACAACCACAGGCTGTGTCTTTCCACATGGTTATTTAAGAAATGAGAAGTCACTCATTGTATCAACTGGGGTTAAATAACATGTTGCCAGCTGAAAAATAATTCCCCATGCAGTAATAGATCAATAGGTGGCTCGTACCTTTTCTGCTTATTTCAGTCCAGCTGGTGACTTTGATTTTGGCCAGGCAGTGTACTATGTTCTTACTATAGTTTGGGCCTCAGAGCAGATTATAACAGTGTAATGATTGACCTGACACACGTGGAACTCAAGTAAACAGTTTGAGTCAAAGAGGCATGTGACACCTGAGGGCTGCTGGTGGTGAAGTGGAGACACAATCGCTTTTTTTTTTGAGCTGGAAATGTTTATTTCCTGTAACTTTAAAAGCCAATTAAGTTTAGAGGTAAAAATAAAATAAAATAAAAGTGTGTTGTGTTGTGTCTTTTTAACCCATCATGGCTCCTGTTCTGTTTTATGAACTGTTTTATTCATGTCCATGCCCTGGCCACCACTTATCTTTAGACATACCTCCCATCTCTGTCATATTTTCTTGGTAACAGTCACTTCCTGCTAGATTTATTCTCCTCCCCGGTTATGAGTAACAGTAAAATCAGACACACTGTGCAGTTTTGTTAACATTTAAACAGATTAGTTAAACATATGGGTGACTGTGTGGTAAGCCTGAAGAAGGTGCTGCAGAGTGATCCATTACCATCTGACAGCTAGAGTGAACCATCACCATTTGACAGCGAGGTTGGGCTCTTATCTGCAGATCTGTGATCTTTAACATGCATGAGGGAATTTCAGTTTCACTTTGGACTTTATTTTAAGACTTCGACCCTGACTTTTATCTCCACTCTATCCTGTGGTTTATCCCGCGACTGGTCTCCACAAACCAACTCTCTAAAAGTAAGAGCTTTTTGAAACTGTATCTCTAGAGTTTGATAAGAACCAAGCAGACCGATCTGCTCTGAATCTTTGTAGTGTTTGTTTCAGAAGTTTATTTGACCTAATTTGTTTAGTTTGTCTTCATGGCATCCCAACAGCAACCAGTGAAATGTTCTGACAGAAGGCAAAGCCCTCCAGTGCCCGTCTTATATTTGTCCTGTATTTACTATAGGGGCTGAGTCCCCACGTGTGAAAGCAGCTGGTAATAGTAGGTAAAGATAGTTGGACTTCATAAACAATTAACTGCCTTACTCAGAGTGCATATTCAGGTCTTTTTTAGGTGTGACTAACTAATCGGTAAGTTAATGAAGTCAGTAATTAAGGAAGTAAACTTTATTTAAAGGGCACCCTTCATGGTTAAAAGTCACAAAGTGCTCCACATTAACAAATATTATGCACAGAAGCTGTGCAGCCATGCCAAGCCGAACACTCGGAAACCTGAGGAAAACACGTGTAACATCCACAAACAATAAAAACAGATTATTCACAGAGGTGGATGGTATGAATATGAGTTAAATGACCATGTAAACAGTCACGTTTTTTAGCTGCTTTCTGAACAGAAAGTCCAAGTGTAACTGTGTCTGATTGTGATAAATTTACCCTGAGAATAGCTTGTAACTGTGGTTATCACAGTGTGGTTAACTATTTAACACAGCCAGTGAGAACTCCTTAAACCGTCCCAGGAGAGGAATTTCCTGAGTCAGTCTATGTGTTCACCATCCTCGTCGTCTCGCTTCAAATGTTTAGAATTTTTTTTTCTGTTTAGGACCAGGTAATCCAGTTTTCTGAACAGCTCATCACTATAATTTATTAAGATCTTTCCTGAACTAAATGTTAGGCTCTGCCGTCCTTTAAGATCAGTGTGATCTCTAAAATTATCTTACATGTTCAGCTGCCAACAGCTGAAGTGTTTTCACACTGACAGAAACTTTCTCAGTTTTTCTTTAATGTTAGTATCAGAACTACAAAACACACTGACGGGTTTGGACACACACTTACTTGTCATTAAAATGATGTGTCTCAATTCTTCAGGTGATGTCAGCTGAAGCTGCCACTCAGGAGGTCCTGGCCTCTGCTACGACGGCAGGCTTTATTTTCGTGCCTCGCCGGCATTGAGGCGCAGGCCCAATACCAAGCACAATTTGGTATTTTGGTGAGCAGCGCAGCCCGGCGTAACTATCCCCCCTCCCTAACTCAGCTCCTCCCAGCGGCGTAAGTCGTAGTGAGGGAGGAGAGAAGGCGTGGAATGGATTTGACACAACCGAGACCTGTTTTGACCAATAACATCTGCTCCTCTCCTTGCCTTTAAATCCGCCACCGGTGAGGCGTATTACAATTTTCGTGAAGTAGGCGAACAGATCAAGAAATGGCTGAAGACAGTAATGCTACACAATGGCAACAGAAGGCAGCCCCTCAACAAGTGTCACTGTAAGCGCTGCAGAGGGCGTCCTTCACACTCTCTCATATAAGCACAGATGGATTTGGTGTATGTAATGTTGCAGCCACTAGTAAGACAAACATCCCTTTCCACAGATAAAGACACTCACATAAAGTTGCATATATTCAAACCTCACGTGACAAAGGTGGGTTGTGCGCACAGATCACAACATAAATTCCAAAAATGGCATTAAAATCGGAACCATCTGTGCGTAAATGACGCATCGCGCTCCGTGGCCTGGCTCTTTCTTTCATAGATGTTGGCATATAAAATAATTTTGGCTCACAAAACTGAATATTATAATATTCGTATGTAGGCTTATAGTAAATAACTCATCTGATCACTGAAACAAATCATCTGCATTTAGAGAATATATCTCTAAATGTATGTGCTGACTCAGATTATAAGTTGTTGATGATTATTTATTGCACTGAAATGTGCCTGACACTGTGGAAACCTGCCGGTGAGGCATCGGTGACGTATGCCGATATGCCGCCGGTCTACCAAAATACTACTAGACCAGCTGCGCTCCGCCTTTGCTGAAAGCTGACCAGGTTTGAATTAGCGAGCTTTCAGCCACGGGCGAGCACGAAAATGTCACTGCACCAACTGATTCTGTCGACACCACCCCCTTGCCACGCCACCACGCCTAGCTTGGCAGCTCTCGTTGCGCCTCAGTCCACGAAAATACCAAACTGGCTGTACAACGGGCTCCGCCAGACAAAAATACAACTGCGAGGGGTCCGCCACCCTCCGCCGCCTCACCAGCGGACACAAAAATAGAGCCCCCAGGTGTTGTTTTTCTTATGGTATCTTGAAAACTCCCTAGATAGAAACAATATAAGGCCCTTTCACTTATCTTAGCAGCACTGTGACCATCAAATGCCCCTCAGCAGTTTCTGTGAGAAGGTCACATAAACCGCTTTATGTGGGCATATCTTGAATATTGTCCAGTAAAGATAACCCATGATCTTACATGTTTTTGAAGAGTAGCAGGAAAGATAACCCATGATCTTACGTGTATTTGAAGAGTTATTAGACTTACAACACACATCATGTGAATTTATAACAGCTGAGCATGGGTTTTCCAAGAGAAAATACAGAACATCATCTAAAAATGACTCCACAAAAAATCTTAATTCACAGTCTTACTTGGCCCTGGCATGTTTATAAGAGGTGTAGTGCAGTTCAGATGTGTGTCACTTGGGGTAGGGATGGAGACGTATAAGAATTAAGGATACCAGTCTCCAAAGATGCACTGGCGTTTCTACAAATAGCTCCTACTGGTTTTAGAGTTGATGTTGTGAGCATGATAGTAAGTCATGATGTGACACAAACTATTTTGTCCTTGGGTTTGCCGTGAATGCAGTATGAGACACCACTGTAAACATAATTAAACCTTAAACAGTACCTCATTCACATCAATAAGTTACTCGAGTTTTCCACGCAAAACTTTGTTAATGCCTCCAGCGGACACATACATTTCTGAAGCTTCCTTATTGAGCTTTTTAAAAGCTTTACAAAGCTTTCATATCCACTTAGTCCCTCTGAGTGATTTCAAATTATTTTCAGATTTTGTAAAGCCTGCCTTAAGGCTTATGTAGAAACCGAACAATGTGATGAAAAGTGGTTGTTGTGTCCTTTTAGCAAAAAGGTTGTAAATGAAGTTGAAGTTTTCTGTAATTTTGAAGTTGCTCAAGGACTGATGCTGTAGTTTAGGGGCAAATGTCACCGAAAGATTGTTCGAGTTTAAATGGAAGTAATTTATTCCAGCCTTGTATAAGTACAGAGCTGTGAAGCAATCAACTACCAAAGATGTGTGTTTTGATTTAAACTGGAGGTTTTTCTGTAACAAAGCGATGCTTTTTCTGCTTTGATAAAAACCCACTCAGTAATCTTGTGGTTTGATGGATGGGAATAAGATGAGAGCTGCTTTTGTTTTATTGAAACGGCCCAAAGAGAAGTACATGTCTATGAGCTTGGCAGTACATCAAGTTAGACAAGGCACTTTTTGTCATCATTCTGTCCGGTCATTCTTGTGTATGTGTCCATTAGTAGTTCTCTATGACTGGCAGATGAAAAGTCCTTGTGGCACAAATTTCTCAGGGTTGTCATCCACTGTACAGCACAGATCTGTTTTTGTTATGTCTCACCAAAGGGGGTGACCCGCGGTTTAAAATAACCACAGGCTTTTCTCTGAACTGTCTATCCTGACCAAGATGTCAGAGACTTTGGTCAGTGATCATTAAAAAGGATTTTCAAGTACAAACAATGTATTGGACTTCCGATCCAGTTCTAGAAAAAAAAAAAAAAAAAAACATAATTCTGTTGAAAGCTTTGAAGCTTTTCATGATTTGCCTGACTTTAAGCAGCTATTTTAATTATGATGAGGCAGTGGACCACACACTTTTGAAATAAGACACTTGAGGGCTGAAGTGTTTGAATAAGCAAATCTAGCAGATGGAAATTAACGTGCAGGCTGAAGTTTACAATAACAGCTCGCCTTGTAACAACAGGAGTGCCTCAGGGCTCAGTCCTCAGACCACTGCTTTTCTGGCACAATATCAATGGAAATCTTCCTGATGTTTGTATAAATTTTATGTGGCTAGTTCTAATATACTGCTTGACCCCTAACCTGGGGCTGCAGACTCAAAATCACAAGCTGAAAGTAATACCATAAACACAGCATAATAGGAGGATGATGAGAATGCTTTTTTGTGTGACACAAAACTAGGCGTAATCGTGGTTTGGGTGGACATTGTGAAAAAAGTGAATGTCCCCTTTAAGAACGCAGCCAAAGGTCACAGACAATTACTGAGTTGCTCCTTAAATATTTGCAGATAACCCCACCATATAAGGCCACATACGCCACAAAAAAATACCACACTGTTGACACTCTGGCCTCCTGTGTGAGACTAACAATCTTCTTACAGCTGTGTATCTTCGGGCAAATTTCAGCTTCATACATTTTTCCCCCGACTGCAGGTTGGTGATGAATTAAAGCCAAGTTACTTGTAAACATTTAATTCAACTTATAAGTACTGAGAGACATAAACAAACATGCTCTATATAAATAAACACCAATCACCATGCTTATGTTGGGACAGGGCACAAAAATGTGGAGGAAAAAAAACATGTTGACAAAAATAGGCTGAACAGTACTAACATGAAGATTTTCACTGACACTGGTGAAAAAAAATTAGCTCTGTCATGGGTTGTCCTCTGGACAGGACGATGGTGGCTAAGCTATCATCTCGCATGGACGTTCTTTCCCACCCCCGACAGAGCACTGTAAAAGCGCCTCCTTTAGTGACAGGCTTCTTCACCCGCGCTGTGTGACAGAGAGATACCACAAGTCCTTCCTTCCTGCTGCAGTCAGACTATTTAACCAGGGGGGTATTCCAGAAAGCGGGTTATGTGAAAAACTCTGAGTAAGTTAACCCTGAGATGAGGGAAACTCTGAGTTATCCGTTCCAGAAAGAGAGGTAACTTAAACACTGGGTCAGTTACTGCGGTAACTTACTCTGTGAACATAACCTGGGGCCTGTTCTACGAAGCAGGATTACTGCTTAGCGAGGTAACTTTGAGGATAAGTTCGGGGTTTCCTGTTCTACGACGCGGGTTCACCTCTTAGCGAGGCGAGTCTCCATAGCAACATACGCTGAACGGCTAAACTGCTCCGGGGCAGGTTAAGTTCCAGATTGAACTCACCGAGTATAAAAACCCCGCCCGCTGACCAATGAGCTCTCTCGAAAAACGGCTTGTCCGTTCTTGGAGGATCCTGTACACCTCGGTGCTCGCATTGTCCGAGGAGGAGCACTCCGGCTCGCGAGAGTTTTCAGGGAGAGTTTTCTCCGGATGACCACCTTTATGAAAGGCTTATATGGCCGACATATTACACAAAACATGTAAACACGATAGGAATGAACAAATGAATGATTCATCTTGGGAATGAATGGGCATGGGCTGCGTGATCACAGACAACATCTCGGTACTATTTAGTAGCAGCGCACGCCCCTTATAATAACCCCATAAATACTGTTGTTCAGGACTGCTTACTTGTGCTTCCTACCCAGTGTAACAACCGTTGTTCTTGCCCACATGCAACATTTTTGTTCTCATTCATGAAACGCTTAAATCAGGGACATTTTCGGGGACAGCTTTAGCCGGGGACAGATCATCCAATTCGGGGACTGTCACCTTAGTTAAAAGCGCATGTTGAACAGTGCTATTTCAGGGTGATAATGACATCAAAGATTACTTTTCTGCCAGCATTCCCTCCGTGCTTTTGTAGCGGCGACGGTGTTGCTTTTGAGGTTTATGATAGCTTTCAATTCTTCATACTTTCTCATGATCGTCTCCTGTTCCTCGTTTGTAAAGTCCGCGGTCCTTCACTCTCCAGCCTGCTCTGACGCTCCAGACTGATCCATGTTTGCGATTGGTCAGATGCGGCGGGCTCCGCCTTATATGTGTGCACGCGCTCATAGCAGAGCTGGATCCACTTATGAGGTTGATAACCAGCGTCGTAAAACCGTGTAGCGAGACCGCTGGCTACCGCGCTAAGTTGAGCGAGGTAGCTCCAAGCCTACCTCGCTAAGTTGAACCTGCTTCGTAGAACAGGCCCCTGGGGTCCGTTTCACGTAGCAGGTTTAGTGGAAACTCCAAGTTTGTTAACCCTGAAATCAGGGAAACTCTGAGTTTTCCGTATCACAAAGAAGGGTTAGTTAAACCAGGGAGAGAGGGGTAACTCTAACCTGTTTCACAAAGAGAGGTAACTCAACCTCGCGGTCAGTTACCACAGTAACAGACTCCGTGAACCTAACCTGCTCGGGAGCAGGTTTAACTCAGTAAACCCAGAGTTTCAGGTGAGACATCGGCATTTTCTCATTTTGATCATGTTTTACATTGTCAAGTAAGTATTAAGTGGCAGTTTGATCCCTTAAAAAATGCTCTTTTCACACTCAAAACTGAATTTTACTCTCTTATTATGTTCCGTTAAATGATTATTAAACTAACACAAAAACGGGTGGTGGTCCAGCAGCCCCACCTTTAACGGAGGCAGAGGAGCTGCCCCCCCCCCCCCCCCCCCGTTCGACGATCACGGCCGGTCCGATCGCAAATCCCCCCCCCCCCACACACACACACACACACACACGCACACCAGTCCGACGATCGCTGCTACGGGGTGGGGGTTGCGATCATCGAAGGGAGGTGGGGGGGCAGCTCCTCTGCCTCCGTTAAAGGTGGGGCTGCTGGGCCACCACCCGTTTTTCTGGCATCTGCCCTCTTTCTGTTTGCTGAGTGAAAGTCTAATATTGAGTGTAGTGTGTGTTAGTTTAATATATGTACATATACATACTGAGAGTTAGTTTAATATTCCTAATCATTTAACGGAACATCATAAGAGAGTAAAATTCATTTTTGAGTGTGAAAAGAGCATTTTCTAAGGGATCAAACTGCCACTTAATACTAACTTGACAATGTAAAACATGATCAAAATGATTCAAGCAGTTTCCCTGCAACAGTCTGTCATTGTGATTGCACAAGACTAGATTTAAAGTTACGCATTGACGCGAGCAGCGATCTCCTCCCAAGCCCTCTCCCTCTCCTTTGCAGCTGCTGCTGTATTGCACTTTCCTTTAAAAACGTGCTGTAATTCGCTGTTGGCTTGCTGCTGCCCCCTCCTTCTCCCTGTTTCCATTGGTTGATCATTGAATCTGCGCTCCACAGATGCTGGCTGTTTATGTCTGGCGTGCACGTGCTTAACTCCAGGTCAAACTACTCGGAGTTGTTAAAACCGTCTCAAATCAGGTGTTGTGAAACCGGAAACTCAGAGTTTCCTAACTCAGAGTAGATCAACTTAGAGTTAAGGATTTAACTCAGAGTTTGTTGAACCACCTACGTGAAACGGACCCCTGCTCGCTGACAGGTTTACTATAAGAGACCCAGAGTTTCTACATGTCTCCTCCCACACAAAGAAAGCGGTTGAACATGGATTGTCCATTCCTTGAAAATCCGATCGACATCGAAGCCAGAATAATGCGCAACGGTTTACGTCGCGAGAGACTCTTCCGACCCAGATTAGACGTTTTATCATTTCCAGAAGAATTTATTTTCGAACGCTACCGCTTTTCTTTGAACAGTATAATTTATCTAAATAACCTTCTCCGGCCGTGTATTCAGTGTACATGTCAAACTCCAAATTCCACTTTAGAATGTAAATGAATGGGCACTGCCAGTAGCTATATATTAAGACACACTTCAGGATGCCCCTCTGGACTTCTCCCTGTGGCAGCAGACAGTGTTTCTTCATCATCCTCCTCCTCCTCCCCCTCCTGTAATGCAGGAAAATATACAGTTTCAGAATACTTTGAACAACCATCTGAGGAATCTGAGTATGGAAGACTTACAGCTACAGGGTTTGTTTCTGTCAGAGGCTGAAGCAGGCAGATGACACCATCCACAACTGTTGGGTGGGTGGATATATATTTGTTAAAAAGTAGGCTATATATATTTATATATTAGTTTTATTTTTTAAAGACATAAGTGTATACTTGCATCTGATGTAGGGACTTGTGTCCTGGGGGGTGACAGGCTCAGATGAGCTTCCCCCGGGGATGCCTTCAGCCACAGGGCGACCCCTGTTTTGGCTGAGGGCCAGCTCCTCAGCCTCCGTCAGATGTAGTGGAGGTGGCCCTCCACCCGTTTTTCGGGCCTCTGCCTTCTTTCTGTTGGCTGAGCAGAAGTCAATGTTTATTTTAAAATACTATTTTAATCAGTGTTGGTGTAGGCTACAGCGTCACATTTTAAATGACTTCAATAGGTCTAAAATATAAATGTGTTTGTATCAAGTGTTAATCCACGAAGTGTAGAATTAAGTGAGAGGACGTTGAAAAACTACATTTTGTTTGGGGTTTAAATTATAATTTGAAGTAGCCGCTGAATTAATATTTTAGTTTAAATTCATATTGACTTTGTCTAATAGCCAAAGTCCATTTAAAATAATTAAATTAAAACCAAAGTGAGGTGCAATCACAGCCTAGCAAAATATGCCTTACCTTTTTGAATTATGTTTTTATGTTTCATTTTGAGCTGCTTCCAAGTCCTTTTTTCTCCCGTTGGATTGCACCTAAATGAAAATCAGATTTCATTCCTACTTATATTCATAACTATAGACTATGCTTCGATCTTATATGTTACGTCAGTGGAATAGTACATTCAAACTTAGGCATTGACTCGCGCAGCAATTTTCTCCCATGCCGTCTCTCTCTCCTTCGCTGCTGCAGCCGTGTTGGATTTGCAGCGAAAAATGTTCTCATACTCGCCGTAGGCCAGCATAAGGACCTCCAACTCCACCGGGGTGAAATAAATTGACCGTTTTTGCTCTGTTGTCATGGTGACTCGTGGTATCGGGGCTCCATTGATGATGGCTTATTATAGTGGTTGTGCACGCGCGTAACTCCAGGTTATCGTACTCAGAGTTGATTGAACTAATTCAGATCAGCTTTTCTGGAACCGGATACTCAGAGTCCCCCATCTCAGAGTAAGTCAACTCAGAGTTCAGGGATAGACTCAGAGTATGTTGAACCTGCTTTCTGGAATACCCCCCAGGGGTCCGTTTCACGTAGCAGGTTTAATGGAAACTCCGAGTTTGTTAACCCTGAAATCAGTGAAACTCTGAGTTTTCCGTTTCACAAAGGAGGGTTAGTTAAACCAGGGAGAGAGGGGTAACTCTAACCTGTTTCACAAAGAGAGGGAACTCAACCTCGCGGTCAGTTACCACAGTAACAGACTCCGTGAACCTAACCTGCTCGGGAGCAGGTTTAACTCAGTAAACCCAGAGTTTCAGGTGAGACATCGGCATTTTCTCATTTTGATCATGTTTTACATTGTCAAGTAAGTATTAAGTGGCAGTTTGATCCCTTAAAAAATGCTCTTTTCACACTCAAAACTGAATTTTACTCTCTTATTATGTTCCGTTAAATGATTATTAAACTAACACAAAAACGGGTGGTGGTCCAGCAGCCCCACCTTTAACGGAGGCAGAGGAGCTGCCCCCCCCCCCCCCCGTTCGACGATCACACACGCAATCCCCCCCCCCCCCCCCCCCACACACACACACACACACACACACACACACACACACCACACCAGTCCGACGATCGCTGCTACGGGGTGGGGGTTGCGATCGTCGAAGGGAGGTGGGGGGGCAGCTCCTCTGCCTCCGTTAAAGGTGGGTCTGCTGGGCCACCACCCGTTTTTCTGGCATCTGCCCTCTTTCTGTTTGCTGAGTGAAAGTCTAATATTGAGTGAAGTGTGTGTTAGTTTAATATATGTACATATACATACTGAGAGTTAGTTTAATATTCCTAATCATTTAACGGAACATCATAAGAGAGTAAAATTCATTTTTGAGTGTGAAAAGAGCATTTTCTAAGGGATCAAACTGCCACTTAATACTTACTTGACAATGTAAAACATGATCAAAATGATTCAAGCAGTTTCCCTGCAACAGTCTGTCATTGTGATTGCACGAGACTAGATTTAAAGTTACGCATTGACGCGAGCAGCGATTTCCTCCCAAGCCCTCTCCCTCTCCTTTGCAGCTGCTGCTGTATTGCACTTTCTTTTACAAACGTGCTGTAATTCGCTGTTGGCTTGCTGCTGCCCCCTCCTTCTCCCTGTTTCCATTGGTTGATCATTGAATCTGCGCTCCACAGATGCTGGCTGTTTATGTCTGGCGTGCACGTGCTTAACTCCAGGTCAAACTACTCGGAGTTGTTAAAACCGTCTCAAATCAGGTATTGTGAAACCGGAAACTCAGAGTTTCCTAACTCAGAGTAGATCAACTCAGAGTTAAGGATTTAACTCAGAGTTTGTTGAACCACCTACGTGAAACGGACCCCTGGTTTTTAGCAGACAATAACTCAAAGTTACCTAAATGTACAATATTGACAGGTTTGATATTTATTACAATTCAAATACCAACACTTTTCAACTCAAATAATGTGCAATAATATATGCAATTCTTTTTTGTTCACAACTGTTTAAGTTTATGTCTGTTGTTGTTGTTGTTTACATTTTTTCTCTTTTTTGCATATATCTTTTTTTATGTATAGGACATAGTAAATATTTTATAATTATCTGTGAACAGTGTGCATGCAGATTTCCCCACCATGGGATGGATATAGGTTTTTTATGAAAAGTTTCTTATGAAAAGTCTGCATCTTAAACTCCCATTAAAATGTTAAAAAGTTTTGTTCATTTAGGTTCTAACAAGGCATCGATTCTGGCATTTTTTCCTCATAATTCCCACAACAAGGGAACTAGAGAGGGTCTTATTTTAGGGTGTTTAATGCACCGCAAAGGCATCCAAGAGGGCACCTTTTGGGCATATTTTTCGGGGCTCCTCCACCTCTTAGGTTCCTTGGGATTGTTGCTGCAGACATGAACATCAGCCTCATGGACATTAATTAGAGTTAACTACCATTAGGCCAGCTGACTATAATCACATTAAATCAATTTAGCATAGTTCATAATTACTTATATCATAATCCTCAAACCTGAATTCATATTGTTTCATCATTACCTGCTCTACAACCACAACTCTGTATGAGTTGTTGTTGTTGTTGCTGCTGTTATTTTACTGTTGCTGCTGTCCCTTGTCTCTCTCTCTCACCTTTGTTCTCTTTTCTCTCTACCTCCCTCTCCTTTTCTCGTTCTCTCTCTCCTTCCTACTCCCTTGTTCTATTTCTCTCCCTCTGCCCTCCGTCCTACTCCTCTCTCTCTCTCTCTCTCTCTCTCTCTTTCCCTCTCTCTCTCTCTCTCTCTCTCGTAGGACAGCGAGGTGGCTGTCTAACATGAATCTGGTCCTTCCCAAGGTTTATACCTGTTAAGAGGAAGTTTTTCCTTGCCACTGTCACTCATGTTAGATGGGATGGGTCAAAATCCCATTTTAAGGTTGGGTCTTGGTAATTCATCAAACAATGAGCGTGTTCTAGACCTGTTCTTTTTAGAAAGCGTCTTGGGATAATGACTGATTTGACATTGGGGCATTGAGGGGGCGATTGCCTTCCTTGGCCCCCGTCTGAGTACACCACTGACTCAGAAAATGAGCGGTAAAAATGTAGATAGGAGACAGGGAACAGAGTGCAGCAGCAGCAGAAAGAGGAGGAGGAAAGGGAGGAGTGAGAAAGTTCAAGTAGGAGGGGAAGAGAAAGGAGAGTAACAGAGAGGGAAAGAGGAGAAGGCTCGTCACCACACTCCTTATACACAGCACATGGAGACAACAGCCACTGGAGGGTGAAGAATTATATTATATGCTAGTTTGGGGAGATCTTCCTCCTAAACTTCTTTTTAAATTTCTTTTTTCTTCCTGAATAGCTGAACTCAAAAGACATGCTTATCTGTTGAGACATGAAGAAAAAACAATCGTTTCTCTAATGGAATTTGCTCAAAGATGTTTTTCATTTTGCAGCTGGCTGTCTGGTTCTGCTTTAGAGTTTTTAGGGGTTTTCTTAGGTAATGTGATTCTGCAGTGAAGCACCGGCCTGGAGGACTTCCTGAGGGACTGTAAATCAAGATGAGCACTTGACCCTTGATGAAAAACTGGAATAGATACTTTTTTTAACTTTTCATCTCTTCAGCTCCTGACTGGTCTCTGCTCTTTGTTAACAGTGCTTTTTTTATCACCTGAAAGTTGCTGCCTTGCATGAGGAAACCCCGCCAGTTTCTGGAGACAGGATCACAGATTTCCAGCGGGTCTAAGGTCCAAACTGTCCTCTTTTTGGGACTACAGAGACATGAGAAGGTGATGGTTTTGTGGCTGTACCATGCTGACCAGGAGACAACATCCTGCAAGCGTGTGTCTGTGTTTCTTCTGTCTGCTCACTCTGACACAGAAATCTGGCGCCCAAAACTTCAGAGGCATCCAACAAAAGGTCCGGTATTTCATCAACAACGCTCCAATGGTACCAGTTTCATCTTCTTTACTTTAAACATTAAGAAACAAATGTGGCAGTGCTTTATGTTTCTGCTAAGGCTTATTCAGAGTGCATCTACAGCAGGCTTTAACTTTAAACTGTTGACTTCAAATCAACTCAGTTTAACTCTGGAGGCTTCTGTTTTACTCCCAGTTTAATCTGGATCCAACTCTGCAGACATTAACACACAGTAATGACATAAAAACCTGATTGTGGGTGGAGTGATCTTTGTATCAGCTCGTCGTCTCTATCACAATGATGACTCATTTTATATTGTATAATGACTTGCAACACAGCTGATGATTTTAGGCCTTGGGACCATGAATTCTTGCCTCCTAAGTGCTACAAAGGACTGTGGGAGCAGAGGAGCCTGGTTAATGAGAACCTGAGGCATTATGACTAAACAGGTGTGTCAGATAAAGACAGGTGACCAGATTGTAGGAAAACTGGATAGAAAAACATATTGAGCCTGTGTCTGACACTATTTCTTTACCGCATGGCCCTGGTTGTAGAAATGGGTAGTTTAGGCTCATAACAATGTTTGTGTAACAATAAAACAAACCGAGACGAAGAACAGCAGCGACTCGTCTGACTCTGCAGGTTAGTTTACAGGTTGAAAGCTTTGTTTTGTGTAGCGTCTCATATTTCGGAGGTTCTCCATTTTGAAATCACTCCAGCAAATTGCTGAAGTTGGCACTGAAAGGTTTGTAAAGAAAAGGTGGTGTTTCCCACCAGCTAATCTGCTCCAGTCTTGAAGGTCTCATGAGGTTAAATCACTTGAAATAGCTGCCACTTCAATATGTAAAAACTTTATTTGACAGACAGGTATCAAACTGCAGGAAAAAGAAGATTTCTGGTTGCCACTGGTTTGGTAGATTAACTGAACTTAGCTCTATTTTACGAAAGCTAATGATAGACATGAAGTGCAATGCAAATAATGCAAAATCATTTCTTAAAGGGGGGAATACGACCCCCATGGCCAAAAACATAAGCACTGTGCATCAAATCAAGACTTTGACTGTCCTGCTGCTTTTCCTGCTGCACCGCTGCCATCCCTCTTTTTACCCAAAGCATTGCCAGACTTAGGGGCCAGTCCTCTGAGTAAAAGTTAAGGTGACAATCTGCTGGATAATACCATTACATTGTGAGTCGTTCAGGGTAAAGTCAGTAAAACTAGAATTCAGTGAAAGCAAATTATACAGGAAAAGGAAATGTAGTTTTAGGTGCGAAACATGTAGAAATAACATTTTTTTGGAGGATATCTGTATTTTTTAAATTATTACAGATGGAGTGATGACCTGTCAAACTTCTCAACAAGGACGTGTACTCCTTGTTAAATGCTGCATTGAGGGGTATTATCCTCTTTTTAACAGCATATATTTTCTGCTACTTATTGCTGCTGTGTTTCTGCTCTAACTTGTTTCTGTTGCTTGTGTTCGTTCATAGTTCTTCTGTTTTATGGCTTTCTAAACAGCACCTGAGTTTTCAGTTTCATTCCAACACATGACGGATCCTGTTAGCTTTACAAAAAAAAAAACAATCCCTCAATCCTTAAATCTTTGTTTTCATTTCCACTGACAACAGTTAGGAGAGGTTCCTTATAACCAATGAACACTGTCCTACTTTTTTGGTCCTTCTGTTGGGGTAAAAAAAAGTACCATACCAGCAAAACCCTAAAAGGATGGACCATAACAGATACGGCTGGCTACAGAAATGATCAGACTGTGACCAAATATTATCTCAAGCAGATCAAACAGCTTGTAGTGACTCGACAGGTCACTACAAGTTGGTGCAATGTACAACAGAGAAAAATCACTGATTTCAATTACCTGTGTTCATCACGAGTCCATCTTCAGCCTTAAAGGGATATTCCAGCATAAGTTTAGGCCATGGTCAAACACACTGTAACACTGACTTAGACACGCCCTTGAGAGATAAATGTTGCCGAGTGCTTACTTCTCTAGTCATACCAACTTTAGTAATGACTGCATGATAGCAATACATACGGCGGTCTACGTCTCCATGCACAAACCTCAACCAAAAAGCCACTCTATAGCCTGAAATAATGCTCAGAACAGCACCTAACTTCACCAACAGTACATATAGGGTCCCAGCCATAGTACTAGCCAATGAACATATTTTTAGCTTTGCCCGGTTTCTTTAGCAAAGAGACCAAACACAACTCACCCACTCTCCTCCAGCAGCTACTTGTTTGTGGGAGAGCCCTAACAAGTCGATCACTGAGTGCAGCGGAAGTCATTTATGGTTATTACTTTTTGGAAAATGCAATCAGAGTTCTTGTGTATCTTGCATGGGCACTGCAGACGCAGTAGATCTTCTGCCTTGGCGTCTGGGTCTGATGTTTTAAATAAATGTGTAAAAGGTGGGGTAGGCAGGATCTGAGGAAGAGCCAGTTTTGGGGAGAAATCTTGAATGTAAACACTACTTTGTTAAAGCAGTTTACCTGTCCAGCAAAAGGTGACAGAGTCTGTAAGATCCTGAAGGTTTCCCCATCGTTTGTAGTGATGTTGACCTGGCATCTTCACTCTTGTCCGGTCTACCCCCTTTTTAAGTGCCCATTATTCCGCCAGAGCCTCCGGTATTTATTTCGTTTTACTGCCTGCTTTTTTCTGTACTTTCTGATTGGTTTCTACTGTCTGATATTGTAGCACGCTAACTTTGTTTGGGCTCGAGCATGTTATTGGAGGACGTGGAGGGTTCCTCACAACATGAGGGAGCAGCATCTGCCTCACAACCAATCAGCACTAAGAAGTAGCATCCACCTCACAACTAATAGGGGGAGGCAGAGGATGGTTTTGTTTACATTCAGAAAAAGCGGGCTGCTCAAAAATTTTAAAATGCTGGCTACACAGACATAACATAACACAACTACATTGTTACATTACCAAATATCATCAATAACTAATAGCTATTGACTAATATTTGAAGCTTTTTTGTACATACACCACAAATAAAGATGCCTCTTTAATGAAAATCCTGCCTACCCCTTAAAATACCCTTTAAATTTTTTTTTATTTACACTTAAAGATTTTAATAAGCATCCCAAAGGTCTTAAAATTGGCATGGAAACAAATAATGAATCCTTATTGCAATGGTAATTAACAAACAGCGTTGCAGAGTTGTTGGGTATGTGACTTTTCTGTCACTTGAAAGCTTGTGAAATGTGTTGCATAAAGAAATGTTATAATTACTATTGCACTGTAACTCAAATATATTTATCTTCTCAGGAGCTGCTGGACTGCAGACTGTACACACCCACCATCAATGACTACCAGGTAAGATCCACGTCAGAGTGCTGACTCATTTTCATTGTGAAACCTAAACTAATCATTCATCTTATCTGGACATCTGAGATCTGCTCTACACACACACACACACACACACACACACACACGCACACATGCACACACACACACACACACACACACACACACACACACACACACACACACACACACACACACACACACACACACACACACACACGCGCACACACACACACACAAAAAGGTCCTCTGAGCAAAGCAACATTAATAAAACAAGTTCTCATGCAGGAGGGCAAAATGTCAAAATGTGGTATCATTGAAAAAGTGATGAAAGGCATCATCTAGAAACAAACATAGTAACAGATGCTTGAGACTTCTTGGATTTGGATTTGGAAAAGAGCCTATTTGATTTGCAACAGATGAACATCAAATGGCAATACACATCATACACTCACAAAAACTCACACGTCATAAATCCTCAAATAAATGCAGGTGTCTAATCTGTAGCAGGCCTCTTATATTTACCAGGATCATTACCCTGTTAGGTGTATAAAGGGGCTGCTTTCAGTTACTGGCTGGGACTTTTTTAAATTTCCAACATGGAGTATGGACACAAGGAAAACAACTAACAAGTGAGTCCACAACTATCACAAACCACCATCTATACAGATCTGGAGTAAAATGATTCACAGGTTACCTCAGAGCAGTTTACTCCAGTTTTACCGGAAACTGTATCAGTGCTCTAACATCTGCTCAGAGCTACACTGCTAAATGGGCCAAACACAATCCACACGCAGTGTATGGGCTGAAGATGGAGAGAGATAAGAGACAAAAAGAGAAAAGGAGAAAGACAATACTGACATAGGCCTTATGGCCCCATCTGTATGTCAAGTGTTGATCCACAGGCAGACAATTCTTCATATTAGTGATAAATTAATACGATGTTAACAGACTTCTGTGTAGATTTATTATTTCTGAGTCATCTAGAGGAAAAGCCATTATCTTCATCTCAAGGGGTTGAGGGTGACCATGCTTACTAGTCCTCAGTCACACAGGGTAAAATGTCACTTCAATCATTTGTGCCTTTATCTTTTGCAATCAGGCAAATTTACACAGAGAGGGAGGTAGAATTTCCCCCAAATTAATGCAAATAAGATCACTTAAATTTATGTAAACACCGATGGTACACAGAGACGCTATACTCAGCAGTGAAGTCTGTGGACCTTTAGTGCTTGGACCTGTAGAGGCTAGGTTTTGATGACCCAGGCCCTCATTTTGCACAAAAGTGAACAATTTTTCTTCTCAAAGACAATCTTAAGCAAAGACCTGCCTCTAATACAAGCCTGTCTCATATAAAGACCTAATTTCTAAGGCTGTACAAACAAACAAAAGACCCAGCCTTTATAAGATGATTTATGGTGTTGAGTCATTACAGTAGTCCCACAAATATAACTGGGATATTTGTCCAAACAAATTTTGTTGCAAAATCAACAGCTTCTGTAGCTTTTTAAAATTCTAAGAGCTGAAGGAATAAAGACCAAAGATAGTGGTTTGATTTTGTCTGCCTACCTCTAAGCAAAAAGTCTGAACTCTGCATGCAGACGGTGGTGAGGATTTTCTGGGACATGATGAACATGGCCAAGATCATTAAGCTCAATGCTAACTGATGTACGGATCGATACTGAAGTATCCATACCGCTGATACCAGATATTAATGCTCTAAAATCGATTCTCAAATCCAAATATCGATACTTTTGATACTTCATTTGAGATAACGTATATAGTTAAAAGGAACTCAGTGGGCGGTAACTTAACTGTTGAGAGCTTGTCTAAATGTCACGTTATTGGTGGGAACTACTTTTTCTTCCGCCTGGGTGAGTGCATAATGTGTAAGTGCAGCGGCACGCTAATCAGTCAGCCAGTCACTTGGTCTGTAAACATAGTGGAGGAGCGTGAACAGATGTGCGTATGGAGCTGCTCCAGCTCTACAAAGAGATGCAATGGGGTTTGTGATGTTTGTGAGAAAACGTTAAGGAGTTGTGGTAACATAACAAACCTCGTGAAACACCTTAAGTTAAACCACAACACAGAATATGAGGCATGTATAATGAGGCGGACAGAAAAGGAGAGTACATTGTCAGGTGCTGCTGCTGACAGGGCAAGACAAGACAGACGTCTCTGCTGAGACCATTCAGGTTCAGAGAGGAAAAGTGTGGTGCTTCTTAAAGCATGTTGGAGTTGTTCAAATAAATAAATATGGTTATGAAATAAGTAATGAAATAAAAACATTCTTCAATGAATAGGCCTAGCACAAGTTCAGCCTGGAGTAATAACCTGTGTCACTGAGATAATCCCACATAGGCAAAGAAGCCTAGATTTTTCTTAGATAAGGTTTTGTAAAGAATTGATCATTCAAGTGGATTACATAGACTAGGTGAATTATACAGAGCAATTGTGACAAAACAGTCATGGTGAATTTAGAAAAATGTGAGAAAAGATTAATTAAAACAAAACATTTTATCATAAAAGACATCTATTATTATTTACAATCAGTCTAATTTTCCTTTAACTGTTTAATTAATATTTTAAAATCTAGGTATTGATAAAGCTGTGTAACTATTGTGGTTTAGATTTACCAGACATATAAAGGTGTATTTGCACAAGTATCAGTATCGGATCAGTATCACCGATACCAGCCTTGATTTTACTCAGTACCTGATCACAAAGGAAATCTGTAGTATCGAACATCTTTTGGCACTTTTTTAATTAACAGTGCTGACATTACCAAACTAACAGAGCACTACAATAGTTTAAATGAATTCAATGAAGATGAGTGAAATACTTCTGAAATGCCTGAAGAAGAAGAAAAGTTTCTGATTGGCCCTTTTGCAGATAGCATCAGTATTGGCAGGAATTGTACCTCAGTATTTACAGTGTACTGGCTCACTGTCTCTACAGCTGTTCCACTGATGACATGTGGTACCCTGACAGACCTTTGGCTGCTTTCTGTCTGTGTGAGTAACTCTTGGGCTACAGTCAGACCAGTCAGACTGTCATTTTACGACTGACTTAAGAAAGACATAACACTTTCCTGCCCCTTCAGCCAATCAGCCAATCAGCCAATCAGCCAATCAATCAATCAATCAATCTGATAGATTTATAACACTTTTTGATCCTAGGGGAAAGTCAGGATAGAGAATGCATTAGATGCTGTGATGGTGGAGTGGGGCATCAGGAAAAAATCTGAAACATACTACATACTGCCAGTGTAGTTGGACTGATGTGTGTGTGTGTGTGTGTGTGTGTGTGTGTGTGTGTGTGTGTGTGTGTGTGTGTGTGTGTGTGTGTGTGTGTGTGTGTGTGCGTGCGAGCGAGCGAGCGAGAGAGAGAGAGACCTCTCTTGCATTATGAAATGAATCAGCAGAGATGGGGACTTGAGTTGGAGACATGTTTTCAACCCTCAGAGACTTGACGCAGACCCAATCTTCCGGACTGTCTTGGATCAGACATGACAGTCTTTTTTTTGTATTTTTGTTAAAGCAACCTCAGGAGACCAACACTCTTCTCTTACTTGTTCAAGGCCTAATCCAAAAGGGTTGTCTGGACTTGATCCTTTAGACCTTCTCCTTTAGCTCATCAGAATCTGTATCCATGCCTTGACTTTTGAGGACCCACTGATTTCTTCCCTGCCGGTATTCAGTCTGGCTTTGGGTCAAACACAGATATTTCAAATTCTGTGCTAACCCGGGACCTTGTTTCACAAATACAGTAGACACAAAATCATTTACAGCTTCATTACTGTTTTTTTTCTACCCAGAAGCCAAAGTCTCAAGAGCTGTTCGTTGAGTTCAGTCATCATTTCTCATACAGATTTTTTTTCAAAGTTGAGATACCGTCAGAGTTAAGGCTCTACAGGTTCAACAGCTGGTTTCTTGGGGTACATCCCGTACATTTCATTTGTTGGTAACTCTTCATTCTCTGATATTCCCTCTTTGACTCTGTGAAGTTATATCTCAGCACATTTTCTTGGTCTAGTTGTTAGTAGAGATGTGCTTTCAAAACAAAGGCGAGACGTGAATTTTTTTGGGATACTAACTTGTATAGGATGTTGTTGGTTTTTTTTTACCTTTACTCTGCGTCTCTTGTAGTACTTTTTATTGTTCGTTGTCTGTCTCTTAGATGGTCTATGAGACCCATCTTTGTCTGCTGTTTTTCTATTTGATGTTCCTGAAAATATAACAGCAATCACTGTCTCTGGTCTGGTAACTGCTTGCCAGACCAAATGACATGTGGAGTGCCACAGGGGTCCAGCCAGGAGATCTTTAAATCTATGTGTCACTGTCCTGAGCAAATAAACAGCTGAGTGTGAAATCAACCTTATTTAACAAAACCAATACAGTTATGTTAGTTTTATTTTTAAGAAAGCTGTGTTCCATTGATTTCAGTATCAGCCCCCTGAAATGACTCAGTGTTGTTGTGGAAAATAGTTTCTTCAGTAAGTAACATTTCCATCCCCAAGCCAAGTTTGGTCCTCCACAACATGCAAAAACAATTAGTCTGCCCTTTATTGCACAACTTCTAAATGTTGTTAATTTTAATTCTGGACTCCCCACATTCACCCGCCAGGCTTAAAATAAAGCCAAAGTCCACTGCATATCATTGCAGCCCTCAGCCCTGTTCAGAGACTCCTTGCACTGTGCACAAAACCTCAGTCTTTGAACAAACTTGGAGGGGAGGTGAATGGAGGAGTTGGATAATGTATTGCTAACTTGTCCTGTGCCACAGAACAAGTTAGCAATAAATTACAGACTTTAAGGGATAATACAAATTATAGGAGCCCAGGGGGGACTGGCTGTTGGGCAGCATTGGCATGTTTTAAAAAGGACTAAAGGCACAGCCAAGCCATAAGAGATCAGCCAACAAGGCTTAGAGCAACAAAGTCGTGTCTGTGAGGAGACAGCCAGACAAAAACTTGTTGTTGCACTATGTGACAGAGTTTTGTATCAGTCCTTTGTACTGCTCTGCAAAAGAATTCGCCCATCAAACAGCATCTGTTTGTCACCAACAGTTATTTGCTATTTTGCCAACATTTCCCATGAACAACTTTTTATCGCATCTGTCAGTAAACATTGGTCTATAGCTGCAGATTGAGTATTTCTAATAAGCTGTAATTAATCATGATAATTTATAAAAATATGACATGCTTGTTGACCGCTTCTGCAAAGTTGAAGAGCCTTTGTAAGAATAAAACTTCCTGCTTCCTCTGCAAATTGCTTTGCAACCTGCCTCCACCCCAGCTCCTCCTCTTAATGCTTATTTTGCCAGTGTTGTATGTATTGTCACCAATAGTGGCGCTGTTTTTTCTCTGTTTGGCAGAATTGCCCCCAAACCACGATGAAGTGTTTTGCAGATGAAGTGAAAGTCCTCATTGAAGAGTGGGAGACTGTGAAAGATGCTCATGTTATCAGGTTGGACAAGATGCTGAAACAGCTGGCAACGAAGCTTCCTCAGGTATGGAGGCCGGAAAAGTCCAGAAAATGAGATTCACTTTGGTAGCTTGAGGATGAGCGTTTCAAATTCACTGTGGAGATCAATATAGGAACTTTTTGTACACCTTGTACATATCATAGGCTTCAGTGTCCACGAGCCACTATAATCACACGCAAGCAGTAACCTGACAACATCTCTGTCTCTCTAAAAACAGATCTCGGCATGAAGATAAGATAACATTTACAGTTGCTAAAGACGATCAGCATTTAAATTTCCCAACTCTCCAGAATATTTCAGAAAGGTAGTTTCCTCTTTCTCAGCCCTGTCAAAATTAGACTAAAAATACTACAACAGACAGACACCTCTGAAAGTCAAACTCTTGGTTTTGGCTTGACAGTGTCATGCTTACATGCAGAACGAACCAACAGTCTTTCTCGGAGGTGGATTTCTGTGTTGGATCTCGGTTGCTGCTGGAACAAAGGAGGTGAGCCAGATTAGACATTTCCAAATAGCCAGATGTTAGTTAAGCTCCCGTCTTTTCCATCTTGGCAGTCATGTTCATTTATTTGCTGGCCCACTGCACAGCAGGACTTAAAGGATCAAACATCAGCCCTGTTGGTCTGTATTTGTGACTTCACATAATGATGAGGTACAGATGATCTTAATATTCTTCTAAAAAGTTCCTGAAATGAGACATGCACTACAACTGACCCTCTGATTTTGGAACACTTATGATCCCCATTCCATCAGGGATGCTGGCTGTGGACTGGGACCCAAGAACAAGCTGGGTGGTCCTCTCCTCTGTAGAATGGAATCCATGATTTCTAAAAATAAAGTCAGATTTGATTCCTCAGACCTAAGGATTCTTTTCCTCCCCCCACCAGTCCGCTTTAAATGGACTCAGGTCTAGAAAAGCCTCTGGTTTCTGGGTCTATCTGGTTTCCTCTTTGCATGGTTCAGTCTGAACCAAATTTGTGGATGCAGTGATGAACTATCTTCACAGACGGTTTTCAAAGTCATTTCCACTTCAGAGTCCTGTCTGTTTTTAATGCAGTGCTGTCTCGGGGTCTAAAGATCAGGACCATCAAGGCTTGGTTTTGGTCTTTGTCCTTTTAGTACAGAGATTTTTCCAGATTCTCTGAATCTTTTAATGATATTATGTTAGGGAAATGATCAAATCCACTCATTTTTTCACATTTGATAACCAGGAATATTATTTTGAAACTGTTGAACTATCAGCTCACACAGTCTCTCACAGGGTGTTGAACCTCTTCCCATCTTTCCCTCTGATATACTCAGCCTCTTTGAATGTCCTTTTTATACCCTGTCATATTACTAACCTGTTGGAAATTAACCTCAGTAGTTGGAGATGTTCCTCCAGCAGTTTGTTTAGCATTAAACAACTTTTTACCTGTTTTCTTGTTTCTAAACAAACTTTTTAAAACACATTGCTGACATCAACTCTAAAGTGGGTGCATACCTTTTTCAGCTTAGCATTGGGTTAAGATAGCCTAAAACCAACTTTTAACAGTCAAGTCTGTTTATTTGGGGTACACGGCGCTGTAGTAGGACCGGTTTTGCCTCACTTAATGGCGACTTGCTTCATACAGTGAAACTGAGACTCAGAAAAGACAACATCTGTTGCTAACAAGCACTGGTCAGTCTCGTGTAGCTGGAAGCAGCAGTGGAGTCTATCTGGAAATAAGAAAGAAGAAAGAAGTTGTACCCATAAGTCTTCAAAGTTAAACCTGTGGTATTGGTCTGCAAACAGCTGAAGATAACCCAAAGAATGACAAGCTGCAAACCAATCCACAAACCAACATCAGTTACTATACTGAATGAAAATCACAGATAGATGCTGACAAGAATTGAGGTCTTGCTTGTCCCAATTTGTATCTTTGTATATTCTATCTATCTGCAGTTTTTATATCCGTCTTATATTCCTCTCTGTCTCCTTTTCACTTTACAGACAGCTTCAGAGTGTCGCCAGTGTGAGCTGCTCCAGGAGGAAAAAGCCGAGAAGTTCCTCGAATATCTTGAAAGAACTCTTCAGATGGGGAGCATAAAATCTTGAAACTACTAACTCACCCTCATAATCCTCAAACAGACTCTGAAAAGACACTGCATGCCCAATGTTTTTCGTGAACTTTTTATGCCGACTTTGCCTGAATAAAGTGCACCATGCATCATGTGCTAGCATCTCAGTTGTATTTGGTCAAGATTCAGAGTCACAATGTGCAAGGTGGAGGACAGGACTTCTGCATTCTCGCGGAGGTTGTTATTGGCAAAGCATGCAGTATGACTGAGCTAGATCATTAACGTTTTTGCATATTTTCCACTTTGCATGGGTACAACAAGGACACACTGTAAACCTTGTTAGTTAAAAGACACTGACATCAGCAATACAGTCGAACTGAAGGAAACTGAAAACAAGGTGCGCCGGGCTTTTGAAGGAATATATCTGACAATTCTGTCCTCATCCAGCTCTCCTCCTCAGAGCTTGGACACTGACACACCTTTCATAAGAAACAAGACCAATGTCCAAACTGATGGCACTACTTGTATTTTGTTTTTGGAAAGAGATCAGCGGCCTAGAGATGCTTTTGACAACTCTGCACAGATTGCAGGAAATGATGCAATACCAGAGCTGGTCGGGTTCCAGCAGCTCCTGACACTGCTCTCACATCTGCCCCCCTCTCATCACTCCCCCATTCAGAAGACCAGTCTGAGATGGCACTAATATTTTTACCACAGTGTTACGGAGTTTTGACCAATCAGAATCAAGTACCAACACAGCCTGATTTATACATGGGGTCCAGAAATCTAATATTTGCTGAAACTGAATAAAGATATGGAGTTTCACTGACCACAGACCATAATCCGGAGGTTTCTCAGACATTTACTGCTTTCAGCTCAGTCAACTTCACTTGCAGCACAAATAAGAAACCTCTGTTGGACCACACAATCCCATCCAAATGAACCTCCTGCAAAACAAAAGGTGGATGGTGAGAGAGAATTATTGGTTTTACTCCGTATGTTATTGCCCACAGATGTGTAAAGCAGGGCCATAATTTGCCATGTTTTGCTTTCAGTTCTTAAAATACGTGCATTTTCATGAAACTATTTTTCTGCTTTTTGCCTCTGTTTGATTGGACAGCAAAAGATAACAGAAAATGTGAGGGGAGAGTGGGTGGTGACATGCAGAAAATACTGTCAGGGCTGAGAGATGATCCAAAGAGTGCTGCAAAGGTCCACAGCAGCAGCAAGCCAGAGGAACCTACAGCACGATGGAGCTCAAGGACTCCCAGAAAAAAACTGAGCAGTTGAGGAAGTCAAGTGTCCATTTAGGAACCTCATAGCCTGTGGGATGAAGCTGCTCAACAGTGTCATGGTCCAGGTTCTGAAGCTCCAGTACCTCCAACGTGAATACCGATGATCAAGATGATCAATAACGCAACAATTTGAGTTTTTTGAAGGCCCCTGCAAAGGTTTTTGGACAGAAGACAGGGAGTCCTCATGATCCCTCTACAGTCGTTACCCTCTCTGCAAAGCTTTTTTATTTTTTAGTATTCAATTCTCATAACACACCACAGCAAAAAGGGTTTTTAGACCTTCAAGGCCAAAAAGCCTTGGGTTGGTAGTGGTAATTATCATCTTGGGAAGGTTTGGGCCAATAAGTCATGGTGGAAATTTTTTTTTTTTCCAAGATATTTGCATCAAAGTGTTTTTGCCAGTTTAAATGTGATACTTAATGTTTTTTCAGGAATTTAAAACTCAGATATTTTCATGTTCCTACTTTTTATTTCATTGGGTTTGATACAGACATATAAGCGGCAACAAATGAGAGAGAAAGACCCTAAGTAGTCTCAATTGGTTCTATGGTAAGTATTTTCGGAATAAAAGCTGCTACAGTCTGCTTGAGTCGACTTTCAGGTGCATCTTTTAGGGCAGGTAACATATCCATAGTGAACCAAACTGCTGGATCACCGTTTAATACAGCAGTTGAAGTTCAGTTTATTTTGCTGCTGGAACATGCTGTTACATAATAGTTGGGGTGCAGTCAAATTCAAACATAACCTGCGCCAAAAAATTTACTGTAAACTATGAGAGAGTGGAGACAGCAGAGGGAAACATTACCATGGAAACCTGTTTGTGATGATAACTGTTGATTGGGGCTGCTTGATGTTTCATGAATGCAGCTCTGACACTTAATAAGAGGACCAAGGAGATAAAACAAGGACTGAGCAACATTATCCCAACATGAACCTATTACCAGTGAACGTGGCTTAAAGATAGAATTCAGCAGAATATTACATGAGCTTTTTGTAGCCTTAATTTTATCTTTGTCCCCAGCTTGTGCGTACACACCTGGTGATTCTCTTTGTGGTGAATGACCACAAGGAAGTGTGGACCAAATATAACAGGATAAACTATCTGGCTCAGTGGTGAACTGGGGGAAACCTAGAAAAACGCACCTGAAGTGCCCCCTTAGATGCTTCTGAAGTATATCAAATAGCATTCAATACCCTCTGGGGTACTCTTTTTGTGGGAAATGCATCAAAATAGCTGTAGTGGATCCTTCGACTGCCATTCATGAAGCTATAAAAAGTGCCCTCTAGATGCCCTGTAAAGTACAAAACATACAAAAGTATCCCCTCAATGCCTCTCAGTTTGAAACATACAAAAATATCATTGGATGCACTCTCAGTAAGTTTACCACAAAAAACTGTAAAAAAAAAAAAAAAAAAAAAGTACATTCTATCCACCCTTTGAGTAAATCTTTACCTTTAAAAAAAAGTCTACTCTTGATGCGATCTTACCATACTAACCTCAACATGTGCCCTTTGAATAACTTTTCAGTAGATGAGACTTAAATGCGTGCCCCCTGGATTCTCATTAAGTACCCTTAGGCTGTCTTCTCAGTTGAAGAAGCTAAAATGTACCCTCTGGATGCCCCTTTAGGATATAAATCATACAAAGGTGCACTCAATGTGCCCTTTAAGTGTTCATTAAAAAAAACCCTACCTCTTAAATGCAATCGTAGGATAGAAAACCACGAACAAAGGCCCTTTTGATGCCCTTTCAACATGTTAAAATGTTAAAGGTGTCCTCGAGATGCTTTTTTAAGGCCCTCTTCATGCCACTACAGTTGATAAGTGTTCAAAAAGTATCCACTAAATGTGTTGTTAATGTGTAAAAACATAGAAAGTGCCCTCTAGCTGCCCTTTCAGTATATACACCATAAAAGTTCCCTTTGAATGCTCTTTTAGTATAATGATCTGGAGGAGCATTTTAAGGGCACTTTTGGATGCACATCATATATATTTGAAAATGTGATAAAGGACATACAGTCCAGTCTATGTTTTTGTCCCTGACAGGCTCAGATTGTTATTTTTAGTGGCTAGCATTAACAGAAAAGACCCACATAGAGGTATTCTTTAACCAAACAGTTGCAGATGCATTTTAACTGAAACACCTGTAACACCTCTGCCTCCAAAGTGACCAGACTGAAAGAAAGTGAGTTTTACATTATACAACAGTGTGGGCCAAAGTTCAGATTTCTGTGGCACGCAATAACTCAATCTCTGTCCTGCAGTGACCCGATGATATGATCAGATATTTCATTAGTTGGGAAGCTATGGCAACAATCACTGAAGTTGTTTTAAAGGAACATCTTATGTGCCACAGAGGTGGCACAGGTACCTGTAGTTTGAGTGACACTTTCAATATACAGGGAGAAACTGGTTTATAGGATGTCAAGATCTTTGCTGCTGTCAAACTCTGATGCTTTTATAGTGTTCTTAGATCTTGTTTCCATACAGGCGCAGGCAAACCAAATTAAAGTGCAGATCGCCATCTGCCCACAGTGAAAAAACTACGACCAAATGGTTTGCTGATGATACTACAGTATTTTTGATTACTCATGTTCCTCAGCAGTCACAGGCTAAGCCTTCAAACTGTACTCTGATGAAGTAATGTCACAGAGAAGCCCTACCAGGTATCGAGTAAAATTCAATATACATTTTCAATTTCAAATTATTTTCTTTAAATTCTTTATTGATTGGTTTGGGAAATAATCTTCTCATCTGAGATCCTGTATGTCCGATTTACATTAGTTTTACGCACAGTCCAAATAAATACAAAAATTCTGCTCAAAGTAATATATTCTGTGTGATCCCAGGACAAAAGGTGAATTGAAGTTGACTTTTTCGATTTAATGCAAAAATAAACCTTTGAAATGCAAGTTTTGAGTTATTTTTTGACGTCTATCCTTGTAAACATTTCAGTAAGCTGCTCAATGTCACAATTTTGATTTTTAATGACTGATAAAACTGTTCATACATTAATCTTTAATTTACAAAACATCCAAAACCTAAAGAGAACATGGTATTGAACATAAAAAGCAATAAAGTCTTGACATTAGTAAAGCTGAAACCAGATCTGTTTTCTTGAATGTTGTAAACAGGTAAGCAGCCTTCCCCACAGTCCTCCATGATAATGAAAGCAGTGGATTGAAGAGAAGAAACTCGTAATCTTCATTTCTGAGCTAAATTTCCATGTGATTAGACTCAGAAAACCCCCCTCACGGATCCGGTTCAGACTCTGTCCGGTCTCTTCAGCAGTAGCGTTGTCTCTGCATCTGCGCTTGCTCAGTGGGCCTCGTCGACACACAGCCCGGACAGTATTGATATCAGGACTGATGATCCGCACGTATATTCCTCTTCATCAGCTTTCGGGTTTTTCCTTATTGGGGCCCATGAACTCCACTCCGTCGATTGGGATCTCCTTCTCCTTGATGGCCTTCTGCACGCACCGCTGGTACAGCCGGAAGGTTTCCATGCACGGATCACCGTTCCGGTCGCCTTTCAGGAACTTCTCGGCGAACCAGCGATTGAAGCACTGGTCGTACTCCCGCTTCAGGTCAGTGCAGGCCTCCCCAACACTGTTCATAATCGCTTGAATTCTCACAAACGACGTGTAATCCAAATTTGGATGATTTTTTAAACTGTTTTCAGCGGCAGTGGCCGTTGTCAACATGAGCAATGCACGACTCTCCTTGAATCGCTTGATGTGATTGGCTGGTTTGTTAGCACCGTCAAGCGTTGTGCGTCATGACGTATCAGAGATAGCATATTTACTAAAGTCGTCACTCATCTTAAAACCACCAAAACTATAAACCACCATAAAACAAAGAAAAAGGAATATTAACACAAGCGGAGAAACAAAAACGTCAAAAAATGTTGACGGTGTCAAAAAAGAAAAAAGAAAAAAAAGATTCCGCTAGCGGCCTTTCATAAAATTGGAATAAAAGGGGCACCTAAAGGGGTACAATATTAATATAACTGAATGTTTTAAAATTTTTGAAACAAGGCCGAGATTTTAAATGTAATGTTTGTAAGGCAGAAACAAAAAAAGGGATTTACAAACAAAAAGGGTCCGTCTGAGTAAATTGAGCAATTAGCTGTGCATTAAATGTTTTGTTAGAGTTTTACACACTTTTTTGTTTGCACATTTTGTCATATAAATATCAATCAATTATATTAAAAAACAAATTTCTTATATGAACGAAGTAGTTTAACGATTAACTGTGTTATTTTAGGGAAAATTCATTTTGTTGGACGCTGTCTGAAAGTAGTTTTTGTGTCGAGAATTAGTATCAGAGAGAGACCTCTTGTTGTTCTATCTGCTGACCAAAACTCGCGAGACTTTTGTGGAGTTTTTCGAGATCTTCCTGCTCTCTGAGAAGACGTGAGAGGCTTCGGGATATTTGAATTAAACAGACAACAACATTTATTCATCGATAATCAGGTAATCAAGATAATCAAGAAAAGGAAACAGAGTGGGGTAGGTTACAGTCGTGACGTTAATCGGTTTGCAGTTGATTTTCGCTGTTTTGAAATTATCTTAAGCGTAGCGTCTGTGTAGCTTTCATTAGCATGCTTTGCTAGGCCACCCTGATTGTTTAGATTCTCAGTCTGTGTGTTACTCTCAACTCAGGTGGCGGATCTGCGAATATTTTCTGATTTAGTCTGCCCAGCGTGAAAGAATGTCTGACAGCGACGACAGCGACTTTTCTGACAACCAAAGTGAGCGAAGCAGCGACGGAGAGGCCGAGGAGGTGGAGGAGAATGAGGTAACCGCTAGCTAGTGATGCTAACTTCCGGTGTCAGGTAAACATTGTGACTAAGGCGGTTTAATGAGGATGAAAGACCCTAAAATGACTTTGCTGAGCGGCAAAGTTAGACTCTGTTAAGTTAAATTAAATATCTGAATGTTAGCAGTTACAAGAGGGTCACTGAGAGGGATGTGAACTTATTTTGTTGGGGTCCATCCGCAGGAGGAGACAGCTAGCCCCGTTGGAAGCGACAAGGTAGCAGAGGAAGAGGGAGAGGACCTGGAGGATGAGGAGGAGTATGATGAAGAGGAGGAGGAGGACGATGAAGACCGACCCAGAAAGAAGCCAAGACACGGAGGCTTTATCCTGGATGAAGCTGGTACAGACTGGTTTTCCTGGAGACCCACGATGAATGAAATGAGTGAGCTTCATTCAGACTTGATGAACTCTGTTTCCTCCTTTACTCTTAGATGTGGATGATGAATACGAGGATGAGGAAGATCAGTGGGAGGAAGGAGCTGAAGATATTCTGGAGAAAGGTGAGAGAATTCATTCATGTTTATCAACCTGAGTAAAACTCCATGAAACAGGCGTTTGTTTGAAAAGTTCAGACCTGAGGTTGTGTTTATGGAGAACTCGGCATGTTTACATGATGCTGAAAGCTGGAGTTGTTATAATACACACAAACAAGGTCTGAAACCAACACCCATCAGACACCAAATTAGGCTGAATTTAAGAGGAGTATGAACCACATGGCCTGGAAATGATCGTCTAAAAAAAGGCATATTACTAGAAAGGGTTAAAGAGGACATGGAACACTGACCTAAGTTATCATTATTGTTAAGAATGCCTCTCGACTTCACAAATCACTGTATTCATGACTCTCAAAATGTAATACATCTCTAGAAAACTGTGACTGAAGTTCCACTTTAGTGACACTGCGGAGAACCGTAAAGCAGTGCCACTTTGCATGACGTAATTGGTTGTGTAGCCCGCGTACTGACAAGTGAACGAGAGCAGATTAGGATGGCTGAAATGGTGAATTGAGAGCCAAAGACGCGTAAGCTCACTAGAGGAGGGGTATTTTGTTTTGTGCCAGGCTGCTCCAACCAATTTTACAACATAAGAAATGAAAAAACGTTGCATTTTCATAATTTGCCGCCGAAACGGCCGGTGATTCTTCGACACTGGCTAGCAGCTATGAAGCGTCAGGATCCACCTGTTAGCATATACCCCCCCTCAGGTGATGTTAATGAGAGACCTGAGCCTGTTTTGACTTGCAAAGATTCTCAATTCTTGATGCAATGTTTGATAAACACAGCCACTGTCCGGGAGGCAGGCTACATACTGAGGATCCTTACTCACACATGCACGCAGCAGCAGCAGCGATCAGATGTAAACATCTGTATTAAATGTAATTAACTTCATCACCAGAGTCTCCACTGTTTAACGGAGATCTGACATAAAATAACCGAGGGAAAAATGTCTTACCTTCACTCTGGTGTCTGAAACAGTCAGCAATATCAGTCATTCAGCTCCAACAGGTAATCCACCGATATTATTCCTGTTTACATCCTGTTTAAATCCAGTTTACAACCTCGCAGTCAGCGTCTCATCCATTCATGTAAAAAAAATAAGTTTTTAGCACTGTTTCTGGTCAGCTGGCTCAGTCGTTTATTTCCTGGTCTTCTTCCACCGGGACACAGAACGCATTTGTGTTCCGACGTGGTGAGTCAGTCACGGCCTGTCTGGACCTGTGGTCTGGACTCGGTACCAAGTGGTGTCCATGCTGCAGTCCAGTGATGCTCCTACTGTTGGTCTCTATCAGGACACCTGAAGCTAAAGCGAGCTAAAACTTTTTTTTCACACAATGCAAATGGTTGAAACGCGCTGACCATGAGAAACAGGATGTGAACAATATCGGTGGATTAGTAAATTGCTGGAGCTGGATGACTGATAATGCTGACTGTTTTAGACTCCAGAGTGAAGGTAAGAAATATTTCCTCAAGGTTTGATCATTTATGTCTCTGCTCGGCCGTGTGGTGGACAGAGTTTAGGACATTTTATATGTTTTGAGGTCACTTTTCCTCCATTATTTCATATCAGATCTCCGTTAAACAGCAGTGTGGTATGATAAGCTCCTGTGAAAGCTGTAGCTTTGTGAACACAAGTGGGTTTGTGTGGATGGGAGGAGACAAGTGTGTAGATGAGGGAGACTGGTGAGGAATTTTAAACAGTTAATATCGATGTTTACTTCAGATCGCTGCTCTGTGTGTGCGTGTGTGTGAGTGTAATGTTGCTACTGCCTCTTCCTCCTCCTCCACTTCTCCTTCTCGCTTACATGGTCTCTTTCTGACCGGCTCAAAATCATACGCCATCAAGTTGGAATAATAGACCTCCACCACATCCATCTCAAAATCGTCCTCCGACATCTTACCGCTTAACGATTGAGTCACGTACACTAATTACTATTTTACCGCTCTGTTCCTGCACAACCCGTGACATCACAACTGTTGTCAACTCAAGATGGCACTGTGCGCATGTCGTAAATACACTCTTGAAAGTGGTTTTCCTATTAAACAGCTGATTTTTTACACAAAAAAAATTTTAGACTCTCTCCTTATTGAGTTTTTTTAACAAGCGAGGATGCGGATGTGGTGTATTTCATGCCCTCTTTAACTACTAAAGGCTGCAACTAATTTTTAAAATAATTATTCTCTTTTAGCTTTTGCTCTGGTCTTTACTTTCAGTTTGTATTCAATAAGTCATTATCACTGTAAAATGTACTGCAACAACTGGGGTAACACAAAAAAACAGTTATGTAAATCGTGTGCGCCACATTAAGGATAATATTTAGAATTTTTGTCAACAATTGAAAGTCACTTTCTCATAAGAATTTAGTCATAGGAAAATCTAACTTTAATGTCACATTAAGAAGTCGTATTGTTACAGAAGTAAAGTCGTGATCAAGTCATAATGTCAGGAGAACGAAGTCTGTGTGTTCTGAGGATGAAATAGTAGTTTTGGTTCACGGCGAGCAGCTGTCTGGACCAAAATGAGGACAGTGGAGCGTCTGGTTGAAGTGTTTGTAATATTTTTTCTCCTCATCTTTTAGTTGTTACAGGATCACGACTGAAAACAGCATTTTGAGGATTATCTTTGACGAAATAAATAACTTTGGATTTGATTTTCTCACAGCTTTGTCCTTAAGAGAAATGACGTGTTTATGACTTTATTGTTGTGAGAAAATGACAGAAAAAGAGTGAATCTGAAAAAGAATTAAAACGGAATTTTTTTTAGTTTGTTTCAAATACTTCATCATTGGTCAAAAAAATGTTCAGCTGTTGAATATTTTTCGTCACCTGCCAATAATACGAGTAAATTGGAAAATTAACTCTGTTCCTTGCGCATAAACATGTTGGTTGGACTGATGGTACAGTTCTTACCCCCAAATTCCACCGCAAGCGGAATGGTGGCAAAAAGGCCGTTTGCACTAATTGCCGCTGATTGTATCCATTCAAGTTCACGTGTGGAATTCGACCGGCTTCTTTCTGGCCCCCTGCGGTTCAGTGGGCTTTGTAGCCAATTGCCAGGGTTCTATATTTCCGCACGCTGCAGCATGCCGCATAAATTAAGCACAGATTAACTCGTGCTCAAAAGGAAGTCAAGCACAGACACAGAATTAAACATCCAGCTTCTTTTCAAAATAAAAGATTATGTGTTCCAGGCAGATCATATTTCACACCATGCAAACGTGAGCAGAGACGAATGCGTTAAAGATTTTCAGACGTCATTTCACTCCGTTGAGACCATGGATAAGGAGATGCTGACACCCATATTACAGATCTCTAGGTTGTGTTGTTATTCTAATTTGTAAACAGTTGTTTTGTTGTGATTTAGAACTCTTTTTTTGTACAGATTTTTGTTTTTTCCAGCTACTTTAACATTAAGTCTTTAAATCATTTCCTGTGATAACGTTGTGTCAAATTTTGAAAATAAAAGGTCAAACGTATTGTGATCAGTGATTTCTTAATGCACATAATGTCAAATCCACCTCAGTCGAACAGCCAGTCTCTGCTTTGCTTCGATGGCAGCTCTGTAGTTTGTGTTCTGTTTTGTGAGTTTTGGGCCAATGATTGAGAGAAGGTGATCAATCTGCTCTGCACTCATTCGGAAGTACTGATGATGCCTTTGACTGTCCAGGCACAGTTCAGCCACAAGATTATGAAAATGTCCTTGTTGATGCCTGTGCTGGTTCAATGGATGGACCCAGTGCCTACTTGTTCTCCTTTTCCCCCTCCTCCGCAGTCTTGCAAGCAGAATTAACAAAGCAACTGCTCTTCTCCAAGCAGCAGGCACTGAAATGCACCGAAAGATTTATTTGCTAAGTGTTGTTTCTAGGTAAATAACAGTATGCTCTTAATACTGCAGTAAATGTTATAGCCACTCTAAAGTAAAATGTTATCTAAAGCTATTTTGTTTCATATTTTTTGTATTTCCAACGAGAACAACAATAGTTACATTTTTTAAAATGCCCTTAAACTTTCCAAAGGCATCAAAAAGGCATACTCATAAAATGTTTAATCTATTATCTGTTTCGTAGATAATGATAAATATTGTACTTACCCGTGGTTAATTCCCAATCTCCACAAAAGTTTCTGATATACTTGTATGGACAGAGTGGATGTCCTCCTCTGGACACAATCTACTGCTTATATGGTTAGGTGACTGTCTTTACAGAGACAACTTGTTATCGCACAGTTGCATGTGAATTAGCAGGTTCTTGTGAGTCCTCGTGATCCTCACTGTCTGAAATTTGCCACGAAATTTGCCTCACAAACGCATCCGGTAGCCGCTGTTCCGCATGCGGTGGAATTTGGGGGTTAGAGTTGGACCTGTGCTGATGGGGAAAAAGTGTCATTAAGTTAAAAATGCAGGAATCTGATCCAGAACTTTCTAACTTGATGATCCTGAATGGCATCAGCATGTCGGGGAAACAATGTTTTATTAATGCTGAGACACTTTTTATTAAAAAACGTGATGCACATCAACTTTTGCTTAGATAGGATGAGTGATGTGGAGTTACTGTATGTTGTTGTCTTTACATAGTAAGTGAGACAGGTTAGAAGAGTTACACATAATAATAATTTGGTTTTCATTCCTTAATAATGAGGCAGATATATGTTATTTTAGAATTTTCTGAAATCATTCTCGATCCAACAGTTAGCTGATGGACTTTTCAAGACTCATTTGTATATAAAGCATTATTTCTACTGTGCTGTTGTGGGCTGAGGGAACAGTACCTGGTCTTGTGAATACACAGGGTAAATCCTAAAAGAAAAGGGTGAACTCAGGCTAAACTGAGATGAGACATTCATGAATGAAAGTTTGGTTTTCCTCCAGTCTTTGAATGCCATCATACAGTAAATAGTGTGTGGTATTTTCATTGTTTTTTTTGGTGATGGTCCTGAAAAAGTCTTAGCAGCTTTGAATCAGAGTATTGGGTGTGATCCAGAGTCTGTGCGGCCTCACTTAGATGTGTTTCTGAACATGCGTGTTGTCTGACTGAACTCTCTCTGTCTTATCGGTGTTCCTCTCTGTCATGCATGTCCTCTTCAGTTAACGGTAATACTCCTCCGGATACTCTCCTGCTCTGATGTTTCCATTGTTATTCATGTGTTTCTGAAGCTAATGGAGCATCAGTTTCATTCATAAATAAAGTTCATGTCTCAGAGTTTATTAACTTCACTTCATCTCAGCACAGCTGGATTTGTGAGTGTGTAGCTGTGTGTGAGGGAAGGCAAAACCATTATTGGCTTCTTGAACAGCAATGACTCACGTAATTCAAAAGCAGTGAGTGTTTGTGAGTTTTATTGGGCCTCAAAAGTAGCTTCATGATTTCGTATCTGGAGGTTTCACATCAGATATCAGAGCAGCGTTGGGAGATCTTCTCAATGTTCAGAGAACCAAGTGTGATCATTTGCCTAACTCTGCAGCTTGTTAGAAGACACACAGACTTGATTTCAGATTTTTGACTAACAGAGGCTTTTTATGTGGCACATGGTATTACATAGTTTCACTAATGGCAACAGTGCAGCAGAAACCAAATCCAATCTGGGGACTTGCCTAAATAGATTTTCCTCTCTAACCTCATTTGTGGATACAGTGATGAACTGTGTTCATAGACAAGGGTTTTTGAAGTGATTTTGAGCACATACAGTGATTTCCACTTCAGAGTCCTGTCTGTTTTTAATGCAGTGCTGTCTCGGGGTCTAAAGATCAGGACCATTCAGTCTTGGTTTTGGTCCTTGTCCCTTTAGTACAGAGATTTCTCTAGATTCTCTGAATCTTTTAATGATATGATGTTCTGTAGATGATGATATTCATTCATTCCTTCACATTTGACACTCAGGAATATTTTTCTAAATGTTGGTGAACTATTAGCTCACACAGTCTCTTACAAAGTGGCGAACCTCTTCCTATCCTTCCCTCTGAGGGACTCAGCCTCTCTGAATGTCCTTTTTATACCCAGTCATGTTATTAACCTGTTGGCAATTCACCTCATTAGCTTTTTTTAGCATCACATTTCCAACTTCTTGATTCTCCATTAAGTATTGCCTTTAAATCAGTTGAAAACCATAAAATTCTGGTTCTTTATGACTGTTTGAAACTTGCTGCTGAAATCAAATTCAAAATGAGTGAAATGAGAATCACTCTATTTAAACTTGTCTGGATATCAGAGCCCCTTGTAGAGACTTGTAAACTGGCTTTGTTGCCTATATGTTTGGGTCCTGTTGTACGACAGATTTGTTTCTGCTGCACCGTCACCATTAACCTCACTGAACCGTCTCAGCCTCATGCTTCTCTGTGCTGAACCGTCACCATTAATCTGTTTGTTTTTCTGTTTTTTTTTTCTCCCATCATGCTTTGTGTTGCTGCTGCCTGACTCTGCTGCTGTGTGCTCTGCCCTGATGACAATGTCTTTTGGCTTCTGCCTCACCTCCACCCTCCTCCTCCCCTCGCTCTTCGCTCCTCCACTTTTGCTCTTTTTTTTTCTCCTCTTCTTCTCATCTTCTTTTCATACTCCTTTTTTATTCTTTGCTCTTCTTTTCCCCACCCCCCTTGTCTCTTTATTCTCCTCCTCTCTTATTTTATCTCCTGCAAACAAACCCTCTTTACATCTTCTCCTTTTCCTTTTAATTTCCTCCTTTCTTCAAACTTTTCCTTCTTGTGTCCTACATCTTTCTGCTCCTGCCTCCTTCTTGTTCTTCCTCCTCTCTGTCTTTACTGGTCGTTGGTGAGCAGAGGAGGCTGAAGGTAAGTCTTTTTTGTTCTTCAACAGCTACAACATGTATTGTAATACAGTCTGCTTTTGATGAACATTTCTTTGACCTTTGCTCTCCTCTTCTGTTTCCTCTCAGTGTCTAACATCGACCATGTGGTTCTGGATGAAGATCACTCTGGATCCAGGAGGCTGCAGAACCTCTGGAGGTAAAAAAATGACCCAACAGTTCTGTTTGCTTCACGAACTCTAGCAGGGTTTCTACGTGTCCTGGAAAGCCTTTAAAACAGCTAAACAGTTTTCCAGTACTGGAAAACACCTGGAAAATGGAAGACAAGTGAAATGTCCTGGAAAATCACATATTGTCCTGGAAAATAATTCTAACGGGACTAGAAAGAAAACCGCCCAATCTGGCAACACTGATTGGGCACAGAGCTTAGGGGGGTCTCTGCCTCACAACTTTGCTGCAGGCTGACATCTGAATTGCCGTACTATAGCTAGTAGCAGTGCAAAACTCCCAATAGTGAAAACAAATGAAACAAAAAGAGTGACACAGCTGCACAAAAACTGCACGTTGTAGACATCTCTGATCACAATAGACATCGCCATGCAGAACAACAATTTAAACTTTTTTGAACCTTCAAACATAGAGTGTGTCTTGTATTCTGATGCAATTTTTCCAGAGTTTACAGTAATGTTATTGGTGACATTTTAGCTCGCACTGAACCGTTCTTGTCTGACTGTCTTTCTTACTAACCGAGCTGAGGTCGCACTTCCAAGTCTGTGTCCCGCTATGAGCCCGGCAACAGTGAGAGTGAAATACAACTATTTCATACCTTAGATAAACGCAAATTGAGAACTGTGTTTATGAACTGCAGAGCGTAGAAAATAACACAGAAAAATGCGTTTTTATGCACAATGAACAGGGCCCAACTGTGTAAATCAAATAGCAGAATAACAGACCACTTTACTGGATAAATATTCATGATAAATTAGGTATATTTTGAGTTTAGTTGAGAATCATGTGTGGCCATGTTTGTCATTTAGTTGTATTTAGCGTTGCATTTTAGTTAGCTTTGAGATTCCTTTGCGTTCTCCTTTGTTCTTTGCTCAGTAAATTTTATATTTTTTGAGGAAAGAGAAGGCTGAGATGTTCGTTGTTTCTTGGTTGCACGAATAAAGTGAGGTGCTGTTCATCTGTGGATGCATTATTCTTTAATCTATTTGCAATAGTTTTAAGTACGTAAGTGGTAATTTCATAGATAGCCATAGACTGCACATCCTTAAATGTAGACTTTCATGAGAGGAGCATATTAGACTATTTAGGAACTACATTTAGACTGTCCTACCAGCTTGAACATTACTTAGTCTTTTAAATGTGAAAGTAATGTGGCACTGTTTGGAAAGACAGTCATAATTTTCCAACATCTATTTGATCACAAATACTAGAACCAAACTGCATTTGAAACACAAACATTTCAGGTTATTTCATGATAGCAGTGATGGCTGAACTGCAAAGTGTTGGCTTCATTTTATCTAAAGCTACAGATGAAGTAAAATGCAAAATAATTTCATGCAAAGGGAGGGACACAACCTCTATGACCAAACACATCGGTACTGTGCACCAAATGCAGAACCTTTGATTGTCTGCAGCTTTAAAGACCTCTGTCAACTCCAGCTGTTTTTACTGCTGCACCTGCAAGGCTGCTGTCCTCCTCTCCACCCAAATCAGCAGGACACGAAACACAGCCAGACTTTAGAGTAGGTGCTGTTTCTCAAGAGTCATAATCCAATATTGAAATCAGCAGGTTAAAGCTCATTAGCTAACTTACTGAGGTGATATACAATTACACTGTGAGGTGTTCAAGGTCGGGTAAGAATTAAACCAAAGTAAATAATGTGCCATGATGATGTGTTTAAATGTCGCATCCAGGAAAAAGGAACAGCTTACTGTCATTTAACCATGTTAAAGTAGACCATTATGGGGATTATAACTCTGTTTGTTTGTGTGTGTGTGTGTCTGTGTGTGTTACAGAGACTCCAGAGAGGAGGCGCTGGGTGAATACTACATGAGGAAATACGCCAAGTCATCAGGAGGTGAACAGTGAGTGTTTCTGAGTCTTCTCTAAATTGAACTCCTCCTTTGCGTCGTTGACCTTTACAGGCCCCAACAGCTCTTAATGCTGAACTCAGAAGCCAGAAAACAGCAGGTCAAGCTCTCCACACCATGACGCTTTCTTTGTTTTACCACATTTTTTGGTTTTCGTTCCAGTTATTCTTACAGGATAGAAAAAGAAAAGTTTCTCAAACTTTGATGGAGTCCTTAAGTGTCTGAGTAAGACATGTGTCCTCTTGTTTTCTTCTTCTGTGGTGTGCAGTTTCTCTGGAGGGTCTGAGGAGCTCTCAGATGACATCACTCAGCAGCAGCTACTTCCTGGAGTCAAGTATGTGAACTCTTTTCCACCAATCAACATCAAGACAGCTGCAGATGATCCGAGGAGGTTTGAGTGAGAATGTCTTTTTAATGTCAACTTCTGCCTGTCTTCTGCAGGGATCCCAATCTGTGGACAGTCAAGTGTAAGGTGTGTGTCTGCTCAAACACACTCACAGCTGGGAAACACACAACTACAGTCTGTGTGTGTGTCTGTGTGCGTGTGTTTATTCAAATATTTATTGTGTTGTCTTTAGATCGGAGAGGAGAGGGCGACTGCCATCGCGCTGATGAGGAAGTTCATCGCTTATCAGTTCACGGACACGGTAAGAAACTCGATAAGTCTGAGTGCTGAGCTCTTTGGTGACTCTTTGAGTGAAACAAACAGGAAACAGGGCAGACAGCAGAGCTCAGACCTGCTGCTCATAACAGATCTGTAGTGGAGGGCTGCGTCATTATAGAAGAATTTCAACAAGAAGAACAATTTGTAAACAGAAGAGTCTCTGGTTAGTTCTCACAGATTCTCATCCTGACAGCATGAAGAGATTAAGCTGCATTTTATATTTGAAGTTTTATTTTTTGTAATCAGCAAAATAATTCAGTGTTTTTGATGGCATCTGTCTTTTTTAAACATCTGTGATCATGCTGAAAGCTGAATAAACATAAACATAAACATAAACATAAACATTATAAAGGAGAGGTCTCACCCCCCCCACCCCACCCCCACTGTTTCCATTAACAAATGCTCCCCCTTCAGTCCTCACTGCTCTGGGCACAAACAGGCTTGAGCATGATTACCTACATCTTCATTTAATGTTCTTCATTCACAATAAACAGTGTCCAGTGAAAAACAGCACTGCAGAGTGTGACAGACTGCAGACCGCTACTTTCATGCTCTGACCAGTTGTCATTTCCCTGTCTTCAACCTTTTTACTGGGTCCTGTCCTTCTTTTGAAATTGATGTAATAGAGTTCTTGTTCTCTGGTGCTTCATTGCACTGTGCTTGCTTGTGCACGCACAGGCAACCAAGCTCCAGTTCTTCCAAGGTGGAGAGTGGGAGCACTCGATCTGGGCCAGACAAACTGGGCTTTAGCGGTATCACCCAGTATGAGTGCCCCCTAAGTTTTTCAGCTGGACTCCGAAAGCAGGCTTTTAAACTTTGAGATAAACACCAGGAGCTCGTGCTTTCACAGGGAGGATGAGCGCTCAGTGAAGATAGTGAAAAGTTTAGCAGCCAACCTCATGATTCCTCGTGTCTCCACAGTCCAAGATATGTTGGAAAGATGAGCAGTGAGAGGCAGTGCTTCACTGAGGTTATCCAGAGGGCTAGGACCACAGTCAGGATCAGAGCCAGCAGTTTTTAATGAACAGGATGAGGTGTAGAAACACTGGAGGTCGCTATTGTTCTGTCTCTAGTTTTAATTAATAGCCCCTCCTTCCCAACAGCCTCTGCAGATTAAGTCGGTGGTCGCCCCGGATCACGTCAAAGGTTACATCTACGTGGAGTCGTACAAGCAGACCCACGTAAAGTCAGCCATCGAAGGCATCGGGAACCTGAGGATGGGTCTGTGGAATCAGCAGATGGTCCCCATCAAAGAGATGACGGACGTCCTGAAAGTGGTCAAAGAGGTCACCAACCTGAAGCCCAAGTCCTGGGTCAGACTAAAGAGAGGCCTGTACAAAGATGACATCGCTCAGGTAAACAGTGGAGGAGAAAACAGCAGAAAGTTCCCAAACCCACAAATATCTGACACTTAATGAAAGCAGGACTTATAGAGTCCTGAGTGAACACAGAAATGATCATCAAATGATGATGATGGGCTTCATTTAATTCTCTAGGTGGACTACGTGGAGCCGAGTCAGAACACCATCTCCCTGAAGATGATTCCTCGTATAGACCTGGACCGCATCAAGGCCAAGATGAGCCTGGTAACCAAGAACACACATTTTCAAACTTTGATTTTCTGTTTGGTTCACTGTGAAAACAGTTTATTCACACAGTGGTGTGTCTGTGTACCTCTGTCCTGTAGAAAGACTGGTTTGCTAAGAGGAAGAAGTTCAAGAGACCAGCTCAGAGACTGTTTGATGCTGAAAAGATCAGGTACACACTTGTTCATCAAAAGTACAACCGAAGGCCGTGATAATGTCAGGGTTTTCTGCCACATAGATGCTTCTATCAACCGTAGAGTTTGATATAGATATTTGAAAAGTTGTATAAACTTAGTCCTCAGCCAGTGTCCTCCACATGCAGAATATAGTCCATCAGAACAGTGTTATTGGGGTGAAGTCCAACCTTTTAAACCAGAAGATGATTTGAGACTGAAGTGGTTCCTGAGACCCACATCTGATGGTTTTATCGACAGGTCCCTTGGAGGCGAGGTCAGCCATGACGGAGACTTCATGATTTTTGAGGGGAACCGTTACAGCCGCAAAGGATTCCTGTTTAAGAGCTTTGCCATGTCAGCAGTGGTGAGGATTAGCTCAAGTCACTTACAATGTTTAATATGTTGGATCCTGATCACTTCCTTTCAAAGACGGCTGATTAATCTTTGTCTCTCTGTCAGATCACAGACGGCGTGAAACCCACACTGTCAGAGCTGGAGAAGTTTGAGGACCAGCCTGAAGGAATCGACTTGGAGGTGGTCACAGAGTCAGGTAGGAGGTCTCTGTGTGCTGTTTAGGGTTCAGGTTTAATTAAAGTCATGGTAAATTTAGTCTGTAATTTTGTCCAACAGTTTGAACTTTCTGTGTTTTAAATCTTTTACTACATCAACCTCTCAAACTCTCTTGTGAGCAAATTAAGATCAACGCTTTACAATTACAGATTACAGAGGTCAGACCCACGAGGACTGTGAGGTTTCTTCTTACTAAAAGGCAAATGTGTGTGTGTGTGTGTGTGTGTGTGTGAGCAGGTAAGGAGCGTGAACACAACCTGCAAGCTGGTGATAACGTGGAGGTGTGTGAGGGAGAGTTGATCAACCTGCAGGGAAAAATCCTCAGCGTGGACGGAAACAAGATCACCATCATGCCTAAACATGAAGACCTGAAGGTACACACACACACACACACACACACACACACACAAAGCCCTTTCCGTCTGCCAAAGATCTTCACAAATGTCTTTAACACACTGGTGCATTTAAGTCCATCATTACATCTTACGACACTTCAAGGCTCTTGAAAAGTCTGAGCGAGGCATCTGTTTGTCGTGCTTTAATGTGTAATGTGTGTGTGTGTGTGTGTGTGTGTGTGTGTGTATGTGTGTGTGTGTGTGTGTGTTGTGTCTCAGGACCCTCTGGAGTTTCCGGCTCATGAGTTGAGGAAATATTTCCGTATGGGTGACCACGTGAAGGTGATTGCCGGCCGTTACGAAGGGGACACGGGCCTCATCGTCAGAGTGGAGGAGAACTTTGTCATCCTGTTCTCTGACCTTACCATGCACGAGGTACAGCAAGCCCCACCCATTTATTAAAGAACACAAAGGTTACAGAGCAGTACAATGCTCGAGGAGACTTGTTAAGACCCACACGCTTCCTAATGAGACTTAACTGGTTGGGAAAATTCGTCTGAATGCGTGAAAGTGCAGAAGAAAGTGACCCCGATCTCACTTGACTTGTTGCCTATCTACAGTTGAAGGTGTTGCCCAGAGACCTGCAGCTTTGCTCGGAGACAGCATCTGGAGTGGATGCAGGAGGACAGCATGAGTGGGGGGAGCTAGTCCAGCTGGACCCTCAGACAGTGGGAGTCATCGTTCGACTGGAGAGAGAGACGTTTCAGGTCAGAGTCTGCTCCAGGACAGACAGGACGCTGTCTTACCCTGCAGCCTCCACAAGCAGTTCAATAGTCTCTGTCAAATAACGAACTAAGACCGTTAAAGGGGATGTCTTCTGTGTCTGTCAGGTGTTGAACATGCATGGAAAGGTTCTGACAGTTCGGCACCAGGCAGTAAACCGCAGGAAGGACAATCGCTTCGCTGTGGCTTTGGACTCAGAGCAGAACAACATCCACGTCAAAGACATTGTCAAAGTCATCGACGGGCCGCACTCTGTAAGGACAAAAGAGTTTACTAATCAGCTTCTACCCTCTTTCACTCATGATGAAAAATAGACATTTTCCTGACACTCTTAGGACTTTAAGGCCCTCATGTTTTCAGAAATGTCCCTTTAATACATAAACCTCACAGCAGGAGGTTTTCTGTGCAGCTCATGAGTGAAAGAGGACCATATTTTCTTCCATTTGGACCCTGGAGCTCTTATCTGCACAGACACACAGACAGTGTTTCAGCTCACTGAGGTCTTGTCTATGTTTTTGTTTCCTCCCCCCCTGTAGGGCCGTGAAGGTGAGATCCGTCACCTTTTCCGAGGCTTCGCCTTCCTCCACTGTAAGAAGCTGGTGGAGAACGGAGGCATGTTCGTCTGCAAGACCAGACACCTAGTGTTAGCTGGTGGATCCAAGGTCAGCACTGCAGAAACTATTTGATGTATGGCTGTGGACAAAACAATTACCAGATGAGTTTACATGAAAAACGATATTTAAAGAGAGAGACAGAATTTTCAGAGTTTGCTTCATGTAGGTCAGAGTCAGATCCTATAAAGCCTGGATCTTCAGGCCACAACAACATCATTTAGACCCAAAATATAAACAACAGCCGAGTTTGAGCAAAACCAGAATCCCCCCTTTAAAGGATCACCAAGTGTTGTTGATTGTTTTCTTTACTGGCGTGTTTTATAAGCAGCAGAGGAAGCCCATCTCAGCGTGATGTGAAGTTTTCTGTACATAAACAGAACTATGTTTTAAATATGTGTCCTCTTTCAGCCCAGAGACGTCACCAACTTCACAGTGGGAGGATTTGCTCCCATGAGCCCTCGCATCAGCAGTCCCATGCATCATGGCGGTGGAGGTTGGTGTCCAAGCTCCAAGATGTCTTTGTGTTGATTTCACTTTGTGTTACATTATTGATGTACGGAAACACATGTGTTTTATAAATGAAGTCTGATTGTTGGTGTTCTCCGTCTCTTTAGGTGCTCAGCAGAGAGGAGGAGGTGGAGGAGGGATGGGGCGGGGCAGAGGACGAAGAGACAACGAGCTGATTGGTCAGACCGTCCGTATCTCGCAGGGTCCTTACAAAGGTGAGGCTCCTGGTCATCAGAACACTGGTCAGCTCTCCTTGACTATGTCTGATACTGATGGTTTTGCCCACATGTCCTAGGTTACATCGGTGTGGTGAAGGATGCAACAGAGTCGACGGCCCGAGTAGAGCTGCACTCCACCTGTCAGACCATCTCTGTAGACAGACAGCGCTTAACAACCATGTAAGTCACTGACTTTTTCAACCCATATTTTCAGTGTCTTGCATCAACTTCCCTGTGTGTTTGAAGGACTGCAGCTTTCAGAAGAGTCTGCAGACTGAGGCAAAGTAAAAAAAACAAAACACTTTTAACACCAGCTGTGAGAAAGAGTGTTTGTGTTATTTTAACTTTTGAGGAGGCTGAGAAAACAGAGATGGATTATAAAACCAACCGTCAGAAAACATTGAAGTAGACCAAATAAAACGTAGAACGCTAATGATGGGAATCTTTTCCTGTCTGCTCTCGAGTTTCTAAATCTCGAGCAGAAAGGTTAAAAAAAGAAAGGGTTTTGTCCCCCTAAAAGTTCCCCAAACAGATTCCTACTAACCAAAGTTAAAATATTTAAAGTGACTGTGGGACTTTCTCAAGTTTGAGTTGATTTTGGCACCTCCTGTGGACAGAGTATTCAAAGTATCATTGTCCTAATTATAGCACTAACAGTCTGGATTTGGTAACCTTTCAAAACGCTTTGGATGTATAGGTCAGCAGAGGACTGGCTTTGCTGATCATAAAGAGCTAAATAAGGGAAGCTCAGATCATTTAAATGTTTGTTTTTTTAATGTTGTGCAGTGTTGTTTTCGTCAGGCAGGACGAAAACTTAAATGACGACGTCAGACCCCTTTTTTCCTTGACGAAAATGAGACTAAGACGAACGTCACCAAAGCTCTGTAAAGACTAAAATGTGACGAAAATTGTATTGATTTTCGTCAGACGAGAACGAGACGAGACTAAATTGTTATTAGGTGGATGAACAAAGTTTCAAAACATGCTTTTTTTTGTCCTAACAGTCACGCCCCCATCACACACGCACCAAAAGCCTCGCTCACGCACAGCTGCGCACACACACTCATACACATACACAGAGCGACAGGTGGACGAGGCGCGCACACACACACACCGAGGCGGCAGGCACAGCAGCGGTGCCCGGTGGCTGAAAAATGAGGGATGATTTATAGTCCTACTTCAGATACAGTCCAAGTGACAATAAAACACAATGTCTTGTACGGGGACGGGGAGACGAGACAGACGACAGTTGTGGAGCCACAGCTTCCTAATGCTGCGGCTTCAAACTGTCTGGAAAGAACACCACGAACCTCAAAAGGCACCTTTTCGAGAGACTAAAACTAGACTAAAACCCTTTGAGTTTTCGTCGGACTAAAACTAGTCGAAAACTATCAAGGATAGAAATGACTAAAATGGGACTAAAACGAAGAAGCATTTCGTCAAAATGACTAAGACTAAAACTAAATCTAAAATGCCTGCAAAAAACAACACTGATGTTGTGTAATTTCCTCTCTTCTGCAGGGGAGCAAAGAGACACACTGGAATGACCTCCACCCATGGGCGCACTCCCATCTACGGTTCCCAGACCCCCATGTATGGCACCGGCTCCAGAACACCCATGTATGGGTCCCAGACGCCGCTGCATGATGGTGAGACTCGCTTTGCTTCAACATATCTTTCATTTATCTTTTTTTTGTGACTTGTCTCTTTCTTTTCCCCGGGTTCATCATGGGATGGATCACAGTCAGGATGCAAACATCTTGTTGTCTCTCTAAAAATGTCCTCAGGGTAGAAGATTGTTCAAGTGGGTGTGAAGTTAGCTCCGCATCATGGCCGTTTCAGTCAAAATAGAGTGGGCCAAGTTTAGATCTCTGTGGGAAACTATGAATACTGAATCTTACTGAACGATAATATTAACTTACTTGACTTTTTAAAATGAGGTTCAGCTGCAATAACTCAGACTAACAATGATATTCACTTCACTGTTCAAAGAAGTTGTAAATAAACGTGATGAGATAAAGATGTGAGAACCTCTGATGTAAGAGTGAATCAGTATGTAGTAAATACATAAAATTAGAGGTTGAATAGGAAGACTGAGTGACTCACCAGTCTCCTTTTACGCTTTCAGGAAGTCGAACACCACACTACGGCTCTCAGACCCCACTACATGATGGGAGCAGGACGCCAGGTCAAAGTGGAGCCTGGGACCCCAGCAACCCCAACACACCTTCGAGGTGACACTCACAAACACACACAATCATTTAGAGCTCAGTGTGTTTTCCTGTTTATCCTCAGTTTTATCATTTCTGTCTGTCTCCCCCAGGAATGATGAGGAGTACGACTTCGGCTACGATGATGAGCCCTCCCCATCCCCTCAGGGATACGGCGGGACCCCCAACCCCCAGACCCCAGGTTACCCAGAAGTCCCATCTCCACAAGTCAACCCTCAGTACAATCCTCAGACACCTGGCACGCCTGCTATGTGAGTATCAACAGATGTGGTTACCTATGGATGGCAAAACATGGACCTTAGTGACAGATGAATGTGTCTAAAAGTCACTCAATAAACTTCCAGACTTTTCCCATATTTCAGATGATCAAATGTTTCTTTGCTCTTATATAATGAAGAATTAAAATTTGTGGAATGACCCTTTAAAAACGTAGCTTTCTGTTTCTAAAAGTCACAGTTTTTTAGATTTGATAATCTTATCTTACCTGTGTGATTGTGTGTGTTTTCTCTCAGGTATAACACTGAGCAGTATTCTCCCTACGCGGCCCCGTCGCCTCAGGGCTCCTATCAGCCCAGCCCCAGTCCTCAGAGCTACCACCAGGTGGCACCCTCACCAGTTGGCTACCAGAACACACATTCTCCTGCCAGCTACCATCCAACACCCTCCCCAATGGCCTATCAGGTACGAGATTCTTCAGTGTGACTACTGAGAACCACAGACTGCTCTGTGAACTTCAGAGTTATTAAGCTGGCTGCTCAGTTTTCATCATCAGGATAACCGATGTTTGCCAGTGTTTGTTTCACTCTTGAAGCCTTTTGGCAGCTGCCAACATATTGGAAATGTGGCCTCAACCTAACTGTTCGTTGACAGTCAGTGGTGTACAAATGCAGCTAAAGCTACCCTGTAAGATAGCAGTAACTTTGTTGGCATGGAGCATCAGGAAGCTGTGTGGGATGCTCTGAAGTGAGTACTCTTAGTCTCAAAAAACAAAAATTTTAATCTTGACAAGTTTAGAGGTAAGAACAAAAATCTGGAAACAGCCAAACCTGAGCACAGATCAACTCAGCAGAGGTTAGCAGAGCGAGCACCGCCAGGCTTCAAGCCTTCTTGCAGGTTGATGCCCACATGCCAGAGGTGTAGAAGTCAGTTTAACTAGACCCTGCTTATGTAATACTTTTTCTCTACGGGAGATTACATCTGCGATCTGAGCAAACACTGATCAGGACTTTCTGTCGGGTCACTGAAGTGAAACCTTGTCAGTCACAGTTGTTCATACAGTCAGGGATACCCTGAACTATAGTCAAGACGGAAAAACTGAGCTTAATGTTTGTGTCCGTGCACTTTTCAGCCTAAAGAGGAGTGTCTGACAAAGTAATGAAGGTCCAGTATTTGAATTACGTGATCTCTCTGTTCTGGAGAGGAACAGAGAGAGGACTGATGCAGATAAGCGACTTCTGGGAAAACTAAGTGATTAAGTATTTTAATGATAATAAAACAGAAGATCAGAGTCGCAAGTTTCCATTTCTGCTCTTATTAGAAAATAGCCGTCTTGACAAATCCAGATTCTCCATCACCATGATTTAGTTACCTGTGAAATTTTTCCTGTTCAATGTCCAGCAGTCCACTCCCTCCCACTTTAATGCTGCAAGGAAGAAGGTCCCTATGACCAAAGTTAAGACAAAGATTTAATGTTACAGCCACAGTTACTTTTAAAATGTAATTTGATTACCGATCACTCCTTTAAAAAGTAACTTAGTTTCTTTACTGATTACTTGATTTTAAAAGTAACAAAGTTAGATTACAAGTTACATTTAGCAGCCTCAACATGTAAATAAAAACCATTTTCTTTCCAACACTCACTTTATCGGAAGTGTAATTTCAACAGGAATGTCAAAAAATACATGTATTTTTTTATTAAGTAAAGATAGCCTCGACTGACAAAACATAAACAATTCTTTTTAATGAAATATAAAATAAGCTTGAGAACGCGCATCTCTCTCCTCCCTCCATTGTTGTTTATGTTCGTTTTGCCGTGGCTGCTTCATGTGTGTGCATATGACTTACACCTGAGTGGTTTGTGATTGAGTGTTTTTTTAGTTAGGTTGTTTCGTGACTTGTCGCTTATGTAACTGATGTCACTCCTCCCAGATGAAAACAATATATTTTTTTGGGGGGGAGGGGGGTGAGAGAAAATAGTTATGCACACATGTTAAATCTAATTACTGGTTTGGAAATAGCAACGCATTAGATAACTCGATTACTTGTTACGGAAAAAAGTGGTCTAATTAGACCAGCGCGTTACTAAGTAATGTGTTACTGGCATCACTGGTTACAGCCACTCCAAAATGTTACGTTCATCAAGATCCACAGATGACTTCACACCTATGCTCCTGCTCAAGCCATCAGGGAGTCATTTCAGCCTGTTTTTAGTGATTTAGGTCATTTAGCTCAGAACTGTCTCTCTTTGTGTGTTCTGCTCTGGGGATTGAAGAATTTCCTTCAGTTTGTGGAGCTTTTAGTTTTGTTGTTTTTGTAGTTGTTGTTGTTGCTGCTGCCCTGTTATTTTGTTTCTTCATCTTCCTCCATTTCTGCTCCTGCCCACATCCTTTACTTATGCAGATGTCTTAGCACCAAAGAAACCGGATCATCCTGTAAACCTGATCCACATAAAACAGATTATCCGTCCGAAACCTGGGAGTGTTACCAGATTTTGAATAATCCAGTCCAGTGAAGAATATCAGATATTTGTTACACCTGTGTAACTCCAGAAATGAGACAGTGGTCACTTTGGTCACTTTGGTCCATGTAAACACACTCAGTGACTTTTTGCTCCCACAGGCAAGTCCTAGTCCCAGTCCCGTTGGTTACAGTCCGATGACACCCGGGGCGCCCTCTCCTGGAGGATATAATCCTCACACCCCGGGCTCCAACATCGAGCAGGGCAGCAGCGACTGGGTGACCACCGACATCCTGGTCCGGGTTAAGGACTCCTTCATGGACCTGATGGGACAGATCGGAGTGATCAGGAGCGTCACGGTAAAAAAACACACACAGAGCACTTTTGTTTTATGTAAGTCTGTCCCATCTCACAGTGTGAAATCTCTGCTTTGCAGTGAAGAGAGAAACTTTGAGGGGAAATGTCTGGTGAACTGACTCTCTTTGTATTTGGCTTCACCTGTACTCTTCAAGGTTTTTTTCTTGAAGGAGGAAGAACTTCAGCAGATTTAAAAAAAACTTAAGAAACCAGCAACTCTATTTAAACCCTCAGGGTCACTTGAGAAGTTCAAACCATGAAAGTGGCTGTGGAAAAACCTGGTTCTGGACAACTTTCAGAGTCCAAGGGTTCCACACCAAGTTCCAAATGTGGTGCGCCGTGAAGATGAAACGATGGTTATTTCAATACGAAGCAGGGGAAGAGTCGTAGGAGGAGCATATGTTATCAGCAAGTCGTTTGTTGATAAGCAGAGAACTGATTTCAAGCTCTGTAACGCAGAAACAGAGAGCCTAATCAATGCCTCCACACGCTGTTAATAATGCGCCACAGGAGTATGGTAGCAGTGTGCATGGAAAGAGGAAATAAATCCAGGACAGTGTGAAATCAGTGATGCAACAGAAGTGTTTTTATAGTGCAGCTTTCCCACACATAGATGACACCTGTGCAGGCTGCTCAAACTCCCTGTCGTTTTTATCCATGTGAGGTTTCCACCAACGGTGACCACCCAGACTGTAAATGCAAGTTAGGCCGATCAGAGGCCTGTACTACGAAGCTGGATTTGGTCTTAGCGAGATAACTTCTGGATAACTTCTGGGTTTTCTGTACTGCGAAGGTGGATCTCTTTTTATCCGGGTCCGTTGCCCCGGTAACTTACGCGGAACGCCAAACCTGCTCCGGAGCAGGTTATGTTTCAGGATAAGATCTCAGCAGGTATAAAAGACCGCCCACTGACCAATCAGATCTCTTGGAAAATGGCTTGCCCACTTTTGCTGGATCCCGGGGACATCGTTGCACGGATAGTGAGAGGAGCGCTCCGCCGAGAGCGTTATATTCATGATCGTTCAAATCCGTTTGATTTACCTGATGACGTTCTCTATGAACGTTACAGGTTTTCCTCGGACGGCCTCAATATTCAGGTAGCATGAAGTCTAAGCAATACACTAATATTTGCCAAGCTCCAGGTTCAAATTTGTTAGTCATCTTTCAGAATTCATTGAAGCAGATTAGAAAACTCTTAACCCCAAATGTGTCTGCAGATGACGTGAGCATCAGATGATGGAGAAAAAAAAGGCAGTGTGAGGAAATCACTGTTTACGTGTTGAAATATGTACAAATAAAATCTTCCAATAAACTTACAAACTACTTTAAAGGATGTTTTTAGATTTATTTTTATTTGCTCCCACGTACTCTTTTCCCCACTGCTGTTATATCTGAAATAATGAGGTCAATGATGGTGGTGATCACACACGCTGCATGACAATATATTAGGGGGCCATAAATTTATGAACGCACAAATGTAATTTACACAACCGGTGATTTTTTTTGTCGGCAGTCCCTCTGGCTTTTAGTGGCTGTGTCTGTCTCACTGTTTAAATAAAGCTCTGTTCTTCAGCTGTGAAAAATGACGTGCAGCCTTCTCCATTGTGGAGATTGGTCCGGTGGCACTGACCCGACCCCCTTTACGTGTGCGCATACAGATCTGAACTGGATTCAGTCATCGAGTTGATATCCTGCTTCGTAGTACAGCTGATTGGGATCGCGGAGATCCGGTGAAGTTGAGCGAGTTGTCGCAGAGTTATCCTGGATTTGTTAATCCAGCTTCATAGTACAGGCCTCAGAGTTTATGTCTGATAGTTGTCATGCCCAGAATGTCATGTATATCCCCAAATCCAGAAAGCTGTATATTAATTGAAGCCTCAATGCAAATGATTTTCCTGGAGGTTTTTTGATAATCAAGTAACTGGATTTCTCGGAGGTACCATTTTAGCTTTTTAATCAGCCCTCCTCCCCACTGATGTCTTTCTTGGTGAGGCAGTAACTGCATCAGTCAGGTCTTGCACCTCCATCATATTTGGCAACATGTTCATCTGCATCTGTGAATACTTGACCTTAAAGGTTGGATCACCCAGATTGCTGCTGGGTGAATACAGCCTATTAGACTTGATAATGAGACTCACTCTGGATTTCCTTTTGAAGGCTTCATCTGGTTCTGCCTCATTTAGTTCTAAAGAAAGAACATTTTGTGGAGCAACAGAAAGGAAAATACTGAAGAGTGCCGATTGACATCAGCAACATTTGTAAACCATTATTTACTTTAGATGGATCTGAAATGAAAAAACGTAGAGGGCTCTGAATGTTTTTACCTACAGGAAGCCAAGGCATCGGTCATGGAGTAAGTGTTTTGGCATAATTCTGTTTCAGACTTCTCAAACAGAGTCCATCAAAGTATAACTCAGACAACTTAAAAGTTTCACATCTTGAAAATCATCGACAGAAACACTCATGAGGGCAAAAGTGACAAATCCCTTTAAACTGAGATCATAAAACTACAGAGTTCAGAGACTTTTTGTAAAATTTTGGACTTTTTGTGTTTGATTTTTATTCTGGATATTTGTCAGTAGTATAAAACTGGTGTAAACAACAGGCCTGGTCTCTGTTATTTTGATATACAGCACACGTTTTAAGAGTTTAATTTTATTTGAAAACAAAACCCTTACTGCGTCAGCTTAAAGTGGTCCTGTGTCTCTGTGTCTGTCCTCAGGGGGGCATGTGCTCAGTGTTTATGCAGGAGTCGGAGAAGGTCGTCAGTATCAGCAGTGATCACTTGGAGCCCGTCACCCCGACCAAGAACAACAAGGTAACAGAAACAGTTCACATTTTCATTGGTAACAAGTTCAGAAGATTTAGAGTCCCCAAAGCACTTTTAATCCAGCACTGAGGTCAGAATTCAAGACGTGTGTGTGTGCGTGTGCATGTGTGACTGAACTCTGTGAGAAAAGAGGAATCACATCTTTGTTAGACTGAGGTCTGTCCTTCGATTTTCCTCTTTGTTCTGCATTTATCTGGAGAATAACACAAGTCTTGATTGTTCGTCATATTCAGCAGCTCTGGTTCAGCTGAAGAGTGAGCTAGCTAGATATGAAAGGGTTAAATGTCATCATTCCAAACTTTTGTTCAAGGCTTTTGAAAAGGAAACTTGGCATTAGATTGGCACCTTAACTAATTCAGGAAGTACAAATGCTGCTCAAACTCTTCATTTATATATCATCTTAATATGAGAACTCCCCCTTGCTTTGTTTTATTTCATTTATAAACAGTTGTGTTCAAAATAATAGCAGTCCCACATCACCAGCAAGATAAATCACTGTTTTTAACAGAATTTCAATTTCTACACTGCAGGTAACTTTCTAGAAGGTTTAGTAAAGGTAAAGAAAACCAACAGACCCAACAGGCATGACATGCATGCTGCTAATTCTGTGAAACTGAATCATTTACTGAAAGGGGTGTGTTCAAGAAAATGGCAGTGCTGAGTTCAATTAGTAAAGTCATTAATTATGTGAAAAGAAATAGGTTATTAAACAGGTGGCCCTTATTTAAGGATCAAGGCAACTGACGCTGTATATGCTGGCTGTGCATTTGTCCATGAAAAACAGAGTAAAATTGTTCATTCAAGACACTGTTCAGAAGAAGAGAGTTCTTTGATTAAGAAATAAATAAAAGAGGGGAAAACCTATAAAGAAGTGCAGAAAATGATAAACTGTTCAGTTAAAATGATATCAAATGCTTTGAAATGGCAGCCAAAACCCGAAAGGCGAGGAAGAAAAAGAAAAACAACTGTTTAAAGGATCAGAGTATAATCATAATGGCAGACAGAATTCAAGTAATGGAGTAGCCAGCACAATCCCTGGACCTTAATCCCATAGAAAACTCGTGGGGTGACATAAACAATGCTGTTCATGAGGCAAAATCAAGAAATTCAGAGGAATTGTGAAACACAATACAATTGTGCTTGGCTGCAAGGAACCGTTTAGGAAAGTGAAATCTTCAAGCATTGCTTAGTTTATACAGTACATTTTTGAGTTTGTAAAGAAAGATATCGACACTGCTATTTTTTTTAACACAATATTTCTTGACTTTATGTAAAATATCAAATTCAATAACTTTTCCAATTGTCTTGCTTTAGAATAGAATGTGCAGTGTCCCCACTGCATTTGTGTTCATTGAAATACAATTTATTTGAAGAATTTTGAGGTTACCTTTTTAAACACACTGCTATTATTATGAACAAAACTGAATATGTGAAAATCCCATATACTTCAGCCTCAAACCCTCAAACATTGTTAGCTGATGTCTGTGAATGTATTAGAAATATTTAAGAACCTTAAACTCATGAGGAGAAGTGTCCAGAGAGCTACCTGTAACCAAACTTTGATTGGTTCCTTCTCGTCCAGGTGAAGGTGATTCTCGGAGAAGACCGCGAGGCGACGGGGATCCTGCTGAGCATTGATGGAGATGATGGCATCGTCCGCATGGAGCTGGATGACCAGCTGAAGATCCTCAACCTGAGGTTCCTGGGACGCTTGGAGCACTAAGGGGGAGAGACATGGGCACAGAGACTCTATCACAAGAAACACACACACACACACACACACACACACACACTGCAGACTGTAGTGAGAGTATTGTTGGCTCAAAAACTGACAGGGATGTCTAGAGTTTTGTTTTTATCATTTTGGTGAGCGGCGCGCGCACACACACACACACACACAGACACACACACACACAGCCTCTAACAGGTTTTTTATTGTTCAACAGAAATGAGTTTTTGGAGCTCAGCAAACAACCCCCCTTCAGTGTCTCTCTGAACACCCATGAACGATGTCTCGGGCTTGTCTGCCTCTTTACTTTTTCCTTTTTTGTTACCTTTTCTGCATCTTCAGTAGTGGTCTCAGTCTGTTTTTAGTGCTCTTTAAATGATTTGTCAGTTCTTTTGATTTTTCTGATGGAAAAAGGTCAGAAAACTAAATGTAACGTCAATAAACTGTGAACCAGTTAATGTCTGTCTGTTGGATCTGTGGGTTACTTCGGTCTTTCCTTCACAGATGTACAGCATGGTCATGCTGAAGAAATCCAGGTGAGCACTTCTTTATCTAAGTATTAAGTCTTGGACAGCATGCAGCGCCTCTGACAGATTTCCGGAGTCTCTTCATGTTCTGCAGAATTCCAGATTTTCTTCTGAATCCAGATTAGGATCTTTAAAATCTTAAAAAAAAACATTTCAGAGGAGGTTTGGCTTAACTTTTGTAAAATTCAAACATCTGGAAAAATAATTGAGGATGTTTCCAGACAGACCTCCAAACTTTTGAGAGTGCTACAGGAAGAGTGAAAATGCCAGGTGGATCTGTCTCTCATCAGACTTTCAGTCCTCACTGGATGGAAATAGTTGGAAGTATGAACTCGGAGATGAGCCATAATTTCAATAACAATAATTAAAAAAAATAATAATTTTCAATTTCTGTAATTCTAGTTGAAGGTATCTGAAATAACACAGGCAGGACAGCTGAGTTAAGAAGGTGGGTAACTAAAGGGTCCCCGACAAAAGAGCACTGGACTCTGATTCTAATACAGCATCTCCTTAATAAATAAACTGAGAGTGTATCTGTGGGATGATAGCTCCTGAACATCTACACATAAACTTCTGTTCTTGACTTGTAATTGAACTCTGTCTCACGGCTCTCTGCGGTCCTGCCTCTGAGGAAGCTGAAGTGGGAAACCGAAACACTCCCCTATCCTTGGTGTTTCTGTTGCTGGTGTCCTACACACAGCTGGTGGAAATGTGTGTTCATTTCACAGATACTGTTATTGGATGTTAGGTGATATCTAATTTCTCACACAAGGACTCAGTGTAGTGGTGTGTGTAGGAATGTGTTTCACGGCAACAGTCTTCATGTAATAGATCATTTGAAGTCCGTTATGTAAGAGCTGTCAGTATGTGTTGAACGCATTGAATGGAGGACCCCAAAACATTTTTAATTATTCCCAGATGTGAATTGTTAAATACTCCTACATCTAAAAAAGACTGAAACATTTCAACATGGTTTGGAAACAGTTAAATGATTCATGTAGACTGTGCAAGCCTTCAGTTAGCCCTCAGTTTTTTTTATTTTGGCAAAAACAAGATTAAAATGGAAAAAAGAAACATGGATTTACATGAAGACATGTACAGGTGTCTAAAAAAGGTCAGAGCATACAGAGAAAGATGACATGGCTCCAATAGATCGGGTGAAGGATGTCATGTAGAAACCAAAAAGCAAAGACATAGTAAATATTTAACTCAGTACAGTCCTAAACTCTCAAAATTATCTGCTGCTCTGGTGAAGGTGCACGGGTCCTCGTCCCATCAGTCACAGGGTCTCTGAGGTCGCTGATGGTCAATGGGGAGGTAGTAAAAAGGGACCTCATCAAGGCAGGGGTGTCCAGGAGACGTGTTCTGTCTGAGGCCAGACCTGGATGCAGAGTCCCTGTCAGTGTCGCCATAGTGATCACAGCCGATGGTGAGGTTGTGGGACAGAGGGATCTTCACCTGGAACCACACCTCTCTGCCCTGAGGGAGGAAAAAGAAAAGAGTGATGTGGGGATGGGGATGGGGGGGTCAAAGACAGGAGTGAAACTAGCAACCATTACAGAGAGAGTAGAGTAGATAGGAAATTAGAGGATTAGAAAATAGATTAGAAATGGATAGAATAGCGTAGAAGGGAATAGACTGAAGTGAAGCAGAGTACTGTGGATAAAAGTGAAGCAGGAAATAGGAAAGGAGTAAATAAAACATTAAAATGTAGCAGAATGAATTGGAACCAGTTGAATAGAAATGAGTAAAGAAGAAAATTAAAAATGTAATTAGAGTAACAGAATATATTAAAATTAGGAAGAATATGAAAGAATTAAGCAAAATAGTAAAATTAGAACAGTGTAATTAGAATAGGTGGAACAGAATATGATAGTTTTAAGTTAAGTAGAATAAAATAGAACATAATGGAATAATATAATAAAGCAGAATGGAATGGAATAGTTATCATACAGTTGAATACATTAAAATTGAAGAGAGAAAAAATGGAAGTAAATAGAATAGAAGACAGAAGATTTGCTGAATTGAAGAGAATAGAGGTACTTGAAACTTTTTTTTTCCTATAAGAAATAATGAGATAAATATGGATAGAATTAGCAGAAAAGAACTGGGTAAAAGATCAGAGTAGATCTAAAAATGAGTTAAAACATAGATTTTCACAAACAGAATATAATAGATTTCATGGAGATAACAGAGTCTTTCTGACCAAACATCAGTTTTTGGTCTTTAGATGGTGTACACCGGGGTGGGTTAATAACTGTTGACTGTGATGTGTATTCATCTCCACACTGCAACTCAGTGATGAGGAACAGACAGCCTTCTTTATAAACATGCAGTCAAACTGAACAGAACCACACAGACACAAACTGTGGTGATCTCAGCATGACTCCTGTCTGTTCAGATAAATAGACCCGTTTGGACTGCAGAACTGTGAGAAAGTCCAGGATTCCAGTATGAAGGATATACTGACTTATTTTCAAGTGTCCTTTAGTTTCTATTTTCAAACCACCTCTTAATCCTCTTGTTGTTGGACTGAAAAGTTATAGGAACCATCTGTCCTCTGTGGATGATTCAAAATCCTAACCAGGGTTTTTTTGAGACATCTGGATCCCAGACTTTTCATTTAAAGATAATGACATTGAGTTTGACAGTGATGATATGCTTTATTACACGGCAAGTGATATGTTTCCATGCTCCTATCAGCCCCAAACGCTCTCACACTCTCCTGTTTCCACTGAATATCATGTGGGTATTTGTTTGGGATCAGACAGAGAACCAAATCCATGTTTTTGTGGTTAGGTTGATCTGTTTACTCAGTTAAGAGTCTGTTTTGATGTTTTCAGCGTTTTGTCTGTACAATCAGAGCTTTCAGCAGATACAGGAAGTTAGAGTAAGTGCAGCTGAAGTATCTCAAATGTTAGGTTAAAAGCTGTTAGAGTATAACCCTGAGATACAGAAAATGTGGCCATCGTCTTATTCTAGGTCTGGTTTTTCCCTAATAAAGTTATCCTATGAAAAGTTAGGAAAAAAAAGTGTAACTCAGAGCAGATCGGGTGCTTGCAGAGGTTTAAGTTTTGGTTTGTGGTCTTGGAGTGTGTTTATGCAGCTGGCCTTCAGGGCTACAGTACTCACCCTCACCCTTCTTTTAAATTCTTTTTCAATCCCCTCATTCAGCTGTGAAAATATAATTTAGCATGGACCTCATCACACAGAGAGAGAGAGAGAGAGAGACACCAGATTCAGAGATCTGATCTGACCTGCTGGTCCGTGACACACTGGATCATGTGGTGCAACCCCAGGTGTGGAGCCAGAACCTGATGGACCTCTGAAACCTGCACACACACACACACACACACACACACACACACACACACACACACACACACACACACACACACACACACACACACACACGACTGTCATGAAAAGAAATCTGAAAAGCTGAAGGAAACCTGCCTGCACCCTTACACTCTGGTCCCTGGAGGACCCTGTAGAATCCTCTCCTGGCTCTCCTGGTAACATTTCCATAAAATAAATGAAGCAAACAGGTGGAACTGATTTTAACTCATAGTTTTTCTCAGTCTGGGGTTTCTTACCTTGTACATTCGATCACAGGATGGAGTGACAGCAGCAGCTTCCAGAACTCTGAAGAAACAAAATAAATAGTTGACTCTGACTTTAAAGCTCCAGTGAGCAGTTTCAGAATAAAACTCTTTATAACAGCAGCAGGAACCACTCCTCCTGTATCTGAATCTTAATGCCCATAACTTCAGTAACTGTGTGTGCACACCAACCTGTGGATGTCAAACTGTTGTCGTAGTTTAAGGCTGATCTGGAAATATCTAAGAGGAGAGTTCATCCCTTCAACACAGGCTGCACATGCTCCGTGTTTCTCCCACTCCTCCCTCCTACAACACACACACCTTCAGCCATCATAATCATGACTATTAACATGAGTTATGCATGTTTTCTGTAAATACAAACCAAACCAAAACAAAGAACCAAACAAAGAAAAACAGCCTCTGGCTGCAGGGTGACCCTTAAAGTCTCCTGTTTAGCCCAGATCCCAAATACATGAAACTGCACACACATTTATCACAGATGTGAGTGAAAACTAGTGGAGCATGACCCTCTTTAAGAGTTTTCCCTGTGAAACTTCTTCAATTCTTATGACATTTGTTTTCACATGTTCCCGACATCTGCCTGGTATTACTTTGCACTGAGAGATTCAACAGAATAGGTTAAAAAAAGGTGGATCTGCAGACAGAGCATCTCCTACCAGAAGTGGAAGCTGGACCTTGTCTTCAGTAGGGACGGCCAGTATTCATTAAGCTCCACCTCCAGCTCCTGAAAGATACAAATGCCAGCCAATCAGCTTTCAGCTTTCCTACATCCTTGATAACAAAATCCTGAAGTTTGTCATTTATTTTCCAGAGTTTTAAACTTTGTCAGACAAACAAAACTTTTAAAAGTTTCTTTGGTTGTCAGAATAACAGCTGAGCGTTGTGGTGCTGATTAAACTTTTTAGAACGGCTGAAAGTTTATCAGAGAAAACACAAAAGCAAAAACTGAAGAAATCATTGAGTCTCCTCAGAGCACCTGCACTCCTGAAATATCCTCATTTTTATTCACAAACCAAACATATGCACCTGCTCTTTTCTATTGCGGTAACCAGCTGATCTGGTCCTGACTGGGACTCACCTGGATGTCTGACTGGAACATGGGCCAGCAGGAACAGCAGCCCCAGGCTTTCAGAGGCCTGCAGGGACAAAGACAGCATGAAACCAGCAGAATAATACAAACTCTCAGAGTTCATGACAGATCAGAGCTGACATGACTCAGACAGTCGCACTCTGCAAAGGAGGAGGAGGATTTATGATCTCCACAGAGCTGGCTTTGTTAGCAAGTTTGTTTCTGCTCCAATATCTGCAGTTTTCATCAGTTTAACCTTAGATGAAATTGGCAGAAACAGAACTTGTGTTCTGTGTGACAGCTGCTCACAACCTTCCAACCTTCACCTATGGTCATGAACTTTGTGAATTTGATAGTCCTTTGTAAGGTGTCATGGTCCAGCCTTGGAGAGAAGAGCTTGGACATTCAGATGGATTTCCAATAGAGGTGTTGCCTCTTTGTATCAGAAGGAGCCGGTTCAAATAGACAGTAAGGACACCTCCTTTAGAGGTGTATCAGGTGCGTCCATAGACTGTATATTGAATGGACGCCATCTGCCTCCTCGCTGGGTGAAGCTACTCCAAGAACAGCACCCTCTGGTGACGGGCTGCAGTATAGGTCATAAATCCTGCCTCCTCCAGTAATCCCTATGGAGCTGTGGACAAACTTTAGAAATTTATTGCACAGAACATACATTTTTCTCCCCCCTTCAACCTCAAAATATATTGTGCAAAAACTTTGGCACTCTTATTTATGTGTTCATTTGAATACCTGTAACTACATAACCCTGATAAGTTGGAACACATATTTGGTTTGATGAGCTCATTAAGCATTGAACTTCACAGACAGGTGCATGCAATCATGAGAAAACGTATTTAAGAAGGCCAATTTCAAGTTGATCTCTCTTTGACTCTCCTCTGAAGAGTGGCGACACAGGGGCCTCAAAACAACTCTCAAATGACCGGAAAACAAAGATTGCTGGGCATTATGGATTAAGAGAAGGTGACAAAATGCTAGCTCAGAGATTTCAGTCAGTTTCCACTGTGAGGAACATAGTGAAGAAATGGAAGGCTACAGGCACAGTTCTTGTTAAGGCCAGAAATTGCAGGCCAAGAAAAGGCAAAGGCGAAGGATGGTGAGAATGGTCAAAAACAACCCACAGACCACCTCCAAAGACCTACAAGATCATCTTGCAGCAGATGGCGTCACTGTGCATCGTTTACTAATTCAGCACACTTTGCACAAGGAAAAGCTGTATATGGGACAGTGATGCAGAGGAAGCCTTTTCTGAGCACACACCACAAACAGAGTCGCTTGGGGTATGCAAAAGCACATTTGGACAAGCCAGCTTCATTTTGGAATAAGGTGCTGTGGACTGACGAAACCAAGTTTGAGTTATTTAGGCATTACAAGCGTCCTTATGGATGGCGGCGAAAGAACACAGCATTCCAAGAAAAACAATTGCTACCCACAGTAAAATTTGGTGGAGGTTCCATTTTGCTGTGGGCCTGTGTGGGTGGCCATTGCCGTTACTGGGAATCTTGTTAAAGTTGAGGGTCGCACGGATTCCACTCGATATCAGTAAATTCTTGAGAATAATGTTCAAGAATCTGTCACAAAGTTGAAATTAAGCTGGGGCTGGATATTTCAACAGGACAATGACCTAAAACACTGCTCAAAATCTAAACAGGCATTCATGCAGAGAAACAAGTACGAAGTTCTGGAATGGCCATCGCAGTCCCCAGACTTAAATATCATTGATCATCTGTGGGAAGATTTATGCACTTGTCTAGTTTGTTTTGTTTTGATGCATATTGCACATTTTCTGTTAATCAAATAAACCTCATTTCACTACTGAAATATTACTGTGTCCTTGAGTTATTTGATGGCTTAAAATTAGGTTACTAATACAAACACCCAATGATTTTTTTAATGAGAGTCATGGAAATTGTCAGGGGTGCCCAAACTTCTTTATATGACTGTATATGAATGTTTCTTAGTTTTCAGAGCCGCACACTTTTCACATATTTATTTGGTAAGGGGTTGGTTAGGGTTAGGGTTAGGGTGGGTTAGAGTTAGGGTTAGGATTTCAGTTGTTAAAACACTCCAATAACATTTTCTCTGATCGAATAAGTTGGAGTCAGTTCTTCTAAATCAAGTTGGCCAAGGTCTGACTGTTTTAGACGCCAGTTAGACACCCTTAGTGTTTTATTCAGTCTGTGTCCAAATCTTCAAAGTTAGAGGACTAAATTCAGAGTGAAGGAGGTGTTTACCATAGTCCATGGATGGTCCAGTTGTTGATACTCTGAGGAATTGCACAAAGACTCTCCTCCTTCAAAGACTGCAGATACAGACAAGAGGACAGGAGGTCAGCAAACGTCCTTTTCATGAGACCCATTGGCCCCCATTTCAATCTTCAAACCCTCTCTCCCTCCTTAGTTCTTCCATTGATTCCTACTTTCTTTCAATTCTCTCCATTTCCAGCATCCTTGACCCCTGTTTCATTTCCCTACCTCGTCCCTGTCTTCAAAAACAAATCAAGTGTCTTCATCACCCAATCACATACAAAGATGCCCAAAAATCCAAACTGTTGACGATAATAGAAGTCAGAAATAAAGCTGACCTGACAGAAGCCTGCGGGCCACTGCAGGGTGAGCTGGAGACATTTCCACTTGCAGAATTGCTTTTTGTGCCACTCAGAGCCTTGGTGGCTGTGACTGTAGTCCTCCAGGTGAACTGCTTGTGTGCTTAAATCCAGAACCTGCAGCAGGAGTAAAACTGCAGGACTGAGGCCGACCAGCAGGGGCAGTACTGAGCAGCACATCTCCTCTGATTAAACAATCTGACCTGCGGCGTCTGAACAAACGAAGACCAATTAACAAATCAGAGATCGATCAATCTGACCATCAAAGATCAGTCAGGCACTCAGGAATCAACCAAACATTTTTAATGATTTATTGATCTGAAATCAATCGGTTTGAGATTGATCAAACAACCATTACTAAATATAGGTACTCATTAAACAAGGTCATGGTTCATTTAGCTATCAATAAAAAACAATAAGATATGACTTAGTCAATGTGGTATATCGATTCGAAATCAAGCAGAAAATGAATCAGTCAAGTTCAACCTCTTTGCTAGAGAGAGCCAAAGTATTTGGTTTACAAACTGAAGTTTTCTTCATGTTCTCACAGAGTTGATTCAGAGGTCAGGGGTTAAAACTCATGAGACTGAGGGAGTAACAGAGTAAAGGAGTAAAGTTTGTTTTCTCTGGCTCAAGAAAAGAAAAGAAAAGAAAAGAAAAGAAAACACACAAACCCATAAAACAAACAGCTCATGTCTAACAATCATCATGTCGTTATTTTCCTTGTCTTTAAATCTGATTTATGCCTGAGGTTGAGCAAAGATTTGGAAAGCTCACCTGAAAGCTCCTACTGCTGCTTCTGCGACTCTGGTCTGCTGTTCAAACTTCACTCTGACAAACTTCACAGAAAACAAGAAGTGAAACTCAGAAAATCACGTTTGTTTTAGAGAAATGGAGAAATAAACACTCATTTTGACACACCTGACAGGTGTTTATCTGTGTACATTTCAGACCAAGCTTTGAAACAAACAGGCCTAACTTACATCACTCCAGCAGCTCTGCCTGCATCCAGGACTTGAGCGGTGTTTGGCTCCATTCTGCTGCATGACCCAAAATCCTGCAAAGATGCATAAAACTCAACTGTGCATGACTTTAACTGTAGCACATGCAGCAGCAAATACAGCCCTTGGTTACAGCTGCAACGTTAATATAAACTGTGTGTATTTCCTATGTGTATCACTGAGCACTCACACTTCTGTCTCTGCAGCAGATCATAGTTTGGCTCAGATTCAGAAACACTGATACTGTGCGTGTGTGTGTGTGTGTTTATAAAAGTGTGTGTCTGTGTCCTTGCCAGGGTGAAGCCAGACAGAGCAGCTCGACACACAGCGCCACAGATATGAATCACCTACTGGTAACTACGCTCTTTATTTCCTCTTCTTTCTTTCTGTTTTCTCTGTTTGTGTCTCTGAAGCTTTAGGGCAGACCTCAGGGAGAAAAGACATCAATCAGGTGGATTTAAAACAGAATCAAGTGTGTTTGTAAATGAGGAGAGCAGGGCCTGACCTTTGCACCGTGTAGGACAGAAGTGTTCAAACTGTATGTGTGTGACTGTAGGAAGCTGATCTTGATCTTTATCTTGGTGAGTGTTAGCATGTATGTTAGCATATGTGTGTGGAGTCATGTGAGGTAAAGAGCTGATCTATATTTACCATCTGAGTCACCTCGAGTGACCTGCTGCTCGGTCACTGCACACTCTCCCTCTGCTTTCACCTGATCTTTAGCTTTACCTGCGCAGCATGTTAGCAGAACAATGCAGGCCTGCACGTACACACACACACACACACACACACACACACACACACACACACCTGTTAACTTAAGTCGCTCATGGACACTTATGTTCAAATATTTTTATCCCAACCTGACCCTGGCTACTTTTTGGCTAACTTGTTAGCATGTCCCGGCCTGTTGATCAGCAGTTATATTGAAAAGTCCTTAACTCAAATATAAAACTTCAGAACAAGTTAAACCAGTGGCTAACCGATCCGGTTTGAGGGGCAGGAGGCAGTCTGCAGGTTACAGAGATGAAACAGTTTTCCAAACTCTTAATTCTCTCAGTGTGGGATTCATTTAAACACATTCATGTTTATATAATATGAGAGAGAGGACAAATTAACAGGGACACTTTTACATTATCCCATGGAAGAACATGCAGGGGGAATTATTCAATTGTTTTTTTGCAATTATAGGACATCCAGAGGACAATCTTTAATGATTTATATCCCCATAGGTCACCCAGAGGGCTGTGTTTGCATATTAGATGAACTGGAGGTACATCTAGGGGACAATATTTTTATATTTCGTAAATTGAACAATCCTTTTGTCCCACTGGAGGCCACCTGGGGGGCATTTTTCAACACCATGTGGTTACTGCTTTTATAAAATATTGATTAGAAGAGAACATGACTGAACATTGCAGTAAAGTACTTTAATTTCAGACATGTGACTCTTTGACTTGTAACCTACTGATCTTTGACTGTATTGATTTTAGTTTAAAGAGAAATCATGGTGATACTCATAATCTCAGCCCTTAGCTCTTTTTGTTACAGAGGTTTACAACAAGATGAACATTAAAACAGGAGAAATGTACATTAATGGGACAGTCAACAAAAAAAACAAGGAAGTGGTAACTCTTGAAAAGTATTTCCTTTTCTTTTTATCGACACAACATCCAAGTGCATTTCACAGCTAATGGTACGCTTAGGAAACCTTGTTTACTCTGGGATCAGATGACAGATTTGACCTCTTTATTCTTGTGTGTGGTTTCCCAAACTCACATAAACTTTAAGTGAAAACAGGGCAGGAAGCTTTTACTCCCAAGTCTTCATTTAGATGTTTGTGTGAGAGACAAAACGAAGACATATGTTTCAGAGAAGTGAGGAGAGGATCCAAGAAGACCTGACTGCAAACCCACAGGGACCCACAACAGACTGGTTGGCACACTTTGGCCTCATAAAACACACACACACACACACACACACACACACACACACACACACACACACACACACACACACACACACACACACACACACACACACACACACATATCAGACTGAGCGGCTTCTTCTCTCTGCCTCCTCATTGGTGGAAGTGTCACATTCTGAGGCTGTGATTGGTTGTCAGTTGTGTCGGTCCCGCCCTCAGCGGCCCAGTGTGACCTTGGTGGACAGTATTAAAGTCATGCAGCTTTCTTAAAGGGACAGACAGCAGCTGCATGACAGGTTTCATTTTTAGAGTAGAAACACCTTCATCAGAAAGCAGAAGCAGTCCCTCTGCCCTGCACCTGTCCTGATTTTTATAGTCTGAAACAAAAACCTCAGAGTCTGAAGTGAAAATGTCATGAGGTCACTTCCACTACCTTACACAAGGTAGGAAGCGACCGCAGCCACAGCACACCCTCAGAGGGTAATTCCTGCTTTTTTTTTTTATATATAACCTGGGCTGTAGTTTTCATAAATATTTCCAGGGTCTAAAATCAGTAAGAGGAGAATATAAATATTTGCATGCTTTGTAGAGCTCCTTTAACCTGCAGTTGGGACACGGTCTAAGGAAAAGATCTTGTTTTATCGTTTAAACATGTGAAAAGCTAAAGAAGTGCAACAACTTCGTGCTTCCGTTCAAAACCATTACAATCTCTGGACAAATATGTACAGCCTTACAGCCTGCACATACAGCTAATACTCATTTATGGGTATGATGGGCTGGTGTCCCAGTTCATTCCTAGCACAGGTCTTGGGTTCTGATTGGATTTGTACTACAATTGTTTACAGAATATAAGGGTCACATTCAGGAAGAAAAACAAAGCTGCCAGCAGTGATGAAGAGCCCTCAGAATCTTGTAAAGGTTGGGTTATCTCAGCGGAGTGCTCTCACTGTGATCCAAAAGTCTGTAGATCTGATTAAGTCAGAACCGTCAGCATTCATGTTCAATTTAAAGCAAAGTCTAGCGATGGCTTTTACCAGAAGGTGGAGCCAAGGTTTTAAAAAGGCTCTAGTTCTCAAGAATCTTCTGGACAATGTCAATAAATGCGTAGAGATAAAATTTTATTCAAGTGTGTTCTACAGGTGGCAGTGCTACCTTGACAAAACTGTTAATGTAGACGAGTTCAGACTGGGACAACTATCAAACTGTGACATTTGACCATGTATTCCCACGGATATTTCATGGATATGAAATATGAAATCGATCAAGCGCTGGATGAGGAAGTTACAGTAACTTCCTGTAAAACAACGCTGTCTTTTTTTCTGCACATGCTCAGTAAGCTTTTTTTTTTTAATTTAATTTATTTTATTTTTTTTAACACAGATAACTTGTTCAAAACAGAATTAGGACTTTTTTGTCTGCCCAGCTGTGATGTTCTGCTGTCTGTGCTGCAGACAGTGCAGAGAGAACTGTAGATTATGAGGATTAGATGTGCTCTGTTGGATACACTCAAGAAACAGTTTCCTGAAGAAGAGTGCACATGCAGATTGAACAAACTACCAGACAAGGGAGCTTGCAGACGGACAAGTGCATGGACAAACAAATGTTACCGTGCCTCATCCTCCCAATGTTCTAATAAATCAGTGTAATTTTCTTTTTTTCCAGAAAGTTCCCGTTCTGGCCAGACGGGCCTTCAGCAGCTCAGCCAGACAGCTGAAGAATAAAGTCCCAGAGGCTCAGAAAATCTTCCAGGTAAGACAGCCCAAATTAAGCAGCAGGATCATGATATCTGAGGGAGGTAGACATGACACGACCATGAGAACGACTCACTCTCATCACTTCTCAGATTTCTGCATGTCAAGTAAATCTGTGTGGGGGGTGATAAGGTCTGAGCCTAGAGTCTGAATACAAACCATGTTCTATCTGAAACTGAGTTATGCAAGAGAGTTCATTGTAGTAGAAGACTTTATGTTGTTTCTATGGTTACAGGAGGATAACGGCTTGCCAGTCCACATCAAGGGAGGAACCTTCGATGTCGTGTTGTACAGAGCAACCATGATGCTGACTGCAGCAGGTAACATGGCAGCAGCTTAAATAACTGACAGAGACCTGTCAGGAGGACGCTGCAGTAGACAAAGCTGCAGAGTATAAGGCACTGATGGTACTGCTGCAGGAAACACATCTGCACATCATAATGCTGCAGATTATATCATTGTAGGTAAAATCGTTACAGACCACGATAACGCAGGTCAGTTATGAAGATGTTGATCTTAAAGGTGCAGGTTAGCTATTGGGGGAAAAAGCTGCAGGTAAAAGTAGGTGACTTCAGGTGACTTAACCGAGGTAAAATAGCTGCAGACTTTAAAAGTAAGAAGATGATATAAATGCAGATAGCTTCACTGCAAGTTCAAAGCTGCAGGTTACACTGGTGCAGGTGGTGCAAAAATCTTAGCAGGCAGCATAGGTGCAGGTTTTATATTTGGTTATAAAACCAACTTGAACCCTCTGCGTATGAGTCATCAGTTTGTGACCTGCTCTGAAAACAAACAGCTCAGTAAAGACTCTCTCTGTGACACATGCAGCACTTTCTGGTCAAACCTGTTTCCTTTATGAAAGGACAAAGTTAGGCTCCTAGAGGATGTTCAGTGAAAAGAGTGTCAACCTCTCTTGCCAACATGAGCGCTGCCTACCAAACACGTGTAAAAGTAAACTCAAAACTAAAACCTGCATGAATTACTGAAATCTCGATTCCTCTTATGTCTTTGTATCTCTGCAGGAACATGTTACTCTCTCTACTGGCTGCTCGTCGCCTCAATGCCTCAGAAGAAAGCGTAGAGAGCAGGTGACCCAGACTCTAATCTGGCTCTGATTTCAAAGTTTGTTGTGTATAATTTTGTGATATCATCAGCCATCGAGCTTTCATTGGGAATATAAATAAATATGTACAAAGTGTTAGATTGTGATTTTATGTCACTGCTGCAGGGTTTTCCTTTGTGTCTCACTGATTTGTGGTTTTAATAATAACTCATGGTCCATCATCCTTTCAGCCTCTTTTTCTACTTGGCAATAAACTGAACAAAACCAAGACCCCCCTCTGACAGCTGGACCCTCCGAAAGGCTCAATCTAGCCATCTTTGGAAGAAACTCAGTCTGTCTTCCTGAGAGATAAATAAACTAAGAGTCGATGGATGTTACTCCAACCCTGATATCACTTCCTGAGTCAGGACTGAGATGTGATCGTCTTTTATGGATCAGAGACCGAACTATTCTAACTCTGTCGACCAAAACTGACCCATCTACCAAAACTGGCCTAGAATGATTCAAACTTTCCACTCAATAATGACTGAAACATTATATTTTATCAACTCCACAAAAAAGTTGGACTTTTTGTTGACTGAAATTTGGCTATAACATTTTGCCACTTCATCATCTTAAACTTGAGTGTTTTGATTATTTTGGCAAATTAAACCAGATTAAGAAAATGCAACTTTATTTGAACTTAAATTAGACTACTAAATTTGGACTCCTTTCAGACCAAAGTCAGTTAATATGTTTTGACTAGAAAATGACTTAAATGTTTTAAAATGTTGTCAATGAAAACGAGACAATAAAGTGTGACACTTGCTGACCAAATAAGTTGGACAAAAATGTTTGGCGTAAATTAGACTGCAATATTTTCAGACTTCATCTAAAATGATTTAATTCCTGCATTGTCTCAAACAAGGCTATAAAAAATGAGCTTTTGTCAATACAAACTCAAACAATTTGACTTTTTGTCCACAATATCAGTTCTAGATTTTGCTGCCAAAACTCGACTATAATGATTCGACTTTTCGACCATAAAATTGTTTTAACTGTTTGTAAACTGGACCAAAACCGTTTTAATTCCCTTCATTAACTCAGACTAACTCATTGTGAATCCTTTCAAACTAAAACTAACATTTAATGTTTGCACTTTTATTCACTAAAACAGGATTAACATAACTTTGGCCAATACTATATTTAACTATAACATGACATATATTTTGACTTTTTAACAACTTAAACTGGACTAAAATGTTTTCAATCTTTTTGTTAACTAAAATTAGTCTTTTTAATGCTTCATTTACTGAAACTAAACTTGAATCTTTTGTTCTTTTTTCAACTTGAACCAAATCAAAGAAGTCTGACTGTGTGCCGATCAAAATCACACCACAATGTTTTAGCTTTCAGGCAAAAATATGTCCAAAATATTTTTACATTTCATTGACTTTAGATCAAATAATTTTGCTCACAAACATTTTTAATTAGACAGAAATATTCTGACTTATTTTTGATTCAGACTAGTTTAAAGTATTTTGACTTTTTTTCCAACTGAAACTGAAATATTTTGAACTCTTTTATGACAATGTGACTAAAATGTTTGAACTTTTGATCAACTGAAACTGAAATATTTTGGCTTGTAATCAATCTAAAGTTGCCTAAAAGTTTTTGACTTTTTATCAATTAGAATCAAAATATTTAGCCCTTATAATCAACTTAATCTGAGGTGAAATGTTTTCACCCAAAGACACTTTAGTTTTAACAACTTAATTATTGAATTATTTACAGCCAAGTCGTCTTTATTCATGCATAAAAAAAACTTTTTCTTTAAACATTTTGAACAATACAACACAAATAAAGACAGATGTAGATCAGACTACATTTGCTCCACTATATTTATAGATTTCCTTTTAACTCACTAAATCAAATAAAGTCATTACTGTGTACAGTATACAGTCAGCAGTGAAACAAGTATATACAGCCTACAAGTGCATCTGTGTGGCCTGCAGATACAGCTGGTTAGAAATCATTAACATACAATAAAGCTTCACTATTTTAGTCGGGAAAGACAATAAAACTCCCTCACTTTGACATGAACTCCCAAGAATTTACTCAGCGGCACAGAAATAGAGGATATTGTTGAGCTGCAATCAATCATGTATTTAACTCACACATTATCGATGCTTCAAAGAGTTTCTGCAGAACTCAAAGGAACAAATCACAGCCTGAGAATCAGACAGGAATCAGACAGACCCAGCATGCAACAAACGGTCACACTGCCAGTGTGGTCAACTTTGGACTTTGGGCGAACTCAAACTTGAGTGCCTCTAAAAAGTATTTAATATTTTATGCAGAATTCAATATGACTTAATGTGTCAGTTTTAAATGAATGACTGTCCCGCTGGTTCTCATGCAGCACATGTCATTGATCTGCAGCCAGAGGTGAATGTGAGGCGATTTAAATTCAATATCCTGTGACAGAAGATTTATACAGGATATCACACTTATTAAAGACAAGGACGCAGAAGTGACAGAAGAAAAAGAGCCGGGACAGAAAACAGACCCATGACGCCAGACCTGCAAAGATGTGGCTCCAGATATTAAAGCAATTAATCACTGTCAGCAGATAAAGAGTATTTAGTCTAACAGCTGAATGTTTGTCCTGAACACACCACAGGCTGCCTGAAGGGAAAAACTCAACAACGGCTCCCCCTGTTGGTTTTAGAGGGGAATACATTCATAAGTCCCAGACAAGGCTCTGACAAAAAAAAAAAAAAAAAAAAAAAAGTCGCTTATATGTTTTTAGAATCTGTTTTATGGAATGTAGAGCCCCCACCCTATCCAGCAGCAACAGAGCACAGTCTGCAGTAAATGCTTTGAAGGAATTGTTCGTAAAAACACGTTAGCCACAATCAGTGATGTCCAGTGTACTTTACTGCAGAGCCTTTCTTAACTGAACAAATGACTACATTCAAAGACTCCTAGATGGATATCCAGTTGAACCTCTTAAATGATATCTCGACCAAGATTTTCAGAATAAAGAACAAAAACACATTGTGTGAAATAACCGAGGTCAGACTATCATGAACATGAAAAAACAAACTGTGAGTGGCAAGGGAAGACAGTGTTTTTTTTTGTTTTTTTTTTGTTTTGTTTTTTGGACAATCATGGCAGCAGATGACAAACTTTGAGGAGTGAATGTGACTGAGAAACTTTTTTCCACCTGAAATAACAGGAGAAGGAAGCTGTTGATTTGGCTGATTGATCCTGTAATTTCAAACATGTTTATAAAGTTAAAAAATAACCAACAGGAGCAGAAATATGTGAATTAAACCTTTAAATACTGAACAAAATCAAAGACAAGTGGAGATATAAGAAAGTGTGTTTAAGATTTTTATTCAGGTGTAAGAAGAGAAACTAAAAAGCCTTTTACTATTATAACTACACATTTTCTTTTTGGGGTTCACAATCACTTACAAGTTTAACATGAAATTCTCCCATTTAGTTTGTAGCTCTTGATAGTCTTGCCTCCTTACTGTAGTACTGGACTCTGCAGAGTAACTTTCTCTGTAACACTTAAAGCTAAATCTTACTGATGATGTAAAACAAATAGTGCTGTCCTTCATCTTAGTTTGACCTGAAATAACTGTGGGTTTTCTAAAGCATTGTAAAGGGAAAAACTAAAGGTTTCACCATCTGAATAAACACAAAGTCCCTGAAATTAAACGTCTGCAAAACCTCTAACCAGTGTGCTGAACCTCCATAAGTCTTGTCCCTGTGATACAAATGCTGTCCTATTTTCATTTGGGACTTTTTCACACTTGGGAAAAGGAGGCTGTGACAAAATCCCATGAAGACAATCATGCTTCTATAGCGAGAACATGAAAAGACCCAAGTCAGAAATCCAACAAACAATCATTTCATCACCAGAATCAGAGCCACTGAGGGACAGGTGAGGAAGCACCCTGTCTCCATCTGTGTCTCTTGCACAGCAAGTAAATCCTAAAGTCTTATCACCTGGCGTCTTTATTTCAGGAAACGGACACTCATTTTGTGATCGATGTTCACTTTCTCCAGGGACTGAAAAGAAATAAAAGCTTTTAAACTGATCATAACATCATTATCAAAACACACAAAAGTTGGTTTCATTTTTAAAAGCTTTTTAATTCTCACAGAACACATCCACTTTCCTCAGCACTATCTGCTCGTTCACTCTAACTACATTTCAGAAAATAGATATCTTGTCTTTTTTTTTTTTTTTTTTGTATCACTATTTCTGCTCATTTTGGTTCATGACCCTCTTACCTTTTTAAACTCATCGAATGAGATGGCGCCATCACGATCCAGGTCGGCCTCTTGAATTGCTCGCTCAGCAATGCTCTGCAGCTGCTCCTCTGTCACCTGAATCCCCAGCATCGCCCTCAGCACCTGACGAGTACCAGCCAATCATGAATCACCTGTCTTGCCGTGTCTAATACGTCTGATCTTGCTTTGTGTTTAATGTTCTATCTTGGCTCTGCTGCTTCTTTCTGTCTTACTCTCCTCTTCACAGTCACAGATAAAGCTGAAACCATCACTGTTACACCTCTATGCAGATGACACACAGATCTATTTCCCCAAAGTGCTGTTATTTCTGGGACATTGTCTGAGGAGAGTAGTTCTTCAGGATATTAAAGCCAGATTATTTTGTATTTAAAAGCCATTTTTATCACTCTTAATCATTTAGTGACAAATATGAGTAGTCACCAGGTTTTGTAAGAACAGTATGTGTCCAGTTTTTATTTTTAAAAGTGGTGTAAAAGTTGACTGGGTTTATGTCAAAATCAAGACCTTGCGGGTAACTTTTTTTTTTGTTGTTGCTTTGTTGGCATTAGTTTTATTTCATTTTAGGATTTTAAAACAAAAATAAAGCAAGAATCCAATAGACCAGAAAAGATAAAAGATAAGTGTAAAGCTAGAAATGTTAGGATAAGTTTAAAGTCTAGTGTGCCTTAAAAGGAACAAAACTTGTTTTGCTTGTAATAAGCATTAATGGGGAGTTAATGAGCCTCTTGTAAGATGCTTACACCAACAAGTTTTAAGTTGACTTATTATATTTTGTTGTGCAAATACCTAAAGTATCAGCCAAAGTTTTCAGGTGTCAGTGTATCTCTAACAGCCCTCGACATAAACCAATTAATTCATCATGGTTCCGCTTCTTTTCACCAACATGTGTTAAACTTCTATGCAGCAAGATCGGCATGGTGACACATCAGTATTTATCATGATGGTATTTTGGCCTCCTTTTGTACAGTGGGAGAAGAGGAACATGAGTTCCATATACAGCCAGTGGTTTATAAACAAAGCTGTAAGTTACAAACATCTTCTTGCCCTGAAGGCCTCTGGGTAATGTAGTGTGGTTGCTCTCAGCTCTGTCAGATAAATGAGCAGATTAAACTGGTCAGCATTGAAGAGGTTTTGTTTGAAGGTTGTTTGTGTTGTTCAAAGTGACGTGTTTTGCAGCCACAGACCTGGAGAAGTTCATTTCTGGAGATTTTTCCATCTCTGTCCTGATCATACAGCTGGAAGGCAACTGAACACACACAGAGGTCCAGTCATCAACAGGTCAGCGGTCAAAACAGCTCTTCAAAAGTTAAAGCTAAAAGAAATTATCTGGACTTGCATTTAAGTTTCCTGGTTCTGCTGTTGGCCTGGTCCTGCTGCGCTCCGTCTTTCCGGTTTGGGTCGTTAGGACGGAAATGTGCCAGAACCCGGACAAAGGAGGCAAAGTCCACCGTTTCCTGTCTGAGGAAAGAGAGGAAGGAAAGACTTCAGTTTTCTTAACAAACACATGATAAACAACGAGCAGCTCTGATTTACTGCGGCTGTCATGAAGTCCAGGTATGTCTGAACATGTGAAAGTTTCTGAAACTGACTGTCTTTATCCACTGGAGTCATTTACTCCTCCTTTGGTTTTAATCTGGACAGTCCAACGTTTTAGTTAATTAACAACGAAAACAGAAATAACATACAGTTCTCCATAACCAACATCATCACATCAGATGTGATAGGTAAAGAATTAAATTTAGGATTAAAAAGTTGCTGCACCCCTGAGGGAAGAAAGCCTCGATAATTCTGCCTCCAATGGGGTTCAAGGCCAACTCTCGAACAGCCTCAAAATCATCAGGGCTAAGGGAGAGAGAGAGAGAATTGAACATCATTCCTCAGGTAATTTTCACAGTTTATATCACAGTTTTTCAAAGCACTAACCTGAGCTCTCCCTTCCCGTCCCTGTCCAAAAACTCAAACCTCTCATATAGACGAAGGAGGTGAGCAGCAGAGACTGAAACACACAGAGAGCATTTCCTTAATTACAGACTGCTTACACTAAACCAGTCAGTCCCCAGCCCTCCCTGGGGACCACAAAAACAGCATCAACACATTTCTCTCCCCCTGAAGTTGATCAGTCTGGTCAGTCACATTACATCTTGACTCTCTCCTTTGATTTAAACTGAAGAAAAGTCAAATTCCTCAGCTGTTCACATCGTGTGTGCAGAGAAGAGACAAAAAAAAGAAACAAAATTGAAAAGCTTTAACTTTTGCACATGCACAGAACAGCTGTAGCAGAAAAAAAGTTGGTTTCACATTTTCAAGCATCAGGAATTTTTAATTAATTTCTCACTTTCATCGACACAAACAGAAGGATGAACTTGCTTAAGTGTTGAGCATAACTGCAGTGCATCAGTGAGGAGAGTTCAGGGTGTTTCCTGCACACTCAACTAAACAGAGATAAAGTACAGATGACATGACGCTGATGAGTTTAAAACGGCTCACTGTGCTGCTATCAGAGAGCTCAGACCGAGGCTTCTCAGAGCAGATTAGAGATGCAGAGTTAAAATTCAGTTAAGTTTATTTTTCTTGAAACAAATCAATCTCTTTGACAGACTCTTCTAGGTGTGCACTGACTGTTTTCCACAATATTCACACATCTTCATTCAACATAGCTGTAACTGAGTCTCACAACATACAACAAATTTCCTTTAAGTTTCTCCCATTTGATCTAATTTTGCAGGATCAGGTCTGAATTCAGTTAAGAGCCATCAAACTCAGGGAAATTCTTTATTTTTGTCTGTTTTGACTTGCTGCAGAGAAATCCCCTATGTGCCTCTTTAAGACTGTTACTGTCCTTCAGAACAGAAACTCTCAGAGCCACAACAGCACGTCTGTACTTTTGTTTGTGATGGTGCACAGGGGACCAAACAGCCTTTATTTTCAACTTTAAAATCGTTTTAATGATAAATAAAGAGACAAATCAGGGGCAGTAAAAACAAAAAAATAAAGCAGCTAAAACACGGCAAAGTCAAAAAAGAGTTTGTTAAGACTTTTTGAACATTTATCTAAAATGATTTTAAAGCTCTTGTAAGGAAGTTTTGGTTTATTTGGATTAGAGCGCCCCCTGTGGACAATCTTTTCTGACCACAACATCTTGTCTTTACGATGTGCGATAATGTTTCTTTTAAAAGGTTTCATCCTAATGGCTTTTAAAAAGTCAAACATGTTAGTCACAGCTGAAAAAGCATTAAAAAAAGTCTTAGTGGTACAGTCCTGACTCTGTGCAGGTGTTTCAGGATGTTGATTTTACTCCGGGAACGGTTAATCTTTCTCCTGAACTCTTGTTTGCGTCTGGAAGTTTTAGAATTAATTCCAGTCAGATTCAAAACAGCTGAAAACTCCTACATTTTCTATTCTTTCCCCCTTTTTTGAGTAACAAGCAGCAAAATGAATAAAAAATGAAACTCACAGCCGGTTTCCTGCATGAGCTCCTGAGCATTTGGGATGTGGTTCATGTTGGAGCTGCTGGAGCCCATCCTGCTGCAGAAACAGACCTGACCTCAGTTTCCTTATTTTTCTGTGGCTGAAGTTTACTCTCTAAAGCTGCAGTTTGAGCGAGCTGACTTGATCTTTCTTCACTCCAATCAGACGTTCATGACAGACGTGCTGCTTAGCCAATCACAGTTTAGCTCACTGTAACCAATGGGGGCTCTAGACCAGACCTCACAACAAAAACACTCTGGAGCATTTAGTGCAAAGATCATGAAGCTTTACAGTGAGAGAAGCTTTAAAGAAATACATTATTCTGAAATTGTAACGATTATGGCCTTTAGAGAGTTAAATTACATTTTTAGAGTATAAGATTTTAGTCTTTGAATCATACAATGAAGTCTGTTTTTGCAAAAGAGGCCATGCAAGTCTACAGAAAATTAAAAATCAGCAGTTCCTCTGCCACAAACATTAATCTTACATTAAGTCCTCAATATTTTTCTTTGCAAGTCAGTGAATGGATCAAATCAGACACACATCTAAGTGAACAGGCCTGTAATTTCAGATGATCCACCATTTTGAGTATGTCTTTTATATGTCAAAATGGAAATAAAGACTCATGTGGTATGGGTCTGAGTGCTTCTTTCACCTAAGTTATAATATTATCTCAGAATTACGGTTGTATTTCAGGTGAAAGGAGCTGAAGTCACAGAGAGGCAGGAATTACTGCTGTGACTGTGACCTGTCATTCTATTCATGAACACAGGGTGGAGGCATTTCCAAATAAATAGATATTGTTCTCCCTCCTGAAGAGTACTGTGAAACCTCCAGCTGAAGGAACCTTGACTCAAAGTTAAGGTGGGATGGAGGCTGGAGTTTTACATGTACCTCTGGTGTCTGACAGTAATTATGAGTAAATATACTCCCTTAATTCATGTTTAAGTTTTATGATTCAAAACCAATGAGGAGTAAGAGATAAGGTTATTAATTGGCAAAATGTCCCTGCAAGAATGTATGCTACTACAAAAATTACCTGTGGTGTACTTCAAGAATCTATTCTGGGCCTCATCCTTTTAACTCTTAACCTGCTTTTCTGGATTGAACATTTAATAGAGGTTTTAAAGATTTTTAAAGGCTAATTTATGTAAATATAACAGTAAATAAAATCTCACATGAAAATATGGAAGTATATTTGTTCAAATCAATGTAAAATACTGACTCTTGAGGTTTCAAATAATATATGATTAATGTTAATGTCAGTGAAGAGATTCATCACTTTAGCTGGTGGTGAAGTTGATAAAAAAGCTAAAAGAGAATAAATAGTAATCTCACTGAATGATTGTGTGGTTGGTGAGTGTGTATTTTGTTTGACAGGTATTCCAGCTGTTCATGTGCACCCTAAAACAAAGCAAGCAGCTCTTTGTAATCTTCCCTCTGTAGCTTGGGTCATGTTTTCGTTGCACGTTGACAGTTTGAATGGATGTAAGACTTTTGTTTGATCATTAGTCCTCGAGCTTCTGCTTCTGGACTAAAACTGGGTCAAAGTCAAAGTACAAACAGTTAAGAGCATGCACACACACACACACACACACACACACACACACACACACACACACACACACACACACACACACACACACACACGGACACACACAGAGTTGGCAGGCTTTCTAAGGGTTTGCATTCCTCTCTGGTTACATTTACAGCCCTGTTTACCTCGATAAAAAGCTGCTGTACATGACATGTCCCAGCTGCCTGAGTCTGCTCTGTCTTTATAGTATGAACCGTGCATGGACTGCAGGACAGAGAGGTTAGAAATCTTGTTGCAACACCGCTGTCAGCTTCACAATGCCCAAAGCTTGGGTTAAAAATGTGCTGTGGTTTCAATTCTTAAAAAAAAAAAAATAATAATAATAAATTATCATTGCTTCACTTTCAGTCTGCTCCAAAGGGATCACATACTACAACTAAACCAAAGCAGAGAGAAATAAAAGCCTTCAAAATGAACCATTAAGTTCCATCATGATTGTAATAAACTTTAATGCTAGTTTCAACAAATCATTTCATTAATAACATGTTCTGCACCATGCTGAGCTGTTACTGAGCACCATCTGCTGGTAAGACTGTGACTGAGTTTCTTCAACCCACAATAAAACCTGCCCATGTCACCTGAGGCGTCCCATCGTGATCCTGAAAAGCACCTGTCGTCCTTCCCATCACAGTGACACTGCCCTGATCTCCATCTTCATTTCTCGGAATTGCCTTTCTTCCACCTGCTTGGTCACTTTTGGTTTTCTTCTGCTGTAAATGAAAGTATGCTTGGTATGAGGTAGCAGGAAGCAGGTGACAGGTGACAGGTGGGTAAGTACAGCAGGACAATCACAATGGCAGAGCAGGTTAGGAGACAGTAAACAGGTAATTTATGCATCTGTTTTGTTCAAATTCTTGTAGAACTTGTTTATTTAGGAGTTTAAAAACATTTGAATAGCAGCAAACTGTACAATCATTAACGTGGTTTTCAGAGTGATGATTTTTTGCAAAGCATTGTGCTGCTTTAAAACTATTGGAGAATTACTTAAAACAACAAGGAACAGTAAATTTCTGTAGATGGGCATGACTCACTTAGAGCCAAACTGATGCATGGGGTTCCCCAGGGTTTTAACCCTTGGACATCTATTGTTTCTTATGTACAAGATGTGTAAATGTGCTTTAGCTTAATTATTTGCTGATGACACTTGCTGTGTTGCACGAAATTTTTGTGCACTGATTCAGGAAGCAAACCTGTGTGTTAATGTATAAATATGTACACCTATAGTCCAGTATTTTTTCAAGTCTTCATCAGACGTTCACTTATTTACAACACTTTGAGGACTTTTACCATCCATCAACTTGCACAAAAGTACAGAGGAGCATCTCTGTGGACCAATGTACCTCCATTTCTATCATCAGCAAACTTATGTCATACTTCAAAAAGCATCTGGAAAGTTTTCTTTCTTAACAAAGTTGTCTTATAAAGGAATAAACATGTCATTGCTCCTTTTTAACTGATCTGCACTGCTGCTTATTTTAGCTCTGTTTTAGAGGAAAGGCATCTTCATCAGCCTTTTGGGGCTCCAAATGTTTTAGCATTTGTTGTTCATTGTTTTCTTGTTGTTAAGATGTGAATCAATCAATGAATGAAATCAAACTACATTTGCCTCTTTGCACACATTTATACCTACAGCAGCATCATAATAATGTCAGAATGAAACTGATTTAGACGTTCAGACACATTGATTACAGTTTTCTGGTCCTAAGTGAACCACAGATTATTTTTCCCTGTCGATTAAAAACAGACCCTAAAAACAACAATTTAGAGAGAGCTGCAGATAAATGATTGTGAGATAAGTAAAAGCTGCATATGAAGGTGTCTACTCCTGATTTACCCTCACCAACAAACAGGTCAAACACTTGAATTTCTCTGAAGCTTTGTAGGCATGCAGCTGGATACAGACACTTATTCAAATGAAAAGTCTCCTTTAAAAACATAGACTTTTTTATGACAAAATCGTGCATTAAAACACACCATAATGCGTTATTAATTCCTGACACGTCTTCTGTTGTCATGGTTGCAAATTGGTTGTCCCTCCACTTTCAGAGATTGAGGCTAAACTGGACCAAATTGGACTCAAATGAACTTGATGGTCTAAGACAGTACCGCCACAGTTTAGTCCTTTTACATTTCTGTGAGAGAGCTGTATGATGAACGTCCACTCAGTGTCAGAAGATTGACTGGGAGTACTGGTTAGATCCCAGTCTGACTCTGCAGGAACAAAACTTACTTTGAAGGTTGAAAGTCTGTCTCGTTAAAAACAATTTTTTGGGGAAAGTATGTGAAGAATGTGGTTATATAACTGTGCCATTGTTTCAGAGACAAATGAGAGGTGACGCTCTGCAGTGCAGCTTCTAACAGGAGAGACCAAGAGGAGATGGAAGAGAAGGAGGAGGAGGAGAAGGAGGAGGAATGTCCCACTGAGACAAGCAGGCTGGTAATGAGAGAGAAAATTCCTGCTCTGCAAAGGAGAGAAAAAAATGAACAGAAACATGTTACAGTGACACCAAGTCATCTAGTCTGAACTCATTAACCTGCGCCTGTGACTTCTGCCACTGGATTGATGGTAAAGATGTTGTTTCATTAAGGCCAAGTTTAAACCATTTATCCCAGACTCACACTTCCCCTACATCATATATGTACACATGTAAATGTGGAGGGAGAGCAGCAGCAAAGATCCCAGGGTTAAAACAGAGCAGGCATCAATTAATAATTAATTAATACACAATGTGGAACATATCATTTCATACTGAGATGCACCATAAAGTTTTGAGCTAGATCCTATTGTTTTTGTGACATATCTGATATTACTAAAAACTGTTGCTAATTAATACATACATCCTTGATTTGGCCTCCAGTTTTCACTCAAGTATTAACAAAATTTCATGACAGCGTATCTACAAACTTCCAAGAAAAAAAATAGCACATTTTTATCTCACAGTTCTGGGTCAAAAGTAAGAAGCTTTACTTTCGACTTAAGATTGCAACTTTTGTCCTGAATTTTGAAGCCAAATTCAAAATCAGGACTAATTTCCAGGTACTATTGTCTGACTTTTTTTTCTAAACATATTGATTGTTTCGAGTCATATTTCTTAGTTTAAAGTCACATTTTTTTCTTTTTTTCTTCAGAATTCTGATTTTAAACATTTTTCAAAAAATTACCTTTTTTGGAAAAAGTGAGAAAATTAGGAACATTTTTTGAGTTTAAGAAAAAAGCCAGAGTTTTAACTTTTCACTTGTAAGATAAAAGTCGAAGTTGTATGGAAAAAAAATTGACTTAACTGTTTCTATCCTATTTATTGGCCCCAACCCTCTTCTCTTCATTACATCTCATTATTTATGACACACAAGTAGTTTTACATTGTTAGATAAGTTCTTCCTAATGTTGGTCAGTCTTATGTGTGCTCTGATACTGGCTTTGAGACCCTCAGATGCTAAATCCAGGAGACCTTATAAGGTCTTTCAGGAGCCACTATCAGACCAAGTATCCACTTTTACACTAGAGAGCTCACAACAGCTGTCCTTCAGTTTGTCATTAGGTCTCCTCAGCACATTGCTGCTGTCCAGAAAAGACACGACATTTAACCTCTTAACAAACTTTACATAATCATTCTGACCTGAGCTGACACAGGCCGAGCTTACCGGTAAGTCTTTGGGACTTCCATGGTATCTGCAGTGTGATGTGTTTGTTTCTAAACCTCCAGCTGCACAGGAGGTTTTGGTGTTGAGTGATTCATGCCCATTGTACAACAATGACATTTGTGACGCAGTAGCACTTGAATGCTAGTTCACTTTCCTTTTCGAAACAATGACAGGTATTCCCCGTGGTACCTCTCTACACTTACACACCTTTTGTTGAGTAAGAGTGTGTCTTTACGTTGAAATAATCAAGTATGTTGACTTGGACTTGGACTTAGACTCAAACGAACATTTTGCCATTGAAGATATTTGAAGGTTAAGTTTCGGAATTGCAAAGTGAAGCTGCTGCCAGAACAAATAAGGAGTTCCTGTGAACTGTCAACACAAAAATGATAAAAACATCATGTTAAGGTCAACAACCCTCCAACATGGTCTACTTTGCTCATGTACCCTGTGCATTTGTCCCTTAAAAGAGCCATCGAGTTAAAGTTTAGGTGCAGCTTTTTGTGTAACTACCTGTAATGACCAGCAGTACATCCTATAAAAGAGGTAAGACATTTACATTTGGGGTCCTGACTAATAAAAGCCAATGCCCGTTCAGAACTGTGGATGGTCCCCAAAGATTTGTGTGTCCGGACTGACCATTTCCCACCTGCAAAATCTACCCACAGACTTGAAAAACTAACCCTGTTATGTTAATCTTCTTTTTAAAGATTTTATAACACATTTTTCATTTATGCAGAATATTTTAAGTAGGGGAGAGTGGGGAAAGATGAGCCATTTTTCATATTTCCGATCACTACGTCAAGGCAATCATATTTTTATCTCTAACTAGTGTATCTGCATATATTTCAAGATGTTGTGCATCCCTGCAAACCAACAGAATGAGTGTAAACATAATATAAGCATGCCAAAAAAAGTGGTCTCCCAGGTCAACTTACCCCGTGTATAGGGTAAGTTGACCATAGAAGTGGGGTAAGTTGAGCCGTATCCCTACTACCACCCCCCACTCTCCACCTCAGCCCTCCCTCACCTTCTCTCTCCCTAAATAACAGTCATATTTCCAAGCAACAGGGGGTGGCTCAACTTATCCTTTGGCTCAATTTGCCCCAGTCTCCCCTACCAGTAATTTTTATCTTTCTTCTCCGTTTAATCAACCAAAAGCCTTTATAAAGTGAGCAGCAGCTGGAAACTATAAACATCTACAGTTTCAGTGACTTCAGCTTGTTTGGTTGGAGGTTATACTACGAAACTTGCATTGTCTTTATCGATAAAAGAATAGAATTCATGAATGAGACTTACTCTTGAAAGTTGTTTTTTTGGGATGTTTTCAGCTAAACTGTGACTACTTTAGCTGATGAAAAGCTGTAATGTCTCGCCGACACCCATCATGAAAGTTTGTGTCAACTCTGAAAGCAGTTTGAAAGTTTCATGTTCAAAAGTCAAATTCAGTGAGTTTGTTGAACTATTTTGGCAAAACTCTTCTAGATGTTTCACAGGCTCTGAAAATAGTGTAAAAGGATACAGACTGGCTCAACAGTAGAACAGATTTCATTAGCCTTTACCTTTACGTCCACCATAGTAAAGAAGCTAACTGGAGACTCAGGCTGGTTTATGGTGAGGGATTGGCAACCTTTTGTCATTAAACTGTTCTGGACATAAAAAGATCTGACAGTGAGCAGTTTACCCGGTTAATATTTAATAATCTTTAAAAAAATGAGTGATTCTGAAACCAAAACCAGATCGCTTTAAAGAGCTCACTAAGAGTGACTGCAGCTTTAAATCAGCCTCTAACCTGAAAGTACCTAAGCAGGAAATCAGAGTAAAGTGGGATTTCTTCTCCGCAGTCATTCAGCTCTAATATTGTGTGCCTCTTCCTCTGCTGCTTGTTGTCGGGAATTTCCATGAACGTTGGTCTCTAATGGAGAGTTTGTCATTCTTTTTACTTTGAGTTAAGGATCAGGTTTACTATAAGTACTTTAATGGTGAACGTGAGATGAAACAGTTTACCCCATGACTCACGCTCCTTTCCGACATTCTGATGTTCGCTGATAAAAATCACTCTGTCGATTGGGGACCAAGAAAAATAACCGAAGAGAAGCTTTTTCACTTTCCTTTTCATCTAGTTTCACCTCCATTTTTATTCAGCTTAATAAAAATTACCAAGTCAGTTTTGAGGGCCTGGTTGTTAAAAATGTTTCATCTGATTCTGAGTTCATGAATCCACTTTTTTCCTTGCCAGGATTTGGTAGCTCTCTTTACGTTTTTTTTTTTTTTTTTTTTTTTTTGAAGAACATCTGAATAAGCTTAGTCTGATCTGAAAACTGTGAGGACATACGCCTCACACTTTTGTGAGGGGATCATCTCAGTGCAGGCTTGGGTAGGTTTGGGTATAGAAAACTTAGGGTAGTAATCTTTAAAATTTTTATTTTAAAGATTATTTCTTTCAAGACTAAAGTTGAGAGTTAAATCATTTTCTTACAAGGATACAATCATTACATTATGAGAGTAAAGTCATTACATCTCAGCTCTATGCTTGGTCTATTCAGAGTCCTGATCCTTATAACTATATGGATCTGAGGAGATGAAACACCGGCAAAACACTACCACTTTTGTCCATAGCGGCCGCCAAATGCAATGGAAAATAAAAAACTCAGTTAAGCTGCTTTAAATAAGAGTGAAACATCATTGTAGAAGATGTGTAGAGATTGTTAAAAGCTGTAAAGAGGAATAATCTGATGTCTTAATCAAAGCAGATGAATTATTTGTCACATGTGATTTTTCAGTTTGAGAGGTGATAATATATTTCAAAAGACACCAACCTGGAATGAAACTCCTCCACATTCCAGCTTGTTTTAAAGCTGTTGCCCGGCTTCCCCTCCCTGTAGATTATTTTCAAAGCACTCGCTGCTGCTGAAGAAAATCCCTGAGGAGTTTACAGGATGACAGTGTTTATATTCACCTTCAGTGGCACAGCTACTTTAAAAATGTGAATAATGTCATTACCTAACATTTTGTCCCCTCTTACAACATATGAACAAATCAGAACTAATCACAAATGATTCCTCTGCCTGTAGGAGATGACAGTTTTTATTACTCAGTCCAAATGCACAAAAGAAGCACTTCTTTACTCTAACAAAGGAAATGATTCGTTTTTATTGATCCACAATGTCAGTCGGTCAGTTTGATCCAGCAAAGTTTGGTTCAGTACAGTACCCCCTGATCTTTCCTGGGGTTGTATCCTTCATGCAGACTTTATTACAGCTCTGAAGCAACTTGAATTTGCATTTGAAAAGCCAACTTGAGTGTCTCAGTCTCATCTTATGCTCACCTAACGCTCTATTAATCAGAGAATAGATGATGCTCTGCTCATTTTTGGTGGTCTACAATGTTTCACCCATCCTGGGATATATCAGTTCACACAGCTGTTGTTATATTCTGTTTCATCAATAGCACATATAGCGAGTAAGGCAGTGTGTTTAATGGCCTGAGCTGTTTAGATTAGTCTGAGGAGTTTGTATCAGTCATTTCCTCTGTTTCTGCCCCTATTTGGAAAATCCAACTCTCATTCTGACTCCTGATTCTCACTGTCCCAATGTCACCTGCTGTCACTGACATGAAATACTTTTGCAATTTTTTACACCTCTGTGAAAACCCCTGACAAACTGGGGGGGGTGAAAAGCACCGCAGCAGAAATGTTCAAAAACATCCTGATATGCTGACACGCAACGGATCCACTGAAGTCTTTGTAACTGAAAGCCAGAAAAGCCTCAACACTTTTGTTATGTCATTTACAGTCTGGAGCCAAAAGAAACACCGAGCTGATAGACCTGTCTGTCAACTACCATAGATCTTTCTGGATTAAACATTGAAAGTATTTTCCTGTAATCAAAAGCAACAACAACTTTAATAAACCACCATCCATTGACTTTACTTAGTTTACCATACTCTGTAAACTTAGTGAACCCAGGAGACCAGGTTTTGTAGTCTGAACGTGAAATGTGGTCCCGATCTTGTCTGATGGAGGATTTCAGCTGCTTGACAGTTCAGACTGCAGGCAGGCCGGTTTATCAGCAGGACTCTTTCACTTCAGAGCCATGCTATTGTAATATGTACAAACCTGTCAGAATTAATGAAACCTTCACAGATGTAGAAGCTACCCATGATATGATAACTTCTACATCTATGATGATCCCCACACTGATGGGGATCTGATAACAAGTGGTCCCTCTACTCTTTAGATAATGTCAGATTTTCTTCTACTTCCACTTTAGAGTCGTGTCTGTTTTTAATGCAGTGCTGCCTGAGGGTCTGAAGATCAGGACTATCCAGTCTTAGTTTTGGTCCTTGTCCCTTTATTACAGAGATTTCTCCAGATTCTCTGAATCTTTTAATGATATTATTTTCTGTAGATGATGAAACCTACTCATACTTTCACATTTGACACTCAAGAACATTTTTCTGAAACTGTTCAACTATCAGCTCACGCAGTCTCTCACAGAGTGGTGAACCTCTTCCCATCTTTCCTTCTGAGAGACTCAGCCTCTCTGAATGTCCTTCTTATATCCAGTCATGTTACTAACCTGTTGGAAATTAACCTCATTAGTTGGAGATGTTCCTCCAGCAGTTTTATAGCATTACACACCTTTTTACTTGTTTGGTTGATCCTCTAACAACTTAAAAAAAAAAAAATTCTGGCATCAAATTAATATATGAGTTTTTATTTCATGACACAATTTTTTTGTTTGTTTTAACACACCATCTATCCTCTTTGAACCATTTGAACGAAATATAGAGTTTTAATGTATATAGAATATAATGACTCCTGTATTTGTGGACCCCTGTATGCACTATGTTAATCTTTGGCCAGATGTTGATGATGTTACACCCCTTCTATTTACTTTAGGAGATAAACTGTGTGGTAGAATAGATAAACACTGACAAAAACTATATGTTGTAAATGTAAATAGTTTCAGCCCCTGTCAGTGACTGTTTTCAGTCATGAGCTCTGATGTTTGTGTTGAAGGGCCCATCTCTAACATCCTCAGAGCTTGTGGTGCAGTGGCAGATCTTGTTAGACGGAGGGCCGCCTCCGGTAAATAATAGATTATGATGAGAAATAATGTTGAAACAGTTTGTTCTTTAAGAAAGAAAACATCATAGACCTGTTCAAACATACACACTGCCAGCATAGGGTTCTCCTGTTGCTGTTTTCCTGTCTTTGTTTGCAGTTTATATATTATTTTTGCATTTTTAGCTGCTTTGAATATTTTTGCAGGAATAATAGAATTGGAATGTACTTCTCTCTGCACACAGATTAGTCAACAAGTACTGGATCAGAATATAAAATCTGCTCCATTTCTGTCAACGTGTCTCCACATGATAAATTCATGCCTCAGAAAAAAGCCAGCCCTCTGGCAGATTTTCCTCTAATCCTCCCTTAAACAAACTCATTGTATTCTGTTAGAGTTGCCTCACAGTTTGCGCTGGTCAATCTTGTGTTTTTTCTGGGAACAGCGAGTGTTCCTGGTAAATTCACCTGTTACCTGCTGGCTCTTCTCTCGGCTGTCTGCCCACCCCCGCCTGCACAGCTTTCTTTTAAGTACAAAACCGGGAATCATCAACACCCGCGCTCTAACTGCACCAAGCAAACTTCCTTTTAAAAAACAGTTTCCTTTTAACGTTTGTACCTGATAAACTGAACTACACACAAACTGGTGTAAACTTCAAGGAATCAAGGAGTGCGGGAGCAGGCCTTGACAGCAGAGTGAAAGTGAAAGCATTTGATTTGAGGTTGTTTTTTGGCCACGGAGTGATAAAGTGGTTAGAGATCGTTTACGGTCATGCGTCACACCCATAACAAAGTAAACTCAATAAGTCACTGTTACAAACTGTTTGAAGTACAGGAACACTTCAATCACTGCACCTCATACTGAAACAAGACAACTGCCAACACATTCACGTCTTTATTGATAAACTGATTGCTGATGTTTTTCCAGAGAGAGGTTGTAAACACTCATTCAGTTTCAGTATCACTAATGACAATTCTTTGAAAGCCTATATTCAAAGCTTTATAAAGCTGAAATATAAAGTATTATTTGCCTCTGCTGAAGGCTGAAAACAAACATATACACACCTGAACAGATGTAACAACTCAGAGAGTAAGAGAAAACTGCAGCCCCCAGTTCCTCAAGTGTCCACCAGAAGCTGACTCTCAAAGTGAATCAATCCCTATAGAGTCCTAAAATAAAATGTCCAACTTTAGAGCAGTAGTAAAAATGAACTCCTTCTTCTTCCTGTCTCTTTGTTTCACATCTCTAACAAAATAAAAGCACCTGCATTTATAAAATCTTTGTTAATCTGCAGATTTTTGTATAATGCTCACACCGTGGCTTGACTGGACCCAAGCAATCATCTCGCCTTATATGGCAACATCGCTGCATCAGCTTTATCCTTCTTGAAGATTTTAAATCATTTATGCAGTTCAGATTCTCAAATTTAAAGGAAAACTGAACAGAAACCATTCAATCATCACAGTAAACTTGATTTGCTGGACTTGTATTGTCACCTCTCTGTAAAGACCCTGGGCCTGATTTTTCCAGTGCTTTTAAATTTGACTGACAGAAAAGTCTCTTATTTTTTTTATGCAGATGACGTTCAGCTGTGCACAGCTTTTTAAACTTGATAATGTCTCCTAAAACAAGTTCTGGTCTTTGCCTCTCATCTTCTTTTGTCTGATGTGGTGTAAAAAAAAGTCTTGTTTTTTATCTTCTGCTGTCAAACCTGCCCTCCTAAATCTGGGTGTCCAGTTAGGTCAGGTTTTAAGTCTGGATCAGCTAAGGTACAACAAAATTCTGCTCCTTCTATGTTTGTTAAACAGCTCTGTTGTATGTATGCTGCCCCACACATTTTCCAGGGCTGGTTCTTCATGTCTTTCTTTTTCACAGTGGTTGCTGGTTTGACTCCTGGCCATGACCTCTCACTCTCTCCTCTCTGTATTTCCCCCTTTCTCTACAGCTGTCTGATCTAATCAAAGCAGAAATGCCCCTCAAAAAGTTTCCTGAGTTGCTTGTTCCCACACATCCCTCTCAGCATGAAGTCTTCTCTGTCAGATTAGGGGATGGAGGCAGGTGGAGAGACTCTGACAGCAGAACATGAGTATCAGACTGTGAAGTCCAGACTGTGATGTTTACATGATTGAGGATGAAGATACAGAGACCTGCTCTATGATGACAGTGTTAACGTTAATACTGATGTGGAAACAGACAGATATGCAGACATCCTCTCTGATCTGGACTTGGTAATGGTCCGCCTGTCTTGGGACTCTGTCTTGAATGTCCTACCCTTCCAATTTCCAACCAGTTCTGGGGGAAAACTGTGGCTCTGTGCATTCACACATTGCAGGAGTTTTTGCACGTGAAATCAGAAATATTGGCTCCACCACAGACATATTAAGGTGAACTATAGGTTTCTATTCCCAAGGTTTTCTGCAACATCATCTATAATGTGTAAAATTCCCCTTGCTTATAGTGAAAAATTGTCTCCCAAGTCTATCCCTTCATGGTGGCCGGTTTCAGACCCACCTGAAGTCCTTTTCATTGTCCCTCCCATTTGAAGGCAAACAAAACAAGCTGCTCTGCTGGGGAAATAAAAAGAGACAGGAGTATTCTCCTCCCTGTGGTCCCTCTAGTTAAGTTTAGGGAGGTTGTCTGCAGGACTCAGCTCAGGTAGAAACTCATCGACAATGATGGAGATGTCACTTTGGATCACAGGGTGACAATGAAGACAGAGACTAGCACAGAGGAATGTGAACCGGTCCTGTCAGGACTGCACAGAGTCCCTGCAGGGGAGGTCAAACACGC